CTAACACCCTAACACCCTAACACCCTAACACCCTAACACCCTAACACCCTAACACCCTAACACCCTAACACCCTAACTCCCTAACTCCCTAACTCCCTAACACCCTAACACCCTAACTCCCTAACTCCCTAACTCCCTAACACCCTAATTCCTTCTGCTCCTCAGACATTCCAAGCCCTAGCTCCTATACCTTACTAACAACCTGTCCATTTATATAATACTGCATTTGAAATCTTGAAACAAAATAGACAATATTCGATATAACACTGCTCAAGATAAATCTAAAGCCCAGAGATGAAAGGTTTGACTTCACTAAAACTATACATATTTTTTTAGCATTTTTAACATTCTCAAGATAAATCATTGAGATTTCGAATTAGAAAATAAATGTAAGTGGAGCCGTTGTCTGAATATCTAATACATCTTCCTTAAAACTTCTCCTTAAACATATAGTATCTTTGTTAAAATTCAAACTTGTGTTCAAAAATCTCAATTACCGATAAGTCAATTCTCTATGAGAAAGTTTTCTATACTTCATGGGAACATATTCGAGCTACAACATTAACTGATGTCTTACATAATATCACTTGGAGAGAGACGATGCATTCATTTAACCTATTTTGTATTGTCTGTTTGTTTCAAGATGAATTTGTCAAGTGTGATAGTGTATATAGACTTAAATTTAGGAAACGTCGAGCTCTCGGTTTGGAGATCGGTATTTGAAAAATAACATGAGAAATGCCAAGATCTACCTAGAATGTACAAGGGCGCCGTTCCTGCATTCTCTTTAGAAGAAAATAAGCGAGGGCTTTTTTCATGCAAGATCCTAACCAACAGTTCCTAAAAAGACTCTTGCTATCTTACACCTGAAAGGGATATTCGAGAGGAGCATGCTTCCAGAGAATGGTATCCAAAATTAAAGGCAACTAGTTGAAGGCATTTGCTCACTTTAATTGTGAACACTAGGTTTTCCAAATGGAATCTAATATTTACTGAATATCTGAAAGATTTGGTGTTTCTCCTGTGAGCGCCTCATTTTATTGTTATTTCTCGGATTTATATTATACGATGTAAAAGATTAAGAAGATCAACATAGAGGGAAATACACGAACAGTCACCCGAGGCAACAAAATTTCAGAAGGACGTTTTAGTTACGAAAACAGAAATAGAATTAGTAAATGGCTATACTCTACATTTTGTGATGTGTGTACTTTAACTCTTAGAAACTAATAGTTAAAGAAGAAACTCGATGATTAATCTGATTAGATATGGCTAGATGCATGTATTTGCAAATGAAATAGGAACAACGGGTAACTAATAAGAAATTTAATTCTATTAGAGACTTAGCCTAAGAACCCAGAACTCGAAATAAAAATACATTCTACTAAAGCAATTCGTTCGATACTAAATAGAACTTCTATCACATTTTTTCCAACTAGCCTTATGTAGGAATTCTACCACATTTCTTCCTAGTATCACTAAAAATGTTTAAGTCTGACGAGGAGTTCCCAATTCTGCCACATAACTCAAAATGAGGCGTATTGATACCTCATTCATCAAGTTTGAGATGAAAATGTATTTTGAGATTTGTTTATTTTCAGATCCAGATTTAAAGGAACGGCTAGTGAAGAAAAAATATATTCGACAGGCAGAACTACACACCTACAGTAAGAATACATTTTACGCTGAAACAATGACATCCTAGAATCACCTAGAAAATAAGGTTGATCATTTCGCTAACACGATATTAAGCCTCTGCACCTCTAGCATGTTTTGCTTAACACGATTCTAAGCCTTCGTAAGCGTTCAGTATGTTTTGAGACATTAGAATAGTAACTTTTCTTGCAAGATGTCAGTCTCGCGTGATGAAAGCGGTTAGATTGAATAATGGAGTACTAATATTTCAATCAACCTATTAGTTGAACAGTTTACAGTCGTTCTGTAAACCTTCCACATACTGATTTAGGATCGTCATCGAAAAGAAATAATTAACAGAACAGTCTGAGAAATGAATGTTATTTGGTATAGGAAGAGGTGGTTATTATGTTACGAAAATATTTGATGTATCTAAAGGCGTGCATTTACATGATTCAGATTTCTTGTTGAAATACGCTGTAAAAATGGAGCCAAAGAGCACTGTCTACGTAGAGGCGAACTCTAATTATTATTATCTAACCATGCATAGGAGGTGCATTCAGTGAAGTATCTGACGAATGTCTTAATATTTTGCTTCTATAAGAACTCTGCAAATGCCTTCCAAAATATGAAATATTGTGAGAAGGTACATTGGCAAAAACCATGATTCTTAATCCTTCTGTATTTTTAGCCTTATTAGGATTGACAAGTGTGAACGCACTTACCGTTTCGAAAAATACTCTTATTAGTACCGGTGACACCAGCTTTAACGAAGATGTCACTATCAATGCCGGTGATTTTTTAGCAATCGACTCAGGTTATACTCATAACTTTTTAAAAGATTTATTCGTTTACGGTACACTTTACATTAGTGATAAACAAAAGCACTCAGGTATTACTTGCGACTTAATTGGTTCAGGAACTTATAAAAACTATGGTGAAGTAGTACTTAATCATCTTAACGGTACTTCGGCTCCAACATTCCTGTGGCAGGGAGCTTATTTCTATAACTATGGGGATATGTGGCTCGCAGGGATTGGTAATACTGGTGGTTCAACTATGAATATTAGACCTACTAACTATTTTTATAATCTGGGAACCATTACTCTTTACCAATCTGGAACACGTACTGGTGGGACTTGTCGTTTGGGAAAAGACGGTGGCTCCATCACAAATGACGGTACTGTCTGTCTTCAACAGAACATTTATGATCAATACTCCTCCATATCTGGAAGTGGTTGTTTTGATATTGGAATTAACAGTAATTTTCATATTACTAATTCACATTTGTACACAATTTCTGAGGCTCATACATTCCTTCTCAGTTCAAGTTCTTCAAGTTTGAGAATTGATAACTATAAACCTTCTCAAAGATTCCACGTAGCTGGATGGGGAAACAATAACGTTATTGGGTTTAATTGTAAAATCAAGAGTTTCACATACAGTGGAGACACCTTATCTATAGTAGTTGGAAGTTATACGTATTATATTGTAATTGGTACCGGATATGATTCTACAAAGATGAGAATTGGTGCAGCTGATTATGGTTCTGGTAGTTGTAAGTTAAGTAATACTAACTTTGGATTGTTGTACTCTGGTGCTCCTCCTTCATCAGCTAGACCAAGTACTTGCAAAGCTTGTCCAGCGATCCCAAATCCACCAGCTTGTGCATCGAGTACATCGAGTCCAAACCCTACTAAAACTATCACTTCTACAGTTCCAGGAGGAAAGGCTACTTCTACTGTCACTAAAACTCAAACCCATGGTGGTACCGATACAGTTATTGTGGAAATTCCATCCAGTTGTACTACTTCTACTAAAAAAGGTAAAACCACCAGTACCAAGTGTACTACTTCTACTAAAATTGGTAAAACCTCCAGTACCAAGTGTACTACTTCTACTAAAATTGGTAAAGCTTCCAGTACCGGCTGTACTACTACTACTAGAATTGGCACCTCCTCCAGCACTGGTACTATCACTACTACAATAAATCATGTTACTGTTACTATCACTACTACTTGGACTGGGGAATATACTACAACGGAAACACATTCGGCATCACCCTCTGCCGCTTAATTTCCAGTTATCCTTGAAGTTGCTTATATCTATTATTATACCTACACACAGATCAACATTCGCTCGTCTCGTACGAACATACTTGGTTATACCTGATTATTGATGTCTTATTTGGTGGAAACTTAGTCTCGCTGAGATAAAATTATTGTGTATCAATTAAATCAAATTTAGATTTTTTCTTTTAATATCCTGATGAATTCATTTCTTCAATTATATTTTCGCTTTACATTTAATTTCGTCCAACTTTTTAGCAATGCAACATTATCTTGACGTCAGTGTAGATACCTTTACCATAGAAAGCAGAGAGTAGGAGAAATATGATAATTCTACTATGCAATTAGATTTTAATGAATGGTGAAACAACTGGAATATGAGGATATACGTCTGTCTTACCTTGAGAAACAGTGATAACTGATCAAGCTCATCCTCGATATATCAAAACAAGAATACGATACAACTAAAATCAGATAAAGACTTCCCTTCTTGTTATAGCCAGACAAGATGAAACGGTTGGTAACAGAACAAGGTAAGATAATAGTATTTTTTTAATATGTGGTGGGTGCAACAAGTACAGAAAGCTAATCGATGTACTCAAAATAATTGTGCATATTTTACGAGCCAATGCGATGGAAGTGATTCAGATCAAAAAAATCCAGCTTACTCAAACCAAAGCAATGAGTAGCTGCTCATGACATTTCTAGAAAATTCTATGTTGCATATGACAGCAAAAGTACATTAGCAAAAGGAATAATTCAGTCGAATATTCGACTTTATGCCCCTTGGTACTGCTATTTAGATCTTATATATTTTGAGGGAAGAATTCTTACAAGATATTAAATGAGACTAAACTTGAAACATCATTTATTTTTTGCAGATTTTATGAGAGCACACTAAGATTTAAAAACAATTCCCCAAAGAACAAATGAAGTAATTGCGGGAGTTGTATTATAGAGTGGTTTTGCAAGCCAGACGTAACTCGATTCGATATTCACTCCTAAATATACGTGCCTTAAGAAGTCATCTCCTAATATGCTCATGCCTGGCTTCGTCGTCAAGTAACAATTTTCTGTCTCTCCTTTAACAAGTTCTGAAAGTGGAATATCTATGGTGAGGGTGGTATCTGGCCAACTAGATGTGAATGTATAGGAAAGGTTTCCAGTAGGATTGCAGTTGACAATACTGTAACCATTTGTGACTGATCCATCTCCACCTAGTTGTTTAACTAGAGCACTGTGAGCATCCGTAGGTAAAAAGGAGTATGTGGAACCAGTATCTAATATCATGGCGGAAGATACGCTTGTGGATGTTCCATTTATTGAAAATTTGTCCAATGGAACGGTTACTGCGTTTCCGCTGAAGGTGAAAGGTGCCATAGTATTGCCATCATACTTTGATGAGTCCATTCCACCAAAAAGAAGTGTACCGGAAGTTGCTTCTGCACTACTGAAGTACACGGAATACGATGCGTGGCTAATCAATCCTGCGGATTGTAACGCAAGGGGTAAGTTGTTATACTGAGGGCTGCTTCCTACTTGTTCGAGACCCTTGACGGAAAGACCAAGAACCCCTCCGGTGCTAACAGTCGTGTCACCAACACTTCCAAATTGAAAGTTGGAAATAGCGCCAGAACCATCGGCAAATGCCAATGAATCAGTCACATATTCACCAGTTGAAGCCGTCCCATCAGCATAAGTAATTTTAAAAGGGTAGCCGGTGTCCTTAAAAGTGGAAGATCCTGAAGGATCATATACTCCATACTGTTGCCCAGTCGATGCGTTCGTATTTGGTACCCATAAATCGGAAGACCCAGTATCAATAGTGACACCTATTTTCAGTTTTTCGGATCCAAATAAGAAATATGCTTTGTAATAAGTACCTTCTCCAGTAATATCATCTGGCAAAGGTGAGCCTGCTCTCTTAGACAAAGACAGGTCCAGAGTCCTGTTAACACTGAACTCAACGCCATAGACTTTATTTGCCCTTTTCGTAATACCCTCGACAGGAATTGAATTGACAAGGGATAATAGAGGAAGCACAGAGACGAATAGCTTAGGAAATTGCATTATAGTAAGTAAATATGAGATTAATATAGAAGGAAAACTTCTCAGACTGGTATTACTTCAGGAACAATATGCCATTTATATACCCCAAGCTCAAAGCAACAATTGGGTAAACTGAACTAAAAAAAATAATTTGAAATTAAAGAAACAATTATACCTTATTTGAATAGACAACGGAAGGTAACTATACATGCATCATGTACAGAAATATTCACCAACAATGAGAATTATTCGAACACCGATACAGAAGGTTAGAAGTATTTCATTGTGATTAAAAATATGATATTAGCATCATGGAACGGATGAACAATGCCATTATTAGAGTCATCGATAATAATTGTACCATTGTTCTTAGTATTGAAGCTCAATTCTTCTCATAAACAAAACAATTTTATTCCTTTTGAGAGAGCCCATATCAAGATGAAGAATTACCCATTTCATATATGATTCACGGAAATCGAATAAAATGAGAAAGTAATGCCGGCGTTGTCTTGCCAAACTGTGGGCAAGAGTTGAAATTGAAGAGAAATATATGCCGATTGCTATGAAATCGACTTGTCGATGTGTAGGAATAGAGTAAGCTTAATACTTTATCCATAATACTCGGTTACGTGCTTAGCAACCCTAATACCCTACCTGCCTTTATTGAAAGTGCTGCAAAATCCGAGCTTTATGCATGCATGCATAGAAACCTGCGAGCTATACGAACTCAAAAGTTAAAGTGATTCACCTTTCGACCTCCAATAATAGTCAAACGTGTTAGCCAGGAATTTTCTTTTGTCAGTGGAGCCTGAAGAGAAATGGAATCGGTGGTATAATAGTATAAAATTTTATATCTTTGTATTAACACTTCAATGAAACCGTTTCCCGTTGAAATTGAAGTGGGAAAAAATGACGCAGTCCTCATCAAGATGCTGGTTGGGCCACTTTTCGAGTAAAAAATATTTGTCAATAAATTTCTTTCAACTCGACAAAGTGTCTCCTGCATCAACACTCACGTTAAAACGGCAACTATTGCAATTCTCGGTCAAATGAAATTTCATCTTGAAAAAAACTAATGACTTTAAGTCTCTGAATAATTGAAAAGTACAAAATGTGGCCATGGTTACAATTTACAACTGCATAATATAAAAAGTTTAATATTTCATATTTCTATTTTATTGCCTATTTATCCGAGTTCAATGATTTTTAATCCAATCAGAAATTACCTCCCCAACCTTTTGGGGGTCTTCTCTTTGCAAGAAGTGACCCAAGTTCGACAATAGTTGTACTTTTACATTGGCCGTATTCTTAAATTTTTCCATTTCAATATTGTATAACTTTTTACTCATACATCCATCTTTCTCTCCGCCTAGAATTAAAGTAGGGACTTTATTAAAATCAACTCTCCATTTCAACTGTCTTAAATTAAAAGGATTGAAGACACATCTGTAGTAACCTGTAATTGAATCGGCTACACCTGGTTGTGTAATTGTATTTTTAAGATCTGCAATGTCTTTTGGAGAAAAATTCCATGTTGGAGACCAATACCTCCACAAATTGTCTAAGTAGCTATTCGAGCCAGCGACGTTAGTTAAAGCAGACTTATATAGAATTGAAAGCTGCATTGTAACCATATAGCTCGAATTATAAAGTTGCTCGGGAACTTTCCAAATCAACTCATATGGAGGGATATTTGCAAGATAGGGAATAGCTAATGTGGAAGCAGAAGCTATCAAGTCAGGGTAATCTGCGGAGGCCCTAAATACGGCAATTGCACCCCAATCATGTCCAACAAGATGAACGGGTATGGTACTTCTTTTTTCAGGCGGAACAACTTGGTTTATCCAGGCATAAATATCCTTCGAGAGATCTGAAATTGAGTACTCAGAGTCTTTACCTTGACTCGACTGTTCATAGCCTCTCATCATTGGGGAAAGTATAAGTGACTGAGGGAAATCCTTAGCTAAAGTCGGCCATACTCCGTTGTATGACGTATTATCATCTGGGAACCCATGCAAGAGGAATATGACAGAGGTGTATTCTCTTTTCAAAATGTCGCCATCCGACAAACTTGAAAGCGTAGTAAAGGTTCTTTTTCCATTGAAAAGTTTAACAGTAAACTGATTCATCACAATATGTAGATTAATTGAAGAGGTACAATGAACGATTATAAGTTGGATAGTCTTTCTAAATATATAGATGTACCTTCAGAATTTCGTAGCATGTGACATACAGGTGCTGTGAGGGGATCGGAGAGAGATGAACTTAACAATAGAATGATCTATAGAAGACTGCACAAGAAGACGAGACGAGAAGGTGTTACCTTTCTTTTCTCTTAGCCTAGTTTCATCCTCTAGAATAAACTTACTTTGCTTTCTCCTCTCTTCCGTTTATGATTAAGCATCCTGCAAGGGGAAGATATTTTTAAAGCAAAATTTTTTTTTCAGGCATGGAACCCAAATACTCGAAGTCAGATATGCATGTAATCAAACCGTGCGTAATCTTTAGTAGGGTTGCATAAAAAGTGCTTATCTCTAAATTCGTCGGAAAACAACCTTTTGAAACATGATTATCTCCCACGCCATTCCAGCAGAATTTTTAACAAATTGAAATAAGTCTTTAGTTATTGTTGATATACATTATCGTAGTCAGAAAATGGCAATTGGACCAATTAGATACGCAACTAAAGTAGATTTGACTATTCCTGGTGGTGAGCAAAAGCAATTGCACAATAGATGGCACCCTGACATCCCATCTTCAGCAAAAATTGCCCCAGGTGAAACGGTCAAAATCGAATGTTTAGAGTGGACAGGAAATCAAATTAAAAATACAGACAATGCTGATGATATTAGAAATGTTGATCTAACCAAAATCCATTACTTATCGGGACCCTTTGAAATTGAGGGTGCTGAGCCTGGCGATTGCTTGGTGGTTGAAATAAAGGACGTTCAACCCTTGGAAAGACAACCTTGGGGCTATTGTGGAGTATTTAACAAAGAAAATGGAGGTGGTTTCCTTGAGAGGTTCTACCCTGAGGCTGCCAAGGCTATTTTCGATTTTGAAGGTATCCATTGCACGTCGAGACATCTTCCACATGTCAGGTTTACCGGATTGATCCACCCAGGAATTATGGGCACCGCTCCTTCGCAAGAAATTTTAGATGAGTGGAACAGACGTGAAACTGAATTGGTGGTCAATGAACTGCACTTACATGGAACCACAGTAGCTCAATTGCCTGAACCTAGAAATGTCTTGCCGGGCCTGGCTACAGGTGATATTGCGGCTAAGATAGCCAAAGAAGGTGCAAGAACAATTCCTGGTAGGCCCGAACACGGAGGAAATTGTGACATTAAAAACCTTTCTAGGGGCTCTAAGGCATTTTTCCCAGTACATGTGAAGGGCGCAAAACTTTCCGTTGGTGATTTGCACTTTTCACAGGGTGATGGAGAAATCTCATTCTGTGGAGCTGTGGAAATGCCTGGGGTGATCACTATAAAAACCTCTATTATTAAAGATGGAGTTTCCAAGCTATCACTAAAATCACCTATGTTCATTGCAGGAGATGTTCCAAATCAATATGGTCCGTCTCGGTATCTTACATTCGAGGGATTCTCTGTCGATGAAGTAGGAAAACAGCACTTCCTCTGCACAACAACTGCTTACAGACAGGCTTGTATTAGGGCTATAGAATATTTGAGAAGATTTGGTTATAATGACTATCAGATTTACTTACTATTGAGTACTGCGCCCATTGAGGGCCATGTTGCAGGAGTAGTAGATATCCCCAATGCTTGTACCACCATCGGACTCCCTATGGATATCTTTGACTTTGACATCTCTCCTACATCCAAGTTCGCCAAGGGTGATTTAGATATGGGAAATTGTGCGTTTGTAACCGACTACAAACATAAATTAACTTATGACTTTAAATAATTGAACTTAGCTTATATCTCTCTGAATAATAAATATGCGACTCTTTTTAAAATATTTCCTATTTGGAAGATGCGTTTCCGCTGCCCATATCGTTCATTTCAATTGGTGGTTGAGGAACCTCTCCTCTTTCTTGTTGGTCGAGCATATTATCGAAGAACGTAGTTCTCAATTCCTTCCATCTCGTCATATAGGTCGACAACGTAACTAGTATTACTCCACTGAAAACCTGCAAACACCACCACAAGGTAGACGTTGGGAATTTTCCTGTATATAACCAAACCACGATTAAATTAATGATGTGAACAGTTATGGCAAAGTCCCATGCCAACTTGGATCTACCTACTATAATGGTTACAAATGCCACGCATAGCAAGGAGTCAAACAACCACAATATGAACAATGTCAACCCCATTGCATTTTCCGGCGAAATTAGTTCCCACAGAAAGATCCAGTCGATCTTAAAGTTGTAACCATTTAGCGAGGACACCAAGTAGAATATAACTAATGCAGTCAAGTAGTAGAAGCATTGTAGGATTACTATTTGAAATAATAACTTTGAAGGATTCGTTATGTCCGAAGATACGACTCCACTAAGGAGCTTGTAGCCACTATTGAATACCATCAGCCTTATATATGAGTACTGTTTGATGCCGTTTGCCTTTGCTTTTGCTTGTTGTAGAAACAATCCACTGGACTATTTTTATTTCACCGATACGCATATGGCACCCAGAGGTCACGTGGTTGGTTGCACATGTTATAGCCCCGAAGTATGCGCCTTAGGGGCCCTCCTCTCTAACTCCACTGCTATATTCTAGGGGGGTTCAATGTTCCTAGTCTTGTATGGGATATGACAATTTCATATCTCGGAAGTATGCGCCCCATGACCATACTCTCCGTTTGCTTTTATTTTACTTGTCATAGTTTTTCTACGCATATTTTTGTATGGGATATGTCTATTTCTATTATACATGCTAACCTTCCATTGCTTCAATATATTTTATGAAAACTTCCTCTTCCTTTTTTCATTTTGGCTCTTTCTTCACCGCTTTTATTTCTTTCCCTTTCCCTTCTTCTTGGTTGGTTGCGGTTTACTCATTCTATCGACTCTAGTCTTTTTATATGCCCTTTCACCCAGCTCCTTCTTGACTTCATTTGCCTTTCTCTTTCTAGAATTCACCTTCTTTCCGTGCTTCGTCAATTCTTGCATAACTGGAGTCTTGTGGGCCTTCTTCTCCTTCTCAGTTTCAAACCAGGTTCTTCTTGGTCTCAGAGAAATCTCCTTGGTGTGTTTCATCATGTTGTTTGCCTTGGTTAATTCCATTTCTGCTTGTAAGATTTCTTTAGCGGAAGCTTCTTCATCTAAAACCTCTTGAATAACTTCAGTCTTTGATTCGACGATTTTATTCAATTCTTCAACATCCTTCCAGTCGACGTTTCTGGAAATTGCCTTGTTACCGGTATCTCCTTCACTTAAAGATTTGATGGCATCCTTGACGATGTTTCTGTCTTGAGTAGATTCTCCTACAAATGTAATGGATTTACCCTCTCTACCAGCTCTGGCAGTTCTACCAACTCTATGCAAGTATACTTCGTGACTCTTTGGCATGTCGTAGTTGATAACGATCTCAATCTTTGGAATATCCAACCCTCTTGCAGCTAAATCAGTACAAATCAATACTGGAACAGTCAAACTTTTGAATTCACTAACACTCTGAAGACGTTGTTCTTGTGTTAAAGAACCATGCAATTCAGAAACCTTCATACCCAAAAGACCTAAGACAATTCTTAACTTGTGGGCAGTTTCCTTTCTAGCTACGAAGACAACTATTCTGTTCTGTTGCTTAGGATCAACATGCTTCAACAATTGGAATAATAATGCTGGCTTCAAATGCTCTCTCTTTCTAATACGAACAAACTCTTGTACTAATTTAGTTGCTGCTGTCTTGGGAGGATCAATCATGATTCTCACTGGCTTTTGCAAAGACAATTGAATCAAATCTTGAATCTTGGTGTTCATAGTTGCAGAAAACAACATGGTTTGTCTCTTATGCTTAGGGATCAAGGACAAGATTTCAGTCAATTCAGCCTGGAAACCCTCGTCCAACATTCTATCGGCTTCATCGATAACAAGAACTTCCAATGACTCTAAATTGAAACTAGGCGAGTTTCTAATATGGTCAATAAGTCTACCAGGGGTAGCAATGACAATATCTGGTCTGGTCTTCAACTGCTGCTCTTGTTGTCTCAAATTCAAACCACCAACTGCTAATCCAAAACTCAAGTTGTTGACGAATCTTCCAATTTTCTTACCAACATCACACACTTGAATGGACAATTCTCTGGTAGGAGTCAAGACAACCACTCTGGTAGACGAGATCTTTGCTGGTTTATATAATAATCTTTCAATGATAGGAATCATGTATGCAGCAGTCTTCCCGGAACCTGTTTGGGCTCCGGCAACTATATCCTTACCAAGTAAAGAGATGGGGATGGATGCCGATTGAATTGGTGACGGCTTGGAGTATCCCAACTGGGCTAAACCCTTCAATACAGGTCTGGATAATTGTAATGTTTGGAAAGTTTTGTGTGCCTGTTCTTTGGCAGTCTTGGCCTCTTCCTCATCAGCATAGAACTCTGCCATTTGTTCTGCAGTGTCTTCATCGTTTTCTTTTTCTTCTAAGTCTGAAGCTGGGTATTCTTCATCCATGTCTGCATCTACACCTTCTTCTTCTTCTTCAGCCTCTTCGGCGCTTGCATCATCTTCTTCGTCTTCTTCTTCGGCTCCCATTCCAAACCCGTCTAATGCTAACTCATCGTCTTCTCCACTTCCTTGTTCTCTTTCCTCTTCTCCTTCCTCTTCTTCTTCTTCTTCTTCTTCTTCCTCTTCTTCCTCTTGCTCTTCCTCTTCCGCTGCCTTACCACCTGCAATATTCACCAAACCACCCTTTCTTCTCAAAATTCCGTCCAAATCAACATCCTTTCTCGCCTGTTGAACTCCCTCACTCTCATTGGATGTGGTATTGAAATCCCATCCCTCAAAAGTGGTGGTTTCCATGTCGTCCACGGTGAATTTGAAGTCGGGATTAAGATCTTCGTGTTCTTCTATTTCTTGGGTAGCATTCTCTGGCAATTGCTTCTTATTTTTCTTACCATTTTTCTTCTTCTTTTCGACTTTTACTTCAACCTTTGCGTCTTCCTCTACATCTGAGTCTTCATCTAAATCAGGAACCACTTGCTCATTCTCAGAATCACTATCAATGGTCAAAACAAAGTCTTCTTTTGGCTTGGTTGCCTTCTTACTAGACTTGGTTATCTTCCTTGCCATTCCTTACTACAAATATCTATAAGACTGCTGAATCAAGTCTACAATCCTACCAAACTTAGAGGCATCTCTCTCTTCTCTTTTGAGATGAGATGAGTGAAAAATTGAGCCCCAAAAAAAAAAAAAAAAAAATCCGAGTACGTACTGTGGCACGTGATATTTAGCTCGTGACCTCATATCAACCTTATACTTCCACCTACAGTGACGTTTGATTATTAACATAATTCCCTGACTTATATATTAGTTATCTCTTTCGCTTAATACCTATGTATACTATATATACCAATAACCAAGAAGAGATTAATTTGCTTCATCTTGTTTACGTTTGCTTTGTTTGTGTCTTTTTTTTTCCTTTTTGTTGCTTTTCATTTCTCTCCTTCATCTCTTATTCGTCTTCAACTTACTTATAGTAAAACCCATCTGTTGTCACACTAACCAACTCATCCAAGTCGTAGAACTCCTCTTCATCGTCATCGTCTTCAGAATCTTCCAATAGCTTGGTATCGAAGTTCAATTCTCCTCCAATTTTTTGATCTTCAAGACTTAACAATTGGGCATTTCTTCTGATATCAACCAATGACTGAATTTGCTTTTCAGTCTCGTCAGAAAGTTGACCGGGTTTGATCATCCCCTTCAACATCTTTAACCCATCAAGCCAGACGTACTTATTGACCTCCGTGTCGGTGTAGAAGGATAAAAGTTTCCTGTTATTGTCTCCTATGAGGGTAATCTTTTCATATGAAATTGTTCCCTTTACGGTGACTACTTGTTGAGGTTTAGCCTCTGCAACACCGCTGACAGCTGCATGGTGGTTTAATCCACTTCCGAATCCCCCATTAGCCAGTCCATTGCCATTACTGGTTGACCCATTGGTAGACAGAGCACCCGAACCACCTAAGTGGTCTCCTAACTTGGTACTTCTAAAATCAACAATATCCATTAATCTAATAGATTGATTTTCCAACTCTTCGTATGACGGATTTACTAAAGTTTTCTCATTGTACTCTTTGTAGTAAACGTACTTTCTATTTGGAGATAAAGTTATGAAGTAGTACTTATTAGCATTTTGCAGTTTGAAGTTTGTCATGGAATTCACTTTCAACATCTGTTCACCGTGACTTTCAGTGTGGACCCAAGATCCCTTTAACAATTGAATTACTCTCTGTTCACAAACAAAATCCATAACTTCTTGGTTTAAGTCTCTGTTAAATTCATTGAATTGAGATTTCCATAATCTCTCGTGTTCTTGCTTCAATTTCATTATTTGTCTATGTCTTAACTCGTAAGAAGAGGAATGGTTGGTTATGTCTAAACATTCTTCAACAGTTTTCTTTCCGGAAATCATATCACTTTCAACGTTATCAATTTGACTTTCTAACAATTGCAAAATTCTGTCAACGTCATTTGAATCTTCCAATTGAGCCCTTGTATCCTGCCATAATATAAGACAGTTATTCATAGTATAGTAAATCATCAATTCCCAACTTAAAATATTTTCATAAATACCTGGATGTTCTTCTGTTTGATGGAAAACTTTGATCCACAAGTCAGTAACTTTACCGATGAATAAATACAAGGGGAAAGTTCTATTATGGTTACTCATCATTAACTCTTCGTGGAATCTCTTTTTGAAAGTGATATTTGGGTCCTTAAGGAAAATCTTCAAATCCATAGCTAACAAAACGGTAAAATTATCAACTACAAACTTCCTAGGATCTGCCGTGAAACCGGCCTTAACGTACTCTTCTGTGGTTGCCACGGTACCGAATTCGTTAAGAGAAATTTCCAAAAAGATGAATAAGTTATTCAACATAACTTGATGCGATTTAATCGATAAATCAAAGTGTGTCTTAGAGAGGAAATCGTTTAAGTTGTAGTATGAAATTTTCAAAAGAAGTATTCCGTCTAAAATACTTCTGTCATCGGTATCAATTAAGTTACCAACTGTGGAGAAAAAGGCAACATGCTTCAATCTACCAGCCAAGGTGATAATACCGTTATATTCGTGCTTCAATGCCTTGTTAATTAAATCAGTCACCAATTTTATAGAATTGTAAGTGATCTTGTTATCTTGCAAATATAATTTTTGAGTCATAATATCCAAAACATCTAAGTATTCAATTAAACATTCATACAATGGTAAATACTTGTCAATTGACACTGACATGTTCTCATCGTCTCTCGTTTTGAAAATAGTGCCGGAAATCAATATCACGGCAATTTTCAAAATGGCCTTATACGTTTCGGTAGACATATTAGGCGAAACGATAGAGAAGAGGGTAGAGAACAAAGTGTGATCAAGAACTCTGGTAAAATCGTTCAGAACGGCATCTCCGCCAACTATACAGTCAAGCAACTTAGCCAAAACGACAATCAGATTCACTTTTTCCTGCTTATCCTTCCCGAGAATGTTTGTTTTGAGGACTGTTGCATAATTGATCGCAGTTGGCGCGTCGAGCTTATTTTTGGAGATATTGTCTATAAGGTTATGTTAGTATACAAGATGAGTAAGGAGAACAGATTGGGCCCACATACTGCCCTCATACAAAAAAACGAAAATGCTGAGATACTAAGTTTTTCAGCCAATGGAACTTAAACAAAAATAATGCTAGGAACCCCAGTTCAAAAAATTATGACTAAAGATATAACCACACAGCGATCTAGTAATGCACTATTAACCGCTCGTTTCTTCCCCTGATACTAGTTTTCGATCCGAAATCCAATATCTGGCTCAATTTACGTGTTCTTCGCCATTTTCCTCATTTTCGTGCTACTTCTTCGCTAATTCCCATAAATTTACACGTCAATCAATTTTCCCAAAAGTGGTGGAAATCAAAAATTGTTCATCTGCCCTTATCTATCCGTTATACATACTTTTACTTAACAAATCATTAAGCTTGTGATTAATGGTTCTAGATGAATCGGCCATCTTATCGGTACGGTCTTCTTATTCAAAAACTTCAAGTTAAGCTGAAAAAAAAAAAAAAACACTAAGAAACTGAACAACGTTTAAAAATTATTCAATCGACTTAGGTGGAAGTAGGAGGTTGTGCCCTGTAGAATTGAAAAACTCGAACGTTTTAAGTAAAAACCTCGTCAAAATTTCCTGAAAATTTTACTTTTGTGCCGACAAAACTTATTGTTTAATCTAGACCAAAAAAAAAAAAAAGGAAGAAACTACTCAAGAAACTAAGATTAAGGTTAAAGAAGAAATTTCAAAATCAATGAAAATTTTCAATTATATATATACGTGTACGTTAACTGAGTTAGAGATGTTGATTTATTACACAATTTCGAGGATTTTTTGAAAAATTATCATACATGTACCGAAAACGTATAAACTCGCCTTTGAGGCGGAGATTGACATTTTAAAGTGCGAAGAATATAGTCGGGGATTTTTGTTAACCTTCGCCGCGCAGACCCCCAATAGAGCCTAAGTACACAGTTTAGAAGGAGAGAAGGCTGGGGCAAAAAAAAAAATAGAAGAGATAGTACTAGTTGTACTTGAGCTGCGAAAGATACCAACATATGCGTACCGGACCCTCCCTAACTCTTTATGGACAGATTTATCTTGACGTATTTTCCCAGACCACCACCCTCATCAGTCCCTCTCGCTTAACCCTTTGCTCAACTTTTTTTAAAAAATATGTAGCGGTATATTATCAGTGTGGAATAGCACTCACTATCAATGCCCAAAGCCCTGTTTTCCAATTTCAGCCAATCTGGATTGATCTCCTCAAAAATATAAGCTTTTCTATTTCCCTTAATTCATTTTTGCACTACGCAGTAGTTGAACAAAAGAATAGTGGGGCAAGGAGATTTAGTTGGTTTAGCCTGTGCCCTTTGACGCATCTAATATGATGTCCGTTTTCGTATCATGCGCGTCCTCGCCTAGAGGTTCAAAAGGGGAAAAATCTAGTGAAATATTGTACGCATCTTTGCCTGTTGAAGCGTTGGGGTTAGTCTTGAATGGTGTTATGTGTGTCTATCTACAGTTGACGACTATCATTTCGCCATATTGTGTTTGGGTTTACTACCGTTCATTTCTTCTTTAGTTTTATGAATATTTTTTATTTTCCCACGTTTAGGCTTTTTTTATCCTCCGTACTTATTGGCTTGCGGGATAGCTGTTGAAATTGATTTACGACAATGTCGATGCAGGCAATGCTACGTAATAAGGTAATGTTATTTCTAAATGGATGCGGGAAGCAAAAGGAAGTAAAGTAACTTACGTTTGCCTTGGTAGGAGCAAAGTGGAACCTGTTGCGAAGGAATACTTAGGCCAAAGAAGGACTACTTATAGTCTAGCGCAAATCTCGTATACCAGCGAATTAAACCATTTTTCATGTTTTTATATTATCTGGAGCTGCCGTTAGGTTGATCTAGTATCGGAATGTTTCATTAAAGTTCGTAAAACAACACTTAAGATGGGTATTACCTCCCATGCGTCTAGTGTTTTCATTTTCTTCAATATACTTACCGATATGTCTCTGTGCGTACTCTTCCTCCCCAAAAATATATACGAAGCACATATGCATTATTTTAATGCATGCTATTAGTCCCAAAGGAGAAGGGGAACGAAAAATATTTTTGCAAGCATATATAGAACAATATGTGGAACTCTGTTTATGTATTTCTCGTACGGTCATAGATAAAAGCTCACCTTTTGACGACGATACTATTCTTTTCTGAAATGCAAACTTCGCAACCTGACTACGTTGAAGCTTTTCACATTAAACGCGCCGATTATAGACTGAATGTGTGTTTGAATTTCCTGCTTGGCTGATTTTCGGTACCAAAATTGGAAATCTCAATTGTAAATGCGTCAACCATAAAAGTATAGACGAGAAGAGCCATGCATACACCAAAGTAAGCTCTGGGCGTACAGGTATATCTCAAGTAAAATGCAACTTTTTCACTAATGTTATTTTTGTTACTATATAGTCCTTATACAAGTTCATCTCATCGACTTTCGTTTCCATAGAACATATGTCGTTGGTGGCTTTGGAAAATCACGGTTAAAATATCCCAAAAACATTTCAATTACGAAGGGTGTAGTGTAACCCAATCTTTGGCATATAAATTTAGGTTATACAGATTACTGTCTACCTCATTTCTGATATATCTGAGAATTAGGGCCATAATATTTACAATGGATATCTATTTACGTTACTTTAGTAGATAGTAAATTAGTTTTTCAGTTAACACCTGCACACCCGAACTAATTCTTTTGTTGGAGCTGCCAACTATAGACCAAAGGTATACAACTGTTATTCAATTACGATGAACTAGAAGTTTCGAATATACTACAATGATGGCAAACAGACAACAATTTTGTTTATTTTTGGCTTTAAGGATTTTTTTGGTTCCAGAAAACTCAACAAGGCTGCTTTTCTTCAATTTTTGAACCACCTCAACCACACCTCGTCATTGAGTGGCCTCGTTGTGTAAGAGTCCACCATACACATTTTTTCTTCGTCAGTAGCGTTTGCGCCAGCTTTCCAACCACCAACTTCAATTGGGTTTGCTGCAGTATCTTTATCTCCAACCTTGCTTCCATTTGCTGGCGTAATAGTACACCAGTCTGGACTAATCTCTGAGTGGAAATTGTAGTAAAGATTTGCAATTGCCAATTTCATCTCAATAACCGCCAAATTCATTCCCAAACACATTCTAATTCCCTTACCGAAAGGCATCATGTATTTTTGCTGAGCTATCATTCTCTGTTTGTAATCAAAATCTGACTCCTGTTCGAACTGCAACCATCTCTCGGGGATAAAACAATTGGGGTTAGGAAATACGCTCTCCTGTCTGTGGACAGCGTACGGTTGGCATGATATCACTGTACCTTCAGGTATAACCAAGGAGGTCCCCTTCTTCTCATCTACAACTGGATATGCTTTACTTGTTACCCTTGGTTCAGATCCAGGAATGGAAGTATGAATTCTGGAATTTTCTTGAAATATAGCATCAAGAAATTTTAGGCTTTCGACCGTTTCTAAATCATCAATAATATCGTAAGAGTCTCCAGATTTCTCTCCAAATGTATCTTTCAACTCTTTTACAAGTCTAGCTTGTATGTGTGCATTGCTGGGACGTGATAACTCATAAGTTAAGTAAGCCAATTGAATGGCAGTCGTCTCGTGCCCGGCAAAAATATTATCACTCAAAAAACTGTACGCATCCTTGCCAAAGAACCCATTCTTCTTTAGAGTGGCCAACGAACATAGATTCGTGTACTTTTCATCATCGTCGCTTCTCTTTGTCTCGGCCTTCTCTGCGTTTGCATACAATTCCATTTGCCATGACTCTACGGTTGCAGAAGCCTCCAAGATTTCCTTGGTGGCAGCCCAATCCCACCATCTGGGCATTAAGGTCGTCCAGAATCCCATACCGGCCTGTAACCTATGTGAAACGATAATGTGTCTATCCTCAGGATGTAACAATAGGTCAGTTCCATTTTCAGTTCCTAATTCGAAGGCCAGCACTACATCCATCGCAAGACTTGCGAATAGAGAGTAAACATCGATTCCTAAATTTGTCTTTGATGAAGTATCGAGCCAGGCACCATCATCTTTCAATAAATGGCCCTTACCAAACTCATTGTGTTCCGACTTGGCGTTAATGTAGTCTGGTTTCTCTCCGGTAACCGAAGAAATGTACACTTGATCTACTAGCTGACTAACCTTTTCCCTTAACATTGATCTGGTAGAGTTACTTGTCGAGTAAAGAGTGCTCTTCTGGTAAAGCGGCATCAAGATCTTCTTATATTTCAAATGACGGTCGTTCTCTAAAGATGCAAAGATATTATCTCTGAATCCATGATTCCTGAAGTTTTCGTAGAATTTCAGCTTGGGAAAGTTTCTCACGTAGATATCTTGAACGTACTTGAAGTCTCCATTGACGCTGACCTCCTCCGGTGAGATCACAACAACATTTCCGTACTTTTTGTGGAGATCATACACCGTGTTTATCCACCTATTAGTTCTCTGGCCATTCAAGGCACGGAACTTGCTTATACGGAATAAATAGGGCCCTGGGATACTTCTTAGCGGAGAAATAAAGAACGGGTATATCGCAAGGTAGTAAGCCCCAGCGCAAGCAAGCGCAATTGCAATGGAAGTCTTTGGACTTTCCGATATGAATATGGAAACGCCTATGAGAATATCAGCCAACATGCTTACCCCAAGTTGTAGTACGCAGCTAGATCTGAAGTATATTTTAAGCTGCTATGGCTATAACGTTAGAATCTCGATAGGGAGTGCTACAGCTGCTCTGAAACCTGAATGCCACTTTTCAACAGCTGGCTTTGAATCAATATAAACTGAACTGAACTGAGCTGATGTAATTGTTATCGCGCGGAATTCGATAAGAAATGATCCACCCACTCCGAAGCCTAGGTGACTATTTAACAGCGTAGAAAAACCTGCTCCGAAAAAAAAGAACTTAAAAAGCAAGCTGCAAGCACCAATATTCCGAAGCTGCGGTGGCTAGATACTTAAATAGGTATAACACCGTGTATCTTATGGCGTCAGACGATTTTCTTCTTATCGGTGGAAGCCTGTTCCAATTTCCACATTGGTATTCCGCTCTGAATTCCGCGTTCTCTTGAACTAAATTATATGCAAGACACGGAATTGACTACCTTGCCAGTAAGTATAATTCCGTCTACGTTTATAGGTTGCACATCGATGTTCCAGGTATACTCCCCACAGTTGGTAAATAAACAAAATACTACACTAGAAGAATGGAGGGCTGGGTGCACGAAGTTTCTTATCGCACTCTCTCAAAATTCGGATATGCATTTGGAATAACTTAGGTGCATCTGGCCCAACTTAGGGGAATTGGGAGCTATCTATCATTAGAGGTCCTGCGTCCAATGTTCGCAGCGGGTATTCTAGAATGAAACACTGGGGTGCTGGGTCTCCGCTGGGATCCACCTACTGGCACATTGAACCGGTGCGCGCATCAAAGCAGTTAGACTTTTATGTAGGGCCCTGCAGATTCTTACTCTAGTTCGTTTCGCTAGTTCACTTGCACCTCGCTCCTCTCCTATCTATAGACTGCTGGTGCGAGGTGAAGGCACGATCCTCTGCAGTCCAGATCATGTTCCGGGGCGCCATCTGATGCCATTGAATACCTCAGCATACTAGAAATACCATTAGTACTAGTGTGCCTCGATTTATTCTACTTCCAACGAAACATCTAGAAGATACACACAACGCACCGAACCTTATCGTGCTCCCCTCCTCGAAGGAATGCTCCCTTCCACCACCACCTCTGAACTGTTCTTGGTTTGCTGCCCACTCCCCTCCTTTATAACCCGCTTCAGGCTTCACTTTCTCCTGCATGCACGCACGGATCCATCTTTCGATTATATGCACGCCGTACATGAAATCTATACCGCTGGGCTATTTTTGTCACATTAGCCAGAGCTAGCCAGTCTTCCCTTAGCTTCCGGTGAGGAGTTATCCCACAAAGTGCAACAGTCAAAATCCACGAGTGGGACACAAGTACCATCCGGTCCTAACACAAAGGCGAAGTTTAGCTAGTACCTTACCGAGCACACACACCAAGCGTAGCACCTCTTTCTCTCCCTCACCTGGTGGAGCCGGCCCCAGAGAGTTCCCCTTTTAAATTCGCACTCTGGTTTTGTCTTATTTTTTTTTTTTTTTTTTTTTTATTTTATTTTCTGTCCTTCCTTTTAGGTCAAAGAAAAAATATATTTGACAAAAAAATTGACAAAAATTATCGACCTGTCATTGTAACTCATCTTCAAAGGACGTTAACACTCATCAAGAGTCTATCTCTGTAGCAAGTGATGAGCTTTCTTAGACGTGACAAGTCACGCAGTAACATGAAACTAAACATGAGCACAGCTGCGGGCCAGCTTGAGCCTACAACTTCATACCCGGCGGAGACTCCTTTATCACCCACCAACATGAGCTACACTAGCGACAAGCGAGGGGAGGTGGACCGAGCAGGACTGCCGAAACCACTTCCAGAAATCAATGAAGCAGACAATTCGTCGGGCTCTTCGTCTACAAAGCCTCACTTCAACACCTCGTACAATGAATCGAGCGGGGCCAATTCGACTCTTGACCTCGAACAGTTGAGTAACTACTTGCGAAAGCTGGCTAGCGCTGAGAGCGGTGCCGGTAGTAGTGAGATGGGCGATGGCGATGGCAATGGCAATGGCAATGGGTTAAACAGACCAAACACTGCTGGAAGAAGGTCCAACACCTCACCAGAGAACCTCTACAGCCCCCGTCTGTCAATTGTAGCAGCTAACTCCTCGATGGAAACGCCAATGCTGACCACTTCTTCGGTCAACTCCAACGATGGAGTGCACTCGCAGTTAAAGGACAACTACAAGGGGTTCCATGCTAACCACAGGGGTAAGAGTGTGGTGAATGTGCCGCCGTTGACACAGCCAATTAAGCCGAGGTTCAAGAAGAAGAGTGGGTCTCTTTTGGGAAAGCTTATATACTCTAGCAGGCGTGACTCGGAGAACCCTGCGGGATCTTCTACAGACCACCACGAAGACACAGCAGCAAACAACCACAGGCTGTCTTCGTTGTCGATACCTGTGTCGCTGCAGAACTCAACAAGGTCGTCGTCCATAGGCACCACGGGCACCTCGCTCAGCTTCAACCCACAGAGAAGAAGCACCTCGTCGTCCACCGGGTCGTCGTCATCAGCATCTCACAAGCATAAGTTTAGGATTCCATCTCTTTCCTTAGATCACCATGGTGGTGCTCTGCAAGGAGGTCTGGTGTCATCCGCCTCAGGCGTGGGCCATAATAACGATACCTTAAACTTGCTGTCTCACCACTCACGAAATCTGCTTCAACCATCTTTGGGATCTGGGAATCTGGATCTGCTGCTGCGTCTGCCGGGCCTGGTACTGGAGATGACTGTCCCAGAGACTGTGCCAGAGGCTCCTGAAAAGATAGGAAGCACGTTTGATCTCGACGTGAATGAAATGCATGGGATTGTTAAGTCCCCCGTTATTGGAAATAACAACTCCAATGAGTTGCCCAACATTTCGGCAAAGTCCTCGAATACGAGACCTCTGATTACTGATATCATGGGTGATGACGATGACACCGCATTGGGATCGGGCAGAACACAATCGTCTACTTCTTTGAGTTCCGAAGCCAATGGCGGCCGGAAGCCGCTCTTACCATCCCACTCCAGCCTGGCCTTTGCGTTTGACAATGCACACAGTCTGGTAGGAAAGGCGGCCTGGAAGGCACCGGACAGTTGGGATGTTAAATTTGATGCCAAACCCATGGATCCTAATGCAGAAGCTAATGATTTGAAGGATGGCGAAGACGATGACGACGATGGTGCCTCACATTGTTCTTCGGAGTCAACTTTTCTGTACTCAAGTGAAGAACCTACTGAGATTATAGACGAAAATAAGATACAGCTGCATGAGCATCACCATCATCACCACCATCACCACCAACATCGTCACCACAACCAACTGAAAGCCAAGGAAGCATCAAACTCCATATCCACAACGAGGACAAATTTACCTGTTCTCTACGGTTCAAGACACTTATCGCACATCGTACAACCTGGTATGATTGATACCAATGCTAATAACGTACTCCATTCATTCCCAGTCAAGGGACCAAATCACATTGTAAGAATCTTCAAGCAGGACAATACTTTCACCACAATTTTATGCCCTCTTGAGACTACAACAGCTGAATTGTTGACTATTGTGCAAAGGAAGTTTTTCTTGGAGTCAGTGGCCAACTATCAAATTTCAGTTCATATTGGAAATTGTGTAAAAGTCTTGGAATCCTTTGAAAAGCCTCTCAAAATCCAAATGGGCTTGCTTTTACTAAGTGGATACTCCATTAACGATAACTTAGATAAAATCGGTAGAGAAGATTTATCTTTCGTATGTAAATTTGTATTGGAGGATATTTATCTTAGAAATTTGACACACGAAGAAGAAACAATACTTTCCAAGGACTATGTCGAGGTCAACATTAGTGGATTAAATTTGAAGAATATTCCTATTATATTTCATCAACATACCTACGAAATTGAAAAATTGAATGTGGCAGATAATCCATCCATTTACATTCCTTTGGATTTCATTCAGTCTTGTAACAATTTGACATCCATAATCTTTTCCAGAAATGGCTGTTCCAAGTTCCCAATGAATTTCTTGGAAGCTAAAAAGTTAACTCAATTAGATATGCAAAAGAATTTCTTAGATGAATTACCTTCGAAATTTGGTAACCATTTGAAGAACTTGACCCACTTAAAATTGAATAGTAATCAATTGAGCACTTTGCCCAAGTCATTTGGAAAATTGAAGAACTTGGTCAGTCTTAACTTAAGTTCAAATTACTTTAATAGTTACCCTGAAGCTGTCAGTGAATTAATTAACTTGGCTGATTTAGATTTGTCGTATAACGACTTATCTGTATTACCAGATTCTATCAGTAAATTACAAAACTTGGCCAAGTTAAATTTGTGTACCAACAAATTAGAAAAATCCTTACCGGAATTTTTCACAAATTTTAAGTCGTTGAAGAGATTGGACATTAGATACAACCAGATATCTAACATTGATGTTCTTGGTACTTTACCCAGCTTGGAAGTTGCTTATGCTTCTAAGAATAACATTTCGGGCTTCAGTGACAGAATGGAGAATTTGAGACTTTTACATTTTGACAGAAACCCAATTACCGATTTACAATTTGAAAATTTATTACCTATTTTAACTGTATTAGATTTATCTAAGGCAAAGATTACTAGTGTCCCTCCAGAATTCATTAAAAAGATTCCAAACATTGAAAAATTAGTATTGGATAAGAACCATTTGGTTACATTACCAGATGAGTTGGGAGATTTACCTAAATTGGCGTTTTTGTCTCTTTATGGTAATAACTTGCAAGTGTTGCCAAGTACCATCGGTCATTTGACATCTTTGCAGTCTTTGGATTTACATTCTAATAACTTACAGTCCTTACCTAATGAAATCTGGAATTTGAAATCCTTAACAGTTTTGAATGTGTCAAGTAACATGTTAACCAATTTTCCGAAGCCTCCATTATCCGTTGCTAAGAGAATTTCTCTGTCTATCAATTTTAAATCACTAATTTCAGAAGCTACAGGTGGGCCAGTTGCTGATTCAAGAAGAGGTAGTGTGACTACTTCTTCAAGCGCTAGTACACCTAGAACACCTTCGGATGAATTGGATGGAGCAGATGGTTACATACAATCAGGACCTGGGGGAGTAGGCTTATCATCGCAGTCACAATCACTTGCTGATAGCTTGACGGTTCTTACTTTAGCTGATAATCGTCTCAATGATGAATGCTTCGAATCTATTTCATTTTTGGTTGAATTGAAGTCACTTAACCTTTCCTACAATTTCCTTTTAGAAATTCCTGAAGGTGCAGTTGGACGTATGACTAAGTTGGCGGAAATTTTCCTTTCAGGGAATGAACTCACTTCTTTACCAACCGATGATTTGGAGAACATGAAATCATTAAGATTGCTTCACTTAAACAACAATAAATTAGTGTCGTTGCCTGCGGAGTTGAGCAAAATCCCCAATTTACAAACTTTAGATGTTGGTAGTAACCAATTGAAATACAATATCTCAAATTGGCCGTATGATTGGAATTGGCAATGGAACAAGGCATTGAAATACTTGAACTTTAGTGGGAACAAGAGATTCGAGATTAAGCAAAGTCATATTAAGAATCCCGAAACTGGAGAAGATTTTGATAGTTTATTGGTTCTAAAAAATTTGAAGGTCTTAGGTTTGATTGATGTTACCTTGACTACTTCATCAGTACCGGATCAAAACAGTGAAATGAGAATTAGGACGACTGCATCTGAATTAGAGAATATTGGGTACGGTGTTTCAGATTCTATGGGTATGAGAGATATTGTCTCTTCTAGAGATATTTTCATTCAAAAATTCAGAGGAAATGAAAACGAAGTTTTAATATTCTCTGTGGATGGAAAGTTAGGCTCAACTCAAATGGGACACAGAATATCATCTGTTGCTAAATCAGTATTTGTACCAAATTTCACTGAAGAATTGAACAAGTTAAAGTCTACCGACACTGTTCAAGATGCTATAAGGAGAGCATTTTTGTCAATGAATAAGGAAATTAACGGTTATTTATCGGCTCAGAAAAATCTCTCGGAAAGTGCTCCATCAACTGCTGCTCCTGTAGCTACAAAATTTGAATCTTTGAGGTCTTTAGATCTTAGAGACGATGGCTTTTCTGGTGCATCTGTTACAGTCGTATACATCAAAGATAAAAAATTATACACTGCAAATATTGGTGACATTGAAGCTTTATTGTGTAGAAATAATGGTGACCATGTTTTATTGACAAATAAGCATGATCCAACCAATAGAAGTGAATTCGAAAGGATCAGAGCACTGGGAGGTTACGTTTCGGGAGATGGTGCTTTGGATGGAGAATTACCTATTTCAAGAGGGGTTGGGTTCTTCAACTATTTACCTCATACTCATTCTGGTCCTGATGTATCTGAATATGAAGTCTCCAATTCAAGCGGCAGTGGAGGAATTAATGATATGATAATCATTGGTACCAAAGTATTATGGGATTACATTACATATGAATTGGCTGTTGATATATTGAGAGAGGAAAAAGATGATCCAATGAGGGCAGCTCAAAAGTTAAGAGATTATGCGATTTGTTATGGAGCTACAGACAAGATTAATGTCATGGTTATTACATTGGGTGAAAATCAAAAATCCAACCAATTAAATAACTTAATGAGACTGAAGTATTCCAATAACAATAACCTTTATAGCAATATGTTGAAGGATGGCTCAGAAATGTACAATCCTACTGCAAAGAAGAGAAGAGATAGGAACCAACAAGCCGGAGATTCTACCCTTAGAAGATTGGAAGATGAAATCGACCCTCCTATAGGAGAAATTGCGTTAGTGTTCACTGATATTAAGAATTCAACATTACTCTGGGATACCTATCCCGTTGCTATGAGATCTGCAATCAAAATTCATAATCAAATCATGAGACGACAATTAAGACTTGTTGGAGGTTATGAAGTCAAGACAGAAGGTGATGCATTTATGGTTTCTTTTCCTTCGCCTTCACTGGCTTTATTATGGTGTTTCAACGTTCAACAACAATTGATAGTGGCAGACTGGCCAACAGAAATATTAGATACTGAAACTTGCTGCGAAATTACTGATTCCAATGAAAATATGATTTACAGAGGTATATCAGTTCGTATGGGTATTCACTGGGGTTCTCCAGTGTATGAATTAGATGTGGTCACAAGAAGAATGGATTACTTTGGACCAATGGTTAATAGAACGTCAAGAGTCAATGCTGTGGCTGATGGTGGACAGATTGCTGTGTCGTCTGATTTTTTGGACGAGATTAAAGGATTGAACAAGATTCACCAAGATATCCGTGCTGGAAAAATAACATTGCAAGAAGCTTATCTGGGCAATGTGAAAGTGGGAGAGGTTATTGAAAGAGAATTGTCTCAATTGGATGAGATCGGATGTGCTTTTTTCGAAATTGGTGAGCGTAAATTGAAGGGTTTGGAAATTCCAGAGTTAATTACATTGGCATACCCTGAAAAATTGAAGGTTAGATATGAAATTTATGTTAACAATAAGAGAATGCTAGAAGAGGCCGAGGAAAATGGAGAAGAGGCGGTGGCCGGTAAGCATTTGGTAGGTGGTGAAACAGGATCAAGATTGGTCGGATCTATTCCTGTGGAATGTATATATGGATTAAGACTGATTTCGTTGAGGTTAGAAAATATTGCAATCTTCTTGAGTGAAGGATTACCTCCAAATGACACATTCAAGGACACATCTTCGTCCAAAATTTCTGAAGCCATATCATTCAAAGAAGCTGATATGGTGGGAATGCTTAACCATATTGTATCTAGAATTGAAAACAACGTGGCGTTGGTTCACTTGAGACAAGAGATGGATAAGATAAAGGGTGGAACTGGAAGAATTTCAGATTGTGAAAGTGGTGCTGTTTGGGATGTTATTTCTGAAATGGCAGCAATGTTGAATGAATTAAAGAAGCTTCAGTAGTCAAGACTCAATGAAGCAAAAGCAAGCAAAAAAGGAAGGAGATGATTTTAGGAGGATATATAAAAGTTTATGAAGCGGTCGTTTTCTATTCTTATAAAAAGTAGATGTATGATAACACGATAGCCTACTATATCATGTAGTACGTAGGATTTCAGCGCATATTCTCTTCGGTGACGTTCATCATTAATGTTTGACCCACCGAACAAGCAGTCCTTTAACTAGAACAGTGAGCTTAGAGAGTGATTGGAATGTAAATAAGAGGGAAGCAACTTTAATGTACACCACGATACCTGGTTTACGACACTGGGCTTTCCAGATGCTACAAGGGTAAAGGCTTTCCTCGACTTCGAAGAGAAGAAATGGGTAGTAGCATGATGGCTGTGATAAGTAGAAGAGGCTTTGGCAGGGCTCAGAGAGCAGGGTACTGCACCCCATGGAAAGGGGAGCCACGATTCTCATACTGGATTCTTGAAGAGAAAACGGTGCAGCACAAACCGTACTGAAAGCCGTCCTGTACACACAATAATGCAACTTCTTGGGGGCCATTAGGCGGCATTTCAACTCACGACGTGTGTGCTTTGTAGTATCCTCTGACCACATCCTACAAGGAATGCCGGTGCAGGGCCCTTGGGGCTCGGCTGGTGACGACTTGATCGGAAAATTTCGCTACACCAAGCAGAACTATCCTTTTAATCTACAGAGCCCTGCTTTCTCGAAATATACACCACATACTAGTGAACTTAGTCCAGTCAGCCCATACCCCAACCCGAGTCCTCTAGCACTAAACTCTGCAGCCTTTTATATGCAAGACCTCTTGATGATCTCGCCTAATAATTTTTCAAAACCGCCTTATATGCAGTACATATGATTACCAGCTTGGACAGCGCTCGAGGACCACACAACACAAGTGGTCACACTGTGGATAAAGAACACCTGTGGAGTCAAAGCGCTCTTGCTTGTGTTGAAAAATAAGTATGTCTTCAGTAGGATTGGATTCGCCGGCATCAATAGCTCGCCAGAGCGATTCTACGGTAGACTTAAATCCTAGCGTTTTGTCTTTAAGCAACAAAGGTGGCTTTTCGAAAGACGGTACACCTCCGGTTGGCGGCTCTGATGTGAACCTCAATGTGAGGTCAACGCCGTTAATAAGGGAAGCCCAGTATGGGCAGAACATTGGTTTAAGATCTAAGGCACAAGTTGACTCATGGGCGGACAAGACGTTTCCAATCGGTGGACCTGACTTGATCCACTGCGGGAACTACCATGGGATCAGATCATCTCAATATTTGGACCACGACTTTGGGCAAGGATCAAATGGAGGCATATTCACGGGAATTGAAGACCCCTTGTCGTCTCCGGGTAAGAGAAGCGACGACGGGTACGTAGGATACTATCATTATGCCAATGGTGTTGACGTCTCCAGCGAGAGCAACATTGAGAACTACATCTGTAAATTAGTTGGTCTCGAGAAGACGGGACTTAATGAGTACAAGAAGGTAGATGAAGATATAATAATCCAGAGACATAGCCAGCGCATGACCATGAAGTCTAGGAAAGCCAGCTCGTCTACTGGGGGTCCCACGTCGCCCTCTTCGTCGCCGTTGTCCTCAGCAGCGTCCACCACCACTTCATCAAATTTCAATTCTATTTCCTCTTCGAGTAAGAGGGAAATCCTCATCACCTACTGTACTTATAACATATTCAATAAATCAGACTTCCGAGCACGTTACGTGATAAACTTGTCAAAACCTATTCGAATTGATAAGTCTTTTCAAATAATCAACGCCAACAAAAAGACCCACCTGTTCAATTCCGAAACCATTTCAACCAACTTGGTCCCTCAGTATTGGGAGGAGTTGAGAGCCTCTCAATTGGTAAGATTGTTTGCTGACCTTGACGATCCATCTAGACAATTGGCTGGACTAGTGAGTTTTCCAGACTTGCTCCAGACCCAACAACAGTATTTCCAGTCTATAAAAACTTTAATCAAGTTCTTGCCCAAGGGTGCCATGACTGATGTCAAGAAACAACATGGGTTCTCTAGTGGCTGGGGTGATAAAAGAGAAGGTTACAGTAAAACTGTGCTGTATAAAAATTATCTTATAGACGCCTTACTTAGACTATGCCATATGGATGGAGGTAAAGGCTGCCAGGTTGCATTGGACGAAATAGAAAGATTGTATCCGGCTAGTAATGAATGGGACTATGTGATACTACAAATATTAAAACTACAAACTGGAGTAAATAATGAGCAAAAATTCATACGTTTGATCCATAAACACATTTCTAGTTCACCACCTTCCACCCAGCAAACACTTGTACTACTCGAGCAAGTCAAATTTTTACTCAACAAGGAAAAATATGCAATGGCTTTAGATATTGCAGAGAAATGCATTAAACAATTACCCTTGGACTTTGATTGCTGGTTCATACTTGCATTATGTTATCTACTCAATTCACAATTTGAAAGAGCCCTAAGCATCATAAATTCGTTACCCGTGGTATTGGTACATAAGCATAGAAATAGTGACAGTGATAAGATATCCGGAATCCCGGATTTATTCACAAACACTTTCATTAATAGACTAAACGAAAATTATGAAGAGGTAATATCGGAAAGAGCGTTCGTCGAATACTTCCCGAAACCTGTGGTGCCCGCAAGCCAATACCAACGATTCAATATCAACGGGAACAAGGGGAGTGCCAGCGGGCAAAGGAGATTTGTTGACCAAGGGTCAATTAATAAAATGTGGAACGAATTATTTGTCTTTGATCCAAGCACGAGGCATCCAATTACCGGGAACCAATTTTACCAATCACCACTCATGAACGCTAGTGCTAAAGAATTATCATCTGTAGACCCAAACCTTATCAGAATTTATGGACCTACCTCATTAAAGTTGATACTCTCTTCTCAATCATCAGGGACGTCTAATTCTTCGTTAATTGATTTCTGTACGAAGTCTACATGGGGTAGATGCTACGATTTGTTAAGCTTATTTGTGGGATTGGTTGGCTGGGATGAGCTTGTGAAATTAAAGGAGAAGGTCTTCAAACAATCCTCTTTCAAAGAGATGGAGCATAAGAATAATGCCGAAATGAGTGTTGGAGACCTAATTGACCAGGGTAAATTTCAATGTGAAAACTGGCTAGACCAATTATTCCTCATATTATATGATGATTTGAAGACCTTGATGTCCATAACAGCACCTAATAGAGATCAACAGCACAGTGCTCTAGAATGGGAAATGCTTGGATTCTTAGGTTGGTCAGTCAAGTTCAACTTGGAAGAATCCATATGTGCGTTGATTACGTCAGTAAAAGGAAAAGAGATAGTTGGCGGGTTTGATTATTTTGGGACTGTTAAATTGCTCCAGATATACGACGAGTTTATTTTAAGTGAAGTAACTGACTCCCAAATCGATCTGTATCATGATATCTACGAAGGGACATTCTTGTCGAACAAGTTACTTATTAAAAAGTTTGGAAAAGCTAGGCATTCCAACTTCATTAAAGACCTTGAGGAGAATTTACTTAACCTAGATTTCGTGTTGCTTCACTTAATGAAACTTATAAGTTGGAATTTGCGTTGGTACCTGTATGCTCCTAACTACTTAGTGACTAAAGTATTGACGAAGTTGATGATTAAATACGATGGAATCTTCATAAGAGGGAAGCTTAGGGTCGTATTTGAACAAAACAAGAGGCAAGTTCAAGCCAAGAGTAAGTCCGGAGCGAAATGGTTTTTGTTTTCCGGAGGAGGAAAGGAGAAGAAGGGAGCTGATATTAGCGAGTTTATAGAAGGTGATACGATAGTTGATTACGTCGAAAAGCTACTCAGTTGGATTGAATCGCTTGACATTGATGCCAACGATGAAAGCTAAGTAAACTTGTTTATTAAAGGGCAGCAATACCAATACCAAACAATGTAAAACGAAGAAAAGAGACGTAGAGAGACATAAACGAATAGTACATGTTAATATTTACCGTGGCATATCCCAATTGTGCGGTAGAAACTTTTCACGAAGAAGTCAACCATCAAAAAGAATACGGCGAAGGTTATCGTTATTGTTACCTTAGCGGCACTTCTACACAACTTTGCATTGAGTATTTGTTCTTATAGTAGCTAAATACATTACTCCTACATATTAACCGGTAAAACGAGCCAACTTCTGCACAGCTTTGCACTAATTATGTTCTTATAATTACTAAATACATTACTCCTCCATACTTACTGGTTCTTCTTTTCTGCCTTGACTGAGCCCCCTAATACCTTCTTTCTTTGCTTAATCATATAAGTATACAACATGTAAAGTCCTGGAGGATAAGTCAACAAAGTCGCAGCCAAAAAGTAATAGTACCAATCTCCAACAACAGCCTTTGCTTCCCCAAGTGAGAGATAGATCATTGACACCTCCGAAGCCACACCAGTTGGGTATAACACGTAAAACGTAGTGTAGCGCAAATATGTCAACCAGTATGGAACTTTTTCAGGGTCCGCTAAATTTGATGCATAAAACGAGTATCTGATAATTTCAGTAATAGACCAAGACAAGCTCAAAGTGATGTAACACCAATGAGAATTGGCAGGAGAATTTGGTAAATACTGGCAAATACCCAATACAATTAATAACCTAGAAAATACTTGAGTAAAAGTGGTAAAAAGTGGAGATTTCACGATCCCCAATGCCGAGTTAAAAATTTCAACCACAGCAAGACATTGAATGAAGGTGGTAATTTTATTGGTCTTTTCAAATAAATGAGGTTGACCTAGAGCGAGACCCAAGAAAACAGTGTTGAAAAGGATTACTGACCACAAAGATGCAGAAATTGAATTGTAAGCAATTAACAATTTAGGGGCGGGCTTAACCGACTTAGCACTCTTGCCAACTGGTTCACTCATCTTAGAATTAGAGAGAATTGATCTAAACAAAGTGCAGTGTTCAATAAACCAGAACTACGTGTTTTGAGAAAAATAATGCACTGACTTTCAGAGCCCACGAGAATGTTGGGTTTACTGCATAGAAGAAAACTCTTATAATATGAGGGAGTAGTTACTAGCTGAGAGGGTGAATGTAGCACGACTTAGCTTAAATGTGTAATTAACTGTCTTTTGGATGATTTAGTGTAAGTTGCCCATGAAATAGCCTTTATTTATACCCGCTTATAATATATATATACAGAACTATATGGAGGGCCACCGTAGGGCCATGAGTTTAAGTAATTTGCAGCCATCCAGGGTAAGCTGTCTACTGTGCTTTGCTAGCTCTAACTGTTTCTTTAGATAGCACCTTCTTCCTTTGCTTGAGCATGTACCCGTACAAAAGAAAGAAGCCAGGTATATAGCTGGCCAACGCAAAGATCAAAAACCAGTAGTAGTGAGAGCCTTGAGCTGCATCTAGAGATAAATACACAGTGTGCAGCTCACCGACCAATCCCAATGGGTATAACACTATAAATGCAGTGTACCTCAACCAAGTCAATCCCGCAGGAACACCTTGACCCTTCCTAGAAAATAATTTGGCGAAATAGAAGGCGTACTTGATCAAATCTGAAACCGACCACACGAACGACAACGTAGCGTATCCCCACGAGTAGTTTCCTGCAGACTGCGGGAGCTTATAGCTGATGCCCTGCGTAATAAGTAGCCTTGCAGTAAGCTGGAGGAGCAACGTTGGGAGGGGAGAAGGCACGAGTCCAACGAGAGAGTGTACTATCTCCAATATGGCATTGAACCACTCGGTGATGTTTAAGAATTTATGTGGGTACACCTCTGAGGTTGACTTTGCTCTGTATAGGGACCTCGGGCTCTGAGAAAACCAGCTGTTCTCTCCCAAGAGGACCCCATATAGGACCAAGAGCCACAAGATAATAGATACGCCATTGTATACTTTGAGGTATAGGTTAGATATACGCTTCATATCGGGGAGTAATTGAACACAGACGATACTACAGAAAGTAAAAGACCGGTTTCGCTGCCTCTTCCTCTAGCTACTTTATATAGCCCTGGAACAGTGGCCCAGAAAATGGTAAAAAGTGAAACGGGTTTACATGTGAAAAATCTCACACCAGCGCTTACCCCATAGATTCTACATGGCTTAGAAGAGGGCCCTAAGGTTGACATTTTCATAGTAATTTTTGCTATTTACAAGCATAAGATAGATATAAATAAGAGGGCGAGTCCAACAAGACAAGGGAACTAGCCCAGCACCTCTATACTTATCCATTAGGCAACTTTTTCCAAGTATATATGGATCATTTTTTCTCTTTTTTTTTTTCTTTTTTTTGGCCTTCCCTTTAGTACAAAATTTCCCCGTCAAACCCGCTATTTATACTTTGCTAAGATCTCCTCTAACGAGCTCTCATCGCCAGCAATAAGACTTTGATCCCAGTCAACAAGCAACGGAGCCTTAAATATTTCACTGGGATCGTGCTCAGGGTGCGCCTCAAGGTCATCGACCAAACTCTGGAATGCCTCGTAGACAATTGCATATTCACCCTCGCTAAAAGTTTTCCAGTTCTTCCCTTGCAATTGGATAGGGGGAATCTGGGTGATTCTCAGCTTCTCGCCACCGGACGATTGCTTAGGAGAAACCAATGGGAATGCATTCTTCAAGAACAGTTTACTCTTATCATCCTTGAGACATGAATTGATGATGAACGAAAATTGATCGTACGTGGGCATCTTGTTGATCATCACATCCACTTGGAATTTCTCCTTGTCCGCATTAATTTTGGCTGATGCTTTATCGAGTATGGAGTACAATAGAGTCAGATTAGGGATCTTCTTGTTGTGGAAAATGCTTATAGTAGCAGGTGCGTTTTGGAGGGTCTTAAAGAGAGACATGATTTATACTGGTTTATACTTTCACTAGATGTATTAAAGAGAAGAAAAAGGTATCCTCCGTTCGTTGATTTATAATCCTTCCTTGTGTCAAAATAATTGAACCCTTATCAAAGCTTATTTATATTTTTCCGCGCCAGCTGCTAATAGTATGGGGGAGAAGAATGTATGGGCAAGCTTAAGAAACGTGTGACGGCAATTAGCTAATAATACTTCTAGAGCAAAACAAAACAATACAAAACAAATCAAGAACAACCTCAAGCCCAGATAGATAAGCGACAATTGGGGAAGAAGGAGTTGAATGGCAGGTAGAATGGGTTCCATTTATATGCTAAACGGAGGAAATGTATTTCCGCTCGCTATTGCCCCAGACTGCTCCGAATGACTCTCCGGTATGGCCTGGGGGGCCTTAATCATTGCGGGTGAATGGAAGCCGCGTGAAGTGCTCGCGAAAATTGCCGGGCATGGAGTCACCAGCCAGATGCAGGATCAACCACTACAGTGGGAGCCCTGGTCAAATCTGATCGTGTACTATATACAGGACACATTGGTGCAAACACCTGACAGGGCTGACAAGACAGTGTGCCACAGTTTTCCTGTGTCACTGAAATTGTCCCTCTACATCGATCACTGTTGTCTTCTCGTCTCATCTCGTCAACGTCTTCTCATCACACGCTATACACCACACACTAGTAGCCAAAGGATCTACAAACATCTAACCACACGAGATGTGCCGCTTCATGATATACAAGGGTCACGACCCTATGGTGTTGTCAGATCTTCTCACCAAACCTGCGCATTCCATCATCAACCAGTCCTTTGACTCCAGGTTGAGACTTGACATGAGAAATCCCATCAACGGTGATGGGTTTGGGGTTGGATACTACACCCCCAACAACCAGCCTTGTATCTTCAAGGCCATTACGCCGGCCTGGAACAACGTCAACTTGAACAACCTCTCGCATGCGACGGAATCCAAGTTGGTGTTTGGTCATGTCAGAGCCTCCACCCAAGGTGTTCTCTCTGAGACGAACTGCCACCCATTTCTGTATGGAAAGATCATGTTCATGCACAATGGGGGTATTCTGGCGTTCAATTCGATCAAGAAGAGGTTGATAAACCACTTGGATGACGAGTACTTCTTGTTTATACAAGGCTCAACCGACTCAGAGTGCTGCTTTGCCTTGTTCTTGGACACCTTGCACAAGATGGGGTATGATCCTGCTGACACCAACTTGAAGATCTGCCACAACGTCTTGCGCAAGGCTGTTCTCACCACAATCGAGCTCATTAAGAACTGGCAGACTGCTGTCACCGACGAGCCTTCATTGATGAACTTTGCTGTAACCGATGGGCTGCTGGTGGTGATCACTCGTTACATCACGTCCAAGAAGGACGAGGCTGCGTCGTTGCATTTCAGCACTGGCTCCAAGTTCTTTGAGTACGAGCCTGGATTGTTCAAGATGGAGAGGTTGAACAGATCCCAGGACGTTATATTTGTAGCCAGTGAACCGCTCACCTTCGAGAGAGGCGACTGGATCTGTGTGCCCACAAACACAACCATAACATTGAGCAAGAACAACACCGTGCTAATGCACCCTATTTTAGATGAGTTCTACGATGGCGGAGTAGTTGAAAGGTCCTCGGGCTTGGCCATGAGCAAGGGTTTGATGGGAGGAGTGCCCAAAAAGAACACAACCACAGACAAAGCCGCCAACTTGAGTGCAGTGAACAGCGTCAAGCCAGAGCTTGCCAATGTCAAGCCCCAGCCTGCTTCTTCTGCCAGAGAAACGAGTGCTATAGCTGATGAGGTTGACTCGTCTCTTGATGTGTTGCCGCCCTTGCAACGAGAAGGTAGGAAGTTGTCCCATAGCGTATACTGATATGTATATATACCATAATTCTAATCAAACTTACATAGCATGGTCCCTTCTTCTCGTCTGTTCTTTTTCTTTTCTTTTTCTATTGCATTAAATGAACGTATTAATATATAAATGTATATATACTGTATAATCAAGGTAAAGGTACGAGGGAAATAATAGAGAAATTGTCGTAGTGCATCAGCTCATGAGGTTCGTGTGTATACATTAATTGTGTCTTGTAAAAAATAGTTCAGAGACAGCTAGCTCTTGCTTGCCGCTCTGGTGAGCTTGTTGCCCGTACCCTTGCCACTGTTAACTTTCTTAACAGCGTTTATTTCTTCGTCGTCATCATCGTCGTCATCATCATCGTCATCGTCATCAGAACTTGGGCCAGATGAGTCCTCGCTTAGTTCTTCTTCGTCGACATCATCGCCGGCCATGGAAATCAATGCTCCCTTGGAGTCATAAAGTGGATGTGCACTCTTTTTATAGGAGAGTCCATCATCGTTGGGGTCAATGTATTCGTCATCATTATCAACATCGTCCTCGCCTCCTACAATTACGTCGTTGCTAGGAGACACATTACCTCTGATATATTCGCTTTCTTCCTCTTCACTGGATTCCTCTTCATCGTCTTCATCATCCGACATCTTTGTAGTCGGAGATGGTAACTTGGTTTCAGTTATATTAGTGTTAGACAATTGCAGCGACATGTAGTTGGAAAAATGATCGTCATCTTCTTCAGACTCTGACTCATCGGATGATACCAGTGGCTGGTGCTTACTATCTCTGTTAACGACATCTTCCTCGTGTTCATTATAATCCTCATCGTATGCAGCGGAAAGGATGTCGTGGTCGATAGTAGGATCCAACAATAATCCGTTGGATGTGGTCACAGATTTTTCTTCGTCTTCTAATATTTCTCCAACTCCTTCATCAAACGTATTGGAAGCCTCTTCATCTTCATCCTCGTCGTCGTCATCATCGTCCTCTCCACCTCCTAAGATAGCGTTATACTTCTCTCTGGTATCGTACAATACATGACTGACATACTCTTCCCACACTTTATCTTCAACCTTCACATCTATTAATTCACTTAAGGTGTTAGCTGGGTATAGTTGAATGAACTTAACCACCTCTTCGGCAATCAAGGTTAAATGTCCCATATATCCTAATCTTAATCCATTGTTGGTTAATTCATATTCTGTACACTCCTTTTGTCCATTGACAATCTTGTTAGTGATATCTCCCCTATCGAATAAATCCATGGAAAGAAACTTGTTGAATCCAATATCCATAGATCCATTCAATACTTGTTGGACAATATCAAATACAACGTTATGCAAGAAATTGTTCCAAGGGAACTTGAAGAACATAGTTAAAATGTTTGAGATTATTTGTGTATCATATAAGGAGATCTTGAGGAAATCTCCGATGACTGGCTTAGCTCTGATTTGGGCTTCTGTGAGATTGGCATTTGCGTGCGTTTCTTCCTCTTCTCCATCTTCATCGTGCTCCTCTCCGTCTCTTCCTTGCATATCATTTTGGAATGAATCTTCTTCGTCGAGCGCACCCACCTCTCCGTCGTCTCCATCTTCGTTAAATGAATCAACAGTGTCGTTGCCGAAATTTTCCAAATCTCGTTCATGCTCAAGTTCGTTCACTCTTAATCTATTCAAATCAAATGCAACTTGGTCGTCTGCATTTTCAGTAGCGCTAGCAGATTGCTCATCGCCAGAAGTCTCTGTATCATCCTTTTTATCGAATCCACTAGGCAATACGATAACCTCATTGTACTTGAAACTGATTGGATCGTATTCTTTCATTTTTTTCCTTAATTGATCTCTTTCCTTGACGATATCAAATCCCTTATTGTCGTTCAAGAGTGCCATGTTGGAGCAATGCAATAATTCAGCAATCAATTCACAAATTTTGAACCTTTCGAATCCCAAGGGCTCAATTTCTCCGAAGGGGGTTCTTAATTTTCCATTTTTCATGAAACCTCCTTCTTTATTTTCATGTGATTTCAAAAGTAAGTTGTTGAACTCTTCAATCTTATCGCCAAAGACTTTTAGTAGATGGCCCAAATAAATTGGATCTCTACCAGTTGGTGGATGGCTTTCCAACGTAATGTACAACACTGGGAGTAAATCATAGTCTGAGTTATTTTTTCTTATAATTTCTATTATTATACCAACACCATTGGCCAATGCGTAGTCCCCCTTTAACATTATGTCACATAAATTCAGCATCTGCTTGTATGAAACCAACTCTCTGGTCAATTCATTTGGTCCGATACTAGATGTATCAGACGTGGAATTGGCTGATATGGTTATAAGAGCTTTAAGGAAATCAGCAGCAGATGATTGTTTGAGCAATGCGTCTCCTTCAGAGTAATCAGCTGCTCCCTCTACTATCTCTAATGCTTGGATCAAGTGGTCAATCAACCCTTGATTCTGTAAAAAGTCAATTATTCCTGTGGAATTGTCTGGCTTGTCAGTGGAAATTAACTTTAAAAGAAAGTCCATCAAGGGAGGGTTGGATAAGTGATTCATAAACTTGGCCACCAACTTCGGCTGATTATCTATTAAGTACGTTATCATTTCATCGCATTTCATGTCTAGCAAGTGCTCCATAATCTTCATGAAATACGTGGATAAGTTGATCGAGAGCGGTGTCGTGGTGTCCAATATGCTCCACAAAGTGTTCAAGGAAGCGGTGGACTCCATGACAGTATCTGTCAACGACCACACATCAGCAGCCAAGATCTCAGCTGCCAACGTGGCATGACGGGTTTTGCGTTCATCCTCACTCTCTGTGTCTTCATCCTCTTCATCATCGTTGGCAGACGTGTCAAGGTCTGTTTCCAGCTTATAGTTGTCCTCGTCCTCGTCCGAGTCGGGTTCGATATCAGACAGCTTTTCATCCTTTTCGTTTTCAACTTCGTTATCGCTGTCGTCCTTTTCATAGTCGTCCTTTTCGTTGATGTCATCGTCCTTTTCGCTGAGTAGCTCATTCTTTTCGCTTTCGTCGATGGTAGGAGCAGCAGTAGTAGGATCAGTAGCAGCATCAGCTTCAGCAGTGGCATCAGCGTTGCCTGCTTGAGCTTCACTTTCACCAGCTTCCTTCTCAGTCACCTCCTCAGAATCATGCTCTTTCTCCACTTCTCCGATTTCCTTGCCGGTGCCCGCTGCTTCCCTGGCGGCTTCGTTCTCACTTGCTTCGTTCACCACAAACCCTACCAACAACTCTAACACACTCTCGTCTCTCAAAAACTCCAACAACATCGAGTTATTGCTCAACAATTCCTGAAGCAAGTCACTTTCGTCCAATAATCGACTCAAAACCGCCTCCGTAGAGTTCTCATCGTCCTTCTCTCCCCTTAACTTAAGCAGCTGCTCCTCTGATTCAGAATCAATATCATTCTTACTAGAGTTGTACCGTTCCAACAAAGTCAGAACGTTGGAGAGTGAAGTAAATCCATTACTAAACTTCCAAAACGATCCCGACATGACGCTGATCTATAAGTTCGCTATAATACCAGCAGTCAATTACTACCCCCTTTTTCGAATGAACTGGGGCCTTATATCTTTGTCGGCTGTTGTGTTGGTTCAATGTTTTTTTGCTTTTTGCTTTTTCTGCTTTTTCGAGGCGAAGAAAAAAAAATTTAGAAAAAAGAAAATCTGGTGTCCTTCACATAGACGGGGAGGGAGAGTGCAAGGGAAGGGAGAGAGTGCAAGGGAAGGGAGAGATTGCAAGGGAAGGAGAGAGTGCAAGGGAAGGAGAGCAGGACAGGAGAGTAAACGAGCGACGACGAGCAAGAGAAGCAGAGGAAACGAAACGAGCCGAAACGAGTGTGGTACCTCAGTCTGGTTCGGGCTGCATTTTTGTTAGGCATAGTTTTTTCTTTTTTTTTTTTTTTTTTTTTTTAGCGTGTACTGCTTCTCACCTACACCCACTAGCGCTCCCACTGGCGCACCTACTGACGCTCCCTCTCACTAGCCCTCTTACATGCGCTGGAAGTGTGGATTTGTCGGGAAAATGGATAAAAGCTGATTCGGTGTTCTAGCAGGTAGATTAAGCTTTGAATCACTCTATTGGTCTGCATTGGGACGGGTCCAAGATACATGTTTGGTGCTCTCCTTGTTTTAGTGTTAGCCCTACACACGCCGTTCTCAGCAGCTCCACTGTGGATTTCCTGCTTCGTTTCCTATTCTTCCCCTGGCTGCACTTCTCCCAACGGACCTTCTCCTAAAAATAGAGAAAACGAGAAAATAATAGAAATCTAAGAGAACACAGGCCCTAAATGTGGGAGTTTCCCACTGCGCACCCTGACCCCAGCGCTGTGTGTGCCGCTATCGGACCATTACTGTCTTGTGATCACTAGAGTACACTTACAAGCTAATCTCATAAGGGGCAATCGCAATCTGATAGCTAGCCAGGCACATAGCTTCCAGTGAGATGCAGAGACAAAATTACGCAGAAGAGCATTTGAGGAGGGAAAGCACTGGCAACAATTTATTGCTCTAAACCGTTAGCATTCCACTGTGGGTATCTCCATGGATACCCCGAACAGTAGTATTTTTCCGATAGCCTCAGTCGAGTAGGACCCCCCTGACCCTGATCTTGCCCCACCCTTACCGAGCTAATGGATCGCAATCCCGTTCCCGATGCTCACTCTCCCCATTCTCTTGCTTCCGACATGGTACTCTCCTGCAAGCTTCTTTCTACCACAACCTCTCTTGACTTGACTTGACGTTCCACCTTCCTACTAACTGTCCAGGTACTAGCTTGGTACCAGCGCAAGTTTTGTGTAACTTCGCCAATGATCTTTTCACATTTTCAAATTTTTTTTTTTTTTCTTTTTTTTTTTTTTTTTCAATACGCTTGCCTAAATTTTTCAGTCTCTCTCCGTGGAGCTCTTGGATCGATCCACTTTACCTTCATCACAATACACATCACATGTTCGCTCGTACATTCCAGGGTGCCCTATCCTTGTCGTCTAGAAGGCTAGCCTCCACATCGGCCAAAATTGTCCCTGACTTGGTGCCATTGAAACTCGACTCTATCGGATCTCAATCTCTCTACTCAGTAATCTCCATCTACAACAAGAAGTACCTTGTCACCAAAGGTGATAAAATAATACTCCCCTTTAAATTAAAAGATGCCGAAGTTGGTGATCTGCTTATCTTTAACCAGGTCTTAACCTTAGGATCCCCACAATACACTTACCACGACGCAAAGGGTATTCCTCAAGAAGCGTACAACATCCAAGCTAAAGTTGTCGAAATCACCAGAGAGCCATACTACGAAGTCATCAGAAAGAAACAGAGATGTAGAAGAGGTAAAACAATACCTGTTGAGCCTTACCAAACTCATTTAATGATAAATGAATTAAAATTAACTTAATTTAAACTAGCTTCCCGTATACATTAGTATGCACTGTAAATAGTAAGTCATATAGTACCATAAATTATTAACAAAGAATTAACATTAGAAGTGTAGTTCATGTTCAAAACAGACAAGTCCCTTTTTTCAACTTTTCTTACTTTTTTCAGTCAATCAGCTATTAGCTTCATTGCCAGTACTGCTCTTCCTTGAATTAAACTTGATTAATTGCGCAAGTTTGGTGTCCTGGAACAGGAAATGCTCATCTTCCTTGATGAAATCGTGCTCCAATAATTCCGTAGCAGTAGGTCTAGCCTCAGGATCGATAGTGAAACATTTCTTGATGAAATCTTTGGCTCCAACCAGGATTTTATCGTTGATATCACTTGGAATTGGTGGTGCCAATTTGGTTTTACCAATCTTGTAAATAGCACTCACCACCGCCTCGTTAGACCAAGGACGTTTTCCACAAAACATTTCTAAAACAACACACCCTAAAGACCAGATATCAATCTTGGCACTGTACCCTTGCTTCTTGTCCTCTACAATCGAATCAATAACCTCTGGTGCCATCCAAAAAATGGTACCTTGCATCGACATTTCAGCATTATTCACATAAATATCGCTTGACTTTTTGGAAATACCGAAATCGGATATTTTACATCTACCATCAACTTCGAGTAACAAGTTATCAGCTTTCAAGTCACGATGTAATATCCCATTCTGGTGTAAGTACTGAAGCCCAAGCAAGATCTGCCTAGTAATGAATGTAACTAATTTTTCTTCAAATGGCCCGTACGACTTCATACAAAGTGCTATGGATCCTCCGGCAACATATTCCAAAAACATGCTATAGATATTATCCTTCTGTTCAAATCCTAAATATTGGACTATATTTATATGATCTAAGTCTTTCATAGTTTCGACTTCCTTATGTAGTGCCTCAATACCTTCGACGGTCTTTGACCCAATTCTATTTCGATCTTTGGGCACTACAACTTGTTTGACCGCAAGCATTTCACCAGTTGTAACATTAAGGGCCAAGTAGACAGCTCCAAACGAACCTCTACCTATTAATTCACCCTTAATCCAAGCAAATTCAACGAATTCTCCATTTTTGTTATTTCTTATTTTACTGACAAACCCCTTTTCAATTTCTTTGGATGTAACCTCAGTCACCTTTTGGCCCCACATTTTCGTGTTTCTTCTAAACAACATATTATTTCCATGAGTGTTTGCATCGGCTTCAGGATTAGTACTATTTGGCACCAAAGGTCTATCCCTTTCAAAAGTTTTGTTGCCAGCATCAGCTGTGCTTCCATTACTATTATTCCTAGAGACTTCAAAAGAGTAAGTGCTTTGTGGTGATGCATTCTTCTGCTGCTCAAGTCTTTTTCTACGAGCTTCGTTCGCAACGATACGAATGGTCTTCATACGACGACGTCCACTCAAATTATTTTTCGATTCCCCATAGAACACATCATCCCCGGAGTCAGCTGGTGGGGCAATTGGCGAAATGTTGGCATTGGAAAATGTTCTAGAAATTGTTAACCTACGAGGTTCACCACTTTCCGATTTCAGAAATGCTTCACCAGCTGGTTCATTGCCTTCGGATACATTTCTCAGTGGGAAACGACGCTGAGGAATTCTACTATTATATGAATTGAAATTTTGAGCTGAATTCTCAGCGGTTACCACTGGAGAAACTGGAGAATCATCGATAATGGGTTTATCTAAATTAGTATTCGGGAAATACTTCTCAAGGTTGCTGTAGACCTCATCAATAGGTGGTCTTACACTCATGTTTTTCCTTTGTGTTGAGTTTCTTGATCCATTGTCAGATATTGGCTTCATAAAAAAGTCGTCATCGTCTTCGTCGTCATTGTTTTTAACTTTGACAACTTTTTTCACCGGCTTTACGAAGAAATCGTCTTCGTCAGATTCAGAATTAGAATTAACGTTAATAATATCGTCATCTGGTATATCTTCGAAAGAAATCTCATTGGTCTTAAATGGATCTTCCCTACTCAATGTTGTTGCCTTTCGAATAACTGAACCTCCTCTCAATTTGCTGAGGCCACGTTTGAGGGTAAACGATTTATCACTGCCACTATTTGATCTACTGGAATAAACCAGGTCTACATCTGCTGAAGCTACAGATACAGGAGGCAGTGCTGTCAATGATGTTCTAGAAGATGTTCGTTTGCGAGCATCGGATCCATTTCTTTTGATGCTGTTGTTCAATGGCGGTGGGAGCGGTGCTACTCTCTTAGCTATAATACTACTGGAACTACTAACACTCCTCTCCCTTGTGACTGGTAAAATGTAATCTGGAATACTAGAAATGCTCTTCTTTTTTGCTACTTCACTCTCGGCCCCACGTTTTTTTGGTTGAATATCTTGTTGAGGACCGTTCTCTTCTGCATTTCGAATTTCAGCAGATTCATCCGGTTTTCCATCTTTTAAAGGGGAATGGTTGCTATCCGTAAAAGGATGAACAGTCGTTGCCGATATTGGAGAGTTTATAGAGTCCATTGCCGAAGATTGGTATATGCTTGGAATAAGTTTAGGAGCTTTAGTTTCAAAAGGCGACTTTCTCCGTTTATCGAAATCAATCTCTCTACCTTCTTTCCGTAAGACTCTGAAGGTATTCATAGAGTTGGCAATCGATGCATTAGAATCAATAGGTTCCACATCATTCAGTGGACTTGGAGTTAAACCATTGTTTCCAATAACAGTACTTTCATCCGCAGCTTTCTTGGTATCGATCAGCAACAGGGGTACTTTTGAACCTTCAACCTTTTTCCTCTGAAGTAGTTTATTATTATTATCTAGTTTCAAGGCAAAATGGTTGTTTTGCGAAGTTGGCTTCTTCAGTAGCAAATGCTGCTGTAATTGTTGCTGCAACTGCTGTTGCTGCTGCTGATTTGCAATTACACTCGGACTAGCTCTTGCTTTGGCCAGAGATGAAGGCATTGCCAAACGATCAGGCGATTCATTGATTTTTGATAACCTATCATTTGCAGTTTCTTTAAAGTTCCAATAATCAGTTTTCGAATCAGAGGAATTATTCTGGAGTAAATACTGCGGAGTAGCAGGGTAAAATTTCTCATCATTATTCTCACCTTTCAATTCAAATGATTTTGAGTCAGAAGACGTTGTAGAATATGTATTAATGGATGGCGAAGAAAGTTCTTGACGTACCACCAACTTAGGGAGTGGTAGTGTCCTTAGCACATTAAACAAAATAGTATTTGGCAATGCTTCACCCTCTTCTGAATTGAAATCAGTCAAATGAAATGTAATCAATCCAATATCTATTAGACCTAGTTCCTTTATAACCAATGATTTTGTCTCTTGTAATTTCAGTTGCTCTAAATTTTCACCCTTCTTTTCGCCATCGTCATCATCTTCTACATTACTGATTGGAACAGTTACAGGAAAAAATTGCTTGTTATCCTTTGTGACAAGAATGACCTTGTCTGTATGATGTACACTCTTTAGTGGTTTAGGTAAGTACTTCTCTTCGAGTGGTCTGTACGAATATTGCTCTGGATAAACAAGAGCATCAGCTTGAGTAACCTCAATACTAGGTGGTGTCGAAGTAGCCAGTAAAGCTCCTGACGCAGCAGTTAGTACAGGCGATCTTTCATGCGTATTATTAGTTAAGGATGACGAGGACCTAAATGAACTGATGGAATGATCAGAGGATCGCCTGGGAGGCCTAAAGCCAGTAGTACTAGCATTATTAGTTACTGGAGTCAATACTTCAGAAGAAGATGTCTTTGGAAATATCAAGCTATTTCTCTGAGAGTTTGTCGATGGCTGAACATGCTTTACCATTTCGGCTGCTTTATCTCCTCCGTATTTTCTAAATGTACTCAAAATTCTTTCTTTCTTGCTGTTATTAGGATTAGAATTTCCAGATATACCGGTACCATTGGAGTTCTGTGCAATAAGCTGAGGAGATTTGACGGCAGGTGAAACAGAACTTTCGTCGGTTAAAGATGTAGAAGTACCTTTACCTCCTTTCTTAAGTGGAGTAGGAAATTCATGTGAAATAGTGGAGTTGGCGGATGTAGGAGCACTACTAATATCCCTCTGTTCATCTATTTGATCGATGGAAGAACTTCGATAATGCTTCCTGAAGAATTTATATGATTGACCTGATGAGGCAGCCTCCTTCTTCATTTGAGAAGAAGGGGGTATGTATGAAAACGGCCTTGGTTTTATGGAATTACCATGCGCATTCAAATTATTAGAAACACCTAATCCACCACTTCCTCCTATACTGGTATTTGTACTGTTGTTTAGAGTATTGCTTGAAGATCCAGATGAGATGTTTGCATTGGAATTTGTCGTAGTTCCAGACTTATATTTCAGAAATATAAGTGCAGATTTTCTATGCTCTGCTTTAATCGAGCTATTTTGGTGATGAGAGGAAGATACAGAATCATTTGATCCTTTCCTTGAATGTGAACTCTCTCTAAGAGGTTTTTCTTCTTCAGTAGCAGGGGATGGGTTTAACATTTCATCCTTCAAAAGTGAGATAAACCTCGGAATTGTATTGTACATACCATCAGTATATAAAAGTTTCCCAAATTGCTTCCAAATTATTGAATCAGCTTCATAATTACAAAGTTCAAGGAACCTATTTCCTGAAATTTCATTTCTTTTAAAGGTATCCTTCCACGTCTGGTGAAAATTATGAGTATCTAGCCATTTAATTACATTTTCCATGTTCCACTTATTGGAGGAGCTGTTAACAGCTGCTTTAGACTGCTGGGTATTCATCACATATCTGACAAATCTCTTGTCCTTACTTGCATTTGTAGAAGCCGAAGAGGGCGTTAAAGTTGAAGTAGTGGATGCATTTGAAGTAGTCGATGATTCCGAGCTATTCCGTACATGAGTCGAAGGAGAAGAAGGTTGCTGTTGGGACTGCTGCTGTGCGATTGGGTAATCGATGTACATAGAAAATGGTTTAGTTTGCAGTGGGGTATGCACTTGAGGCAGATCCGAATGATTACGATTGTTAGTTATTATTTCATTTAAATTGGCTTTGATCGGTTTGCTTTCAACCAACATATCTCTGGAGCCCGAGCTCTTTGCCGAAGGGCCACCCACCTCAATAGAACTGCCACTGTAATTGTAGCCACCAATAATCAGTCCAAGTGTATTAGAATTAAGACTTGTGCTCACGGATTTAACAGGAGAGGGCGTCCTATCAGAGCCATTGGAGTTCGGTGAGAATTCTGGCACTTCAACGAATGGAAGAAGAACAGTGCTGTTGAATTTTGCCAGCAGCAGCAGCACCAGCAGTTGATGAGTATGATCAGTAGGAGGCGATGCACTTAATAAGTTATCCTCTCCTCCATCAACTTCTCTAGCAGGAGAGACAACAAAGTCCTGAATGGAGGTATCATGTTCTGAAAAGCTGAACCCAGCAGGATCTGAGTTAGTGTCGACCTGTAGGCCAGTTGGTTTTTTATACTCCTCTTTGTCCGACGTATGCATATTAAGAGGGGGAGGGTGATGTTGTATTTTAGTGCTGTTTGTGGGCGGTCTGAAGTCAAAGTGATCCTGATGGGGATACAGAAGGCCCTGTTGCTTCTTCATCGCAGCTGCTGCTGCAGCAGTCGCTTGAGATGGATTTGGCGGGTTGGCTATCAGCAAATGGTAGACAGATGGACTGAATTTCTGGTTATTTTGTTTCTTTAAATAATATGGATCAGATGCATAGCTATCAGAGTGCACTCTATTTGAAGAAGACGAAGATGTCGATGACATGGAGTTCAATTTATTGGGGTGGTGTGAATCGTGCGATGGAACCTTATAAGGAGTCCTATACAAGAGATCTTTATTATGCGAGTAGATCACACCGTCCGATGCTATTCGACTAGTGGAGTTGCCATTCTTTGTATCATACTGTAGCAGGTTCCTATCAAAAGAACCATGACTAGAGCCTGATCCTGACCCCGACCCTGAGTTGTTGCCGGATCCCGGCCCTGATCCACTGGGACCTGTCTGCGATGTAGGAGTCCTAATGCGCTGGCTCTCGTAATTAGCAGACTTCCTCTGACTCAGTCGTGACATGATTTAAACGTTTATACGTATATCGATAGAGAAATTTCCACTTCTATATATTAATTTGATATTAAATTTGATGGAAAACGGCTGTATGGTTTCTTGAATCTATATTTAACTTTGCCTGTTCCATTGTAAACTTTGGTGCGCAACCGAGAGGCATAACCCAAACATGAAAAACGAAATCGAAAATTAGCGATGCGTTTTGTAGCTGAAGTGTGGAGTAGAGAACGGTAATAGCTGTAATATTCTTAGTTCTAGGTTCTGATATCAATCCACTTGCAACTGTAGTAGAGTTTGTAGGCCATTGCAAGGTGATAAGAGCCATTTATGGACGAGTTAAAGGGCTTCAATCGGCATCATTTTGATGGACTGATCTTGAGTAAAACAATACGCGACTTACACTCCATCCATACGTTCAGTGGAACCAATGACGCATACGAACTGCTACTCAGGGAAACGATAGATAACATTGGTCTACTATTGAATTATCACGAAAAGCTTTTCAAGACAGTAGAGCTTTCTTCGAGCGGCTCCCATCAACACGTTGATCTTGGCTCTTTGAAGTTCATTTACTATGTGAACAAGAGCACAGTAGGCAACGAACAACACCACGAATCTCAGGATTCGTCTGATAGTATAATACGACCTCACTCGTTGCTAAAATACTTAAACAAGTACCCACATCAATCCAGTGACAGCATAAGCTCACAATTGATCGAAGTTCTAGCTGCAAATTCCAATAGCTCTTCAAGCTCAGGCTCAAAGTCAGGCAAGAGGCTAACCCAGTCTTATTCAGTTGTATTGACCAAGTTTTCTGCCTTACTTGACTTTTTCATACGGCTCCACAGAGAGTCAGAAAAACGATTAGTAGAGTATCTCAATAAGCTCTTCAATTACGAAGCAAGATTCTATTCAACTTTGAACTCGAGATTGGATTCGGACTTGAATATTAACCACGAAGATACTGTTCAGATTGTAAATTCTTTGGATAATATAATTGCGTCAAGTAACAACAGACAAGCCACCAAAATTGAAAACGATAAAGACGACAGTATGTTCGTCATCGAATCGACGGGAGATATCCCACATTCTAGATTTGAGCCCCACACCAATGAACTTGTGAAGTTTACGTCAAATGATCCGACTTTCAATTCATTATACCAAATATTCTTGCAGTTGTGCTCATTCAAAACTCAACCTGACGAATCTTCTTTGAATTCTACGTCGCATGTCCACGACTACCGAGAATATATTCGAATAATGATAGAAACCTATAAAAAACAAGTAGGTACGGATTTTTTAGAGTTGAACGACTACAGTGTGAAAGATTTGAAATTCAACTACTTTTATGAAAAATTCCTCTCAAGTGATCAAGAGGACAGCATATTTCCAATTTTGTATAAGCTGATTACCGATAAGGTAGCAAGAGAAGTTGATTTGTTCCCTGAACTGGTTACAAGTAACAGGTTTAATTCGAACTTCAATGGCCATGATCATCAGGCAGAAACCAAATTAGAAGACTCGAACAGATCTCATAATATTGGCTCTACGTCATATAAACAAGAAAATGATAGTCGTAGCTCAATGATTCCCAATGATTCATCGTTGTTCGCCGTCACCAGAGAATTATCCGCACGAGATCAAGGTGAATTGATCAACGGCTTAAGGCTAGTCATACCTCAACTACAAAACTATTATGAGTTTGATCCGATATTTCCAGATATCATGAGACATTTTGTCAGGTTGTTGTACAATTCAACTTCTGGAATATTTATTGATGAGACTGAAAATTTTCAGTACGTTGGTAGTATTCTAGGACTCTTGAATACAGTTATTGACTATGAAAATGATGAGCTTGATGAAAATCACAACATTCAAGAAACTATTAATGATTTATACAGACTTCACTTAACGTTGTCTCCTTCACATTTTGGAGATTTGACTACACCAGGTAGAACTCTTTTAATGAGATTGGCTATTGCTGAATTCACGAACTCTCACAAAATATGCTTAAAGTATTTTACTAAGTGGAACAACAAAACTTTAGTAGTTAACCAGCTTCAATATTTATTAGTGAACAGCTGGAGCGATCAGTTAAAGAGGCTAAAGGTCGAAGAACACTTGAAGATTTGGTACAAAAAATATAAAATAAACCAGACTTTGATGATGGCAACGGAAAATGACTATAATACAAGGCTACTTTCGAAGACTTTCACCGATAAATGGATGAAAAGGACTATAGATAGTAGCAATTTGGTTGTTAGAGCTTCTCGGTTTGAATTGTTACAGAAATGGAAGACTTGGACGAGGAGATGGGAGCGATTGGATCATTTGACAAAAGAATCCGTAAGCTACTACGAGTCCACAATCTTACAAAAATACTTTGATAAATTGATTGTTATATATTCAAGGCGAAGACAAATGAATGACTTGGGTGAGGAATTTCGTATCTCAAGCAGTAAGATGGTCGATGCTAAAGTTAAAAGACTTGTGTGGAATACGTGGTACAAAAGAATGAATAAAACATTTACAAACGATGATGAATCGTTGAAAATATCCCAATTGAGAGAAAGGGTGTCAGAGTTGAATATTATTCCTCTTAAAGCTAAGTTGGATAGTATAACTCCGATTGATCTTGTTCAAAAATTGAGAAAGTTAGAAGGTTTAGAAAAGTATTTTATTTATTCCAGATATTTTTCACTTTGGCGCCGTTTTAGTCAATATCATCTAAAATCCCAACAACTCAGGGTAACAAATGATAGCATTCTACTTAAATACTACCTAGTATGTAAATGGAAGAGGCAGTATGACTTAAAAAAATTAGCCGACATTGAAGTTAATAAAGTAAATGAAGTATTATTATTGAATGCATTTGAAAATTGGAGAGATACTACACGACTACATTCCAAAAGCACTGAGTTTTCGGAGGGAAGGATAACTAAGAAGTGGTTCAGATTATGGAGGCTAAATTCAAAATTATCACAGCATAAGCATAAACTGGTCATTACTAGTGATAGTTGCTCTAATTTTAATATGAAAAATTGTTATAAAAAATGGCATTTGCTAGCAGTGTTAAAACAATATCAAGCAGAGCGAGAGTTTACCAAGCTAAGGGGTTATTGCAACAAATGGCAAATTAGGGCATTGAAGAATACTAGATTAGAAAAGATGGCAATTGAATACGAGACTAAAAGAATAATCAATACCAATTTTATTGTATGGATGGAGAAGTATTTGGAGAAAGAAGTAGATCTTCGAAATACTGCTGACGACTTTGTACAAAGAAAATTTCTAACTAAAATGGCGAAAAGGTTGCTAAAAATTCGTCAAAATCAGCAAAGAAGTAAGAAATACCTATCTAGCCTGTCTTACACTTTCTCCGAGAGAACCTCTTTATTAAGTTGCTTGCGTATTTGGCAAAATCTTTATGGTGAACAGTTCGAAAAGAATAACCAAAAGAAAGTTGAAGTTTTCGTAAAGAACGTGTCAAATAGTGGACTACTTTATAAGTTCCTTGAAAGGTGGGCAGTGAAATATAATGCAAATCAGAGAAAGACAGATAAATTGAAACAGCTTTCTGATAAGTTTCTCTGGAACTCCTTGCTAATGCATTCTACCTTGGGCAAATGGAAATTAAACACGACGAGAAAGTTGGAACAGCAAATTGAAGCTGATCTCTTTGAACAAAAGCTCCTTTTAAAGAAGCACCTTGTTAGATGGTATGATAAATTTATATACATTCTGGAGTCTCTAGTTGAGAGAAGTGAGGATTATTTGAATCAGAAAGATATTCAAAAGGCGAAGGAACTACTAAATATTTGGTCAATGAGATATATTAAAGATATACAGTTACAGCAATCTCGCTGTGAAATGTTCATTACTCGTTGGCAAATTTCCAAGGGAAAGGCTACACTTGACGTATGGTTGCATAAGGCGAGAAACAAGAAGGCAGTAGCTGAAGATGATGATGGAGAAGTAGCAGATATGGACACACTGCTTACAAGTAATCAGTCCCCTTTGTCGAGAAAAGTTAATACATCCCAGCTCAGTTATTTAAATACTCCTATTAAGAAACGTGAATACGTGGGTCGTCTTCCTTCAACTCCTAATGCATCAAGAGTTAGTCCAACAAAGCTTCAAGAAACATCCGAGCGAATCAAATCCGAAAGAGTTGACAAACTTATTAAACACTATCAAAAGGCAAAAGGAGCGAGAGTCTCCCAACTAAATTCTTCATTCGTGAAATTATCACCTGAAAGAAAGGGAAGCACTTATGCAAATATAGTACCGCCCCGCCCACCAAACTTCAGAAGAAGCTCAAGTAGACTACCTGAAATGAGCAGTGACGACGAATCAGAATCTGTTTTCAATCCAAATGCAGATGAAGAAAAATCGACTATAGAAACAGCAAAGCTGCTTCGGAAGATCACTCCAATATTTATACCCACAGTGGATGAGTATGAGGCACCAAAGTTTTCTACTGGTAGGAAATTGAAGGAAAGGATTCAACTTACATCAACTCCATCAAAATAATTTTGATGAGCTATCGCAAACAATTGTATTATACTGTAAAATATGTAAATGTATATGTGTATGTACCTACTTAGCTAATAAAAGTAAAGTTAAGGAATATTAAAACTAATTAGTTTCACCTTCTTCAAAGTCATCAATTTCTTCGTTGATTTGCTCCTTAACACTATCAAGATCAATATTTACCTCATCTTTGATATCTTTAACTTGTTTGATTTGTTCCTCTTGGGATTCTTCGTCAGTTGATGGAGCCTCCTGAGGTATTACAATATCATCAGCCTGGGTTCTCTTTAAAACATACAAATAGTTGGCTTGAACAATTAAACCTTTAGCAAAATTGACAAAGGTAGGAGATCTTCCCTTGTTAGCAACTAATTCATGGAAAATTTCTATAACAAGACTTGGAATGGCGCTGCTATCCTCCTTTTGCTTTTGTAATAACGATACAATAGGTTGAGGGGTCACTTTGGCAAATGTCTGTGCAGCGTAGATTAATTCCCAATTTGAACGGTCGAATGGCAATAGCTCCTTAGGTCCATTAATATCTCTAAGGCCACTTTCAGTAATAATGTAGTCGAAAGAGTTCCATATTGGAAGGAGGACTTCTTCCCCTTCAGTCTTGTCGTAGGTGATATTCTTATTCGTGAGCTGGCCAAATCTCAGTGCCCCTGTCATGCAAGCAGCAACACCTAAGTGGACTGAGACGTTATCTTCGCCATTTGTAAGAATATGTTGATTAAAGGCTGATAAAGCGTCTCCTCCGGGATAGTTGAAGCTTGAGACGTACCCTGAGAAGAGGGCAACTAATGTACCCACAAAGATATTAGCCAACATGAAGAGGAACAAGATCTTGTTGAAAATGCCCAAAGACCACTTAATTGAGATATTAGTGAGACCGTTGGCAGCTTGGAGAGTGAAAATTGGAGCCACGTATACAATAAACCTCCATTCCTTGTGAGGCTGGAAGGACATTGCAACAATGAATAAAATGGACGAAATGAAAAGAATCCTCAAAGAATTCTTTGCTGGATGGGTAACAATTGGCTTCTTTTTAGCCTCCGCTTCTTCCATGGCAGCTAAAATACTGATTCCATCATCCGCTGGGTCGGAAATCAAACCTGGTAAGGTCAACAACAAGACTACTGGAGGCTTGAAAAGGGAGAGAAGGTATTTGGAGAAATAGGCACCGAAGGGCTCAACACCCCAAGCTGTAGCTCCACCTTCAATCACATTGAACTTGAAAGCAAATAGTTCCGGAATGACCAAGTACCCCCAAAAGTACGAATCTACCAAAAGAGAAGTGACAAGCCCAGCAACCGCACCCACAGTCAACATGATAATGTTGACGAAGATATTAGACTGACCGAACCCAAGCGATGAGACAACGGCAATAATGAAGGCCAACACCCCAACTTCCAATCTGAAGATGACCCCAAGGAATGCCAACCAAGTGAGACCGGTGGTATCACCCTTCAACAATTTACTGAAGCCATATACAACACCGGGCAATACGATAAAGTTAGGCAAGAAGCGAGTCGAGTAGTACAACAAGTGGAACTGAGTGAGCAAAAGTACCAGGTACCAGAACCCTATAAGTCCCTTAATCTTAGCACCTTTATCTCTGAACGTAATTTGGTTAACAGCATTTCTCAAGTTCGTCAATGCCCACCAGTTGGCAAATCCCAATAACGATCTAGCAATTACCTGGAGATGGATCTGGTCATCAGACACTTCGTATGGTTGCAAGGAGGTAAGCTCCAAACCAGCTTTCAAAAGCTTCACCAATCCGCCTAATATCACACTTCCAAAGAACGTTCTGGGAACTACACCAGGGAAACTCTGGTGGTCATAGTTCTGTTCAACAACTTCCGAAGGATATATGCCATAGTTGATTACGTCATGGATAGCCTGAGTATTGAACGATTCTTCCACCTTGGAAAAGGGTGACAACACAAGGTGGTATCCGATTATTCCTAGGAGAACTAGATCGAGGATCTTGTTGTATTTGTACATTTCAACTTAACGAACACTCAAAAAGAAAGACTATCAAACTACAACAATTGCTTTGCTTTTTTGCATGTCTCCACCTTATCACCCACTTTCTTTTTTTCTCGTATATTGAAAAATTTCCAGTCGGTATTATTTTTTGTCTGCGCCGTTTGTACAGACGGACTAGGCGTTCTTCTTTTGCTTTAACACACCCTAGGGAGAGATATTTGCTACTTGGAAGCATGGATTTTGATGATATTCCTGACTTGGTGGAGGAGCTTCCCGAAAATTTCGAATCTGTTACGAAAAAGAGAGACCAGCCCGTAGAAGCCGTGGGGCCGGCTGGAGTAGATGGAGATGATGTCAGCAAAGAAGCTCGATCTACTGAGCAACCTGCTGAGCAACCAGCTCACACTGACAAGATACCCATAACTATAATCACAGGGTACCTTGGATCAGGAAAGTCTACGTTGCTAGAACAAATCGGCAAAAAGTCTACCAAAAGACTTGCCATCATTCTAAATGAGTTTGGTGATTCGTCAGCAATAGAGAAGGCAGTGACCATAAAAGATACCCAGTCGCAAGAGGCGGTCCAGGAGTGGCTAGATTTGGGTAACGGGTGTCTCTGTTGCACTGTGAAGGACAACGGAGTCACTGCCATCGAACAGCTTGTAGAGAAATCCAAAGGCAAGATTGACTACATCCTTTTGGAGACTACCGGCGTGGCTGACCCGGCTCCCATTGCGAAGATGTTTTGGTTGGATGAAGCCCTAGCATCCAGCGTATACATTGATGGTGTTGTGACAGTTGTAGATGCTTCGAACATCGTGAAGTGTCTCGATGACATAGGAGGTCACTGGCACAGGCAGAACAACCACTTGCTTACGTCGCAGTCTATAAACGTAGAGGATTTGACGGAGGAAGAGTTGGAACTAGAGCAAAGGAGACTATCAGAGGGCATTTCCACTGCCCACTTACAAATAGCTCTTGCAGACACCATTTTAATCAACAAGATCGATACTATCAAGACAGATAGCGGCAAAGAGCTAGAAGAAATCACTAGTAGAATCAGATCTATAAACCAACAATCTCCCATACATACAACCTCCTTTGGAGACATCCAGTTGGAGAATATCTTAGATTTGCATTCATTTGAGAGCAATCTAGACAAATTCAAGGGCTCTTTAAACTACAAGTCCGACCAGACTTTCCATGACGGGAGAATTGGAACCGTAACATTGACCACTCCGTTCTTCCACAACCTGGATGGGTTTGCGCAAGTGGAATCCTTCCTCAGGCAGGTGTTGTGGGAGAATGAGGCCAATGGAGAAGCCATAGAGATACACAGAGTGAAGGGTGTATTGGTCTATGACAACGATGTGAGAGTCATACAGGGTGTTAGAGATACCTATGACATCATCGAAGGAGGACAGTTGGTAGAAGGTATCACAGAGAACAAGATTGTACTCATAGGAAAGAACTTGAGCCTTGATAACTTAACCAAAGAACTCGAAAAGCATTTGCATTGAATTTCACTGTTCCCTACAAGCGCAATATACCTTCTCTGTTATACATTCATATAAATACACTTCTAAATATTCTATTCAAATATTAATATAATGAATATCAACAACCTTATAAAATTAAAAACGTTCAGCAAATTCCTATATCCATTTTATCGTAACTCTTTCCCTGATTGTAAACATACTTTTGATTAATTTAAAAGACGTCACCTTGGGAGAACATAGCGTCAGCAACCTTGATGAAACCAGCAATGTTAGCACCCTTTAATAAGGATGGTAAACCTTCAGAGTTCTTGTCAGCAGAGTACTTGACGGCGGTTTCGTAACAGTTGTCGAAACATTCGTACATGATGGTCTTCAACTTAGAGTCAACTTCTTCGGTGGTCCATTGGACTCTTTGGGAGTTTTGGGCCATTTCTAAACCAGAGACAGCAACACCACCGGCATTGGAAGCCTTACCAGGTGCGTACCAGACGTCCTTGGATCTAGATTCTTCGAAAACATCAATAGCTTCCTTGGTAGAACCCATATTGGAACCCTCAGCGATGAACTTACATCCGTTTTGGATCAAAGCCTTGGCTTCGTCACCAGAAACTTCGTTTTGGGTGGCAGATGGTAAAGCAACATCAACTTGACCAACGTGGACCCATGGTCTAGCACCTTCGATGTATTCAACGGAAGCCTTTCCACCTTGGGTGAAGACGGAAGCAGAGATAATCTCGTGTAATGACTTGTGCTTTAACTTGGCAGAACCAATTTCAGCAATTTGGTCTGGTGTAATACCAGATTCGGAGATGATAGCACCCTTAGAATCGGATAAAGAGACAACAATACCACCGAGTTCAATAACCTTTAAGGCAGCGTATTGTGCAACGTTACCGGAACCAGAGATAGCGACCTTCTTACCCTTGAAGGTTTCCTTACCGTTAGTAGCCTTTTCAATCATCTTTTCGACGTAGTACACTAAACCGTAACCAGTGGCTTCTGGACGGATCAAAGAACCACCCCAGGTTAAACCCTTACCGGTTAAGATACCAGACCAGTTGTTTTGCATTTGCTTGTAAGCACCAAACATGTAACCAACTTCTCTACCACCAACACCAATGTCACCAGCTGGAACATCGGTATCAGCACCGATGTAACGAGCCAATTGTCTCATGAATGCGGTACAGAATCTTCTGATTTCGTTATCAGATCTTCCCTTTGGGTTGAAGTCGGAACCACCCTTACCACCACCCATGGATAAACCAGTCAAGGCGTTCTTGAAGATTTGTTCAAAACCTAAAAACTTGAGGATGGACAAGTTGACGGTTGGGTGGAAACGAAGACCACCCTTGTATGGACCTAAAGCGGAGTTGAATTGAACTCTGAAACCATTGTTAACTTCGATTTCGCCCTTGTCGTTTTCCCAGGTAACTCTGAATTGGATAATTCTTTCTGGGATGGAGACAACTGGGATGACCTTCTTATACTCTGGGCTTTGAGAGAAAAGAGTGGAGTCTTCGAGGGCAGAGACCAATTCGTTGTAGGCTTGCTTGAATTCGGGTTCGTTAGGAAGGACCATTGTGTTTCTTGAAAATGTTAGAATAGTAATTAAATAATCTAAATGTACTTAGACTGAAAGAAAGAAGAAGAACAAGAAGAAGAAAGGAAAAGAGAAAAGAAGAAAAAGATTCTCCTCCAGCAATTTTGTTTCGATGCGAACTGCTAACTTATTTATACGCTGTCAAGCACCCTACGGTAACTAACCCAGTTTTGTAACCAGGACCCAAACTGTAAATTACTATAGCCAAAAAAAAAAAATAATACTATAGCAAAGGCTGATTCCTTAGCCTGATTAATCTAATCTCTATCCAATGAGAGGACGCGCCGGTGCAGGGCAGTTTAGGGCCGGGCAATATTTAGAGTGAAAAATTAAGAGCAAAAAAAAAGAAAAAAGGGCAAAAAAAAAAAAAAAAGTCTCTGACCGAGTCATCTCAGTCGAACAAACAATCTGGGGAAGCTTAACTTAGCTAAAGAAGTCGATTCTGGGTGGTATAGCAAACTACTTCGTACCAGCCATAAGCCCAAACTGACCCTCTCAGTGCTTTTGTTATCGTTCCTTTGAAGGTCTCGTAGTCGCACATTGTACCGCTCCCATCTCTCATCCCTCTCCTATTTCCCATTACTCCACTAACCTCTCGAATTTTTTTCTTGATCCATAATCTCTAGCCAACCAGATTACTTCTGCAACACAGACGTAAAAAAACTGGTCCTCCGTAGCCTAACAATGCGAATCGGCGATGTGTCTAACGCTGACTCACGGCGGTCAAGTGTACCCATCAAAACGCACCCGTGCCAGAGAAAACGCTCTCGAGTGAAAAATTTCGCCAGGTCCCGTGCGAAAAAAAAAAAAAAAAACCTTCCACGCGGACTAACTAAGTCATTGGGAGACTGACCATCCACTCTCCAACTCCGGTGCCGGAGGAACACCGTGCTGTGTGTTCTCCACCTACTCGACCGTCACTCTATCTCTTATCGTTGACCATGCAACTTTGGCTATCAATTACGTCTGAGCATTATTTTTTGGCTAGTACGTAATCTGATCTCGTACCGCTGCACTTCTATTCTCCCATCAGAATCTCTTAGCGAACCTCTCGCCTTACCTGGTAGTAATTCCGGCACCATTTTGGCACGCTTCGGAACCGACCGAACTGATCTGTTCTTTCTGCAGGAAACTTTTTCAGTCCAGGCAGTACGGTTACATCACTGTGTGGAATTGCCTTCCTAATTGGATTCCGTTCGCTTGTACTGAGAAGGCATTCTGTCATGTTAGCTTGGGCGATCTGGTGAGTTGTAGCTTAGGCGATCTGGTGAATTCTACGCTTGGGAGATCTTGTTTAGGCTTAACACCGCCTAAGTCGGACTTGTTCGGATTTGTTAAAGTTAAGTTGGGCTGGGAATTAGCCTGCTTCGAGGTTTTAAAGGGAATCAAGAATGAGAGAAGACATCTACAAGAACTCCATACTTATGCGATGGTTAGGTTTTATTTACATGCTTATTTATATACACATTCTCACCGAGAAGCTATTCGTTGTTAGATTTTCATCGTGCCTGATACTCTTCGGCAGTTCAGCCAATTCCTCAGGATCAGCTTCTCACTGAGCAGATTCGAGTACTACCCACCTGCTCACCATTATTCGAGATCAGCTTCCTCCTCAGTAGATTCCTGTTAAACTACTCAGCTGTTCAGCTAATTCCTTGAAATCAGCTTCCCACGTAGCAAATTAACTGCTAGGGTCCAGCTGCTCAACAATTTCTCTATACCCTCCTGCTTGGCAGATTCGAGCTACTCTACTCACTGGTTTCGACAATCCTGTCAAAAACCTTCATTCTCGACGTAACTCTTTCGTCCACCTCCAATTCTTGGGCCCACTCAGATCCCTTTTCCTTTCCTCTTTCAACCCACTTCTTGGGCCAGTCGAGCTCTTCTTCCTTCCCCATGAATGCATCCCTGAACTCAAATGGTCGAGAAGTATTGGCCACCACTATCGTGGACGTTCTCTCACAGTAGTCTTCAGCGACGTACCTCTTGGTATAAAACCTATATATCTTCCTAGGTAAATTCAAGAATCCCAATATGTTGGGCACTGGGAAAACATAAACCGGCTGTTCGAATAAAACTGGAACGTTTTTATCGTTCCTGATGATTTGAGTCAAATTCAACTCAGGCGCAAGTTCAGCCTTGGAGTAGTCTGCTGGAGATATAAATGGCTTAGGCACTGGTTCTCTCTTATCCTCATCATCCTCCTGTTCATCTGGGATAGAAAAGTCTGCTGGTACCTTATTTCCCTCTGCATCTACTTCTACCTTCTCTTCTGGCTTGTCCAAAGGACCGAGCAAACCTTCGTGCACTCCAGTGATGTACTCCTTGTACGCACCTCTACCAATGCAAACAACACCTCCAGCGCTTTCTGGGCTGACGGCATCGTCTCTCTGAACCGAATCAAATGGCTTGACTATTCTGTACAATCCCAAAACATCTGTTGGCTGGTAAAGTTCTTGACGAGTCTTGGTTGGTTCGTCCAAGGGATCTTCCTTCTTGTTCCAAGTGAGCCCGCTGCCAATATACGAGCCATTGCTCTTCTTTTCAGCGCTCTTCGTCTTATCGCTGTCTCCTGAAGCATTATCTCCACTCTTCTTCTTCTGCTCTCTTCTTAGCTGTCTTATCTTCTCAGCTACTCCGTTTCTTATATCTCCTTGTCTGTTCTCTGTGAACACTTCGTAGTCAACGGCACTGGCATTCAATACAGGCTTAATGTAACGCTTGAAGTACCTCAATGATTCGTCCAAGAAATCATTTGGAGGTGGTGCAATGAAAATGGTAAGCTTCCTAGGGATCCTGTCATTGGCATACACCTCAGTACTGTACTGTTCCACCTGATCCATCCACTTCTTACGGATTTGTTTCTGCTGGTATTTATCGTAAGCTATCCCTCCACCAATCGAAGCCAACACAGTCCAAAATATCATCCAATTTCTGGAAGGAAGCGAGAATCTGGGGATCCCCATCATTCTTAACGCTGGGTTCTTCCACTGCTTCTTGACTTTAGGAGCATTCTTCTTGGCCGTTCCGTCTGTTTTCGGGATTTCGCTCTCTGCCGGTTTAGGTGCTTCCGAAGCTGCCTTCCCGCCTGTTTCTGACATTCCTGCTACTATTATTCTATGGATACGGGCCCTTTAATCGACCTCCTCCAGGTCTCTGCTCGTGGCACAAAATTTTTCATCACGCATATTGGCATTTCGAGTGTCGTGTGCAGTTCAATTTGAATACACAGTGGAACCGCGTTAACTAGAGGAGGAACGCTTGGGCTGTTAAGCTATGGATACTGGCTAGAATACATATATAATGCTGTCCAGCAGAAGGTCTGGCGATTTCCAGCTACCATCCTACCTCCCTCTACATTCCTCTTTACTTCGAAAATTCGAAAAAATCCACTCCAACCGCCCCCCAGAGTATGATATCATTTCGCAATCAATAAATGATCTAGTCAGATCTACAAGAGACTATATAGAGTATATACTAAAGAAAGAAAGCGGCCAGGACGCAGCCATATACGTAGATGACACCTTGCTCACAAATAATCTTCAAGCATTGGAGTCCTTGATCCGCTCGAAATATGACTTGGATGTGTTGATGGACTCTACAAAGGAGTCCAGATCGAGAATACGCCAGGATACCAAAGAAGTGCAACCACTTACCATTGAAAGCTTGCAAGAGTCTACGAACGAGCTAGACGTGGGCCAAAACTTCGACGAAGTGATAATCAGTAACTACAATTCAAACTTGGAGCTCCACTCCTCGCAATCTTCTTTCCGCTCGTACTTGTCCGGTGCACCCAGCTACCAGTACGTGAAGAATGTTTCTTTCATATTGACGCACCCAGAGGACCCACTACCTGACGATAACAGTGCCTTACAAACCAGTGATGACTTAGAAGTAGCGGGCGGTAAGATCTCTTTAAAGGATCCCATATCATTGCAGTACTTTAAAGACCCCGTCAGATCGAAGAAATGTCTCCACGTCTTTGAGCTGAGCACTATAAACAGTATGTTCCCAGATCATAGAAGCGGTGCGCTCATTGAGTGTCCCACTGATGGGTGCAAGGCGCAGATATCCAGGCAGGATTTGGAACCTGACGAGCTAATGCAGTTACGAGTGAGAGTGTACCTAGCAGCGAAATGAGAAACGCTGTGACTAGCAATATAAAAATTGTAGAAATCGTACAAGAACATGAGCTTTATGTGTACTAAGAACCTGCAGTTTGATCCCCTAATTTGCATATACTTAATATATAAGACTTACTCAATTCGCAGCCATTAGTAACGCATGTAAGATGTAAAACTACTTCCTTACGAGTAGCAAACTTTCTACAAATCTTTCACAAGCTCTTCCCCTCCGCACACCACCTTCATAACAACTCTGAGAGAATTTTTTCGCCCATCCTAGTCCCCATCACACTGCCCTTACATTCCATGCAATTAGCCTTTAACCTTTAGTCTTCAGGACTCTTGATTTTCCTGCATATTGTCTTGGCAATGCCTCCCTTTGGCGTATTGATTAAGAAGACAGGCAGGCGGTGTATTAGCTCTCTTCTCTCGCTGTAAACTGCCTCTACACTTCAATATGTCAGTTAATTACTCCAAATTGCACCTGGTTGACATGCCGGTGACGGATTTAGACGACCAAGACGAAGATTTTGCCCTTGACGAGCACCACCACCACCAGAACCAACGTCAGCAGTTCGACCCACTAGAAGGATTAGACTATGAGGTGGAAGATACCCACGACGAAGCTGGCAATGGTTTAGGAAGTAGCGGAATCTTCGGATCTGTGAGGAACACCTTCAACAGTGCTGAGGAAAGGATCCGTTTGGTGTTTAACGGGGGGTATGGACAGCCACCGAGCTACGAAGATAGTGAGCGTGCGCCTGAGTCTTCAGTCGAGTACTGGGCTTCTAAAGTTCGTAACGCTGGCAGGTCTTTTGGCGACACATTGAGAGGCTCGCTACACCGAACCAATACTTTTGAGCTAAGGGATATGAGCAATGACAATGATGATCTTTACGCAGATGTGCCCAACAATAAGAACTTGATCACAGGTGAGAGATCCTGGAAGGAGAAAGGTCTCTGGGGAGTTCTCATATTTGCCATGTCTGGTATGCTATTTTTCTTGGTAAAATTTGGTAACCCATTGGCCAGACAGGAGGAATATCACAGGACCCATACCATTAACAAGGTGGTATTGTCCAATACCACGCATGATTTCCACAAGACGACTATACTTGTGTCATTGGATGGGTTTCATCCACACTACATAAATTCCAAGTTGACTCCTACGCTTCACAATATGCTCCTACATGACTATGGTGCCCCCTATATGATTCCCTCCTTCCCTCTGTCCACATTTCCAAATCATTGGACACTTGTGACTGGATTACACCCTTCAGAGCACGGAATTGTAGGTAACACCTTTTATGATCCGGTGTTGGATAAACAATTTGTTAACACGGACAAGACCAGGGGTGCATTGGATCCAGAATTTTGGCAAGGAGGTGAACCGTTATGGGAAACCGCCTACAAGCAGGGTGTAAACTCTGCTATACATATGTGGCCAGGCAGTGAAGTTCCTGGAATCGGGTTTGAAAATGGTCCAGAGTTCGTCGATGCCTACAATGGCCTGGAGTTGCTTTCAGCCAAAGTAGAGCGAGTAATGACCTGGTTGGATATCGAGAAGATAGAAGAAAGGCCAGAACTTATTCTATCCTATGTTCCCACGATAGACACTTTTGGTCACAAGTACGGTATCTCTGGCCCAGAATTGGAGAAGGCTCTTACCTACGTTGACGACTTTATTGATTTATTACTTTTGGAATTGAAAAAGAGAAATTTGCAAGACATAGCCAATGTCATTGTAGTGAGTGACCACGGGATGGCACCAACCTCCAACGATAGGTTATTGTACCTTGACGATCTCATCGACTTAAATAATGAAATTGAGCATATTGATGGCTGGCCATTATTCGGCTTAAGACCAAAGGAAACTGGATCCAAAGCTGAGGAGGCTATAATTGAAGAATTTAATAAAAACATTCCAGACGATTTGAAGGATCATTTCCAAATTTACAAGGTAGATGAATTGCCAGAAGAATGGCAGTTTGGAGGAGCATTGGAAGATCACAAATTCAACTACAGATTGGCACCTATTTGGGTAATTCCTCACGTGGGCTATGCTGTAACAACCCACAAGCAAATGAAAGATAACAACTATGATTATAAGCCTAAGGGTGTACATGGATATAATAACACCGAACTCCTTATGAGAGCTGTTTTCCTTGGGCGTGGACCATACTTCGATACCAAGTTGGAAAATTCGGCTAACATGAAGAGAATTTTACCATTTCAAAATACTGAAGTGTACAACCTTATTTGTGATACCCTTGATATGAAACCATCGCCTAATAACGGTACTTTTGGAACTGGAAAAACAGCTCCTGGTGAAACATTGCATTCACAGACTTTATTGTCCTTTATCAATTTGTTGCCCGAAGATTGGCTAGACGAGTTAGAGTATCCTAACTTACCATTTGAAGTGGATCATGTAGTCGAAGACGCAACGTATGATTTCTTGTGGAAAAAACCTTCTAGAATCCAACCAACTACTGTGTCAGTTAGCACGAACACTAATCCAGCATCGTCATTGAAGTTGGAAGCATCTAACATAGCTGAGGTGTCGGAACACATTCCAAAGCCTACAGATTTAACAGGTGAGGCAGAACCGACTAGCAAACCAGCTGATGACGGCGATAATCCAAGTAAAGGATCCATAGGTGAATCAGAGGGTCACTCTTTCTGGGGTGGAATCAGTGAAGGTTTTAATGATCTTGGCGAACATTTGGACAATATCTTTGGAGATGTAGTCGATGGGGTGGAGAATATCTTTGACGATTTGTTCGATGGTGGACACGGCCGCCGCCGTATCTAAATTTTTTTTCTGTTGCTTTATTAGCTTGATCATAGGCTTTCTTCAATTTCATTTCTTTACATATTTAAACTTACAAAATCTTTCGCTATTTATGTATGGCCCTCAAAATTAATATATATTGCATCTAAAGCTTAGATTTCTTCTTATTGTTTTGCCAACCGAAGGATAGAGTGGTATTTAATCCCAAATCGATCTTGACGTTGATCAAAGTGGACTTGTTTTCTAGTTGGTAAGCTGAAATTGCGTCCTTTATTGCCTTTTCCAACTCTTCCTCATTATGCACCAAGGCACCATTTATTCCTAAACCTTGAGCAACTAAATCATATCTGGTGTTTTGTGACAAGGCAGTAGATGGAAGTGGAGTATTGCTACCAACTTCATACAATTTTGGATCAGAGCCATGGTAGATGCCGCTGTTATTCAAGACAACAATAATCATAGCCAAATCGTTTCTGGCAATAGTTTCCAATTCCATTCCAGTAAACCCAATAGCGGAGTCTCCTTCCAAGGCAACTACTAATTCATTAGGATTGGCTACCTTAGCAGCGATCGCGTAAGGCAATCCTACACCCATAGTTGCATTGGTTCCAGCATCTAGTCTCTTTCTGGGGTAGTTCAAAGGGAAAGACGTCCTCGAAATGTCCATCGTGTTTGCACCTTCGGAAACATACGTAATACCTTTCTCTTCGACTGAGCTATCGATAAGGGCGTCCCGTATAATTTTGTAAACTCTGTGGTAAGAAAGTAATGCACCAGCAGGAGTCGGTTTTGCGTCTATTGCTTCCGCCTTTTGCGTATTTATTTTCCTTTTAACAATGAGCTCTTGATATATTGGTGGAGGTGTATAATTGAGAGCATGCAACTCCAGTGACAATTGACGAACAACCAAATCTAAATCTCCATACAAACCGTATTTAGTTGATATTGAGCGATTGTTACCAATTTCCTCTGCGTGGTTATCAATAGTAATAATCTTAGCATCATCAAGGAACCTTTCTCCGCTATGCAAAATCCAATTCAACCTTGCACCGCAGAGGACAATAACATCCGCCGAAGATATAGCCAACGAGCGACTTGACAGGAAATTGAGTTCGTGAGAGTCTGGAACGACTCCCTTACCCATTGGGGTTGGCAAGAATGGTAATTTATACTTGTTCACCAACTCGGAAATACTTTCAGATGCATCAGCGTACGCTGCACCCTTCCCAATAATAACTAGCGGGTTCTTGGCCAGAGACAAGATCTTAGCAGCTATCGCTATTTTAGCAGGGTCTGCCTGAGACCTTGGTGCATCTCTAGGGGGCTCAATTGATTTAGACAAGTCTGTAGCGTTTTGAGTTTGAATTAAATTAGCAGGCAAGTCAATGTATGTTGTTCCAGGCTTTCCAAAATAACTCACTCTGTACGCCTTTTCGATTAACCTTGGAACCTGAGATATGTCAAAGGGTCTAGCAGCAAACTTGGTTTGCCCAGCCAAGTACGACACTTGATCTAACTCCTGGAATCCTCCCTTTTGGTTTTCATCAAATGATGCTGATCCAGCGAGTACCAACAACGGCCAGCAGTTTGAGTTCGCATTCAAGATCCCAGCCGTAGCATGGACCACGCCGGGCCCTCCAACTACAAGCAACACACCCGGCTTCTTAGTAAGAAACCCATAAATAGAAGCAGCATACGAAGCAGCCTGTTCGTTTCTAAAAGCAATAAATTTGATTCCCTTGGCAATTAAGGCATCTGCAACTTGCACCACTGGAATCCCTACAATACCAAAGACCGTATCTATTTCAAGCTCAACCAAGGTCTGAGCAATTACGTCAGATCCTGCAACCATTTTTTTGACAAGATTTTTTGATTTTTTTAGTTAAGTGATTTAAATACTTGCTTTCCTAAACTAAAACTGTAATAAAGCCGATCTGCTTAACAGAGTACTGCCTTCTTGCTTTTGCTCTACTCCTGGGCTTACTTCCCCATATAAATAGAAAATTCGTAATTTTAGTGTGGAGAAAAAAAAACATTTCGGACCGTCCTACCGAGCGCTTCATCAGGGCAGAGCAGATGGACCGATGCGAAGCAGTTAGAAAGAGGAATCCGGGACCACGGTACAGGGCGGGCCTTTCTATTCAGATGGGAGGTCAATGCAGTAACCTAAGTCCAACATGACGCTTAATTTATAGTTACACTATGAAAAAAGAGAAAATGTAGCTTCTATGTGTTTGGTATATAGGTATATTTTCTGGTCTCGATCCGTTTCCGGAAAGGTTAATCTTGCCAAATACGAGTTATGTATATACATATATATGAACTAAGTGTATTATGTAAACCACCTGGGATATCAGAATATCTCACTAGGGTGTTCGAAACTCGTCATAATTTCTTAATATTGGAAAACTAGCGGACGTCCTGATAGCTCGTGGTTCCAGTGTAGTTGTATTACCTGGTGAATGGTTCCCCAGATGGCGTAAAAATGGTGAATTGGAGTGAGACAGTCTTAAAGTCCTTCCTACTTGTGGTGTTTCAGGAGACCCGTTGAGTAAGCGCAAAACATCAGGCTCGGGTGTATTCCCTTCTTTATTACTCCACTTTTTTCTATTATTTTTCCCCTTGCTGGAAGACTTCGTATATCTACTCTTAAGCAACTTATCATCGGTACAGTCCTCGCAGAGCCTGATAATGAGATCTTTTGGTAAATCTTTAAACGCTTTGGACCTTAAAAACATGGACCATCTATCTCTTATGTAAGATGTGATGCACAACAAGAACGCAGGTTCTTCAGATAAAAGTACATTTGCCCAAACCTGGAGTATAATGTCTATCGTTGCCTCAGATACAGTTCCTGTAGCCTTTGAAAGTATATCCATCAAGTGGTACATCTTGTGCAATATTTTGCTTCTCATTTGCGGAATTTCATATACATTGGATAGCACAAGCATCCCGGAATAATCATAAATCGATATCATTGATGTCGAAAGGCCATTGCTTTCAAAGTTGATGTTGTCTGTATATATGGAGAATACCATACATTGTACCCATAGAAATGGTTCTGCTATAAACATCATATTGTGCAATGTTTCGGACATTCCACTATCGATTAATCTTCTGAAGTGTGGCCACCTTGCCAAAAGAATAGACTTATGGACTTTGATAGATTTAAATAAGTCTCCATCCATATTAAGTAGTTCACCATTCATTCTTTTGTCTATCAAATTATGATATGAATCTGGATTGTTCTGATAATCATCTCTTACTTGGGTTGAAGATAGAGTTAAAATTTCAAAGTCAGAAAAGTCTCCGTTCAATAGTAACTTCATAAAATCTGAAGACAATGTACTTCCACTATTGTTGATGCTGCTGTCATGGAGATTTGGAACTCCTAAATCAGCAACATTTATCGCAGTGAAGTACGTCAACTTAGAAGTTTCGCCTGTAGGTTCATCTACTGAAACATCAGCGTCGAATTCCGCCATGTCGCCTTCCTCACTTCCATTTATTCTCATAGCTGCTGAAGGGTCTGTCGTATTAGAAGAACCTGTATTTCTGGCTGCTGCTGGTGTAGCTGAGCTACTTGTATTGTTGTTTTCTATTGATGGATGTCCCAACAAGTACAACACCCCATCGCCAGAAACAAATGAATGCCTCCATTCGAAACTTCTCGTACTGCTGTCAGAACTCATATTCAATAAAGGCATGTATCTGAACTCCGATATGTTGAATGCAGAAATTGTATATTCTCGATCACGATTGGTCGAACCCCACAGAGGTAAAGAAACATCTAGCTTAATCTCCGAATTGACTCCCGAGTCCATATATATATGCTCGCAATCAGCAGAGTTGAAGTTTTGATAATTTCTTTTGTTAAGAATTAACTCTAAATCTTCTCCATCATAATCAACATCTTCTTCTTCTTCATCTCCCTCCTCATCTCCTGAAATGTGACTGCCATCGACTCTATTTGTATAGATCTTAGGTAATGCAAAATTTGTTGGTTTTCTTAAAAGAACCAATTCTCCAATGCTGTAATCGCTCAACTCAAACCATGTCAAGGTATGGTTAACATGATTCATGTCTTTGTTCAAACCACCAAATGAGTAAAGTTTACCATTGTGTTCGGATATGAAATGGTCAAATCTGGCTATAAAGTCGATGGGACCAGTCCAATGTCCATTAACCAAATCGTAGCAGTATAAATCGTTCAAAGGTGAAGAGTTAACTAATCCACCACTTATATAAACTTTGGTACCATCTGGAGAAAGACAGCATGCATGTCTTGATCTCGAAGATGGAGCATTGGCAAGAGTAAAATTAGGAGGTCCAACCCAAGTTCTACTGAAAACATTATATATCATCATTAAGCTATCCTTAGCAAACCCGCTAGCACCTCCGGTGCTACCAGCACCATTCGAAACATGAAGTTCATCCGACATTGGGAATTCATCATGTGGGATACCACCAAATACCAAGATATTACCATCACCTATATATATGGCCAGATGTCCTTCTCTGAATAAGCCGGCATGTTTTTCATCAACTTCCCACATCCTAGTCTCAAGGTTCAAAAGATATACATTACTATCTAAGTTATCGAACTCATCGAACCCACCAAACAAGAAAACATATGGCGTACCGGTGCATGGCACTAGGGTAGCTTTTACGTTGTACCGTGGAGCATTGTCACCAGTGATCTGGCTTATTTTAAGCGAGTTAGACTTGCTGTATCTTGGCATTGAAAAATATGTGGGGGAATAGAGATGAGAATCTGATAAGAAAAATGAAAAACCAAAACTAAACCAAGATGGTGATGATAACAGCAATGAATAAGCCGTATAAACCTCAACGGTTATTCCTTATAGAATATTAAATGTGTTGGTGTCTATATATATATATATATCCCTGCACTATATTCATATATGTACATATACATATATATATATCCAAGTGTTTGTCTCGAGGTATCTATAGGACCCTTTGTGTTCACGATTATTTCGAAGAATTTCAAATTGCAACCTTAATTATTGTGAGGCTTATTTCTCGTATTACACACTTTGGCTAGAAGACTATTTACGCAATCAAGGGACTCTTCGACTGTCAATATAAATGTTGTTATGCTTGCAGACTCCTTGATGTGCTAAAACTTGAAAGAATAGAACTCGAACTTCGAAGTATGAAGTGAATATGTATTCTCTTCACCACTGACAAATTAAGGTGGTACGGAAATTTTTCCTCTGATTTCTCAAAATCTCACCCTCGTGAATGATTCACTTAGGAGTAGTGCATATAGGCCAGCGTACTCCGCTACACCATACTGCTACACTATACTTGTGAAGAGGTATACATGTGTATTATAGACGTATATATGTGTGTAGAAAGATAATGAAGAGTATCGTATCGCATTGGATCCCTCTATGCATCTCTGCTTCACCATGTTTGGAAGGGATCCTTGTCCTTCTCACTGATCTTAACTTCAGAACCCTCAGGCAATTCTTCAATTAACTGTTCCTGTATGGTGTTTAAGAATGCTCTTTCAGTGTTGGAATGGTTACATACAATAATGGAAGATCCTGTTTCGTTGAAATATAATGCCTCATGGTGAGATAATTCTCCGGTGTAGAACAAATCAGCTTTAAGGCCACGGAAAACCCCACCACCCGAACCTGCACAGATAGCAATGCTGCTGATTAAGTGTTCCTTGTTTTCACCACGGGCCAAGGCTACTTGAAGGTGGGATAATCCCAAACTTACCTTTACGTTGTCTACTAATTTACTTAAAGGGGTTGGTTTGGACAATTGGATAATTCTGCCCATTCCACAACCTTCTTCTTCTTTATCCTTTTCAACAACTTCTCTCGAGTCTTCCTTTATTCCCTTGGAAATTCCATCTGCTAAGAAGTCATTGACTCCTCCCTTGGCGCTATCAACAGCAGTATGGGGACAATACACACTTATTCCGTTGCGTATTAACTTAACTAATGACTTTTGTTGTGGATCTGACTGTCCAATGGATTTCAACCCTTTGAAAATGAATGGGTGGTAAGCCATAATCAAATTGGATTTATTCTGGATTGCTTCATTTGCAACATCTTGAGTTAAGTCAATTGTAAGCAAGACACGAATCTTTTCATCTGCTGCAGAAGATGACTGCTCGTCATGACTGGCATCGACTAAAAGACCAGTGTTGTCCCACGTCTTATCCGCCAATTTTATGGGATAGAACTTCTGAACTACGATTTGCTATGTTAGTGAAAGTTGATTGAAAAATAAAATTAAATGAATGATGGAAGGTATGAGCAATCTCGAAGTCTAACAAATTTTCTCACCTTTTGGTTTAAAATTTCACTTACTTGCGTTCACTGCGGTCTTTACTACGTTTTTCGACATGGTTCTTCAATTCTTTATATGATTCTTACTCTTCTTGTCCGATTCTTGGAAGTAGTTTTTTTTTCACCTTGACCTTTCTTTGCTCTATGCTTAAAATTCGCAACTTTCTAATATTGCCAATTACCTGCACGCTAGTTTTCTAACATGCTTAACACTAAAGTAGAATTGAAGCTAGTACATGTTGCCCAGTAGGGCACTCCTCCCAATGCTTCAGTAAAAAAGAATGCGCAAACCCGGAATCGAACCGGGGGCCCAACGATGGCAACGTTGGATTTTACCACTAAACCATTTGCGCTCCGAATTTGCCTCTTGCCAGAATTGAACTAGCGACCTTTGCATTACAAGTGCAACGCTCTACCACTAAGCTAAAGAGGCCCAATTTCGTACTGGTGTAATTTTTGATATCGCTGTTGTTTGCATTGAAATAGTAAGACTGAATGAAGGAGCCTGATCAATCAGTATGGATGATGTGGCTGCTATCCATCAATATAGATAATTATGGTATCTAGTGTTCTCCTAATCAGAACTTGGGTGCTTCTGCAGAAGATTTGCCTAATTAAAGACAATTATTTTATGGTCCATAAGATAATTGCCAAAATTACTGTTTTCCAATGTTTTATATTACTTAGGTTTCTTTGCGAGTACCACGATACTGCATCACTTAACAGGAAAACAACGATATGTAAGAATTAATTCATTGACTAATTAGCTGACCGTGAATGTAATTGCACCGGAAATCATACAGTACTGGATAGTGGTAGAGAATGGCTGAGATGCTGTTTACCCCCGAGCCCTCGCTTAGATTCGCAACACATAAAACTGCCAAAATCAGTGGAGCTTGAAATTTATGGCCAAAGGGTATTGGTACGCACAAACATGCAGTGGACTTAAGCTTCCTGGAACCTAGAAATAGAGCGAGATAGAGCGAGATACAAATTCCCAGCCAGCATATATTGCCTTATTTCTAGAGGCGTCCATCCTAAATTGTGAAATATGTGGTCCAGAAGGGCCGGTGTAAGGGTGTTCTTCAACCAAGAAGTACTCCGGGAGACCACACCATATCCATTACAGTAGAGAATTCATGAATGGGATCTCTTCTGGCAAAATGAGAAGACTGCATGACAACACCTTTCTATGAGCGATTATATTATGTCCGACCGCTGCTGGGCCTGAGAATCTGAGGTGATTCAGTCTTGATTGGCTTTACCCACTCGGCGCTAATTAGTTAAGGCGACAGCACAAGCTTGGAAGCATGACCACTATATATGCCACAAAGAAGCTCCTTTCACGCCTCCCAGGTAACCATACAACTACCTTTCATCCGATTACAAGCTTTTCATCTAAGTAACTGGTCACTCGCTTAATGAACGGCTAGTCTTACCTACGCATGTTGCAGCCGTTCGGTACTTTGCTCGCTCGATTTTTTCACTCTTCTCCACAAAATCACCACCTTGAGGAATTTTCAGCCGTTTTTCCGCAGTCGTTCCCAGCCTAAATGTAAAGACTCTTAAAGTCTCAGGAAACATCATAAAGGATGTCACAGCCTTGTGAAAAATAAGTATAGAAGGCTAGGCAGGTAGAGCGCCAAAAAGAAAGTAAACTGGAGAGGTAGCGAGAATTGAGAACAAATACACAAACCCGAATAGAATTTATAATAATAATAAGAAAATAATATAGATATATAGAAAGTGAACATAGTAGTACCTCGAGATCAATAGTATGATTGACACCAGTAATGATGACATTAGTGAACCTTTCATTCACTCGTTGGATAAAGACGTAAAGCATACAGTGCTTTTTGAAGACGAATTAATAGTAATGGACTCTGCTGACTGGCGGAACAGCATGTTGCTCCGATTTCAAATCCTAGGGGGATACTTCGCCTTTGCATTCTTTGGGCTTGCAGATCAAACAGTAGGGACATTGATCCCAATATACCAAGATCATTACAAGATTAATGATGTACAGACAAGTATGATTTTTTTAGCGTTGACCTCGGGATACTTCCTGATGGCCTTTTTAAGTGGCTGGTCCCACACCAATTTAGGTGTCAGGGGAGTTGTAGTAATGGGAATGTCTTGCATGATATTCTCTTTTATAATTATATCTACCGACCCCCCGTTCTTCTTAGTGGTTGTGTGTTATGTATTTAGTGGGTTAGGGGTTGGTGGTCTTGACGCAAGTCTTGGAACCTGGATGGGGAACCTTGTAGACTCCAATGAAATTATGGGTATCTTACATGGCTTCTATGGAATTGGGTGCATGATCTCACCTCCGGTAATCACTTCTTTACTCGAAAGGAAATCAAATCCTTGGCACTGGAATCTGTTTTACCTTGTGCTCGCCTGCCTAGGATGCTCCATTTTGGCCTTCCTCATTTTGACCTACAGGAATGAAACAGCAAAGAAGTATAAGTACATCAATGTCATGAAAGGCAGAAAGAACCGGAAAGATCCACTCCAAGGAGAAAATGAAGAAGATGAGTTCGAGTTGGACAGTCTTAGTGGATCTACTAATAGACCAGATGTGGAAGGAGATGAATCTGAAGAAGACCAAGAAGATGATGACACTCATGTTTCCATATCTGAAGTCATCAAATCCCCAATGGTGTGGGCACTTGCCTTTGCCCTTTTCACATATGTTGGAAATGAAGTAGCCTTTGGATCCTGGCTCATTACTTACTTGACTCGTATTAAAAAATTCTCATATAAACATTCGTCGTATCTAGCTTCGACCTTTTGGATAGGTTTAACTGCCGGAAGAATTGTCCTTGGTTTTGTAACAACAAGAGCCTTCAAAACAGAGCTTAAGGCAAACTTTGCTTATGTTATTTTAACCCTTGCTGGATACTTTTCTTTCTGGGTACTCACAGCCACAACTTCCAATGAATTGGTTATCTACCCACTGGTATTTTTCACTGGGGTGGTTGTTGGACCAATTTTCCCCACAGTAATTGTATGTGCCCTAAAATTGTTACCACACAGACTCCAAACTGCTTCTATAGGGTTTATATGTGCATTTGGAGGCGGAGGAGGTGCCGTTATCCCATTTCTTATGGGTTTAGTTGCAGAGTCAAAGTTGGGGTTGGAATGGTTTCCTTTGATAAATGTCATCGTTTCAGGTCTAGTAGCATGTATGTGGATCTTCATTATGAAGAAATATGGTTCAAATTTTAGCGCTAATACCATTTAGGATAGTTATGTTATATTTTAACTAAGGCAACAGTTATTTCATTTTTATATTTTGGGTGCTTGAAGTAGACTTTGATTTTAGAATTTAGAGTATATAGAGTAATCAAGTTACGTTTACTATGTTTGATTTCTAATATAGATTAAGATATTATACACCTTCTATTCATTATTTTCCTCCCTGTGCCTCCCATTCCTCAGGAGTAAATCCTTTTTGGGTGAAAGCATGTATGGATGCAATCTCTTCCTTTAAACTACTATTAACCAATCTATGCCTCATCAATTTGTTCTTACCCTTAAATAATGGCGAAACTATAATGACAGCAAATGCTTGTCCACACCCACCGGACATATCCTCTACCTGCACCAAAGTGGTTTCGATTCTGTCTTCTATTATTTCCTTCAAGGATTCTACTGTTAGAGACATGCTTATAGTTGTGGAGTTGTAGGATTGCTAAGAAAGAGAAATGAAGAATAATTTATCGGGAATCAGTTTTTTTTTTTCTCTATCATAGTGTGCGCAATATATGTCAGCCTCATGTTAGGCTTTACCGACTACTGGCACATTGAACAACTACTGGCAAGAAATTAGCTGTATTTAAGAGATAAATATGACATAGTTATTATTTGATTACGTTTCGGTGGCTAAGATATCATCTTTTATTATTTTTCACGTTATTCGTAAATTGGGTGAACACTTACATACTATACATTCGTAGTCTCCCCGTGAGATTCACGCACAAGCTCAGAATGACCTCTGGAGATGGTGTTTTTTTGAACCATCTCATTCTCATACTTCCCATTTGGATTGGCTTGTGCTGCCTTGAAACTTAAGACAAAAAATGGTGGGCTATTAGTGCAAATCTTTTCTAGCCTATTCATAATTTCCTTGGTAGATACATCTTCCGACATCTTGTTAAAACCTTCCTTCTCGAAAAATTCTAATAAATCTTCTGGAATAGTACTGAGCTCCTCGTGCATTTCAATCAACTGGTTAACGACTTCAATGGCCAAGAAATAAGTATCCCCTTGGTGTGTTCCTGGAAGATCTGCGCTTCCTCCACCAGTTTGAGCTTGCTTAGAATACAAGATATTTGGAGCAATAACCGTAGCCAAATTATGAATATCCATTTTAGATCCGGTTTCTTCATCAATTTCAGCAAAGGATGCCACCCACAGGAAGAAATACAATAAAACTTCTAATAAGTTACGATGACTTCTAGGTAACATTGAGTAAGCCAAATGAATTATTCTCTTTTGCACCAATAAATTGGATTCCTTTTGCGATGAGATCCATAAGTCGTATAAATTAAATGTCAATAAGGGATTAGGTAACTCTCTTAACCATTTTTTCATCAAAGCCGCTAGTTGAACAGCTGTTTGAGCACTAAAGTCTGGTGACTTCAATGGGTTTTTATTAATGGCCTCAGTCAATTCTCTTAACTTTTTGATATTACCATTTAATCTAAAGATTCCTTCGACTGACATATCCTTTTGTCTTAAGGCGTTTATTATATCATCAACAACAATAGGGATTCTTAGCTTTGATGGACCAACTCCATGATCCGAATCGACTCCATACTTCTTAGTCAAGTCTTGTAAATCGACTCCAAATACACCACCAGCACCATTTTTGTTTTTGGCACTGTCTCCACTGCCTCCAAACTTAAATTTGTCCCAAAATGTAGGCAGCTTCCTTGTTTGGATCAATCCCAATAATTCCTCTTTATTATATTTGTTGTTCAGGATTTGAATTAATGCTTCCACAGCAATATGTCTCAAGATGAAGTGTTCAGATTTGTTCAATTCAGAGAAATATTTCAACCTCTTGCCGAAATCACCGCCATTGACAACAATTCCTCCATTACCTACGTTATTCATCACTATTGGAGAGTTCATATTACGATCAGTTTTAAATCCATTGGACTTGTTAGTAGCAACCGTATTGCTACGACCAGAAGCGGCTGCAACAGTTTTGACTGGTTGCATTGGGCGTTGTCCCTGATAAAGACTATTGTGGTGCTTGAATGCATTTGGACGTTGTTCTCTGGCTTGCTCTGCAGCAACAATTCTTGGAATGTCATCCAATGTCAATGACTTTTCACTCTTTAATAAATCTGACGTACGATCAAGATGACTATTCGTAAGTTGTCTTTCAGGTTCATCTCTAATAAGTAATTCTTTCTTTTGAGAAACTTTAAATTGTTCACTTTCTTTTGTGTTTGTAAATGATAATTGAGACGAGAAACTTTCATTTCTGCTCCTGTTAATTCCTTCATCACTATTTGCATCTTCCTCCATTTTTTTTGCTGTATCAGCTTCTGGTGCTTCAACTATTACTGATTTCCTAGCATTTTGCTTAATGGAATTAGACAACTTTTGACTTTGTCTTCTAGACCTTAATCTTGTCACATCATTAATAGTATTCGAATAGTCCTCTTCAGTAGTGGTAACTCGTTTGTCTTCTTCAATTGTCATCATATTGGTACCAGATCCCTGCTTAGAAAGGCTTCCGCTCTTTTGGTTGGTAGAAGATGTTGTGACTGCTCCCATGACAGACTTTGAACGTGCAAGAGCAATTTTCAATAGATAAATTAATTGTGTCAAGTCACTAATTAATTCATATCCAGTTTTTGCATCTGAATCCTTCACAATACATTCTTCACACGATATCAAACCTCCTAACGAATTGAAGCCACATTTAGTTAAATTTTCCTCAGTAGGAGTTATGGTCTTGGTACAATGAGAACATACAAAGCATTTAAAGTGCCATCTTTTATTCTCAAACTTCACACACTCACGTTCAATACTTTTTTGACAAGTGTGACAAGCATCTGTCGCATTCGAAGGAATCAACAAATTTTTATTCATTAATGCTTCCTTTTCCAGTATACTTCCATTTTGAGAATCCAGAGGAATGTAATTCTCAAATCCACTTACGCTATTTAAAAATAAATCAGAAGCTTCAGTAGATCCTTGCAATTTATTTGCCTTAAGCGCGTTATTAAGCCCAATTCTAATCAATAGCTTTAAATAATGTGCGCATCCAGTAATGACCGATAATAATTCTGCTGACAAGCTGCCTGAAGTAGATATCTGTTTTGATTTCCTTAAGATTGCCAAATAACTCATAATTTTACCAGATATATTTCTTGGTTCCTTTCGAAGTAATTGGAAATACTCATTCGTTTCTTCTCCTGATGATGTACCACTGTGATTGCTATTGCTATTGTTGTTTGCAGCTACAACCGGAGTTATTTTCGTACACAATTTTCTTATCAAATCTAAACTTGAAAATAATATTTCAACATTTAGAATCAATTTACCAGTGGACACTAACCCATTTTTCTGATTGCATGTACAAGCATTCAACAACATATCACTTATACACGAAGCAGTAACTTCTTCGTAACCAGATAACTTCAACCAACAACTCATCACGATATTCTCAATCTGTTGCTCGGCTGATAGTAATAACTCACTAGATATGTTATCCAGTTCTTTCAAGTTTTGCATATTTAAAGTTTGGTTGTTGGATATTCTTAGCTTACTTTGAAGCCCAACGCTGTCCGCTGTAATGCATACATTCCAAAATTTATGGACCATATAGCACTCTGGATGCCATTGCTGATTCCTTCCACCCCGAAACAATTCTACAAACTGCTTCACTATAGAAGAATGACAACCTTCACAATGAGACGCATAAAGTTTCGAGTAATGGAAATGACAATATATGTTGCTTTCGTGTTCGTAATAGCTTTCATCGCTTTCGAATACCTTTTGACATACTGCACATTTAAAATGCTCCAAGTGATATTTATTGCCTAAGGCGGTGATATATGGACCTCTCAATGCAGAGTTACAATTGAAACAAATAAGATCCAACTTCTTAAAATAGTCATATTCACAAAGTGCTACCTGGTATTTGGCTCCAGTCTCTACGTCAGTTTCTTCATATGGGAAGAACTTCGATGAACAAGGCTTCATACATTCATTACAGGTGAAACACTCAACATGGTACGCGTTAGAAAGGGCACGGACAAACTGCCCTGTAATCTCTAGTCCACACTTGTTACATATCTTCTTACGTTTCCTGGTGACCTTTTTATTTGCGTCTACTGGATCGGGATTTTGGACCAATTGACGGGGTTGGGATTGGGATTGGGATTGGGAATGTGCTTGTGGCTGAGTTTGGAATTGGAACTGTGGAGGTTGGGTCTGTGGGATGGGCGACTGAGAGTAAGATTGTCGTGTCAGCTGTTGAAATTGTTGCTGTTGTTGATTTTGAGGTTGCTGTTTTTGTTGTTGTTGTTGATGTTGATGCTGCTGTTGATTTTGAGGATTCTGCTTTTGTTGTGGATGCTGTGTGTAGTACTGCTGTTGGTACTGGTGCTGTTGCTGATATGGTGGTTTCTGCTGCTGCTGCTGCTGTTGCTGCTGCTGCTGACCGGCCAGCACGCTTCGCTGGTGACTGTACTCATCCCACTCTGGAAACTTATCTTGGTGAGGTGGAGGAGTGATTGGCGTCAAATTCAAATCCGCACCGCCGTTCCCATTCTGCTGGCTGGGCGAGATGGCAATACTATGCCTCTGATTCGGATGGTTATATGCATTAAACGGGTTATTACTCTTGTGGGCCACCTGCGACGGGTACGTGGGCATGGGAGGGATTAACGAAGTCCAGTTGGTCGATGTTTTAGATTCTGTGTTGTGGCTATGACTCCTAGCGTGCTGCGAGGGTCTGCTCAGCTTGGGTATTGATTCCATCAACGTCTCTGTCACGCCTCCGGTATCGAACTGAAACACGCTTTGTCGAGATGCAAAGGGCGACACAGAGCCCTGTTTTAATGGCTTCTTATTGGCCTGGATATTTCTGGTCTGTGTACTGGATGAATTCATTGAGTATGTGTGCTGATGCTTTCTTTTGTATGATTATTATTATTATGATTTTTATTATTGTATTTATTTTTAAGTGATGTATCCCCAAAAAGAAAAAAAAAAAAATATATCCTCGAATCAAATGCGTGCTTTGAATTCTATTTCAGGCGAAGGAATGACTGCAATAATATACAAAAGAATATCAATGCTTTTTTGCTGTAAATCTCTCCTCTAAAAGTACGTGTGTGCTTTTCTCTGCTTTTTTTTTGTGTCTACTTAGCGAGTTTCGTTTTTTAGATTGTTGATTTTGGATTTTTCTGTTTGAAGCGAGAAAAACAAAAAAATAGAAAAAAAAAAAATAAGAAAAAAACAAAAAAAGGCCATTAGCGCATGCAAAGGGAGAAGAAAGCAAAGCTTAAATTGATGGGAGAGGTTGGGGGAGATTAGGACGAGCGAGCATGAACTGATGGCCGTTGAAAGTGGGAAATTAGAGGAAACTCAAAGAAGTCGAACCTTAACACAGTTGTGTGTGTGGGGGGTGCTCTAAGCCTTCTCTAACGCACCTTCGAAAGTGATGGAGACGGCGTGAGGGAATGTAGAGAAAGGGTTTCATTGTAGTTAGGTGGTAAATTTTCAATTTGGGCCGATGCTGTCTCGGTATATTGTCACTCTATTTATGGAAATGTCGCGTCTAAATCACGAAAATTACCAGAAAAAACAAAGTTTAGATATTGTGTTCCTGGACGGGGAGAAGAGGCCCCGAAAAAGAGATACACGGCGGAAGAGCGTGCGAAGGGGACAGACGGCTAGGGCTGGGGTATATAGGGTATATACAAGGATGCTATTAGATACGTCCATATCACAAGAGAGGCGGCTGGTTGAACAACGATAGCTTAGTACCACACTATAGCGAGCTGCTCACTCTGGTACACACTGAAAACATGGAACTCGCACAATGCACGACAGAAATAAAAAAAAGGGGAATATACGACTGGCGCCGTTAACGTGCTGCGAGCGAATGGGAAGCAAACTTCAGCAACATGTCAGAGATTATAAGAAGTAGCAGCAAATAAACCCGTAACCTATAGACTGCAAAGTACCCGGTGATGGGCAGTTTTGAACGAAGCTATACAGGTGAGTGAGAGAAAAGGTGAGTAACATACGAAGAAATACGAATGACAGGAACATGAATGGCTTATGAAAAAGTGTCCCAATTGGCTTACTCTACCGCCCTTTATAAATCCAGTGTGATTTTTGAAATCGAATGCACTGGTTCTCAATAGCAAGGAAATAGCGGGCTAAATATAGTCCCGTCGCTGGAAGAAAATTGCACCATTTCATTTGTCATTTTGTTGAGTTCCTTGCTCCCACTGGTAACCAATACAGCATTTGGAACCCCGACCCGTAGTCTAAAATTAAACTGCTTTTGTCCCATCCTGTACAGATGCATGAGCTTAATATTCACAAGATATGGGTTTTCATCACTACCTGTTTCTGATGAGAATGCGGGTGAAAAAACATCAACATCGAATCACAAACATAAATTACGAACTCTAATAATCGAAATTATGCTTCAAACTTTACACTACATCTAAATGTACTTAAGCAATCCAGCGTCCATACGACCATCGGCTCTCTCAAAACGTGCTGAGTACGTTTTGATTTTCCTCCTTATTTTTTTGTTTCTGCATGCTTTTCCGTTATGTACGATTCAATTTCTCGTTTAGATTGGGAAATTTCACAGCAAAACGCGCCTGATGCACTGCGATCTAAATTTAGGACCAGGTACTCACGTGCGATTCAACGAGCCCATAGTTTTATCGATCTTTCATGTCACGTGTACGTACACGTGCCAACCCAGACCTTGATATTTTCCACCTCTGTAGGAGCATATTCATCGGGAACTGGTGATCGTTCGATGCCTCGTTGTGGAAGATCAAACGATCGGAACATGTAGTTATTCTGTCGGTCGGACAAAAAAGTCCGTAGAATTAAGGTGGTTGTTCCGGGATTCTCCTTTAGTCTTAACGCGACGAGTCGATAGTAGGGTAAGGCTTATGCATTCTTCATGCATACGTCTACTAAAGACATGCAATCACTCGATGCCATGTAGTAGAATTTTCCTCATATATAAAGTAGGTGAAGTAATTTGATGAATCATCGGTAAAATTTTTTAATTCTGTATCTCTCATCATCACTTTACATTCAACTTGCACTTATAATAACACTCTCTATGATTTCCCAAGCCTTACTATTGAAACAATTGAACACAAGAACCTCAAAAATATTGTTGAGTGTCGGTGGCTACATGGTAGCAAGCGTCGGTATCGCTCAAATGGCCCAAAGGAAGAACTTTGGTTTCGTCTTCAGACAACTTGGAGACTGGTAAAAAGGTTATGAATAATATAACAGCATGGTGCAGGGCTGCTCCACAGGTTTACGGGTATATAGATTTCAAAGGTTACAATAATGAATACTACTAATAATAATTTTAATGATAATATTTAATAATAGCATTAACAAACTATGTAAGATGATGAAATATGTTCTAAGTCTAATTTCTATTTCTATTCCTATTCATTTTTCACTATAATTACCAATTTACTCTTCTTCTTTTAATTCTCCGTTGTGGGACAGATTAGTGTTGGAACAAACCTTTATCTTTTAATCGACACAGTTGATGTGGTCGATAAGTAATATTTCACCACTCCCTGCCTATGCAAAAACTTCATCACTCTCTACTTACACTCCTTGAGTCCTTGTCCAGGAACTCTTCTCCAGTACCTGCGACTGGATCCAAATAGAACCTGCCTACTTTGTGTCCATACTTGTATAAGGATATCCTTACGTGGTAAGAAAGCTGGGAAGACAATCTTAATAACATTCTTATCGTTACTAGCCGAGTCTTCTTCAGCATTCTTAGTCTTGGTTAATATACACATATAAAAAATAACTTGTCCAAATCCATGGAACCCTTCGTGGATAACCAAGTCCATGATCTCTGTCTGCGGGATAAAACAGTTCCTTTCGTTACTATTACCAAAATGCTTCCACAGGCCTTCGGAATTTAACTGGACTCCAATGTCCTTCATCACAATCAAAGTGTCCTTTCTCTCCTGTCTGAGATATACCAAACATATCGATGAGATTATTAGTATTTCAGCCACAAGATATCGATATTTGGAGTTTGTTAACAGGAAATGCAAGTCCAAGATCTCATTCTTGAATGTGTACATATACGAAATAAATGCTACTTGTACACTTATCAATAATGAGAGCAAAGGAACCCGTAAGTGATTCACAAAGTAACTGGGACGATCCTTCACTACAAATTTCTTTACATTTAGCTCAGGCTTGACAGTCGAGGGAAAAACCTCTAGAATGAAGTCCTTGGCCGAAGACATCTACAAAGTAAAGTTTAACTCTATCTTCTCTCAAACAAGTCGTATCTGTTGAACAAAGACTGTCTACTCTTTAAAATGAAGCGAGTCATACTGAAAAAAGTCGGAGTCATAAAAAAAAAAAAAAAACCATAACGTGCAATCGCGCACATGATTAAAATGAAACCATCTGGTGCTACACTGTGTTATCGTATTCTATTCATTAATAGTATTCATTAAGGTAACTGTTTACTAATATTTTTCAGTAATTTGGATCGAAAATCATTGCATCTAATCAACTCGGAAAAAAATGCAAAAAATCTCGTCTACGTAAGAATTTTTCCTTTAAATTACAAAATGCAAACCCCAGCTCACTCGTCCATCAAGATTCTACGGTTCATCGTACTTCTTCTTCACATCTGCTATATCTCCAACAATGACCTCATTTTTTCTCAACTCTCTTTCTCTTTCTTGTTTGGTCATCTTGACTTGACCACCCGTTCTGATTGCAAATTCTCTCTTTCTACTCTCTTCTGCATCTTCCTTGATGGCCTGTTCTCTTTGGGCAACGATTTGTGCCATGTCTTCCTCATGCTTAACTCTAATGTCCTTCAATTGGTCATTGTACTCATCCAACGATAAAATCTCCTTCTTAGACTCCTTGCAGTAGCTTTCAAAGTCAGCTGGGAGTTTGGTGCGAAGCGCTAGATCGATAATCTCGGGGTGCTTCTTTTCTTCTAAATTGAACTTCAGTTTAATTTGCTTTCTAGTCCTATAGGGAAATAACTGCGCAATAAATGTAAAATCCGTTCCCCATGTCGATAAAGCCTGGTAAAATTTGATTATCTCTTCGCTATCCCATCTATCTGTATATTTTCTTTTCGAATAGGTCGATGATGTGATGGGGTTGTCAAATGGATTAGCAACCTCTCTATCTTTATCAGCATTGACATTTGGAGCACCACGACTCACACTAGTGGAGTCCTGATCAACGATAAGTTTATTGTCCTCACCCAACTTAAGTAATAAAGCATTTTGAGCATTCTGCAGCTGCTCATCAGGAAGCTCCCCAATGATATCCCTTTTCTTTTCCTTCTGCCTTTTCTTGAAGTCTTCTCCGGTGATCTCTTCTATGGATTTCCTCTCCTTCCTGGCAGCATCCCTGATTTCTTTCCTCTTTTGCTTCTCTTTGGCTTGGTTTTTCTTTGCCTCAATAACCTGCTGATACCTTGTACTAGGCTTTCCAATGGCAAAGGTAGGCAAGCACAAATCAGACATAGTCATACTTTCAGGTTCAATTGTTATCTCATCCATCTCTAATGGATCTTCGTGCTTAAATGATCTGGGCACCTGAGACATGAATTTGACAGAAGAAATAAGTTTCCCATCGGGTATTCTTTCAAGCTTTTTGATCTCGGACTTCTTAGACTTCTTCGCTTCTTTTTTGTCTGACGAAAGCTCTTCTGCGGTATCACTAGAAGTAGATGACGATGCTGAGGATGATGTAACTTTAGCTCCTGCTGACCGAGTTTCCTCTTGCAGGGCGGGCGCATGGACAAGAGAACCGGCAAGACTAGCCAAAGTGGCAGCTGCCCCTGCTGCAGCTTCTGCATCAGAATCTTCCACAGCAGCATCCTTGGAGGATTCACCTGTCTTGAACTTCTTCAGCTTTGCTACTTTAGTTTCTTCCACATCCTCTTCATCTTCCTCACTCTCTATCGCATTATTATCCGCCTTGTCGCCTATATCCTTCAAGTGTTCTATTCTATACTTGGTCAACTTTTGGGTCGAGGGATCAACTCCAATACTATACTTTCTCTTTCTCCCGCCAGTCTCTGCAATAGGAGGTGAAACCTCTTTCGAGATCACCATAGAAGCATTCGGCGTCAAAAACAGCTTGTTTCTACGGACAGAATTCCTTCGGATCAGCACGGAAGGCTTTCTCTTTCTGCTGGGCCTCGTGGTGGGAATTCCAATCACCACAGGCTGCTCTTCCTCGTACTCGACTAGAACCTCATCAGCTCCTCCCATGACCGGCAGTACATCGTCTGGTCCCTCTGGGGGCACTGAGCCCTTGGGTGTGGGCGTTATCGAAATAGATCCACTCCTGTTCCTTATTACGCTAGGTGTGATCCCAGAAAGTCTCCTCTGCATATGAATCGATGATTGCCTACGATACTTCTTGGTTGCCAGCGATAGACTATCTTCTGGCTTTTTGAAAATGTCGTTATCAATATCCGAGTCGTCGTCAGACTCGGAATCACCTTCGTTCCGCTCCTGTTTAGCCTCCACCTGCTTGCTCATACTCACTTTCTTGCTAGTGTCCATAGGATCTACGTCCTCAGCTGGCTCTTGACTTATCTGTGATTTCGTTATGGAAAACTTGAAATCTACACTTGGTGCGGACAATGCATCTTCAAACGTATCATCTTCATCATCGTCTTTATCTTTATCCTTTTCCTCAACGTTTGCAGCACTCTCCTTCTGAGTAGCAGGAGGGGTTAACGGGGTGACTGATTTGTTCCTTATGGGAAGCGCCTTTTTTGGAGCAAACCTCGTGGCTTTTTTGACAACACTACTCATGTTAACGTATTATACAACCTGAGGCAAAATTGGACTCACTTTGACCTAGTTGCACCGGTGTAAAACTGCGTTCTCTGTGCCGTTAAAATGTTTATTGGTGTTTCTTTTTTGCGCTTATCAAAACAAGCATCTCATATAGACCAATGTTACACAAAACCGACCCTCATCTCAGTCTCTCTGTGCAGCTGGGGCAGCAGATGTGCAACCATTGATAAAGAAGAGCTGGGTCAGATAGTGGTGCTCGAGGGGTCTTTTTCTTATATATACTTTATAGACATATTCACTCAGATATGAGAGCCATTCCTTCGAACTCTTGGTCGTTATCAAACGATCAATGGTGCCTTAAACTCGGGTTGATCCCAAACTCTTCGCACTTCGCATGCTCTTCCTCATCGGGACTCATCAATATCTATGACATGTCTTCCAGCCAGCCTATTACGTCGATAAAAGCCCATGAATCGAGTATAAACTCCATGAAAGTGATCGACGAAAACACTGTAGGCTCCTGCTCTACAGATGGGATCAAAGTCTGGGACTTAAGAAGCTCCAGCACCGGCTCACCTGCCGTCAGCTTCACTAATGGCAGATCTTCAAATTTCTTGAGTTTGAACTTCTCTAAACTAAACCCTGCAATCGTCGCCGGAGGTACAGAATTGATGGGTGTCGATGCACAAGTCCACATGTGGGACCTTAGAAACCCAAAGGATGTTGTGAGATCGTTCTTAGACTCTCACCACGATGACGTGACCGACATCAAGTTCCACCCCACCTTGCCAAACTATCTTATGTCTGGATCCACGGACGGATACGTGAACATATACGACTTGTCACAGCAAGAAGAGGAAGATGCCTTACATCAAGTGATAAACTATGCTTCAGTGCATTCCTGTCATTTCACTCAAGAGAAGAGAATCTCAGTACTCTCGCATATGGAGACTCTAGCCTTCTTCGAGCTCAACAATACTAATTACGAAAGCATAGAAGAGCCAGCTCCAAACGACTTAGGAGATATCAGAGCCATCTGGCCTGATTGTGAATACGTTATAGACTTATATCCTGGATTTGTAGCCTATGGAGCCAACTCCAAAGAAAAGATTTTATTGTATCCGTTTGATAGCGCTGCTGAGAAGGTGGACTTGACCAAACCAGTATGGTTCCCCAAGGCTCATGGTGAGGAAATTGTTCGTGATGTAATGACCATCCCAGGAACGAACACCATCCTAACTTGCGGAGAAGATGGGTTTATCAGATCGTGGGAATTACCTTACAACTTGAACTCTCCTGCTTCATTCTATGATGGAAGTGCTAAAGAAGAGATGGAGGATGTGATTGAAGAGATTGAAGGAGAAAAGAAAGTGAAAAAGGACAAGAAGGATAAGAAAGATAAGAAGGAAAAGAAGGAGAAGAAAGAGAAGAAGGATAAAAAGGACAAGAAAGATAAGAAGAGCAAAAAAGAGAAGAAGGAAAATAAGGAGAAAAAGTCAAAGAGTGACGTTAGATTCAAGCCATATTAGATAATTCGAAAGTAGTTCCCAAAAGTTTGTCTACTTAAAATCTTAAATACAAATGGATATTATTCTATATTCTAATTCTATGTAATTTCTTCAGAAAGAACGGAACCACAAAAGCTACCATTATTCTTTCCTCACAATCTTTCTTCCTTTCACTACAACCGGAATCATGCCACCAGTTGGAATTGTAAACTTTCTATGCCCAATAGATGAAATGAAGGCTCTGATGGTACCAGCATGAGAAGTTATCGAGATAATCGAATGATCTCTGTCATTTTCAAATACAGTCTCTAAGAATAAATTCACCCGGAGAAATTGTTCATGTAGCTTTTCTCTCCCTGGAGTATATTGATCCCAGAGATGATCGTGTTCGGTGAACTCTGGGCCAAACTTAAACTCTGGAAATCTTTGCGATATCACCGTCTTTGTGCTCCGCTGGTGACAAGGATGGAGTCCAATAGTTTCCCTTACGTTTTCTGCTACGTGTGGTCTTGGTATTTCAATGCCTTCCCATGTATGTTTCAAAGTATAACTCGATCTTCGCAATGGAGAAACGTAGAATTTAGTAGGAATAGGAGCACCCTTTTGCAACTGCTCTTTCCAAAGTTGATTATTCTCCTTGGCCTGGTCTATTCCAAGCAGTGTGAGGTTTGCATCGGGGCCCCATTCGATTACCCCATCGGTACCTAAAAATCTCCACTTTTCATGCCACTCTTCAACTGTATACTTCGCATGTGCAGCATTATGCCAACCTTGTCCATGTCTAGCTAAAAATAAGAGCTTATATTGCTCATCTTGACTGGCTAGAGCATTTAACTGGTTGAGCTTGCTTACCAAGCTCTCCCAATTTGCTGGTTCGATGCCAAAGTCATCTAGCCCATAGTTGAACTCCATATCGTTGGTGGACTCATCGGACTGTTTGAAAAACCCGTGCACCGGTTCAAACTCCCAGTACTCGCTAACTTTTGAGTTTCTTGAGTCCCTGTTTTCAAAGAAAATAACATCTTGGTCTAGGTCTCCATGTGCGTCCCAATGATCTCTTTCATTCGGAATCAATAAACTCATCCTTGAAGTTATATCTTGCAATGAACCAAATTCCGCTGACAAGTGTTTTCTTTTTCACTCTTGCTGCGAATTGCATCTCTTATATATGCGGCATCGTCCCCCAAAATATTTTTTGTGGGGCAGAAGAACGAACTTTACGGGATAGGTGAATTAGTGGAATAAACCGATAAGCAGTGTGCAGAGGAATATTCCATATGCAACTGGACTACGGTACCTTCAACTGGTTTCAGCTTGAGGATTGAAGGAAGTATACACGATGTATGGTTATATATCTTATCGGTGATAAGTTAGGCGCGGTGTATAATGGTGGGGGATGAGTTTATATTATGTAGTTTAATACTGCAATATCGGTAAAATATATAGTTTCTACTAAGAATTGTAAAATATTCTTGCTGTACATCATATCAACAGATAAAAGTGAACAATCCTTGTCACTTGGAGTTTATTACTACCGATAAGTTGCCACCAAATGTTCTTAACTACTACTGTATAAGTCAGGGTTCCGTGCTGGTAATAAGCTTTTCCAGTCCATCAATTCGGTGCCACCTGCAGACAAGCAGCAAATGCAGGTGATGCAGCACTTTGCATCAGAAACCAACACGCTCCGTTCTGCCACCAAAATGCACCCGAAGCAAGAGAAAGGATATGAATACAACAGGTAGAAGAGAAAGAGTTGAAATGCCTACGCATGAAGACTGGTTTGGTGGGGTGCTTACATCCCCATACTGGAAATGCAAAAAAAGATCAAAACTGGACATCTGCTTGCGAGCGTGGCCATTGTAGTGTTATGCAGCTCTTCAGGTACTGATTCCTAATTGAGACACCATACTTATTCAGCAAAACTGTCTAGCTCATTGCTATAAGTAACAGTGCCATTCGCATCCACATGTATATTCTCTTTCTAAAGTAGCAAACCGCCGCTGCTCAATAATCAACGATCTCAGAGCCTTCGAATGCCAATATGGAATACAAAGACCAACATTTATGCAAAGTATCTCGAATTATTATTACCTACAGTACAGTCCACCAATTCGCAATTTAGCTTCAGTACGGCACACCGATCTCTAATCGCCTAATTGTCCTTTCAGTCAACGAGCAACAGAACTCAACAGAACTATGCTAATGTAAAACCGAAGTAAGCCAACTAGACTATCTATACTGTCAACTACTAGCAAATCATAATATGTGGAGAACTGATCACACCCTAATGTTTCTGGCTCCTCTCAGTTCAGCGCTCTCTGATACCCAAAGCGGAACCAGCAGTCTTCTCTTTGACATATCTTTTTTTTAGATTTGGTCTGCTGGCCCTCCGCGGTCTTTCACCAATGTTTTTTTTCTTTTTCTTGCCTCATTTGCAGTTGGTAGTCCCTTTCTTAGGCAACTCTTTCCACAACATTAAAGTTTTGAACTTTTCCACCCACAATTCTTTTTTTTTTTTGTTTTCCTTATTCGTTGTCTTCCAAAATCAAGCCGTTAACCTTTTTTTTTTTTATTTTTTATTTTTTTCTTCTTTATATGCCCGCCATATCTTCAGTTTTCTTTCTTTTTTCTTCTTTCATTCTTTATCTAGTTAGATTGGGAAAGGTAGCAGATAGTCTGAAATTTTGAGATAGTGACACCAGAAATCAACGAGTTACCCAATCACATCCTAACTTGAACGTTGTACTATGTCTGAACCTGCAGTTGAAACGGACAGCAGCCAAGCAACCAAAAGGTCGGCCTCACCAATTGAGAATAACAACTTGGTGGACAAAAAGCCAAAGCTCGAAGAAGTCGCTAGCGAAACAAAAGGCGAGATGGAACCACCTATCAAGCAAGAGCAATTAATAGAGACAAAGGTAGAGAAGAGCGATGATAATAATAATAACAGTAATAGTAATGACAACAGCAGCAACAACAACACTAACAATGCTGGTGCCAATGATAACATCATGGTAGTTCCGTCCACCAAACCGCAGCTTTTCTACACCACTTTGAAAACGGGAATTGCATATGATGTTCGTATGAGATATCACGCCAAAATTTTCACCTCATACTTTGAATACATTGACCCTCACCCGGAAGATCCAAGGCGTATCTACAGAATTTACAAGATTCTTGCTGAGGCTGGGTTGATTCAAGACCTGGCCCTCTCTGGCACTGACGATATTGGTCCTTTGATGGTGAAGATCCCAGTGCGAGAAGCTACATCCGAGGAAATCTTGCAAGTCCATACAGAAGAACACCTAAAATTCATTGAATCCACAGAAAATATGACAAGAGAGAAATTGTTGGAGGAAACTGAAAAGGGTGATTCCATTTATGTGAATAACGATTCCTTCTTGTCTGCTAAACTTTCATGCGGAGGGACCATCGAAGCATGTAGGGCCGTGGTTGAAGGCAGAGTTAAGAATTCCTTGGCCATTGTAAGACCTCCTGGTCACCATGCAGAACCTCACGCTCCTGGAGGATTTTGCTTGTTCAGTAATGTAGCAGTAGCAGCTAAGAACATTTTGAAAAATTATCCAGAATCGGTCCGGAAAATTGTCATCGTAGATTGGGATATACACCATGGGAATGGTACTCAAAAATCCTTTTATGATGATCCAAGAGTCTTGTATATATCACTTCATAGATACGATAATGGTAAGTATTACCCTGGTACCAAGTATGGAAACAGCGACCAGGTTGGTGAGGGTCTAGGAGAAGGTACTTCGGTGAACATTCCCTGGAGTACTGGAGGAATGCATGATGGTGACTATTACTATGCCTTCAATAAGGTGGTGATTCCTATAGTATCTGAATTTGATCCAGATTTAGTGATCGTGTCCGCAGGATTTGATGCTGCGGATGGTGATATCATTGGTGGATGTCACGTATCCCCTGCTGGTTATGGACAAATGACCCACATGCTCAAAGCAATAGAAAGAGGGAAGATGTGCGTCGTTTTGGAAGGTGGATACAACTTGGATTCGATCAGTAAGAGCGCTCTTGCTGTTGCCAAGGTGATGGTCGGAGAACCTCCAGAGAAAACCATTACCTTGCAGCCACATTTGGAGACCTTAGAAGTTATCGACGAAGTTATCAAAATTCAATCGAAGTATTGGAAATGCATGAAGCCTGGATTCACTAAGAACTCCTTTGATGACTTCTATGACTTGCAGGTTAATAATGAAGATGCAGATTCCAATGGCTCTTCAGAAAAGAAGGTTGCACCATTTAAACTTTCAAACCTACTGGATCCAATTCGTTCTAGCCAAGCGAATGATTTGTTTACAAGGTATTCGTTCATCAATTTACCTATAGTTTCATCTATAGTTTCAGGAGAGGGTGACAAATCTTCATTGTTTACCACGGATTTACCGCCAAGTACGGAGGATTTAGTGTTGGCAAGCCCTGATATTCATAACGCAACTACAATAGTGATTTCAATTCATGATCCAGCAGAAATATGGGCCAATATTAACCCAACAAATGGTGTAATTGAAGGAAATTCTTCATTAGTGTTGGAACATCCTTTAATTCAAGTCATAGAAAAGATTAAGAAAGAAGTAGATTTGGAAGCAGGAAAACAATTAGGTTTTATTGATATAAATATTCCTCCATTTTTGTTACCGGTTTCTTCTAGCTTGAAGGCGGGAACTCCAACTGGAACTGCACAAAGCAATGGGTCCACTACAAATAGTTCATCTTCCTCCTCGTCAAACTCAAACTACAATCCAACTGTCTTTTCACAAGAGTTGATGCTTTACATATGGGATAATTACATATCATACTTTCTGCAATTGGAAAAATTGGTCTTTGTTGGATTCGGTGACGCATACCAATCTATAGTTCACTTGTACGCAAAGAGACCATCCCAAGACATTAAAGAATTAGTAAAGGGTACAGTTGCCTTTGTAAATAGATCGGCTCTTAAGCCATTAGTACCTGTTATGGATGAATCAATGGTAGATTGGTATTACCAGAACTCCGTCATATTTACTTCTGCATTGAACCCTTGTTGGACGAATGGTGGGGACTCGGTTAATGTAAGTAATGGAAACGGTATGATTTTGAACGGGAGAGATAACGCCCATGGTGTCGACGATTCGTCAAAGAGACCAAGAAGAAAATTTGGTAGAGTTATTAGAGCCTCTGCTGATGGATTCTGGGATGTCGTTTCGGAGAGATTTGAGGAAGGAATGGATTTCATCTTGGATTCCGTTGAAGACTACAGCAGCGAGGGAAGTAGCTGATTAGCAGAATGAAGAGCTATTACTTGTACTATAAAAATAAGTATTATTACAAATCAATACAATGATAGAAAAATGAGACTCTTCCGTTGGCCAGTGTAGAGTTTAACTAATACACGTGTAAAATTTGTATATACTAATGCGATAATTCTCTATAAAACTTTGCTGGGAAAACGCTTTGTAAAATCTTTCTCCAAATCATCTATATCTGGGATTGAAAGGTCACTAGCATTACTCAATCGCCTTTCTCCTGACCCGGCTTTCAAGTATATCGGCTTCTTTGGTTTTGGCGGTGGTTTCTTCTTAGTGGCGGAAGAAGCAGAGGGTACAGCCTTTTGCTGAGGAACCTTCAATGACGATGGTTTCAAATGCGGTACAAGTTTCTTCTCCGGCTTATTTAATTGCTGTGGGAACACAGGAGGTTTAGGCTTTACATGAGCTCTAGCAGGAGACCTTGACTTTGTGATTTTCAAAGGCTCTTCCTCGTCTGATGATGATGAAGATGAAAATGGGGTCACGGGGCTATTTATTGCGTCTAAGTCGTCAGTTGGATTCGTTTTCCTTGTGTCAGTGTACTTACCATACCCCTCTGCTGTTCTGGATACACCCAGGCTCTCCTTATCACTGTTGTTCAACAACATGGCCATTCTCTTCTTTATAGACATTTTCCTAACAGGTAAGTCAGCTTCACCAGCGCTAGAGTTATTTTTGCTTTGTTCGACGTGGTTATCACCTGTAAAGCCACTATTACTAACTTTTCGAGATGAGCCTCCGGTTAAGAGCAGTTTAAGAGAAGTAACACTAGATCTTCTATAGTGATGCTTATCTGTAACACTAGAAATACTACCTCCGGTGCCGTTGGATCCAATACCACCAGTGCTGATCTTTCTAAGGCCATTCTTGAAGGACATCGAGATGCTACCTCCAGTGTTTTGATTTTCCTGCTTACTTCTTAAAAATTCTAAAGTTCCACGGTCATTGCCTTCTTCTGATTTTCTTAATGTCGAAACATGGCTTGAACTTTCCTCTATTTGCATTTGAACAAATTCTTTTAAAGATGAAGTTGAAGTGGAGTAGCGGTGATAATTTTCAAAGGATGGTTTTCTTGAACCAGGCGGAGAAGCGGTAGAGCCCAAATATGTAGATTTGGGTCTTGGTGCCGGGAAATGTGAATTGAGCGGTGAAGGAGAATGTGATTTGGGGAGTGACAGCTTGTATGAGGCTTGTTGTGGTGCTAAGAACTTCGATTTGTCGATGGTTGCAAATGGATCCTTTGGCTTAACACTAGGTGGCACTTTCTGTGAGAGTTGTGGAGCAGAATTAGCCTTATTATCATTGAGTCTAGGAGGAACGGCAATTAAAGGCGCACCATTTTTGATATGGTGCTTCACTGCAGAGGGAATTACATCTGGCACTGGTTGATTTAACATAGCACAAATCTCTCCCAAGAGTTGCACTGCACTGGGTCTTCTTCTTGGATCCTCACGAAGGGTGCATTTAATCATGTTCTTCAACCTGGGAGAGAAGATCAGCCCGGGTTGGTCATGGGGTAACTTAAGAGTCAGGTCTGCATGTAGTATCACCTTTTCCATATCTTGCAATGACTGGTGTTGGGGCAGTTCAAATGGCGTCGTGTAGTAGCACAACTTGTACAACAAGCATCCTAATGCCCAAACATCCAGCTTATCGTCTATGGGGAAACCTCTGGATAACTCTATCATTTCTGGCGACCTGTACTGAGGAGTAGTATACTGCATGATATCGTTATGTAAAGTGGCCGATTCTTGTGGTGTTTTAGGAACTGGTTGATAAGGTACGGCCGACCCAAAGTCACATAGCTTATAAGTACCATCGTGGTCGATCAACACATTTTCAATCTTGATGTCTCTGTGAATTAATGGAGGTTGTAGGTGGTGACACATAGCCACCCCGGTGGTAATATCTCTCATTATCTGAAGGATTTCTGGCTCCTGCAATTTATGGGTTAGCCTGGTATTCATAAAGTCAATGAGTCCATTTCGAGAACAGTACTCCATTAGGAGAAACACCTCGTACTGTTGAGAAGAAGGTGCACTGTTGTTGATACTACTTAAGCTACTAGTACTTTTGGACATGGCATTGTTGTTCTGGTCCAATCTTGCGGCATGAGAATCAATATAGGACACTATGCATTTGTTACCTTTTAATCTTTTCATGGCGTCCACTTCTTGTCTCAACAAGTTCAACTGGATCTTACTCGGCACTTGTACCCGCTTCAAGCAGGCAATTGAAGATCCCCTAAAGGGCGGGTCGATCATACAAGTGTATACATGTGCAAAGCCACCTTCTCCTATGAATTTGGTTATGGAAACCTTATGGCTCCCCACTGTGAGTTTGGTGTTTGGCGTGTAAGCATTTGGAGGAGGCACGGGCATTTTATCAAACGGACAAAAAAGCTAACGGTATATAAAAAAAGGGAAAGGGGATGAAAAATAGATTCAATTGTTCGAAAAAGAAGCCAAATAAATGCAATAACTAATAAGCGGTATCGAGCCTATGCGAAATTACTTCAATAGAGCTCCTATCTGCTCGTCCTGTCCTCCTGGTTGATAGTAGCTGACCAAGATATTAACGATTGTCGTTTCTCTTGGAGATCTGTTCTCTACTGCGGCTTTGTGTCATGATTTTTATTTTTAATTTTTCTTCTTAGGCAGTGTGGCTACATGCAGGACACATATGCATTTTTGCAACTACGAAAAAAAAGTTACGAGATGCGCTAAGAGATGGCCATCTCATGGTAAAGAGGGCCATATAGATCAGCCCACTGACCAGATGAAGCTCTATTTTGAAGCCGAGGAATTCCTCAGTCCGTCTACCAATGGGTCCCTTCAATCACGGATCTTCAACACCCCCAAGAAGCTTACCTCTTCCCCTAAGCATTTGTATGCTGTGGTGTATTCCACCTTGAAGTACAAAGAGTACATCAACATGGTGATCAAGAAATCCAAGATAAAGGCATCTTCCTTCAGCAGTTCGATAAAGAAATACAAGATCTCAGATAACCTATTACTTCTATTGGTGCACGACTTGTTATTTTCTTCGAGAGGAAGAATCCAGCTGGGGAAACACCCCATCAAGGATTCGTTCTTGCTTCACCAAACCAGATTGAAAGCAGAATTCATAAAGTTGAAGTTGAAATATAAGGCCAAGTCAGTGGAGGACTTCCCTACAAAGGATGTAGATGGAGACGAAACCCCCATTAGATGGTTTAGAGTGAACACCATCAAGGTAGATGAGACCAAGTTCTTCAATGAACACACCACATTCAAGAATTTGCAGCCAGTCTCTTCTTTGGAGCAATTGAATCAAACTGGGCTAATCTATAAAGACGACTATATCCCCTTTTTATATGGGGTGCACCCCAGAGAGAAGATCACCTCTACACAAGCATATTTGAAAGGAGAAATTATCATTCAAGATAGGGCTTCCTGTTTCCCTGCTCACATCTTAAATGATGACCCGCTCGATATCCACACCGAAGTCATTGATGGATGTGCAGCACCTGGAAACAAAACCACTCATTCCGCATCGTATTTGAAGACCAAGGACTCAGTTGTGTATGCATTTGAAAGAGACGACAAGAGAGTGAAGATCTTGAAGATGATGTGCGAAAGAGCCACAGGAAAGGCTAAGAAGGATTTGATTCAAATCACCCACACAGACTTCACGACTACGGAGCCCACCGATTTCCCCAACGTTACTGGGCTTGTCATGGACCCCTCTTGTAGTGGATCAGGAATTTTTGGCCGTGCTATACAAGATGCAAACGGCAGCGGTGAAGAGCAGGAACAGGAAAAGGAAGATATAGACACTGAAAGGTTGAACAAATTGGCCGGATTTCAATTCAAAATCATGAAGCATGCATTACTGTACCCACTGGCCAGGAAAGTGGTGTACCTGACATGCTCAATTCACCCTCATGAGAATGAGAGAGTTGTAGTAGATTTATTGAAAGACCCCCAAGTGAAAGATCTGGGATGGGTTTTGGCAGACAGAGAGGTAGTAATACTGGACTGGCCAAAGAGAGGCTGGAAGGAAGAGTTCAGTTCTATTGCACAAGATGAAGCGGAAGCTGAAAAGTTGGCTGGCGGCTGCGTGAGAGCCGAACCCAAAGTTGATGGAGGAATTGGATTCTTTGCCGCATGCTTTGTGAAGAGCAGTGGATCTGATGTAAAGGCTCAAACTAAAAAAGAACCAATACCTACAAAAGACATGGTAGGCGCATCTGAAGAAGCAGAAGAGGCAGAAGAGGAAGAATGGACCGGATTTGAGTAGTACTCCACACATCTGCATATACATAGACTAATATAAACGTAACCTTTTTTCATTTTTTTTGATTATTTACTTAGAATCTTCTAATGATGTCATTGACAACTTCAGTAGTCGAAGAACTACCACCTAAATCTGGGGTCTTGATTTTGTCTTCACTCAAGTTGGCATCAACAGCTTCATAGATAGCTGCGGCTGGCTCAGAGTAACCCATGAATTCCAACATTAAGGCGGTAGATCTGATGGTAGCAATTGGGTTAGAAATACCCTTACCTTCGATATCTGGAGCGGATCCGTGACATGGTTCACCAATGGCAAAGTTGTCACCAACGTTAGCTGATGGTACAACACCCAAAGAACCAACTAAGGCAGCAGCACCGTCACTCAAGATGTCACCGTAAAGATTTGGAGCAACAACAACGTCAAAGATCTCTGGTTCCCTGAACATTCTGTAAACCATCGAGTCCACAATTTGTTCCTTGTATGCGACACTAGAGTATTTGGAAGCGTTGTCATCGTAAACTTGCTTACAAACTTCACGGAATAAACCATCAGATACAGATAACACATTAGACTTGTGGGTGACAGTAACAGAAGGACTAGTGTGAATAGACTTCAAGTTAGGGTTGGTTTCTCTAATCTTTTGTCTTTGTAAGGCAATATTGAAAGCCATCTTGGCAATATTACTGGTGGCTGTTTCAGTAATTCTCTTGATGGCTTCAGCAACTCTGGTACCATCTTCTTTGGTGTATGCCTTTTCTTCTTTGATGTAAAGATCTTCGGTGTTTTCACGAACGATAACCATATCCACTGGTCTACCAACTCCATCGACAGACTTAACAGGACGAACATTGGCGTACAATCCCATCTTCTTTCTCAATGCGACGATTGGAGAAGAGTATCCAGCAACCTTGGTGGATGGGGATGAAACAGCACCAAAGAGAGCACCGTCACATGAGCTTTGTAAAGTCTCTACAGTGGCATCTGGAAGAGCAGTACCAGTCTTTTGAAATAATTCAAAACCTGCGTCAAGATGAACAAATTCAAAATCAAGATCAAACTTCTTTGGCAAGTTTTCCAACACTGCTCTACCGGCAGGAATGACTTCTCTACCGATACCATCACCTGGGATTAAACCAATCTTTAAGGTCTTCATGGCAGTGGCTGAGGTAGAGAACGAACGAAGTGATCTAGATGTCAACATAATTAGCGATTTGAAATGGTGAAATTGTACAATGTGATACAAGAGAACACCTAAAAGAAAAGAACAAAGAAAGAACAAAAGAAACTATACAAGCCTGTACGAATTTTCACCCACTGAAAAATTTCACTGATAATTTTTCAATCTCTGACATGCCCATACAAAATTGCAACGACGCCCAACTGTTCCAAAGCAGCGCCGATCCGGGCCTGCGATAAGTGAGTCACTTCACGTGTGCGTGGTGGGGAGATGCTGCAATCTAGAGCGATATGTGCAGGAAGAAAAGCAGCACAATTCGCAGCCATTTAGTTGAAGCGACTTGATAACCACTATAATTGATTCTACAATGGGCCAGGTGTTTCCTAATGTTGTTTTATTTTCAAAAAATCATTTCATATAATACTCTATGTTATTCTATTCATATATGGCATCACAAAAATTGCGTAAAAATTGCCATTGGTACCGGTAATGTACCATTTCAAAACAATACAGTTTCAATAATGTACCACTTCAAAACAATACCGTTTCTGCTTGGGGCTCTTGGTGGATGTGCACTTCGAATTCCTTTTCCTTTTCAACATCAACATTGACTTCTTCGAAAGCCAAATCTTCATCTAAAATTCTAATCTGTTCATCAGTTTTCAACACATGTTCGACACTTTCATCAACTAGGCACAACTTACAGTCAAAAGCGAGCGATTTATCACGCACAACTTGCTTGAATGACTTCATAATCAAATATAAATCATTTTCCAGTGCAGTGTCCATATTCATAATTTTCAGTTTGGAAACCATGCAATAAGTTGAACCCTTAATCCAATGAAGTTCCAAATCATTTAGTCTCTTGTTTTGCAGAGCCACCTTCAACAATTCAAGTTCTAATATTTCCTTTGTAATGCCGAAAAATACATCTTGAATCAAGATCGCATTGCACAAGGAGCTTTGAATTTGGTTTTGCTTTATTTCCTTATTTCTGAGATACTCGTTGATGATTTCTTGCTTTCTCAATATAGCTTCCTCAAGTCTTAATCTTGGAATTACAGTGGACTTGGTAATCACTACAAAAGTAGTCCTTAAAGGCTCCTCATCCAAGGATTCGGAATATAATTTGAATGCAGAGGCAAGCTCGTGGATAAACTTCCTTTGGGGACTGCTTGCGGGTGGGAAATGCAAAGACTTCTTCATCATTGGAATGTCGATATCCTCGCTACCCTCAGAATTCGATTCAAGCTCTCTGAAATAGTTGACCACGAATGATCTCATTTGCAGCTCAATTCTGCTACACCAAAGCTTTTGCCTTTGGTAGACAGCCATCACGGAATCCATATATTCGATTTCTTCCTCAAGCAGGATCTGTTGCATTTCATCATCAGTAATATCTTTTCCGACGATATTGAATGCATTTTTCAACTCGTTATCCCTTTTAATTGCTAAACATTCTTCATCGCAGTCTAAGAATGTGCCAATAGTTGACTTATCAATAAGAGAAGCTCCACATTTGAGGGTCTTACTCTTATTGCCACATTCACATTGAACTGTCACTTCTTCCGAACAACGCACAGCGTCACAGTTTTTGGATTTTCCAACTTTATTAGAGTGACACTTTTGCTTACATGCATGAGGACAATTGATTCTAACCTTGCCACAAAGACTTTGACATACGGAAGAACTAGCGTGCACATTTTTTTTAGTGCATGATTCCGAACACACCTTCAAACACGGATGACCACAGTTTTTGGTTACTTTACAAACTTTACCACAAGAAACATTCAACTGTGAACATAAGACATTAGGCATATCCTTTTTATTCCCACAATTACATTCCTTGGTAACCAATTTGGTACATTTAGGACACTGGATATTATCAGGATGACATTCATGGGTTTCTAATCTATGACCACATTCCTTTGATCTAATGCACTGTTCATGGCATTCCAATTTAGTTCCACATCTTACAGGAGCTTCAATGATCGTCTTGCCACAATTACATATCAAATCGTCATTGGAAGATTCATAACAAGTTCCACAAGGTCCGCTATGGCAGAAGGCTTCACACTGATGGACCCCACACAGTTTTAACCTGCTACATGGCTGAGTACAGATATGGGCAGGTTCCACAGTCATGATATCATTTTCATCAACCAAAGACGACCTGATTCCATTTCTAACGGCTTTCTTTTTCTCCCTTTCTCTTCTTTGAGCGATTTGTTCATAAGCGCAGCACACTTCTTTATGATAGTGCTTACGACAGTTCAACAACACAGTACACTTATGCTTACACTTGGGTTTATAACCAGCTTGAATGAATCTGCAAGGCACCGAGAATGTATGATTTTCACACGAACACTTCACATCTAAAAGGTTATAACAAATGCATTCACCTGAGTGACACTTAGCTTTACAGAAACAGCCACACAGCAATTTCTTCCCACAAACATTGTCACATTCAGGAATCGGATCAGTACATTTTGTTCGTTTGGCTTGGTCTACGGAAGTCTTCCCACATTGGCAAGTCTTAACCCTTGCTGGAGAAAAGTTACATATAAGCTTTTCAGTAGGTAACGGTTCACAATTGAAAACCTCCAGGTGGATACCACAATCATGGTAGATTGTTGTGGTTTCACCACAGTCAGTGTAACCTACCCATTTACTCAATGTGTTGCCAGGATCGGAACAGTTCTTAGGGTTACGTTCAAAACATTTTATGGTCAAATCATCGTGTTTACCACAGTAGCACTTGACGGTATCAATAGTCGCCTCACAGGAACCACAGAAGCCCAGGTGACAACCGCCCACATTATTATGGTTACACCTATGTCCCAATGGACAAATTACAGTGTTGCACGGCTCGTTACACTTCCATCCTTCCTTGTAAGGAGTAATCAAACAGGGCAATTGGCGATGCAGTTTACCACACGCACAATTCATCACAGGTCCCATAGCCCCACAAACGGGATGCAGTGCAGGGTGGCATTGGGATCCACATCTGTGAACACAGTCTTCGTAGGGTTCATTACATGGGTTCCCACAACTAAAGGGCATTAATTCGTTCGGGTCTGGGTTCTTCACCTTCCCACACCAGCAAGTAAACTTCTGAGGCACTACGTTTGTTTCAATGTTACAGGCAGGGCATCTCCAGTTTTTGTTACTCTTGTCGGTAGATGACCCTCTAAGCGCCCAATCTCTTATACAGTCCAAGTCATACACTCTATAGCATCCAGCACATGACCATATTTTGGAAAAGGCATCGATCTCAGAAGTGCAAACCAAGCAAGTGTAGGTACCATCTTGAATTTCTTGCATTATTCTATTTGACAAAGATAATTCTTCATTTTCATCTTCGTCTGAGGATGAAGCAGCAGATGACAGTTCATCGTCCTCTGTAACTTCAGAGCTATAAGTAGAACTTTCTCCGTCTGTTAAGCTGAGAAGCAGCCTTGAGTCTGGGCTCACGGTAACTTCTTCAGGTGCGGAGATAGTTAATACTTTATTTTTAGTTTCATTATTCTTTTCGGTCTCTTGTCGCCGCTCTTCACCAGGAAGATCAGGAGTAGGTAGAGCGTTCGGTAGCAGATTTTCTTCCATTATTATTGTAGAACAACGTAGAGAAAGAAGAGCTTTAGACAGGCAACTGGCGTTCCTTTAACTGAAAAATTCGATAAGGCGGCAAAAAAAAAAAAAAAGAAAGAAAACATGAGTCAGTACTGCATATATCCAAGCGGCTCGAATGCAACCATGTACAACGTTTGCTAGCATATGCTACAAAGGTCGGGCCAAAGCGTCCCAAATTGAATATATAGCATGCTTAAATGGAGAGGGAAGCATGCAGAGGAAAGTCTGTTGGCTCTTTGAGTGCTAGTTTATATAAAATTTATGTATATTTCGTTCCATTTCACTACGACGCGCTAACATGTAAGATCAGCATTTGAGATCAGATCTATTTTGGTGCCTTAGTGGTTCTTAAATATGGCTTCAAGGTCTTGAATTCCCCGAATTTGGCCTTGGCTGCTTCATCTGAGACAGTTGGAGGAATAATAACATCGTCACCTACACTCCAGTCGATTGGTGTGGCAATTCCCTTGGCATCTGCCAATTGCAACCCATCGACTACTCTTAACACTTCCGCGGAATTTCTACCAGTAGATGCAGGATAGGTCATAATCAATCTGACCTTCTTAGCAGGGTCAATGATAAAGACAGATCTAACAGTGAAAACTACACCAGAGTTGATGTTTTGAAAATCAGATTCAGTAAGCATGTCGTATTTGAAGGCAACTTCCTTGGAAGAGTCGGCAATAATTGGGAATCCAAACTTGGATCCACCTGTGGATACTTCTTCAATGTCTTTAATCCATTGGTTGTGACTATCCACACCTTCAGTAGATAAACCTATCAATTTGACGTTTCTCTTGGTGAACTCTGGTTCCAATTTGGCAAAGGCACCCAATTCAGTAGTACATACAGGAGTGAAATCGGCTGGGTGAGAGAATAAAATAGCCCACTTATCACCAATCCAGTTGTGGAAGTCAATCTTCCCTTGAGTAGTGTCAGCTACAAAATTTGGTGCTTCAGATCCAAGTCTAATCCTTGGTTGGCTCTCTGCAGTGAAGGAGACAAAACGGGCGGCTACCAATCTTCTAGGAGCCAAATAAGAGGCACGGATCAATTGCTTGGAGAACATTACTAATAATCTTACTTTGCTTAGTATAAATTGGAAAATGTATTGCTTTACTAGGAGAAAGAAAGCAAGTCTTAAATTGAAAAATTACTTTCTCTGCTGGAGCTGCTCTGAAGATTTCACCTGTGCGCTTAATCTGATTGCATTAAAAAACGTGACAACACCTGCACACCAAAATGCAACCTAGTATATAGATAGAGTTACAGCTATAAAGTTGTAAAGTTATAAACATATGTATTAATACAAATAATAAATACTGAAGTAATTTATTTACGTAGAGTAAGGCCGAGATCTCTCGAGATTTCATAGTACTCCAGTTTTTCAGTCTTTTTGCTCTAGGTTCATATCGAACCATCCTAAAAAGTCATCATCTTCGTAATTCTCATTATTAAGCCATCCATTCGACTGTTGCTGTAAAAATGTAGCTATCTGATCTGTCACACCTGTAGTAGGTGGCACTGACCGCACGTCATAAGGTAATGGTAAGGGGGTTTGTCCTGTACCTGGAAAGTCAGGTAATGCTTGTTGGTGCAATGGTGGCTGCATCTGCAGGGGAATTGGGCTCTGTTGGCCAAGATCCGGAATAAATAACGGCAGAGCTCCAGTTCCAAAGGATGGGAATTGCGCTGCAGTCTGACTTGTGATTTGCTGTGGTTTGTCATCCAAAAATGACCTCGAATTGGACATCATCGAGCCACTCATATCAGTGATATTGTTGTTGTTGTTGTTACTGTTGTTATTGTTGTTGTTACCAGTATTGTTGTTAGCATTCACGAAGTTCTGATTACCATTCTTTCCATTTTGATTATGGTCAATCATACTTCCAGTAGCATCCAACATTGATAAAGGAATACCATTGATTTCCAAGGGCTCTTTCAGACCCTTTGCATTGGCATTCAGTCTTGCCTGATTTAAAGCCTCGTCAGTTGGTACTAACGTAGTAACCGTGGTACCGTTTGGCGTAGTGGTAATGATTGTTTTGAAATCGTCCTTGGTGATTTGATTATAAAATGGGAGAGGTACTGGTTTCCTGTAATTAAAGTGCTGCTCAGATTCCTCAGAGCTATTGTCATTTTGTGATTGCCTGTTCCCACCGTTATTTTTATTTTCCAAGTTACGTCTTCTAGCCTCATGTACACACCACACCAAGTCATAAAACAATGATGCAGTTAAATGAGATCTCATTCTTGAAATAATAGACCCACCACTGTTATTTTCGCTGCTTATATTGGCAGTGAATATATCTGGATACGATAGTAATACAATATTCAAGTTCTCCAATAATCTAGCAGTTCTCGAAATATCATTTTGTAAATCCTTCCATGAAGATAATGTATTTCTGAGTAACCTATGAACGGTGACAATCAGCTGTCTTGCACTGTCAACATACTTATCAATTAAATACCTTGAAAGTTGGAGTTTGAAAAGTAATAGCACGGAATACGTGATAGCTTGCCTAACATATATGGGCAATTCAATCAACAATACCGTGTTATTATTGATCATTTGTGATGTTATAGTGATGATTCTAGTGGCTGCCATGTAGGCGCTACTAACGTATTTAACTTGATCTTCAATAGGTGTCCCTGGCAAAAATGCAAAGCAGCAAATCATCAATTTAACATAGAGGAAGTAGACTTCAATGGAGGACCCATCATCAATAGGCAATTTATATCTTAATCTCTCCAATTCGCGATCCAAAATGTTTAATGATCCTGCTCTGTTCAGAGGCTCAAGCAATCCATCAGGGCTAGTCACTGAAACACCCATTACGTTAACCAATTTACACTGGAATATAGACAACGATATTAAGCATCTGAAGTTGTTGGGCAAGGTAGTATCAACTCTGGCGTTCTCTATAAGATAATCGGTAGTGTTGATTGAGGGGGGCAACCCTAATACCGAGGACCAAAACTGCTCGCAGAAGAAGACTGCCAACCATGATCTAGTTCTCCAATATTCAGCGTCTGGTCCCAAACTGACTTGAGTTCTACTGAATTCTTGAATGAATTCACCACCTCTGTGAAGACCCAATTGTAACGATAATTTTTTAGCCAATCCTATAAACCTGTATGAGCAATCGTCCAAGATCTTTTCATTAGGCAATGGCCATAAAGACAATATAATCAAAGCTTGAATCACATGGGTGGACCTTGGAGTGTGTATCCAACAAGTTTCGATGGCCAATTGCTTAATCAACAGCGCTAACGACATATAAAGGGTAGGTTCAGGCTCTGACAATGCCGATGTCAACATGACAGACCAAAACAAGAGTTGAGATTTATGGTAGAGTTCCGTAGCGGACTTCGATTCAAAAATGGGGAAGAATGGTAAATGCTTTGTTATGAATCTTTCGTGAAGCTCGTCTGCCTTTTCAAGGGAAAGGTGAACTGTGCCGAGCACAAACTCGGATATCACAGTGTAAGTTAAGGATGAAGTATGTTGCTCGGAGTGAATGAGTGGTTGTGAGATCTGAGTGGCATGGCTGATGCGCTTTGTTGTGTGGTGGGAGGAGGAGCCTGCTGGCAGCTGACCCGGCGTATTTACTAAAGTTGTGTGCACAGCCTCAGGCAATTGTGAGCTAGTGCTGGTGGTTGGAGTAGGGTTATCCAACTGTATATGTCTTGGCGATTGCAAGTTGTTGGAAGGTCTTTGTACAGGAGTGTTGTGATATGAAGATAATGAGCCAGCACCACCACCGGTAACAGATGTAGTGGTTGGTTGCAATTGAGGCGACATGCTGAAGTTGGAATGTTGCTGCTGCTGTTGTAAGAAGTTCAAGTTATGCTGGTTCAAAGCTTGAGTCAACAAGGTCTCGTTCTTGGTAAGCATCTCAATCTTAGCCTTCAACTCGTCCACATCGTTCTTTAACGTTTGGATCTGCGAGCCCTTCTTTGGTCTAAACTTTGGGTCGATCTCACACTTCAACTCCATCTTTTCACACCTGGCACATGGGTTCGGATAGTTATCCGAAGCATTGCACTTGATCTTGTGTTGCCTACAGAAGGTGCACGAGGTTACCGGCCGATGTCCCGTGGTCTTGTTCATACTATCATCATCCTGTCCTTCCATGTACGACATGATCGACGGGTTTACCGCAGACTTGGCCCGCTTCCGCTTAAGATCGGAATTTTGCGTAGGTGCCGACGTCAAGCTTCTTCTCTTGTTCGTGTTTGCAGCTGGAGCGCCAGCCGATTCTGATTTGATCATTATGGGCGAGGGCAGGCTCAACGGAGAAGGTTTAGGGAGGATAGACTTGACTTTCGATTTATCCATGATCCAAAATTTGTCCGGTCTAGCGACTCAATAATCCGTTATAATTTTAAATTCGTATATATACGGCCTTCTTACCTAATTACAAGCGGGTTTACTGTAGATTCCAGACTTCAAAAGAGTGTCTAGCAAATACTTATCAATCAGACTAGGTAAGAAGAAAAATCGGTTAGTGTTTAATTTTCCTTTGTATTTTTTTTTTTTTTTTTGTTTATTTTTTTTTTTTTTTTTTTTTTTTTTTTTTTTTTTTTTTTTTTTTTTTTCCTTCCTTCTCTCCTATAACTATGTGATTTTTCAGTTAGCAGGGCCAAGTCACGCAAACCTGTCCCTACCTGCTTCCTCCTTATCAGATAGCTAATATTTGCAATATGCGGTTCGGACTTGGGTTTTTTCGTATATCCTATTTTAGCCTTCTCCTGTGTGACCTACAGAGATATGAACTGTCCAGATACGAACGCATAGCGTAGTCTTCCTCAGATGGACCTTCTCCATGCCGTGCCCGGATTTTTTCTCATTTTAAGCTTTTCTTTGAATTTGCCATCAGACTTGCATGAGCTTACATAAACTGTGCGTTTTAAATAATAGTAAAAACGAGAAAAACCAAAAAAAAAAAGAAAAAAAAAAAATCAAAAAAAGAAAAGCCTTGAAAGTGGCACCTACGAAAGGGACTCACTCACTAGCCCAATATCATAGTGACACTAGGGCACCGTATCGTCCCCATTCCACCTGACCGTATCATCTAAATGACCCAGTTACTCTAACCTTAAACCTTCTTAAGCCTTCTCAATTGTAAACAAGCAATTTTTGTCACTATCTCAAGTCACATAAACCCAACCTTCCGATAACAGCCTTATAGCAAAGGAATATATTTCTTCCCCAAAGTGAAAGGTGAAACAGCGAGAGGCGCTAGTCATCAATGGAAACAGAATGTGCTAAAAAATCAAGAGCAAGAAAAAAAAAAAAAAACAATTTAAAATACACATATAAATTACCATAAACAATATAGACTAGGTGTTGAGGGAAGCTACCCGCAGTCAAAAAATAATATATTAATAATATACAAGCACAGGAAAGTTACTCCGCTGCATTTCAGTTTGTATACTGTTTCTTTCAGTCAGTTTGGGATATATTTTTTTGTACCTATTCGATATTGAATAAATTATTTTTTTATTTTCCTTTTTTCTTACTGTTTATTAAAGATAACCTTACCCTAGAGTGTGTTCTTCCAATCTAGATAATCGATACACTTCTATAGCAAATAGCACAATGTCTGAACCGAGACAGAAGAAACGTCAACGGCAGACTTTGGTCTGTGAGTTTTGTCGGAAGAGGAAAGTGAAATGTGATAAAGGTAATCCTTGCTCCACTTGTAAGAAGTACGGGAATGTGAATTGCCATTACTCCGATAACATGTTCCAGATGATCAGCGGAAACACTTTTGTAGAGCAGAACCATATGGGAGACACCAATTATATGGTGAAAACAAGCCCCAATGGGAATGGCGTGGGAGCACTCAGAAAGTCGAGTGACAGCAGTGTGAAATCAGACCTTGAGCTTGAGCTTGAGCTGTTGAAACAGAAAATTAAAAGCATTGAACAGTCTGTGACTTCCATTGCCACTTCGGACTTGTCGCCTAATTCGATCCAAAGCAATAGTTCCAGCACTCAGTATGGTCTTCCATCTCTAGACACGCCCACCTTGGCTGATCCATTGACAATAAGTAGTCATTGGAAGGACAAGTCAATGCTTGGCCGTAACCCGGTCGCATCAAACTACGACACTATCAACTTTTACACCGGTTATACATCAGTTCAAGACAAAGAACCTCTTCGTAGAGCCAATTTTGGACCCATGTCTTGGATAGCATTGCTAAGAAAGGACCGGGCCCTGAACATGCTTTGGAGTTATGTTGAGGGCAGACGAAAGCTCATTGAGGATAAATTGAAAGTGTTCCAGACTACAAATGCCTCAACTAAGACAGAACATCATTTTAAAGATTTACTCACTGAATCGTTTGGATATAATGATGTAAAATTATTCAAGGCCAAGACCGGTGATAGAAATATGAAATTTGAAAATGGTAACGATTATGGGCTTGATGTGGTTAACAGTCCAGTTTCAAGGCAGTTGTCGAACACCACTACTAAATCTGAATTGAATAGTAAACCACGTCTCTTTCTGAACAATTACAATGTTAATGATTCAGCAGCTAAATCTAAAATCAATGAACGAGCTCGTTCACTTGGAATTTCCTTCTATGCTGGTGACATTGATGATGAATTGGCCTTGGCTGATAAAATTGAATTGATTTTACCTAATGAGAGTGTTATTTGGCTTCTTGTTGGTAGATTTTTTACTCACATTTATCCTTTCTACCCAGTTATCGATGAAGTTAGCTTTAGAGCAAATGTTAGTGCAATAATTGGACTAGAAGGTTATGATAATAAGAAAAAGGTCCTGATTAACGTTGAAAAAAAATTGGACTTTGCAAATTTGGGTTTATTGTTGCTCATGCTTAGATTCAGTTATCTTTCATTACTATCCACGATTGAATCTGTTAATGAAAGAAACTTGAACACTGCGGACCAATCTCCAGAAGCCCAAAGATTGAAATTCTTGTTAAACAATCCGATAAATTTGGAAATAGTTGATTGTGCACAGGAATGCCTAAACCAGTTTAATTTACTTCGTAGGGTCAATATGACAATTATGCAATTGGCTCTTTTTACAAGATTGTACCATATGTATGCTCCTGAAGATGGTGACAGCGCTGATGGAGGAGATTCACAAGTATTCACTGCAACATTAGTGCAGATGGCTCTACTGTTGGGTTTAAATAGGGAACCTGATTTGTTTCCTGATGCTTGTAATGATGAGAAGGTTAATAACATAGGTAGAAAAATTTGGTACTTGTTGTTAATCTTCGATTTCAATAATGCTATGGCACTTGGTACTCCTCTAAACATTAGTAGGTCGATGTTTGATACAAAATTTCCCTTTTACAAGCACGGGAATTCAAACATCCTTGACACAGAGCTTGAGATGAAAATTTTGTCTTCATCTTTCCCAAGAATGGATAGAGTTTATGGTCCTATGTTCGATATAATTACCACGGTTTTAGACGTAAGAGGGAACATAAATATGGCGCTGCTAGCCGAGAAATTGAATTTCGTGGAAACTTATTTTAACCAAGAGTATGGTAATTTGAGATCCATATTTGATGATGCATCTGTTGATGGGGAGGAAGAAAGTGATCTGGAGGATTTATTCGTCAAGACTTTGAAAATGAAGATATATTTCGCCTCTAATTTCTTTTTGGTGACAATATATTTCCACTTCTTCTGCTACTATGAAAACAAAAAAAATTCAGAATATGCATATTACTATTTAAAGAAAATATTTTCTATTATTATTGGAGAGTTGGTGCCATATTATTTGGAACTATTGGGAAATAATCCTAAAATATTCAGAAACCTGACTGATATGATTGTTATACCAAGCTTTGAAATCATTTTGCATAAATCACTTATTATATGTAGTGCAATCTTAATTAGAATTCGCCTTATGCTATACACGCTTAAGGTCAATCCTAACCATGATATGTCGCTATTGAAAGACCAGAGATATTCTGATATGTTCTCAAAGTTAACTAAGATGGATCAATTGCTACAAAAAAGTTGCAAGATATTCTTAGAAACTGTTGGAAGATTAAGTAAAAGGTACTATTATGCATGGAGAATTGTAAAGGCTGGTGGTTTTATTCATGATTTGGTAAAAGGTAAGGAATTTTATGAACATTTGTTGGAAAATACAACAATGGAGAATACCGGTGATGGTGGAGAAGATGTTAAGGATAAAAAAAGTCTTTTGGATATGAAATTTTCAATTGAAATGCTTGATGACTTGATTGTATTATTTGAAGAATCATTAGCAAGAGTGCCAAGACATAAGAAGATGCAAACACAACAAAATCAGCAGACTTATCAACAGCAACAACGACAGTATGGTCAGCAGAATCAACCTCTGGACAATTCCTACAATCCTCAGCAATCTCAAAATCCTGATGGCTCTTTGATTACACATGGATCGACACAGCGTTCGAACGGTAGTATGTCAAATTCAAACAATGATAGTAGTGGTAGTCTCAATGGAGAAGCCCATTCTGTCGGTTCTACCGGCTCTTCATCTTATTCAGAGAACTTCTCAGCAGGTAATGAATCAGTAGATAGGCTTTGGCTACAAATGCTTCAACTTAAGAGGAAAGATCTCAATAACAGTAATTTGGGTATGACTCCATCTTTTGATTTCTTTAACCAGACTCCTGTGGAAAACGCAAGATACCAGGCGGAAACGCCAGGTGCTTTTGGTTTAAAAGGTGTCAATGGTGAGTTCTTAAATGATGCCGGTACTGGTACCGGCTTTGACTCTGGGTTAAATGTTATGGATCATAGTTTAAATGAACTAATGAAAAGTTCGGATTTTGATCTCTTCCAAAGTTTAACTTTTGAAGATATATGGGGGAAGAATATGTAGAGGTTGGAAAACAGAGCACCCATTTAGAGAATGGAATGTCAATACTTGTAAATAGCTGTTTCTTCGGTGCAAATGTGTGCAACTAAAGATTAGTTTTATGGAAAAAATGAAATACTAAAAAAAAAAACGAAAACGAAACGAAGAAAGAGGAGATAGAAACTGATTAAGCCACTATAACAGAGGACTTGATTAGATTGTACATATATTTTATTTATCTTGCTCTCTAATAAATTATGCCCATATAAAATTAAATATTCAATATATATAAATATTACACGTATTGTAGTATCAATTGACTGGTAAATACATGTCAATAAGTGTTCATAATTAATACTTCTTCAATCATTCTACCAAGCAATCTTAGCTAGGAAAGATGAAGGGTATTTTCGGTTGAAATACTTTCTTAACTCATCGTAGAGTAATACAACACAGCCAAAGGCAACAGCAATAAAATAGTATTGAACAGGCACATGTCCCGTATTCAAAATTTTGTTGAACCATGGGATATAATTGAAGAAAAATGTAACAGCAAGGGCGAAAGCAATTGCGAGAAAGGACAAGTAATTTTTAGTATCTTTATTCCATACGGGTGGATGTTGGAATATACTCAAGTACCTTGTTCTAACCGCCATCAAATTAAAGAATTGCATGATAACTAAGTTGACAAAGTACACTGAAGATGCTGAGTTGCTCACTTCACCTAAGTTTTCGAACTGACTCGTATTACCGTAGGATAAAGTCAAAGCGTTGAAAGGAATTCCTTTGTGTTGGAAATACAAGAAACACATAAGCATTGAGGTAAAGGAATAGAAAGTACCAATCGTAAAATAAGAGTGCAAGAACAACTTCATATCTACTAGTCTTTCTCCTGTAACACTTCTAGGTTTCTTCAATAGTAAATTACTCTCTGGTGATTCGTATGCCAATGTGATAGCCCCCGCACAATCAGTTAAGCAGCAAATTATGATCATGCAGAATGATGATAATGCTTGAGGTAAACCAAATATAACATTAAGTAAGACTGGCCATAATTCAGCGTATGTACCCGCTGGTAACAAGTATGCGATGGTCTTTTTCAAGTTTTCAAACACCAATCTACCATACTTTAGGGCCTCAACAATTGACGAAAACGAATCCAAAAGGATCAAATCACTTGCTTCCTTAGCTATGTCAGAGCCATCCGCCATTGCAATGCCAACATCGGCTTGTTTCAAAGAAGGAGCATCATTGATACCATCTCCAGTCATACCAACTATATGTCCCCTACATTGGAACTCCTCTACAATCCTAAGCTTCTGTTCTGGAGTTGCTCTTGCAAATACAATCTCTGAGTATTTTGCCAATTGATCCCATTCTAAAGTTGATAATGAAACTAAATCTTTAGATGTTACGACAATGGACCTGTCTAGTTCTCCAGTCTTGGCATCCAAGCTTTCCTCATACTGATTATTTAAATCTGCAGCATGATCGATAATCCTATGCGTAACAATTCCACACATTCTTGCTATTGCAACAGCAGTTAATTCGAAATCTCCCGTCACCATTGCTACTTTAATACCGGCACCTTGGAGTGTAGAAACAACATCAAAAATGTCGTCTTTTGGTAGATCAGCAATCCCAACCAAACCAACCAACGTCAACAGTTCATTACTCAACTTTCTCAAATAACCTGTTGATTTATTAGAATCTTTCCAAAATGTTTCGTCATGCATATCATCTTGCGGCACAATTCTAGAGGCTAGAAGTAGTACTCTTTTACCTTGGGTGGCCCATTGAGTTTGAATTTCTAGGATACGGTTTTTAACGGTTTCTGTCAAAGGTGTACGACGTGATTCATCAAGGTAAGACGAACATTTATCAAGTAAAATATCTGGAGCACCTTTGATCGTGAAGTAGTACTGCTTTTTTATATTGGAAATTCCTACTTTTGAGCCAGTTGCTTCAGAATGAGTTTGATAAATTCTTGCCATGAATTTGTCCTTGGAATTGAAAGTCAATTCGGATAACTTTTGCCAATTGTGATTTATGTTACTTGTTGGCTTGATTGATTCTGCAAATCTCAAGATAGCTTGATCAGTTGCATTAGAATGTATTATTCTTTCTTGAAGTGGGAGGCCTAAAGTCTTGATATCAAACGTAGCCGTATTACACATTCCACAAATAGAATACAATTGTTCAATTCCTTCAATGTCATTGAAAGTGTTCTTTTCATGGTCAATTCTCGGTAAGATTTTAGTCCCTAAGCAAGCATCAGTAACAAACATTTTATTTTTTGTTAGTGTACCAGTTTTATCTGAACATAAAACTGAAACAGAACCAAGAGTCTCGACGACTGCCAATGACTTACATAAAATTTTATGTTTCTTCATGGCACCAGCGGTAATTATCAAGCAGGACGTTAATGCAATTGGCAAACCTTCTGGGATAAAAGCTACAGCAATTGATACTATATCAACGATCAAAGAAGAGGTGCTAATCCAATTAGGATATGACTTTTTGATCCAAGCAGCCCATAGAATAACAACTAAAACAACCAAGGAAACAATAACAGCAACAACGATCAATACGAATCTTAGGATTTCACTTTGTAAAGGAGTAAGGCCGGATTTTGGTTGTGAAGACATTTGGGCAATATTTCCAAAGACAGTAGCATCACCAGTAGAGACTACAATTCCACGACCAGAACCTGATATACAGAAAGTACCTTGCATTGCAATGTTGTGTGATTCCAAATAATTAGCCCCTTCTTTATCTGCACTTGACATTGCTTGGATTGGTTTGGACTCTCCTGTTAAAACTGACCTATCAAATGCTAAATCAGGAGATTCATCAACAATTCTTATATCAGCAGGAACTTTGGTTCCTGTTTCAAGCAACACAAGTTCTCCTGGTACGAGATCTTTGACCTGAACTTGACCGATTTTTCCTTCTCTTATAACCTTACAGTCGGAAGGGATAACATCATGGATTGATTCCATTACTTTAGAAGAAGAAAAATCCTGAACAAAATTGAAAGCTGCTTGAGCCAAAAACACGATGAATAAGATAACACCAAGAGCCAAATTTGCTGGTGCAGGAGCTGGTTCACCTAGAGGCTTCCATGAGACACAGCATAAAATACCACCGATCATTAACAACAACCCAAATCCTCCAAAGAAATTAATTAATATCTTTCTTAACATACCCGAAGGCGGTTTTGATTGAACATTTAAGCCAAATACCTTCAAATTTTCTTCGTGCTGAGAAGCAGTTAAGCCTAGCTTTACGTCTGAGGAGAAGTCATTTGCAACATCTTCAGATTCCTTGAGGTGCCAGTGAATATCTGAAAACTCTTTCGCCTTTTCGTCTAACTTTAGCTTTTGAGTTGCTTCATTAGCATCTTCAATTCTATGAGAAATAGTTTTGAATGCTATTGGCAAAACATTCTCAGCTGGAACCTTTTCAAACAATGAGGTCTCAGAGAGTCGACGATGAATTGAGAGTCTTCTTTGTCTCCGACCAGCAGGAAATGGTCTTTCAGAATCTACATCAAAGGTAATGCCTCCATTTGTAGACGACTCCTCATCTTTATAATCATAAGTAGTAACTGACTCCATTGTGACTGGTACCCTATATTATTCTATTCTTTTATTTGGTGATGATTTTCAATTGCTGCAAATCTTAAATGAACCAAATTAATTTAGCGAAATAGACATGAAAGTATAAAATACAAACTGGCCATATTTATACCTTTTCAATGTTTCATAATATCCCAGATCCGCTTGGCTCTCTTGATCCAGCTCCACATCGCCATGCCACGTACTCTTCGATCTCCTTTTCATTGTTGACCAGTCCAAAGGTAACACTTGAGCGGATTTAGAATTATTAGGCTTTTTTTTCTGTAAGCGGCTAAGCGCCGCAGGTATGATGTAATGGACCTGCGCGACCAACTTGGGAAGAAGTGTTACCATTTAGAAAAGCATCACTTGTATATATGAATTTGTTGTTATTCGTATCATCAGTAAATAGTCCTCGTAAGAAGTAATTCGATGCTTAACGAGTATCATGGAGGTCGACAATGGAATATATACAAATATTAAGAGCCGAACACCTGTGTTCTAACTAGATTCGAGGACAGAATCATTGTGGAGTGTAAAGTTAGTCTCGTAAAATGATATTTTCAGCCCAAGAACATCTGTATTTCTTTGCACGATACTGGGCCTCGAAAATGCCTCATACAGTCTTAGTATTTACTCTAACTATCGTAGTTGTGAGTCCACACTACTAAAGTGTATTGTCTAATTTGCACCCATAGAGTTACATGCGCGAATTTGTTTAAAGTTCATTTTGAGGGAAATACAGACTGACCAACCACCAAAATCCCTCCAGCACCAGAAAAATACCTCATTGGAATTTTCGTATTAGCATGAGGACGATATTTTTTGAGTAGGCAACTGGACCTAACATTGTTTAACTCTTTAGAAGATCGAGTTTGAGTTTCTTTAATCCATTCACGTAATGTTTTTTTTCTTGCTCGCATGATCTTTGTAGCTCCTTTCGGCTGTGTATACGAAAGGTGAAGAGCTGAAAATCTCTAAAATGAGTTCCTTTTTCATAGTTATTAGAAATTTCCTATGTCAATTAAATTTCCAATTCACTTCTATGTAAATATAATATATAGGAATATATAATTGCATAATGGGCAAGATATTTGATCTTAGTAGTTTTAGAGCTCCATTCACAATGAATAATAATTAGAAGTTTGCCATAGATCAATTCGAGCTAGTATTAAAATCTTCAATGCTTGTTATCTCCTCTATATCACCTTCTAAATCCTTTTCTTCCTTTTCTCTCTTCCTATCCTTCACAATTTTGGATATTTCAAGGTTCCTGACAATTCTTTCGTCGGCAACTTCTGAATCCAACAACTCCAATTGATCTGGCGGAATAATGTAAGGCCATACCCATTTGGCGCAGATAGCAAAGAACATTAAGACCCCAGGAAATCCAACGGCTCCTTTTGTATTTGTAATACCAAATTCCAATCCTGCTGCAATCAACAGTAATAACAAATAAATGTAGTACCACTTTTTCTGGGGGAGATTATCTATTGTACGGAAGATCTCTGGACATTGTGGGTCATATTTGATGTACCTGTCATCTAAGAAGATGTACCTTATTCCATTGGTAAGCACATTTCCGTGTAACCCTGTAATACCCATAATAAAGAACAATCCTGCAAGAACTGCTTGAGGAATCAATCCAAGCACAACAAGAAATGGTCTTGTCATCATTACAAAAGTCATTAGACCTTGTAAAGTGTTGGTCACTCTTTGTTCAACTACAGATATAGCTTTTCCAGTCTTAAGGTCATGTACCACAAGAGATTGTGTATGAAGTGGAGCTTGTGGAATAAGTCCGTTAGGGGCAGGAATTCCAATCAACCCAGCAACCCCAGTAGTAATCCCCAAAAGGGCGAAATCCCAATGGAATGCTGCTGGTTTCTTTAATGGATATTCCTTCAGAAGACACATTAACGATGATACGTTATGGTCGAAATAGAACAAAAATGTCAATAAGATTGCAAATGGCAATGCAAGGAAAACATCTCCTACAGAAATTGCGCTAGGATCACTAGAGTCCGGCCAAAAATGAATGAACCAACCGTGTGGTCTTGAAGCTGACCCATGTAGCGTGGGCTGGAAAGATTGACTAATTGGTAAATGTGAAAGCTTTGTGCTGGATAAATAGCCTCCAAAGTGAACAAATCCTGTAAAAAAGATCACTGATAGTGGTGTACCATAGTCTACAAACACTTTCCTCACCCAAGGTTTAAAATAATGCAATTGGCTGCCAAAGATAAAGCTCCCAATACCAGCTACACTCATTAAAAGTGCTAGCATGACAGAATAGAAACCTGCTTCTACGGATTCACCGGGTTTGTCTCCATGGAATTGACCTGTTAGAATTTGAATGCCCTTCTGTATATAGACAATACAAATGAAAAACCCAAAAACATCACAAGAAAATGACGATATTATCTTCAAAAAGGAAATCATGTTGCCAAAGGCTATTATCAAATGCATAACCATAGACCAAAGGTATATCCAGCACATGAATGGGAAGTATGGTGTACCTCTCGGTTGAATTAACTCATACACCGTGTAACTGAATATCGAAATTGGTCCCGTCACTCCTACAATACATAATGGTTGACCAGCAAAAAGCCCAAACACTACGCCTGCCATCGCAGAGCTCAATAGCACCTCGTTTACACCATACAGGTCGTTCGTCTTATCGAACATATCCTGTGCGAAAGCAATAGCAGGAAGTAAATTTGTGAAAAAGATAAACACAGTTGACGGGATCACTCTATAGTTGTACGCATCTTTAAAGTCCAGACCATAGTATGGTAATCTTGATCGTATGTCGTTATACACACCATATCCAAAGTAGTTGAAAGTTTTTAGCCCCACCTGCATCGCAAAATATATGTGTATATAATGTCTGATTATCTATAAAGCGTCTCTTTGCGAATTTAGAGAAGAATCATGAATGCACTAACTCTATGAGGTTCTATTAGCTCTAATATTTTTGGATTGCTGCTTCGGAGCTAGCATTGCAATGAGGCAAAAAAAATAAAATAAAGTTTATCAATAAATTGATCTTGATATTATTATATTAGCGTATTATGCAGGCTCGAAGAGCTCTGAAACCCTCGTGTTCTGAGTGCCAAGAATGTTTCTAACTGTTAATATTTTAGTTTGATCAGGGAAGTCAAAACAGGCTTTCAATTACCGACGGGCCAGGCCAATGAACATGTGGGGGCATTTAGAGTCTCCCCCTCCTCCCTTGTAGTGTCTTTTCTACAATTACGAGCAGTCCAATTTTTGTGTGTAACAGTACCTGCATATTCCGTTTTGGGACCTCTTCTGCATCACTGTAGCATAGTGTTCCGTCAGAATGGCCCAGCAGAAGGTAGAACCATTGGAGCGAGTAGATGTAGGAGTGTTTTCGTAGGCAAACGTTTTGATTTTCCACTTAGCTAGAATAATGCACCTGTCCTATCACATACCAAAACTCATGTCTCTTTCTCTAGTTTCACCCATAACAATTAATATACCGGTGAGCAAATTCGCAGCCTAAAGTAATTTGTTTGGTTTCAAACGCTTGTACATGGAACAATACTTGAAGATCTTTTTGTACTGTTTTCTTCTTAAAGTAAATCTGCTGACACATTCCCTTTTGATGAAAGGTGTTCTAATTGTTCACGTCGGTGCAGGGAACCACTCTTTGGCTAATAGAACGAAGTATAAGAAGCTAATAGGCAAAGCACTTAGAGCTGAGAACTTGGTCGATGCGAGTAAGGTATTGGAAGGATCCTCTTTAACCAACACTGGGTACGGATCTTCGTTGAATATAGACGGTCAGGTGGAATGTGATGCTAGTTTCATACGAACCAGAAATGGCGCAATCGCAGACGTAGGTTCCATGTATAACATACGACAGCGGTATCCAATATCGGAGACTGTCAGAGCATTTGAAGCGCTTCAGGAGAGCTACAGGGAGAATGCGATGGGCTTAACAATGCCGATCATGATCGACCACAACCGTGTCATGGAATTCTATAACAAAGATAAAGAAGAAGAGGTTTTACCCGACCTTATATCACCCAAGAACTTGGACCTTTACTCTCGGTACAAGTCCAATGTTCCCTTGAAGCAATTAGAGTCAGTCACAGATACTATTGGAGTGATCTACACCACTGAGGAAGGAAGTGAAGTAGCTTCTTCTTCCGGAGGCAACTTTTTTAAGGTGCCTGGAAGGATAGGGTGTGCAGCAGTACTTGGGGCGTCTATTGCTCAAAGGTCCGTAGTACTCTCCGACTCGCTGTACACCATCTCCTGTATGTGCAGTGGGAATGGAGAAGATATCATGCTAATGAACTTAGCCCGGTATATAATTGATTCACTCTCTTGCAAAATAGAATCATCTGATGACCTACTGCAAGATATGGTGGATGCGATTGAGCAAGAAGGAAGAAATGTCCCCTTACACAGCAACTCCAAGACCATCTACATCGGGAGCATATGCTCTATTCTAAATATCCAATCCCAGAGAACTACAATACTATACTGCCACAGCACGGAGTCGTTTTTCTTTGGATTCAGAAGCGATTCGTGCGGGCCAGAGGTAATCCTAAGCACATTAGAGACTGAGCCTGGCAAATTTTGCCGAGGAGAGTTCAGGATATAGTTATTCATCCTAGTTGTTAGAGCTAGTAGGAGAGTAGTGTAAGTTTGCAGAGCTAGCAGGAGAGTAGTGTGAGTTTATAGAGTGATTAGTGGTGCTATTCAGCTCAAAATTGACCTTGGCAAGTTCAGTAATATACTCTAGCTGTTAGAGTTAAGATGAGTGCTGCGTGGTTATAGGGGAGATTAATAGAGATACTCAGGTCAAAAGGAATAACATATCAATAAACGCTACTAAATATACTTTCAACGCAATACTGTGTCTTTCTACATCATTTCCTAACTCAAATCGTTTTATTATTCTTTATTTAACTTAACGGGAGGTAGCGTGAACCTTTTGGAAGGCACCCTTAGATTGTTGCTTAGAGACCTTGGATTGAGCACCGGAAGCAGCAGACTTAGCCTTTTCAGCCTTTCTAGCAGCCTTAGCAGCCTTCTTGGTTTCCTTGTCAAGAGCTAACTTGTCATCTCTAGCCTTCTTTCTTTCAGCTGGCTTTTGGGATCTTCTTTCCTTAATTAATTCTAAAGAAGCACCGACAATAGCTCTTTGGTTCTTAACGGTCTTTCTGGTTCTTCTCTTAGAAGTTTCTTCAGCTAAACCCTTCTTGTGTTGTCTTCTGTAAAGAACGGTCCAAGAGATTCTTCTTGGGTTCTTTCTTTGTTGGAATAAAGAGGCAGATTTGGAAGATTGGAATCTGAAAATCTTAGAGTCACCTCTGACGAATAAAGTACCTCTACCTGGGTAGATTTTAGCACCGGAAAAGGAGTCAAGTTCAACCTTCATTTTTGCTGGAATATGTTAGTATAAAATCAAAGAAATGAAATATGGTGGAAGGCGAGCTAGTAACAGCTTATTGAATGGTCAACTGAAGAGGAGAAGCAAGAAGAAGAGCCAGACCTAGTGGCCGGTAGCTTCTTCAGCAAGCTTGCCTAGAACTGGAACTAGAGCTAGGATTAGATCGAGGTGCTGCGTTTAGACGTTTTCATAATTTACTCTTCCACTTGGACTTCCATTTCCACTGTGACTTCTTCACCTCATACTTGGCCATCTTCCAGCTGGTGGAGCACTAAGTTAGTGGGCCGGTAGGGACTGTGGGCTGTGGGTTCGCATACTGGCAGTCCATGTATCTAATACCAATACGGAAAGCAATCAACACTCTAACGCTAGCATCGTTTTTGCCCATTTTTCACTCATACAAATAAATCCATAAAACTGCGAGTCAGTTTTTTCACCTCTATCCTTCCGTCTGTATCCCACTGTCTCTCTCCATCGTTCTCTTTCCAACCCTAGACGCTCTACCTTTCTAGTTTTCGCTTGCCTATCTCTCTCTACATGTGTACAGCTATCAATACACGCCAACGGATCTCTTCACATACCTTTTTGGTTTCTAAGGGTAGTATATTAAAAACTATTCAAAAGGTGCAAGTTTTTTTTTAGGATTTTTTTTTCCTTTTCGTTTTTCCTCACCAACGCACAAGCGCTCGGTGTACAAGCAAAAAACTCAATTTTTCAGCGGTTAGTAGCCTTGCCCACCACGCACTACTGGAGGGTTTTGTCACTGGGCTTGAGTCGGACAGGCAAATGCGGTCGTGCACAACGCCAAAAGCGTCCCAGGTGCACTCCAGATCACGCGGACGAGTGTGACTGTTTTAGTTTATGGTGGAGTTTTTTTTTTTTTGTCTTTTTTTTTTGTCAATTTTCCACAAGCCCCACCCATCGCTGTTGTCCCTAGTAATTTTTCACCCTCTTCTCTTGGTACTTCTTGAAAAGACTTGAATAGTTTCCTTCTTTATCCAGACCGGAGTGTAAAACATATATTAAAACGCAGAGATGGTCCGTATATTTGCATAGAGCGGGATGAAATGGTGAAAGGATGGCAGACAGACGGAGGTTGTCTTTGTTGATGGACTTTGGTGTCTGTTCTTATCCTTTTATATTCTTCCAGGCTGACGTTTTCCAGACGTAATGAACATGAACATGAACATGAACATGAACATGAACTAAAATAATGAACTTCTTACTAACATACCCTACAGGCCCCAAAGAACAAGCAAAGTGAAAACGTTAACGCCAAGTTAGGTTTAGTTATCAAGTCCGGTAAGTACACCTTAGGTTACAAGTCCGTTGTCAAGTCCTTGAGAACTGGTAAGGCTAAGTTAGTCCTTATTGCTGGTAACACCCCAGTCTTAAGAAAGTCTGAATTAGAATACTACGCTATGTTGTCTAAGACCCAAGTTTACTACTTCCAAGGTGGTAACAATGAATTAGGTACCGTTTGTGGTAAGCTTTTCAGAGTTGGTACCATGGCCATTTTAGATGCTGGTGATTCCGATATCTTAACCACCCTCGCTTAAATGTGAAGGATGTATATAGAATTCTTAATATTACACTAATCTAAAGTACTGAACTGTAGAAGGAGGATGGGCTGTACTGCATCATCAACAAGCGCTTGCTTGTGCTGCATTTCGTTATCCACGGAGTGGACCTGTAGAGCGTACACACTACTGCAGTCTAGTCGAAAGACTACCGGTATCTTATTTGCTATGGTAGCCTGGACTGACTTTTGGTAGCATGGTCCTCTTCTCGTCGAGCCTGAGGGGAATTAGATATCCTCTTGCCAGATATCCTCCTGTCTGATACCCTCTTGCCAGACATCCTTTTGTCTGATATCCCCTTGCCAGATATCCCCTTGCCAGATAATGTGACCCACCTGTTACAAGGCCCAAGTCTATACCGATTCGTAACATACATTAGATGTCCTCTTGTCTGATATCCCCTTGCCAGATAACGTGGCCCACCTGTTACAAAGCCCAAGTCTATACCGATTCGTAACATACATTAGATATCCTCTTGTCTGATATCCCCATGCCAGATAACGTGGCCCACCTGCTACAAGACCCAAGTCTATACCAATTCGTAACATGCATTAGTTAAACTCCTTGCCAGATATCCCCTTGCCAGATATCCCCATGCCAGATAACGTAGCCCACCTGCTACAAGGCCCAAGTCTATACCGATTCGTAACATACATTAGATATCCCCTTGCCAGATAACGTGGCCCACCTGCTACAAGACCCAAGTCTATACCAATTCGTAACATGCATTAGTTAAACCTCTTCTCAGATACTCCTATTCTTGGTTGATTTGCTCCAACTTTGTTTCTAGCTCCTCAATCTCCAGCTCCTCTTGTTCAAGAAGAGCATCTATATCCACTTCCTCCTCCTCCTCCTCTTCCTCCTCCTCTTCGTCTTCTACTTCTTCCTCTTCTTCTCTCAAAACCGCTCTCAGCGGTGAACTCAAGAGTAGCGCATCATTCAAAGCAAAGTTATACTCAGCCAACTGACGCGCCTGCTTCCCTTCCACTTCCTCTAAATCCTTCACTTCCTTTATAAGCGATAACAACTTCTTGCGGTACGCCAAGAGGTTGGCATCCTCCTCTTCGCTCACTAGACTGGGGTACCTCCGTATTATTTCAAGGGCCTCTGAACAAATATGCTCAATGTCGCCGCCTTCGATGTCAATTCGTGAGAATAGCTTGGTAGGAGATGAGGGAGGGCTCATAGAAGAGCCTGCCACTGCTGCCGGTCCCCTAAGCTTCTTGGTAGGTACAATCTCGGGCACCCACACAGCAGTCCTCTTTCTATGCAGCAGCTCCTCCTCGCCATTATGCTCGTCTTCAGGATCCATAAACTCGTGGAAACTCTGGTCGACATAGTACGTCTTACCATCCACTCTCTCTGGCTTATAGTTTAGCCCGTCTTCTCGTACAGCATTGCTATAATCATTGGCACCTTTTGACGCCAAGCTGCTCTGTAAACTTGAAATTGGCCTCCGTCTGCTAGCTGCCGGTTTCCTGATCCTATAAAGCGCCAGTTCATGGTCCTCTGCATCCTTCAAAAGCGTCGTGATGGATGGTTCTGCGATAATCGAGTTCGTGAAGATCCCGGGCGCCTTAAACTCAAGGTTCTGTATCGTATCGCACAGTTCCTGCGCTCTATTTAAAAAGTACGACAAAGATGGCATGATTCTAACGTGTCTATGCTGGAAATATATCCACTATAGCGTTCCAATCGGCCTTGTTTACGTTGCATGCTCTATTGTTTACTTCCAGATCGGCTGCACCTTGTTTTGATATCGCTTGGTCCTGTCCTGCACATAGCGCAGTGGTTTTGGTGCAGGTCTGTGCAATTTTCATCTAACTGTAGACTCATCTCTTGTTAGAGGTCATCAAAGTAGGCCCCATTCGTCCAAAAGTAACATTGTAAGCTCTCCCAGAATGACTGTTGACTTAGACCAATACGCAAAGCCTGGAAAAAGTTACTACCTTGCGCTCGGTTTGGAAGGATCGGCCAATAAAATCGGTGTCGGGGTCATCAAGCATAACTTGGGCCAGCTCTCGCTGACTAACAGTGCAGAGGTCTTGTCAAACGTAAGAGATACGTACGTGACTCCACCGGGAGAAGGATTTCTTCCAAGAGACACAGCCAGACACCACAGAAATTGGGTGGTCCGTATTATCAAGGATGCTTTAAAAGTTGCCAAGGTAAGCGGCCTGGACTTGGACTGCATATGCTTTACCCAAGGGCCAGGTATGGGTGCTCCTCTACAGAGTGTGGTTATCGCCGCCAGGACGTTGTCACAGCTATGGGACTTGCCCTTGGTGGGTGTGAACCACTGCATCGGACACATAGAGATGGGTAGGGAAATCACTGGGGCCCAGAACCCGGTCGTTCTTTATGTCAGTGGGGGGAACACCCAAGTCATCGCATACTCGAGACAGCGGTACAGAATCTTTGGTGAAACTTTGGATATTGCCATAGGGAATTGCTTGGATAGGTTTGCAAGAACCTTAAAGATCCCCAACATCCCCTTCCCGGGTTACAACATCGAGCAAATGGCCAAAAAGGGCAAGCATCTCGTCCCCTTGCCCTACACAGTAAAGGGGATGGACCTCTCAATGTCAGGGATTTTGGCCCATATAGACCAATTGGCCAAGCAGATGTTCTCCGGCAAGAAGCCACCTGTAGACGAAGAAACTGGCGAACCCATCACTGCTGAAGATCTTTGCTTTTCTCTCCAAGAAACGCTTTACTCTATGCTTGTTGAAATAACAGAGAGAGCAATGGCACACGTACAGTCGAACCAAGTCTTAATCGTGGGTGGTGTAGGGTCGAACTTGAGATTGCAAGAAATGATGCAGTTGATGGTCCAAGACAGGAAAGGCGGCTCTATTCATGCAACAGACGAGAGGTTTTGCATAGACAATGGTATAATGATAGCGCATGCTGGTTTATTGAGCTACAGAACCGGCCAAACAAATGAATTATGGAACACGGTTTGCACTCAGCGATATAGAACTGATGAAGTGTTCGTGAAGTGGAGAGACGACTAGGAAACCCAAAGTGGAGAATACATCATTATAGACTATATTTCGTAGGCATATGTAGCTCGATCTATACAAAGAGTTGAAGGCATACATGTTTCATTGTATTGGCCCACCTTCAGGATCTTAGTGGACTAACTTAGTCCCAGATCGAAAAGCAAAAGAAGACAACTAAAAGGCCACCAAGAAAGAGAAGAGAACTTGTTTCCTTTTTGTTGATACACTCTAGCGTGGTCAGATACGTGTCTAACATTATCTTTTACTTTACATCTATAACTACTCTGTTTCTGCTAATTATTCTGTTTCTACTTCTACTCCTGTATTCTTGTTATCAAGATTTCATTTAGTTTGATTCCGATAGCCTTTTCAATACCCGCCTCAACGGTTCATCCTCCAGACCCTTCCCACTCTCTATCTCCTTCAATTCTCTTTTCAAGTATGCGTGCTTCGATTTCTCGAGTCGATCTGCCAAGTACGACATCTCCTGCTCAGGAATAAAAGTCGTTGACGGGTCAGCATTGCCTTTTGTTTCCTCAAACACACACTCTCGAAGTAAGCTCGACAATTTCCTCACGCTGGTACCATCCCAGAGCCTAGCACTCTCTTTGTAGTTGTGCCTCGTAGCTTTCAAGGCATCCTCGAACTTTTCAAAGTCAACCGCAGCCGAGTCGTACCTGGGGTTCTTCTTTGTTGAAGCAATAATCGATACGGAAAGCACCAGTCCAAATATAGACATGATCTGGGCAAGTACATCTGCGCTGATGAGGCCCTTTAGTTCCGGTTTGAATTTCCACTTGACGATCACACGGGTGGGCGAAGAGGAGGAATATTCACCCCTGGAGGATTCAACCTTTCCAACACCATCTGCATCTGACAACTTGACCTGAATCGGAGGACTCTCCAAGTCTTTGTAGGACTTGTATGGATCAACAGTCAGATCTCTTCCCTGGTTCTTGGTTTGGCTGTGTGCCGTCATCTTTTGCTGCTCCTTCATCCTCCTCATCTTTAATCCTTCTTCTTTCAATAGCTCAGCTTTTCTCTCAATCTCATTTCGCCTTGCAAAGTCGCTGGAGCTCGACTCAAAGACTCCGGTGGTATTAAATCTGTGTTCTTGTTCCGCTCTCTCTAGCTCTTCTCTGAAGCGCCTAGTTTCTGCATTAAGTTTCTGATAGTTTGCTTCTTTATCCAATTTGAGCTGTCGTATGCGATCGTACTCGCCTCTCAAGCGATCATTGGTGAGTATTTCATAAATCTGCGATAATAAATGAAACTTTGCCTTTGCATCTTCGCTTGGGTTCTTATCGGGGTGGTACTCAAGAGCCTTCTTTCTGTACAGTCTCTTGATTTCTAGCTCCGATGATCCCTGTTCGAGCGATAAAAATGAATAGATGTCAATCTGGCCATTAATAATGTCGCTCAACTCGACCATAGCGGTGACTAATGCTCTATCCTACAGAAAGAAGAGTATATCAAAAGGGCTAGGGTGTGCCATGGAATTTGTTGCATTTCCATATCGAGCCTATATGCAGGACGTGATCTTTAAGTTTCTAGGCTAAGTGGAGAGTGACGGGAGAAGTTCTACGCTTGTATCTACAGATATGAGAAGTGCTGACTGGTACCACTTCATGGTTCCATGCTAGTTCATGTTTTGGATTCTTTATTTTTTAAAATAAATAATTTATCTAAGAAAATGTCCTATTTTCCAAATATATTTACTCAAAGACTGTTGATATTTTTCTGAATGTATTGTACATAGAGGTGTGTGGTACAAGTGTTAGGACACCATAATGAGAAGGGGGAGATAATGCTTCTTTCTTCTTTCTTCTTTCTTCTTTCGTTAGTTCTTCTTTCGTTCGTTCTTCTTTCGTTCGTTCTTCTTTCGTTCGTTCTTTCAAGACACCAGTCGATCTAGGCCTTAACTGTTCTTAAACCGTGGTTAGATCTGAAGATAGCATCACCTTCGGCGTAACCTCTACCTAAACCGAAGCCAACACCAATCCAAACAGGAAATTGTCTTCTCTTGAAGAACAAAATTGATGCCAATACACCACCACCAAAACCTAAGCCGGTCTTGATTAAAGTGTTTGATAAGACAACGTCCCACTAGAAATATCTGTTAGTACTGAGGAGCAAACTATACCTTTTTTGTTTTGCAAGAGGAACCGAACATCCACACGGTCATCGTTGGGGGACCCATACCTTCAAAAGTGCCGTGCTCCAGCTATCGGCCCTATTGTTGTTTCTCAGGGCATAGCATTATGATGACTCGTATCGGTTCCCTTTTGAGTATTCCTTCCTTCATAATATACATACTTTATCATTCAATAAGTTTTGAGATGGTGATACGATTTTTTGTTCAGTAGACATTGTTGCTTGAATTTGTTAGTAACCAAGTTGAAACACCATAGAAAGAATATATAGAGACAGAACCACTCAATACTGGAGTCAGATATACAGAAGAATGCAAGAAACTCTTGAATTTTTTTTGGTCATCCTTGGCACCCTCGCCACATTCCATATTTTGGAACCAAAAAATATCAATTCAGCAACTAATTGAGTACACTTTTCAGTTTTGCTATGTGTTTTGGAAAATTATGGGTTGACATTGAAGGTGGCTACAGTACCATATCTCTGTCCACGTATATGGCAAGCTCACACGGCAAAAGTGGCGTCAATTTTCTCTTCTCCTCCATCTGTGAGTGGCATGTTGTATACATACATTGTTGAATTGTTATTTAAACGATATAAAGAGTCTTACTCAGTTACTTAAAGGCTATTCTCATGTACAATAGTGAATTTTGGTTGGACAGAATGAGACCTGCCGAGATTGGCTGGCTTTTGTGTAATGTTGTGCTTTGTGTAATCTTTGACCGTTTGGCTGCAAAAAAAAAGAAAATTGATTTCGCCCAGGATCGAACTGGGGACGTTCTGCGTGTTAAGCAGATGCCATAACCAACTAGACCACGAAACCACTTTTTCTGAAGGTTTGAATTCAGCTGTGCGCCAGGAAGTGGAAGACCAGCGGTTATAGTACCGACATGAAGAGGTCTGGTGTGGGTTGCACTAGATGACATCTAGTGGTTAACACATAGTGAGTGCTCAGTGTCTGAGAAGGCGTGGTATATTTGTCAGGTATCTGTTCTACAATATCACTCCATGAAAAGAAGTGTGGGTTTACACTAGTTTGCGATGTAGATGTTCTACTTCCTGTGTGTATGGTACATTATTTAAGAAAAAATCCTATTTATTCAGTTTTTTGGGCCAGAGAGCTGATGGTCGTACATGATGGTTTCTGAAAGCGAAAACAAGAATCTATGGGTCCCGGATAGCAGGTTAGGTCCAATGACAGCTGATCCCAATGAGGTCTCAGTAAGTACGTTACAGTCTGGTTTCGATATCTGCGATGCTGACGTAATGCACCATGTAGGATTTTTTTTTTTCACACCCTGCCGCATTATTATGCTGCACTTTAAGATTGCAGCAATTGGGGTAGCCCAATGTTAGAAAGAACCCACTTCTTCAACAACGAAATTGCAATCTAATGTAATACCGTTTACTATCAAGTGATACTGCTGGCACAGCAACGAGTAACAAAAAAATAACGACAGCCGCAGGATTCGAACCTGCGCGGGCAAAGCCCAAAAGATTTCTAATCTTTCTCCTTAACCACTCGGACAGGCTGCCAAATACTTCTATCCAACACCTAGCGCAAGTGAACTAAGCTTAACTAAACTGACAACTATGATCATGGTGTAAGCATTGCATACTTGATTATTCAGCAAGCCTCATACGTTGTCATCTATCAAATTATTGCTATCCTGTAGTTTCTATGAGAAGCCCCTATCTTTTTATGCTACCTCTCTTCTAATTATAATATAACTTTGTTTCCCCCCCGTAAATCTTTCCTATTAAAATGCATTATTGTATATGAATCGCAAAGGTCTGCAATATACATGCTACCCAAGAGACCACTCTTCTTGCTGGAACTATGCAATACCTTACTGATATATATCATCTACTCCAAGTAAATCGGTTGAACCCACGCTAAAACCCTTTTCTGCCCTTTCTTTCTCCTTCATTTTAATCTTCGGCAAATCATCAGGAGCAAACCACTCAGAAACCTTTCCACCATCAAGGTTTTCGTCGTAAACCCAGTGGCCATCGGCGTTATTGAAATCGGCCCAATGGAACGTTCCACAAGGTTTATTCTGGTAAGTATTCTCACAAGTCCAGAAATATCTTCCTCTAGATTTCACTTCTTTAAATGATCTTCTAAGTGTCATCAGCATGCCGCAGTTGCATTTTGGGCAGTTGTCATAAAAGTATGGTGGGAAATATCTGAAAGTCAAATTGAATCGAGCAGATCCCGAGATTGGATTATTTTCAAAAGGTCTATTCAATGCTTGTACACAGTGTTTGAATTCCTCTTGGCAACCGGGATGCATAATCAACATGCTATTATGGGGAAGCAGTATCGAGTAAATAGTTGTGGGCATTTTTTCTTCAGCTTCTGTCTGGGCTCTATTGTTATAGTTCCTACGAAGTCTAAATTCTCTTGTTGCTCCAAGAGAGATCGAAATAACAAAATTGTGGGGTCCAATGTGTGATAGCCTATCCGAATGCCAGTCTAAATGGCTCGCTCCATTTTCGTAGTAATTCACCACACAGCGTTCTCCTTTCCACTTTCGATCCAGATCAACTTGTTGAAACGGTAATGCTTTTTGATGAGGTATTACCTTTTCATTTACGAATGTCTCTGCTAATTTTGAAACTTCCTTTATCAAATCTGTATAGTTGTGATGCCCCACCTTTTGCCCATTGTATACATACTCAGAAGATGATTTCCCATTTACTTTCTTATCCAGGAAAACGCCAGTAGCATGATCGGATTTACATAACTGTCCAAAGAGATAAAACTCGTTCTCTGATAATTTCAGAGTCTGGGACATTAAATGTCTTAAGAGGTTATTTGACAATTCAGTTGGTAAGAAAGATCGATGAAGTGATGCGTATGGTGCCAAATGCTCACTGACGTCATCGGGATCGAATAGTTGTATTACCTGAGTACGTTGGCGAATACTGCCAGGATTGGTGAATGGCCTTACAGCATGTTGAATGGTAGTTGAAGGTTTCCCTCGCTTCAGGTTTTGAAAGAGTCCTGATATTGACGACTGGTATTTCGGTTTATCAAGTTTCCTTTTTTTGGGGGGTAGCCCAAGAGAATCAATGATGAGCGACTCAGTAGACGATTTTGAGCCATTACAAACAAGTAAGAGTTCTAGAAGTGTATCCTTGGGAACGGAGGGATACGACTCTGCTAGCTCTTTGATTATATCTTCGGTTTCCATCACTTGCATATAGTAATAAGTAAAAGAAACGTAGATACCGAAAGGAAGAAGGTAAATCACTAATTCTTGTAGTTTGGTTTGGGTTGATCTGATTTAAGGGCAATAAATTTACTGAAAAAAAAAAAAATAAAAAAGCTTACTAAGGAAAGTTTATTCCAAAACAAATCATTCAACCATTGCATAGTCTAACGTATATTTGAAATGCCTGGTACAGTAGTATTTCCCCCCAGCTACCGCAATGGCCTGTGAACCGAAATCGAAATTGGAGTGATATAGGTTCTCTTTTCCACAACATGTTGATGGAAGTTTTCATGTAACGTTGAGCACAAGACGCTGAACTTTCAGGTTTCGAGCCGTTGTAGTTCGGCCGAGAGAAGAGCAGTGCAATAAGCACTTAAAGGATCGTCGTTGCCATAACGGTCTAGCTTATTTGATATTTACCAAATGAGCAACAAGTATTAGTGGTTGTGACATCTATACTCTCGCTGCAGTACCCAGTGAAATATATAATAACACTTGAAAGGTCCTCTCTTTTTCACAATAGAGCTTACCTTCAGCCGTTTGCAGCCCCTGCATCTCTGCATTGAGCATAAATGAAAAGAAAAAAGAAAAAATAACACTCAAGCAAATAAAATACCGCGAAATCCACTGAAGGTGATATCATGCTCATCAATCCATGTTTCACTTTGATTATAGCAGGTGAATCGATTTTATATAGATAATTTGTTGTTTATATTCGTATCCTTCCTAAGCAAAACTTTGTTTTTAGACTAGGAACCATTCTTTATTTACATACAGCCCTCTGCTAATCCCGTATCCAATGCCTTCTAGTAACAAAGAATCAATAGAGCTTCCTGAGAACCAAATAGATGAACCAACTAAAGCTGTCATCTCAGAAGCTCCAAGTCCCCAGAGTGAGATGAAGCTCTTCAGTCCTACTAAGGAAGAGCAACATAATAATAATAATAATAATAATAATAATAATAATAATACACCAGGCAGTCCTTCTTCCTCTTCTCAAGTTTCAGACGACGATCAAAGTGTCAGTGAAGTAGGAAGCGGGTTTCAAAGAGATCAGAATGAGTGCACAGAATTTTGCATCGAATTCCTAACTTGTTTCGGATTGTGTGAGACCTGTTGCCCCTCTTCAGGAGAAGGTTTCTTCACTACTTGTGCAACTATTTGTGGTAATATATTGGTTGGATGTTGTAAGTGTTAAGGCAGGATACATTTAACACTGCATCTCACACCTAACCCTGAAAAATCCCAATTTCTTAAAGCACAAGATGCAAAGTGCTCGAACTGTGCTTACAAAATAGACAGGCAGTTCTTTAAAAATGAAGATTTTTTGAAAAAAAAAACACATAGATACCTACTGGGCTTTCATATCCACCCTACTTGATGAATGACGAGATTGTACCCAGCTAGTACACAATTATTTATAGACGTCATAGTCATGATACATATCACTATTTAACTTTAACCTTTTTGTAGACACATTTTAGTAATATGCAGGCAGACACATTTTAGTAATATGCAGGCATATGCAACCAAAAAAAGTTGATTTTGTCTTCTTTTGGTTTGCAACCGCTAGCTAAATATTTAGCCTTGGTTTGTGTTTTAGGTTAACCTCAAGCATATTTGAAGTCTATTTGGTGATTTAAGCTCGATATATGTCAATATAATGTCTAACGAAAGTAGCTCGCAGTACGAAAATTCGATTTCATCGGGGGAGACCCCCAATTTCAAGGCTCATTCGGCAAGTGTTGAAGATTTTATTCTTAAAAGTAATACAGCTGGGAAGGCGAAGAGGACCGGCGAGTCTGAAGTTAAAAGGTCAAAATCATTTTCCTTCTGGAATAAGTCATACAGGAAAAAGAAGATGAAAAAGGTAAGTACAGAGACAGAAATAGGTGAGAGTCAAGATGATGTCAAGTTATCGGTTTATTTTTCTTCGCCATTAGAAGAACTAAATATTCAGAATCAAGATTGTATAGTCAGTGATGACAAAGGACTGCCAGATGGTACTCAGTCAGTCAACTTTCTTGATTCTGGTGAGATTGAAATTCAAAGATTCTCTACTGTCAAGCGTAATAAGAGGGACTTGAAGGGGATTGAAAGAATAAACGCAATATCACCGCTTACTGGTGCCTCAATCCTCCTGCCACTTGGGACTCCAAGTACACCATTTTACTCCAAAAATAGCCCCAGCCCATTGATGAACAGCTTAGAAAATGTAGAAAGAATGTACGACGCATATTCCTTCGAACCTGAGAAAGAGAGTACATCTCCAGAGGTACAAAATAACAGAAGCACTATTAATACCAATAACAACGAAAGGACAAATTCAAGGAAAAGGTTCATTTTAGTTACTTTACTTCTAGTGCTTAGCCTTCTCATTATTGTGGGCTCATTTGTTACTGCAGTAGTCATCTTATCCCAAGGAACTGAATCCACTGTTAAAACGTATTTCCAAAATGCAAATCTGTATGAGAGGTATTCCTTACTTTCAAATTTGCTAAAAACTTATAACTTTCAACTTCTTAGTGAGAATGAAAGGGATGAAAGGGATGAAACGCAAGTTAATTCAGATTTATTATATAAAAAGTCAAAAATGGCAGAAGGAGGCAAATTGAATGGATTCAATACTTTCGAAGGGATTTCAGACAAGTATAAATCAGATTTAGAAATAAGAGATTTGATGGTTAGTGATTCTTTTCCAGTCGGTAGATCTATTTTCTATGGACTTGCTTATTCTCCAAGAGGAGCAATGGAGCCCCAATGCCAAGTCAGTAAACGGGAGGTCCTATTGGATATGGCAGTATTGTCTAAAGTAACCTGTAGAATTAGAAACTACGGTATGCAGTGTAAACAGAGTGAATACATACTTGATGCAATTCAGGAGTTGAACTTGAATATGACGCTATCATTAGGGGTTTGGATAGGAGAAAATGAAGTAGTAAACCAAAATCAAATGTCAGAGTTAAAACGTATCTTAAAAAAGTACCCAGTGCATTTATTTGAATCCATTTACATCGGAAATGAAGTTCTCTTTAGACAAGAGCAAACTACTGAGAAATTAGTCGAGTATATTCAAGAAGCAAGAAATTTTGCTGCTTCCTTGGGGTACGCTGACTTGTCGGTGGGCACATCTGAAATTGGATCTCTTATTAGTAATGAACTCATTGAACATACTGATGTTATTGGTGTAAACATTCACTCATTCTTTGGTGGGGTTGGATCAGAGAGAGGTACCAGATGGACATTTGATTTCTTGGATAGCCAGATTTTACCTATAGTAAATGGGAAAAGCAAAATCGTCATTACCGAAGTTGGGTGGCCCTATGCTGGAGGTAAGTACAAGTCTGCGGTTGCTAGTCCTTCAGATTTCCTGCAATTCTTACACCAGTTTGTATGCCAGGCTTATAAAAATGGCTATGGTTGGTACTATTTTGAAGCCTTCGACGAGCCTTGGAAAGAGGTATTCTATGAAGGTGAGAATAAATGGGAAACTGAATGGGGAGTATTCACGAATGATAGGAAGTTAAAGGGAAGCATTGAATTTAACGAAATGAATTGTTAAACTATATATACATATAATTTTCATTTAATACTATAATTGATACATTTTGTATAATAACCATAGCCAGAAAATTCCAAAGCAGCCAAATGAAACCGTTGTGTTCAATATTACCCAAAGATCAGGATACTTGGATAATGGTGGGACAAATATTTCAATAGCATGAATGCTAAATGCTGCAATGTAAGATAGAACGATAATTATTTTCCAGATGATGTTCTTTGGTAAAATTGCCTTGCTACCAATAAGAAAGTTGGACAAAGCAAGTGTGATTATGTACTGTAACGTCAATCCATCCCTTTGTAATAGTGGCCACATACTATACACAGCAAAATTATTTATCCATTGGCATATGGAAGCAGCTTCGGCATCAGCAGTAAGGTACAATAAAGTACTTGGCAAAAGAGGTACCAATACTGTCTTCTCGTGTACTTGGAATGAAAACAAATAGAATCCCCAAGAAGTTGCTGCAAATCCATAGATAAGAGCCAAATACTTATTGGCCAGTGACTTTTGGTTCAGGAATGTTCTGGAGAATAAGTTCTTGTAAAATATCATAGTACAAGGAGGTAAGATTGAAATCAAAGTAACAAGCAAGGACAATTTGGCCAATTGGTCTTGAGTGAATAATGTTCTATACTTGATAATCAAATTCGTAGTACACCAAAAGCTTGCAACTTTATCTTCAAAGATTCCTCTCTGAAAGGGAAACACCCTGATGAGGATCTGTAAAAGAGTGGACTGGACGTCTCTAGTAGAAGCAAAGTAAATAAATGGTGCAAGTATGGTAATGAATGTAAGAATCACGGTAATACCAATAGAAAACAATCTTCTAAAGCTTAATGATTTGAGCACAGATATAACAGTTCCCTTTCCTGTACCTTTGGTCTCATTGATGTTGGTGAAACAAACTGACAAAAGGAAACTGAAGATGAAAGGAGCATAGTAAAGCCCCATTTGCTTGAAAGTGATACAGCAAACAAACCAGACAGATGCAAGGAGATAGTTCCCCTTGCACAAGTCTGTAAAACTGAATAAGAAAAGTCCCAACATCACTGAGTTGAATTGGAAGTGGCCATGGTCTATGAGAATAAGGGAAGGCTGGCACATGATGATACCAGATATAACGATTTGATCGATTCTTGAGAGATTCAACTTCTTTCCGACAAATGCTATGAATCCCAACAAGGCTGGGAAATACACGAAAAGTTCACTGATAAGACTTGTATGCCTCATAAACGTCTTCAACCCAGAAGACTCTAAACCCCTAGAAGCATCTAAAGCAAACCATTTAGGATTAATAAATGAGCCGATTTTACCACATATGAACAGATGGAATGCAGTCAAAGGTGGATAATCCAATCCCCAGTAGGGCAAGTCATAAAAGTACCACTGATCAATTGGCAAATGGATAGTCAATTCCATCCAATGACGTTGAGCCTCAAAATCACCATTGATTGGAGCCTGAGATTCACCCAGAAATGATCCCAACCCAACGACTCCTCTTAATATTATGGCAGTAAGTATGAGAATATACCTTGCTGCCCATTGATCTGGAGCCCTTTCGAACGTATGCAAAAGATCATGCAATGGAGATTCCGCGTATGGACTAGACGGTTTCTTTTTCTTCGATTTGGACTTTTTAGAAACTGAACTAGACGAAGGGGCTACAGCAGGTCCAGGTCCAGGGGATTTTGCAATAGACCTTTGCGGTGATTTGGGAGTCTTTTTGCCCATGATTCTACTTCAAATTGGAGCTAAATCTGTGATTTCTAACGAGAACCAGTATCATCAAAATGAAGTTTTTCATCAACGTCGATGTTTTGATATACTCACCAAACTATTAGAGCTCGAGGAAAAATTCGCACCCAAAAAAAGTTGCTGCTTTAGGACTCATGATGCTTATCAATGGTATTCCAGTCACACTACATATTCCTATTGTTGTTGCATTTGGTATATTATTATTCTTACATTATCTTTTTAAAGACAACTTCATTGTATAGGTTACATTTGAAAGTAGCATATTCGAGTTTCTAGTTCTATATTCTATATATTATTAAATTATTATTACAATTGTTATTATTACTGTCATGTTACTGTTGTACTTTTCAGTCACTCCTTAGATCTTATTAACACACTGGATCTGTCAACCCGACACTCCAATTATAAGCTCCAAGGGTAACCACTACCAAACAAAAACTGGATAAAATAGAAAGTGCTCCATACTTATAAGCTTGCTTCGTTTTCAAGCTATCCAATTCTGAGACAAAGGTGCTCACAGTGGTGAGAGCTCCACAAAATCCATCGTCTACTCCGGTTATCACTTGGCAATGCAATACATTAGTTATTAATTGCGATTCGTCAGTGCTTCCAGGAACTTTGCCTCTAACAACCAAAGTTAGTATAGCTAGGACCAAAGTGCCCAGTAAATTGGCTGCAAATGTACCCATGGGGAAGCCTTTCACCATCGGATTAACGTGAATAGAGAGGAAGTATCTTAAAATTGCTCCACTAGGCGCAAATAAGCATGAAAATGTCCAAACTCTCCAATCACCATCCCTCTTTGTTGCAATTAGGACAATTACTACTATATATGCTATAATTCCTACGGCTTGTGCTAATCCTACCGCAATCTTACTTATTGTTGTTGAAAAAGAGTAAGGATATTGATACTCAATTGCTTCACATATATGTTTTCCGATGTTAAAAGCTAGTATAGATGTACCCAAATGAGCTAGTATAACTGCCAAAAATTCCATGATCCCATAGCCAGCAGTGGGATAGTGATAATTAGTTGAGCCAGCTTCTACATTGGCAGCCTTTTCAAAAGCTTCAAGAATTACGGTAGAGAAAGATGAGAATGTACCACAGAAGCCTGTCCCCAATCCTATATACAAAGGGTGTTTAGCTTTTGAAGCGTATTTCAAAGAAACAGACAATTTCCATAGATGAGAACTCTGTACTACGAAACCCATAATCATGCACGCACCAAAATTGGCCCAAATTACTCCACCAAGAAAGGTTCCGCTATATGTGGTGAGTTCCATAACTCCTAGTCTCGCTAGTACTCCAAAGATAGAGCCGCATAGTATACAAAGGAGAGGACTCAACTGTGCGATATTCGGTACAGTCATTTGCATTCGTTGAAAGAAGCAGTTGTTTGTTTACTTTTAGCATCATACGTCAAAGTGCTATTTAGAGATGAGAAAAGAGAAAATCAAGTAGCTGTTTGACAGAATGATTGGAACCTGCATATAGCTCGTAGGCAAGGTTGGTCAGTATGACTAATTCGGCACCTTCAGATACGTCAGTTTCGCCCTAAAGAAGCGAAAAGGTCCCAATAGCAAAGATTATTCATGTGGCTCATATTGTAAGACTTTCTCGTACTAGGTGGGTGTAAGTGTAAGACTATAATTTAAGTGTGCTCGCTTATCATTGCTAATCTACAATTTGGGTCAAAGTGTAGTGCCAACATTAAAAGCAATAATAGTAATATTAGTGATATGTTTTTTCGGGGGTCTTACAGTAGTATTTCAAGTCACTAGTACAGCGACCCCACAATCTAGTTATTTTGCCAAAAGAGAGATATCTTAAGAAGTTCTCTAGCTCGATGCCTTTGCAAAGCTTAAGCGATTCGCTTCTTTTAAGCAGAGCATGCAACTGAAAAATATTGTTTACATTTCCATTGTGCAGTCTGCTCTCCCCCGCCTTTCATGGTAGACCTTAAAGAAGAAAAAAGCTATACGTATTCAGAAAGCCCTTTGTTATCCAGTATTCAGTATGAACCCGGAGTATATTGAGCTTTCTAACTTGGAGCTGGAGTCCAGCCTGCAGTTTAAGCATGCTTCATCAAGCTCAAGTCCGTCTTTCCTGAATAAGCAGATAGCTCAAATTTTAGCTAGATTGGGTGTACTTAGTGATGATACGAATACAAGCATAGTTGAAGAAATGCAAATACCGCCTACAGCGCAATTTATGATGGAAAAGATCAGCGAATTATCGGTACAAGATGCTATTGGAATACTTCGTGAAACTCTAGCAGAGCATAAGGGTGATGTTAACTACTTGCATGAAGACTATATGTTGTTAGAACGATTGGTGCACATGCCAGACTCCGAACCAACAAAACAAGAACAGAAAAACACTGCAGATAATGATTATGAAATTATAACTAGAAATGAAAGTGCAACTAGAAGTGGAAATGATAATGATAATGGAACTGATAATGATAAAGATAAGGACGACTATTTGGAGCTGGATGTAGTAGAAGAAATGGAACATTTTATGTCCCATGCCAAACATAAACACTATCTAAATATTACTGATTGGAATCTCCAAGTTAGGTTGGAAGCTGCATTAATTGCATTCCATTCACCATATCCAGAAATCAGAGCCATAACTGACCCATATGATGATCCAAACATGCCTGTCGATACCTTTAGAGTGTATGTAATTGGATTGATATGGACATTAATTGGATCTATCATCAATAATTTCTTTGTGCATAGATTGCCAGCAATTAGGTTGCTGCTGCATACTGTACAATTACTTTTATACCCCAGTGGAAAGCTCTGGGAATACGTTTTCCCTACAAACTTGACGCTTAATTTGTTTGGTTTGACTGAAGTAAACTTGAATCCTGGTCCTTGGACGTACAAGGAAATGATGCTCTGTACAATTATATACCTGGGAGCCCTGGGGACGCCATACCTGGTTTACAATATTGTCGTTATGAAACTAGATAGGTTTTATGGAATGAAGTGGGTTACATGGACATTTCAAATCTTATTGGCCTTATCCACTCAATGTTTAGGATTTGGATTTGCTGGAATAATGAGAAAAGTCTGTATATACCCTGCGAAAGCGTTGTGGCCCACCATTTTGCCAACCATTGCGTTAAACCGTGCATTAATGAACGAAGACAATGATACTAACGCAGCGCCTATCTATGGGTGGAAAATATCAAGGTACTCGTTCTTTTGCGTTGCATTCGTGGGCTCATTTATTTATAATTGGATACCTTCATTCTTCTTTAAATCACTTGGCACGTTGAATTGGCCAACCTGGTTCAACCCACTGCTGTTACATTTGACAAATATTACGGGTAGCAAAGAAGGTTTGGGGTTCAACCCATTCCCTAGCTTAGATTGGAATACTTTGGATGCTGGAGGTTGTCTCACCATCCCATTTTACACTTATGCCAATCAGTTTTTGGGTGCAATCCTTGGGTTTTTTGTTATTTTGGCTGTATATTACACCAATAATAATTGGACGGGTTATTTGAAAATAAATACAAATCGTTTATTCAATAATAAGGGTGGTGTATTTAATGTGCACGATATTTTAAACGAGAATAATCACTTTGATAATAAGAAGTATAAAGAAGTTGGGCCACCATATTTTTCAGCTGCAAATTTAGTTGTTTATGGAGCCTATTTCTGCCTCTATCCGTTTGCAATCTTGTATCATTTTGTTACTGAGTGGGAATCAATGAAGTCAGGATTCAAAAATACTTGGAGCAGCTTTACTAATAGTTCAGACGACACATTCGGTAGAGATAAGGAAGATCCTCACTGCAAGATGATGGCGAAGTATGATGAAGCTCCTAATTGGTGGTTTACTGCTATTTTATGTTGCAGCACAGCATTTGCGCTCATTTGCGTAATAATGTATCCCACTGAAACACCTATTTGGGGGATTTTTGCAGTTATAGTTATCAATTTCCTATTTTTACTTCCATTGACAGCTATTGCATCAGTGACAGGATTTGGGTTCGGGCTTAATGTTTTGGTCGAACTTTTGGTTGGCTATACTATACCGAATTCTGGACTTGCTCTATTAACCTTGAAAGCATTTGGTTACAACATCGACCACCAGGCAAGTAACTATATCACTGACCAAAAATTGGGTCACTATACCAAATTACCACCAAGAGCTATATTCAAAGGTCAACTATTAGCTACGTTACTAAATGTTTTCGTTGCCCTTTGTGTGACTAATTGGCAACTAGACAATGTTACTGACTTTTGCGATCCACATCAAAAGGATAAACTTTCTTGCCCTGGTGATACAACGTTCTTCTTCTCAAGTGTCCAATATGGGGTAATTGGTCCTGCAAAAGTCTTTGGTGGGTTATATCCAGTCTTAAAGTGGTGCTTCCTTCTTGGGGTTTTGCTTGTTATTCCTTGCGCTTGGTTCAAGAAATATGGGCCTAAGAAGTATACTAGGTACTTTCAGCCAACTTTAATCATTGGTGGATTTTTGTTGTATGCTCCTTTAAATTTACTGTATTTTACAGGAGGATTTTACTTATCTTACATATTCATGTATAGAATCAAAAGGGATTATCTTGCTTGGTGGGAGAAATACAACTACGTTCTCACGAGTGCCTTATCAGCTGGTGTAGCTATCAGCGCCCTATTGATGTTCTTCACAGTTCAGTATAATCACATAGAACTAAATTGGTGGGGAAATAATCTCAGTAATATGGGTGTTGAAGCAGGACTTGGTAGGACTACTTGGTTGGACATAAAAGCTGCACCTGATGGATACTTTGGGTTAAGGAAGGATCAATTTCCATAGGTATTTATAGTTATTTTATTAACGAAAAATTTTTACGATATATTTCTGCGCTTCCAGCGATATAGAGAATTATGTACAGATCTTAAGAACAATGTGTTGCAAGCCTGAAAGAAAATATTAATACCAACATTACAATCTTCTAATTTATGCTAATCACGGCTCGACTCGTATTTGATGCGTCCGCATAGAGATTATCTACACTTGTTCAAGCAGGGGTTCCAATCCGAGTTTGGAGTATTATACTTCTAACTCAAATAATCAGCGGTAATACACTTCTTGATGGTTAGTGAAAACTACTTTGCGGACCAGAACAGAAATCGTTTTGAGATGACTTTGATTAATGCTGTGTGTAGGTGATGACAGTTTAATTTCGAGATCATGACTGTGGCTTGGCACAGTTCAGTGTAGATCATGACGCGTTGCACATATCATTTGAAGAGAGAACTGCCCGAGATTGAGCGCTCACCCTAGGATCAACATATCTAATCATCAATGTAGAAGTGTTCGGAGGTGGTTGTGTAGACACCGTTCTTCAACCTGACCCATTTTCTTGGCGTTGACTATGCTAGACCAAGTGGAGACACCTCGAAAGCACTGCACTGTTCAGCCGTGCCATTTGCAGCCCCGCCTTGTTTCCCATTTAGTGCCGTCATACACCTAACAAAAAAAAAAAAAAAAAACTCGGTTTTAAAGAATAAAGTTCTACACTCAGATTTGTTGTTCGGTAAAATAAGCACAGCGCCTTCATGTCATGTTGAAGCTGATGATGCTGATGGAAGCTTAGTACATTACTGTCACGCACCCTTCTCATTACGGATGGGAAATATGATAACCGGAGGCAGTGAAGGTATAACCTTGAGAAGTATATCAATATGGGGTAATAGTATAAATATGGGGTTCAGAAATGAATTTCTTAGATTAGTTAATTGCAAAATATTTTACTTATTATTTCATAAGCAAACAAAACTATAACAAAACATCCAATGAGGCTATCTTATTTACTATCAACTTTAGCTATTGCACTTTCCGTTCAAACTGCAGCTATTCAAACTCAACTCAAAGAACAAGGGCTTTCTTTAAGCCACCAAATCGAGACCGATAATCAATTGACTACCGCTGAGACTAAGTCATATGAAAGAGAAATACGAGAAGAAGAAGAAGAAGGAAAAAGTGTTGACGAGCAAGATACAACTCAAGTAGAGAAGAATGTGCAGGAATTGCTGGATAGGGGTTTTGGTGGTTTTCGAGGGGGTGGATTCTCGTCGCTGTCTGGATCCCGTGGAGGTTATTCATCCTCCTCGGGATATTCCTCAGGGTCTTCTGGTTTAGGTTCATCTGGAGGTTCATCAAGTCTGTCAAGCTCTTCTGGGGCTTCTGGAGGAGGAGTCTCTTCGTCTGGTGGCTCATCTAGTGGGTCAAGTGGTTCTGGTAGCTCTGGCTCAACTGGTTCAACTGGTTCAACGGGAGCTGGATCCGGCGTTTTAGTTGGCGGGGCTGTTGGGTTGGGAGCAGGGGCGGCACTTGGATCAAGTGGAAGTAGCTCGGGTGGGTTAAGCTCCAATTCTACAAACTCAACAACTGAAAACAGCACTTCTTCCAGAACATCCAATGGTAACTCACTCAAAATTTTTGATGTGAAACATCTTTTATTGATCGTGTTCATCTATGCTTTGCTTTAGTCATAGTTAGTCGCATATAGCATATAATTCAATACATATCACGTAATTGATGACTTCTGTAATCTAGGACTGCTTACCAAGAGCTCTACAATATTAAAATATTTTCCTAGTTCATCTAGGATTGCCAACCATGAGTTTTCTGGTTATCTAAGACTAACCATGAGTTCCCGTTATCTTGAACTACTGACCACGAATTCTCCTATGTTGATAAACCTTCAATCCAGGACTACTTTCCAGGAGTTTACCATGAGTTTTCCAATATTGATAGACTTTCTCTAGTCATCTACGGCTGCTTACCAGGCGTTCTCCTGTCAGTCCTAGTTACCAGTTAAACAAGTAGAGCTGTTGTACAGTAGTGGCTGCAATAGTTCGTAATCTCTGCAGCATTGCTATCATTGTGGTTACTGAATTTGGAAGTCGCAGTATTTTAAGCTTTCCGTCCGTGCAGCAAAATAAAATTCGAGTGCGCCGTCTAAGCCTTCGCTAAAATCTCTGTGTCACATCCTGTCGAGACTAAGCCAATGAAAAAGAGAAAAGCCAAGCCCCGAATGACAGATCTTTGCAACTCGACTTAGACACTCGTGATCAGATCTTATCTAATCACTCTGAAACAACTGGTTCACATATGTTCGGGCTCAATTAAATTCCAAACTAGTAATCTAGGTCATTTTTATATCATGTGCTCAGAGCAACTGTACTAACATTTCGTAAAGTTAAAATTTTATAAATAAGATCCCTGTGTATATAAAGTATATTTTTCCACACTAAATTTAACAAACAAAGATTATTTAGAAACAACTCTAACTACTAATAGATATAACTGATATACATGAAATCGTCTATTTTAGTTTCGGTATTTGCTGTGCTATGCTCTGTTCAGGCTATTGCCATACCTAAGGTCGAAGGTGATGAGCTTGAAATTCGTAGAGTGGAAGAAATTGACTTGAGCCATTTGGAAATCATCGAGCCAATTAGGTCAAGTGAATTACACGAAGAAAGTGGTTTGACAGAAGAAAATGATGATGATGATTTAGAAAGAGAAAGACATTCAGAATCAGAACACTTTGATCTGCAATCTGGCATTACAGTTTTCGAAGACTTAGAAAAGAGAAAAGGTGGTGGAAGTCATGGTGGTGGTGGTGGAAGTCATGGAGGTGGAAGTAGTAGCGGTGGTAGTAGTAGCAGTGGAAGTAGCAGCGGTGGTAGCAGTGGAGGCAGTAGTTCGTCTTCAGGATCATCTGGCTCATCTGGAGGAGGATCTTCCGGTGGGTCTTCAAGTCTGTCCGGCTCATCTGGGTCTTCTGGAGGAGGCGTGTCTTCCTCTGGTGGATCTACTGGTAATAGTGGATCTAGTGGATCTAGTGGATCGACCGGCTCTACAGGTTCTAGTGGCTCTTCTGGTACTGGAGCTGGAACTGGTATTTTAGTAGGTGCTGGTGTAGGTGCTGGTGCAGGTGCCGCTGCTGGATACTATGGTCTGGATGGTAATGGTAACTCTACATACGCAAATGGTACTAACGCGACATCGACAACTAACACCAGTTCTACTTCTACGTCTACTGCCAGTGCTACAAAGAAATCTGAAGGTATGACCCTTGAAATTGGTGGTTTCCAAACCTTTCTTTTAATTTTCATTGGATATTTGTTGGCATTTTAGGTTTATTGTGTAATTAATTAACAGTACTTGTTTGAATGTGAGAGTAGTAGTAGTAGCAGAAGGTAATAGAGAATGAGGATAGAGTACAATTGTAAAGAGTGATTTTTCAAGTAAAATGTAAAGTAACGGTTGCATTTGTATTTTGGACCCCTGAAACTATTTGAATTCGTAGTATAACAGAGCAAACCACCGATCCTGACCCCATAATCACGTCCAATAGGTCCTCCCCACATAAGGAACCCTCCTTATAGGTCTGCATTGCATGTTACGCGTGTGTGCAGGAATGAAAATAATTCCATAATAACCAAAAGCTAAACAGAAGCCCGGAATTAGTCATAAATATCCGCCCTACAAACGACAATGATAGACATTTTTTCTTCCTTGGAGCTTGCTCTTAAGAGGATAGAGGCTTATCCATTAATGAAGTAATCTTAGAGGAGACATTCGTACTGCCATCAAGCATCAGATCCCGGTCTAGCGGGAAATTGTGGGTATCGCACGACTTCTGATGATTCATTTTTCGTTTCGGATTTTTTTTTTCAATTTCGTTCAATATATAACGAATCCGAAACTCTTTCGTTAGGACCCTCGAAGGCATCGAATATAGAGCTAAAAGACAATAAAAATGATTGGTCGTTCAACTTCTATGCTTCCTTTGCGTCTTGTCAGGCAAAAGTCTTCCAGCACAGGCTCCTCTTCCACATCAGCCATGGCTTACAAGTCTTTGCACCGCAACCAAAAGAGACCACCTTTGCCAACTTTCGAAACTCCAAACTGGTCTGCAGACGCCGCCGTTTCATCTATCTTATATGAAACACCAGTTGCATCTAAGGCTCCTAGAAAGCAACACGTTTTGAACTGTTTAGTCCAAAACGAGCCAGGTGTGCTTTCTTCTGTTTCAGGTACTTTGGCTGCAAGAGGTTTCAACATTGACTCGCTTGTTGTCTGTAACACTGAAGTTAAGGACTTGTCTAGAATGACCATTGTTCTCGCAGGTCAAGACGCTGTTATTGAACAAGCCAGAAGACAAATCGAAGATTTGGTACCAGTTTATGCTGTTTTGGATTACACCAATGCCGAAATCATTAAGAGAGAATTATTATTGGCCAGAGTTTCCTTATTGGGACCAGAATACTTCCAAGAATTAATTGCTAGTCACAAATTAGTGTCGTCTGATGCATCTTCTATACCAGACTTGTCGGCACCGGAATCTTCGTTCCACCCAAACAACTTGGCTCCATCTGAAGCCTTGAGACAAAAGCATAACCATTTGGAACACATTTCTACTATAACTGAGAAGTTCGGTGGTAAGATTGTTGATATAAGTGATAGAAACGTGATTGTTGAATTGAGCGCCAAACCATCCAGAATTTCTTCATTTACTCAATTATTGCAACCATTTGGTATTTTGGAAATTGCAAGATCCGGTATGATGGCCTTGCCAAGAACTCCATTGGATGGACACGTTGAGGAAGAAGATGTTGTAGATGCTGCTGATATCGTTGATGTCAGTCAATTACCACCTGGTTAAGCTATTATCCCTGATTATGATTATATAGGCAACGTAGTATGCTCATCTGTAAAAAGAGAATGGAAAATGTCAACTAATAAATATATAAATATTGAAAGCAATGTCGATAGCAAAGGAACGTAGAATATGGTGATAGAAAGTAGTAAAGCTTGTCGTGGTGGTGGTCCTTTGTACTTAGTAGAAGACCCACATTTCAATACTGCGCTCCATAAGATATTAGAATACTTTGTTATATGGTCAAATTGATAACAGGGTTAAGTGTTGCCCTATTCGACCATCTGCACTCTATTTCTGTAGTTAGATATTGTGCATTGTGCCAAGCTTTCAACAGGAAATTGCAAACAAGGGAAACTCGTAAGTTGCCGAGGCTACTTCGGAGCATGAATTAACTTCTTCAAAAGCTCAGACATACAAAATACGAATGGAAATAACAAGAACGCCGATCACAAGCTACTTCTCTGCAAAGGAATGTTAACTTTACTCAACTTATCGATCGTAACCTATATATGTTGCTTGGCTCTTTCTACGTGGTATATACAGTTCGAAATGTTCTTATATAAGTCTAAATCAACCCAAATGCTAGATGTTCAATAAATTTAATTGCAGATGAAACACTTAACTAAGCATTGTGCCAAATGCTTCGTGTGCTTGCGATTCATGCATGGATCTCTCTTGTGCAAGGCTGTAGCATTTTTCGTTTTCATGTCCAGGAAAAAGGCTATAGTCTCGTATGCTTAATTAACCAGAAAGCACTGTATCGCACCACGGCTTGCACCAAATGCAATCATGCAAGGTACGGACATCATTCCCATATAAAAAACGGGTTTGTTCGAAGTCCGAGTTTGCCTATGTTCTTGTCCGATGTCGCACATCGCTTCTATTATAAGAGAAACGCAGCATGCTGAAAAATCGCGTTCGCAGCCAAAAAGTGCTTGTAGGTAGTAGCAGAATGAACATAAAGGAGACCGATAGGTACTTGCCCATAGCCAATGGTATGTGATAAAAGAAAAGGCATAAGGAGAAACTATGAAGGTGACTTCCAATTTATGTCAAATAGAAGAACAATTTCATTGTTTTGTTCCTTTTTACTTGTTGATGATTATTTTCTAACTGTGTTGTAGTTGGTAGAGTAATGAAGAGCGCATTACCACCCCATGCCAAGCTCTCAAGGGAGTCTAAAGAATGTATACAAGAGTGCGTATCTGAGTTCATATCGTTCGTTACAAGCGAAGCAGCTTATAAATGCAGTTTGGAGAAAAGAAAAACCCTTAACGGTGAAGACATACTCTGGTCCATGAACTCTCTTGGTTTCGATAGTTACGCAGAAGCGCTTAAAATCTACTTGGTGAAATTTAGGCAGTACGAATTTGAAGCTAATTTAAAGTCAGAACCCCAAGATGATGACTTTCTTATATACTTGAGCGAAAACGAATGAACAGACACATAATGAAAACTATCGGAAGATGAATAAATGGAAAACGAAAGGAAAGGAAAGAAAACGAAAATAGACAAAGTAGAGCTTGTGTAATAATTTTAAAAAAAGATAAACATCCTTGTGATAATAGTAGGGAAGAGACTTCAATGTTAGAAATTTCTCGCTTCCATATCAGTTCACTGAATATCAATAATACTGCATTCTCAGTGAAATTTCACGGTATTTCACGTTGTTACATGATATTAAATGGCGCTATTTTTGAATCTTCTTACATAAATCGTCGAATACTCTCTTTATGCCAAGAATAATAAGGAGGTAACAGGAGTTAGAAGAAGATAGAAGCAATCAGTAAACATCAAGAGCCACAAGATTATGCACGTAGACCGTTAAATTCAGGAAGCTGCGGGTTTTATGAGAGTAGAACAAGATAGAAGCAAATGTAGACAACATAAGCTCTCAGATTATGCACATTGAGCATTAAATGTAGAACCAGCCGAATTGTAACTACGTATAGGCTTGAGCAAGTAGACATTTCTCGGGTTTCCGTCACGTGCCTGCGAACATATCGGTTCTTGTCGCGTGTCTGTGGATGTATCGGTGACTGTCACGTGCTGTGTAGAGATAGTTAAGATGTTCCTAACTAAGTAGACCACTGGAACCTTACAAAGCATGCAGCCCCAAGCTTTTTCACCGCTGCCTTGCTCTCCAATTCGTTACAATTCAATATGGTACCACACATATAAATAGCAGAGTAGATGTTCTTCTTATTTGGCTCTTCTCTTTATTTCTCACTAGCAATTCCTATTTACTCTAGTGAATATCGAATTCACATACTTCAAACATTTTAATTGCTGCAAATTTTCAAGTCATTATATAAAGAATGAGTTTGCACGAGCCTGTTAGTGCAGCCGAGGGAGTTCCTTTCTTCACTCCAAAGCAAATATTGAGAGCTGGTACTGCTGTTGTGCCTCAGCCAGATGGGAAAGAAATTCCAAAATTATTCCAACCGTTGAAGGTTAGAGGATTCTCTTTGCAAAATAGAATTGGATTGGCGCCTATGTGTCAATATTCTGCCAACGCTAAGTTTGAAGCAACACCATGGCATGTAGTTCACTATGGGGAAATAATTAAGCGTGGTCCAGGATTGTCATATACTGAAGCAACTTCTGTCTCTCCAGAGGGAGGACTCTCTCCTCAAGATTTGGCAATATTCAATGATGAGCAAGCCAAGAAGTTGAAAGATGTGGTTGATTTCGTTCACTCTCAAAATCAGCATATTGGTATACAACTTGCACATGGTGGCCGTAAGGCTAGCGGACTTCCATTATATGAACATTTAGAGAAGGTGGCTGACGAATCTGTTGGAGGATGGCCAGAAAAAGTGGTCGGTCCATCTCCAATTCCTCATAGACCACAGGGTTCCTTGCCTACTCCAAAAGAGTTGTCTGTTCTGGATATTAAAAGAATTGTGAAGGAATTTGGTTCTGCTGCAAAGAGAGCAGTTGAGATTAGTGGATTCGATATTATTCAAATTCATGGTGCTCATGGTTACTTAATTAACAATTTTTACTCTCCTCTTTCCAATAAGAGAACAGATGATTACGGTGGTTCATTTGAAAACAGGATTAGACTTTTGTTAGAAATTATTGATGAAGTTAGAGCTAATATTCCTGAGGACTTCCCATTATCATTGAGAATTTCAGCTTCTGATAATTCAGTAGATGATGTTGCTTCATGGACAATTGAAGATTCGGTCAAATTGGCGCCATTGGTGATTGCTAGAGGTGTGGATATCATTGCCATTTCATCCGGAGGCAACGATTCGTCAGCTAGAGCAAGAACCCCATTTGACTCTGTTCATGCTGACTTCGCAAAGGCTGTCAAGTCTGCTGTCGGAGACACAGGCTTAGTTTCATGTGCTGGCTCGTTAAAGACCGCTACAGCTGCTAACAAGTATATTGAAGATGGCGCATTTGATATTGCCGAATTTGGTAGAGCCTTCCTTAAAAACCCTGCACTCGTTAATCAATTTGCTGATGAGTTAGGAGTTAGAATTAATAACCCAAGGCAACTTGAGTGGGCATTCCACACTGATAGAAATCAAATGATTGAGGCTATTACGGAAGCTGCACATAAGGTAGCTGCACTCGAGTTAAATAAGTAGGTCAGGGAGGTGAGCAATCCAGGCAAGTATTTGAATAAGAGTTAAGAAACTAGGTAAGAAGAGATGATTATTGCAAATAGAATACTAACTGCTAGATAGGAAAAGATTACAATGATAAATAGAAGATAATGTTACTCATCGCTGAACATCAGTAATATATGTATACTTAGTGATATTTCATGGAGTTTTCTAGGAATAGAATTTCCAACGGGTAAAGATATAGAGTAAGGTAGAAGATATGGTAAGAACCTAAAACTACAATTTTTGCATGAAAAGCGTTAAAGTCAGGAAATTGCTGTGTTTATCGCGAAGTGTGTTCCACAGAATCTGAAAATAGTTCGGATTTTTGTCACGTGTATGCGGATATATGGTGTTTTTCCCGTTTTGCTTAGTTATGTTGCAGATTCTTAGGCACGAAACTTGGAACTTCACGAAACGTTCAGCCTTTCAGTGCTTCACCTGCTTACTAACAATTGACATGATTCGAGTAGGCGCCAAATGTATAAATAACAGAGTGGATGGTCTTATCGTTCTTTATGTGTCACTAGTAATTCGTGTTCACTCGAGAGAACATCAAAGTTGAAATATCCTCAAAAGTTCAATTGCTGCAATTTTTTAAGTCATTGTATAAAGAATGAGTTTACACGAGCCTGTTAGTGCAGCCGAGGGAGTTCCTTTCTTCACTCCAAAGCAAATATTGAGAGCTGGTAGTGCTGTTGTGCCTCAGCCAGATGGGAAAGAAATTCCAAAATTATTCCAACCGTTGAAGGTTAGAGGACTCACCTTGCAAAACAGAATTGGATTGGCTCCTATGTGTCAATATTCTGCCAACTCGAAGTTTGAAGCAACACCATGGCACGTAGTTCAGTATGGTGAAATCATCAAACGTGGTCCAGGATTGTCGTTCATTGAAGCAACTTCTGTCTCTCCAGAGGGAGGACTCTCTCCTCAAGATTTGGCAATATTCAATGATGAGCAGGCCAAGAAATTGAAAGATGTGGTTGATTTCGTTCACTCTCAAAATCAGCATATTGGTATACAACTTGCACATGGTGGCCGTAAGGCTAGCGGACTTCCATTATATGAACATTTAGAGAAGGTGGCTGACGAATCTGTTGGAGGATGGCCAGAAAAAGTGGTCGGTCCATCTCCAATTCCTCATAGACCGCAAGGTAGCTATCCTATTCCAAAAGAGTTGTCCGTTCTGGATATTAAAAGAATTGTGAAAGAATTTGGTTCTGCTGCAAAGAGAGCAGTTGAGATCAGTGGATTCGATATTATTCAAATTCATGGTGCTCATGGCTACTTAATCAATAACTTTTACTCTCCTCTTTCCAATAAGAGAACTGATGATTACGGTGGTTCATTTGAAAACAGGATTAGATTTTTGTTAGAAATTATTGATGAAATCAGAGCTAATATTCCTGAGGACTTCCCATTATCATTGAGAATTTCAGCTTCTGATAATTCAGTAGATGATGTTGCTTCATGGACAATTGAAGATTCGGTCAAATTGGCCCCATTGGTGATTGCTAGAGGTGTGGATATCATTGACATTTCATCTGGTGGGAATGATTCGTCAGCTAGGGCAAGAAATTCATTTAATTCTGATCATGCTGACTTGGCAAGGGCTGTCAAATCTGCTATCGGAGACACGGGTTTGGTTTCATGCGCTGGTTCATTGAAATCTGGTACAATTGCTAACAAGTATATTGAAGAGGGAGTATTTGATATTGCCAAGTTTGGTAGAGGGTTCCTTAAAAACCCTGCACTCGTTAATCAATTTGCTGATGAGTTAGGAGTTAGAATTCATAACCCTAGGCAACTTGAGTGGGCATTGCACACCGATAGAAATCAAATGATTGAGGCCATTGCTGAAGCAGCAGAAAAGGTTGCTGCACTCAATTTAAGTTAATTGGCTAAGGAAATGAGCGACACAGGTGAGTATTTTGAACAAAAATTAGGAAGTTGGACATAAAGAGATTATATTATAAGTAGAAGAAAATGTTCCTGGTGTATTGAACATCAGTAATATATGCATTCTCAGTGATTTTTCATGGCATTAACTTTGAATCATTTTACATGATTTATTCGGATATTCTGTTTATACCAATGGCTTCAGGAGGTAAAATGGGGTAGAAGAACATAGAATTCAATAGCAAATACAAATATCTACAAGGCTATGCTTGTAGAGTGTAAAATTCCAGTGCCTGTACATCGTATGCTGCATATCTCATGTAGTCTTTGAACTTCAGTCACGTGCCCATGTAATATCCGAGTTTTTCACCTGTGGCTAACTAGGCTTGACACAATCTTAGCTAAGCACCTATGCAAGATCACTAATCAGGCAGCCGTTTGCTTCTTCACCTGCTTACTAAAAGTTGGAATAGTTCGACATGGCGCCCAATGTATAAATACTACAGTAGGTGTAAGCCCCTTTACTCGAGAGAACATCAAGCTTGAAATATCCTCAAAGTTCAATTGCTGCAAATTTTTAAATCATTAAATAAAGAATGAGTTTGCACGAGTCTGTTAGTGCAGCTGAGGGTGTTCCTTACTTCACTCCAAAGCAAATATTACAAGCTGGTAGTGCTGTTGTACCTCAGCCAGATGGAAAGGAGATTCCTAAATTATTCCAACCGTTGAAGGTTAGAGGACTCACTTTGCAAAATAGAATTGGATTGGCGCCCATGGCTCAATATTCTGCCAATTCCAAGTTTGAAGCAACACCATGGCACGTAGTTCAGTATGGTGAAATCATCAAACGTGGTCCAGGATTGTCGTTCATTGAAGCAACTTCTGTCTCTCCCGAAGGTGGGAGTTCTCCTCGAGATTTGGCAATATTCAATGATGAGCAAGCCAAGAAATTGAAAGATGTGGTTGACTTCGTTCACTCTCAAAATCAGCATGTTGGAATTCAGCTTACACACAGTGGCCGTAAAGCAAGTGGGCTTCCTAATTATGAACATTTGGAAAAGTTGGCTGACGAATCTGTTGGAGGTTGGCCAGAAAAAGTGGTCGGTCCATCTCCAATTCCTCATAGACCGCAAGGTAGCTATCCTATTCCAAAAGAGTTGTCCGTTCTGGATATTAAAAGAATTGTGAAAGAATTTGGTTCTGCTGCAAAGAGAGCAGTTGAGATCAGTGGATTCGATATTATTCAAATTCATGGTGCTCATGGCTACTTAATCAATAACTTTTACTCTCCTCTTTCCAATAAGAGAACTGATGATTACGGTGGTTCTTTTGAAAACAGGATTAGATTTTTGTTAGAAATTATCGACGAAATTAGATTAAACGTCCCTAATGATTTCCCATTATCATTGAGAATTTCAGCTTCTGATAATTCAGTAGATGATGTTGCTTCATGGACAATTGAAGATTCGGTCAAATTGGCCCCATTGGTGATTGCTAGAGGTGTGGATATCATTGACATTTCATCTGGTGGGAATGACTCGTCAGCTAGAGCAAGAAGTGCATTTGACTCTGTTCATGCTGACTTGGCAAAGGCTGTCAAATCTGCTATCGGAGACACGGGTTTGGTTTCATGTGCTGGTTCATTGAAATCTGGTACAATTGCTAACAAGTATATTGAAGATGGGGCATTTGATATTGCCGAATTTGGTAGAGCCTTCCTTAAAAACCCTGCACTCGTTAATCAATTTGCTGATGAGTTAGGAGTTAGAATTAATAACCCAAGGCAACTTGAGTGGGTATTCCACACCGATAGAAATCAGATAATTGAGGCTATTACGGAAGCAGCAGAAAAGGTTGCTGCACTCAATTCAAATTAGTTGGCTAGGGAGATGAGCAATGCCGGCTGTTATTAGAATATGTTTTAGTATGACAGATAGAAAGATATAAACGATATTAAAATAGTACTAGATTATATATGGAGAGAAATGACTATTGTTAAAGAGAACAGGATATTAGATGGAAGTGGAAAATATGGCTACTGTAATAAGAGCGTAGAAGATTATATGGAAAGAGAAGACTATTGTTTAAGAGTAGATGATGTTGGGAGAAGATAAAATAATGACCTGCAGCATGTTACAGGGAGGAGACGGGTATAATAGAAGAAGGGTGTTGCTTGTAAGAGATCATTTTGGAATATGGCAAAATAGAGTAGTATTCGACCAATAAATTATAATGGCAGAAGCACCTTGCTGAATAGTAATAGGCGTACCGAAGGGAAGAACGAACTTAAAGCAGCTTTCCCACATTTCGCAGCCATTCCCTCACCCGTACCACCGCCTAGCCTCGTCTAAATGCGAAAAATCATGCCCGATATTTTTGGAAAGTGCACGGTAATGTAACGGCTATTTGGCATGTGCATGCCCCTCTTCATCACTGACATTCCCCAAGCACATCTAATCTAGAAACGTTAATGTATCACCAGATGCAAGCACAGTTGAAACATCTTTAAAAAGCACCAGCCCAGCTAACTGCTTAACTTTAAAAGTGCATTTGTTTTGTTTTTGTTTTCTTTTTGTTTGTTTGTGACTTGCCGTTGTTTATCAATATGCAATATATCCCTGTGGTCTATTTTCTCTCCTCTTGTTTACTTCTTTTTCCAAGTGCCTTATTGTCCAAACTATTCTCCTCTTTTTCGCTTGCTTTGTTTCCTCCCAATCACCACAACATTCAAATTTTTCCTGGCCCCTATTGGTGCGCACACCTAAAAACGCCAGTCCTGGCCATCAATAAGCGGTATAAAGGTGGCTTCTTTTAAGTAGGCTAGCTTATTGTAGAAAGATCGTTTCCTATTGATGTATAATGTGAAACAATAGGAATAATCTTTTTTTTTTTTTTTTGTTTTTTTTAATTTTCCTTTCTCCCTTTTTTCCTCTTTGCCTTTTTCCCTCTTTGCCTAACTAATTAAATTTAAGGTGGAATTTTTTTAAAGTGGAATTTTTCACATCATCCTCAGTGAGGCCCTCAGTCTACTGTGCCGCATAACATTCTTTGCACTAATGAACCCGATGCCAATGTTCACAACAACTGCTCACACCAACTGTTCCATTCTCTCCCTGATTGCTCTCCCCTCCATACACTCTGTACTGCCTGCCTCTACCCTGACCCCTTTCGTGCCCTCTCTGGAATTTCTCCATCTTCCTCCCCTTGCCTGTTTTTTTCCTCTCCATGTCCCTCCCTACATAGCCATATTTTATTTTTCTGACGTTGAAGGGGGTGCTGCGACGCACAAAGTACTGAGACAAAAAATTCACCACAAAAAAAATTAACGCAGTCAAAAGTAGCGACCGAAAAAAAGAGAAAAGTGAAATTGATCTGGCAGTTCCACTCTTTATTGCAAGAGACCCAGCACAGATAGAGAGAGGCCTCAACAGTAGCAGCAAACGCACGACACAGAGACCCACGCTACCGCAACCATGATTTTCAGACGTAGTAAACGATCCTCGTCGTCTTCGTCGTCGCCGAAACACACCATATCGCGAATCTCTTCAGGTTCTTCGCATACCTCTCCTGTAAGTAGAGGGATACCATCTTCGTCTATGACCACAGCAGAACTGGTCCTTCTGTCACCGAAAAAGGTCATCAAGGCGCTCTATGACTATAGACCACAGGGCCCGGGGGAATTGGCGTTTACCAAGGGTGACTTTTTCCATGTGTTGAGTGGAGAAATGGAAAGTGATCCTGACGGATGGTACGAAGCTACGAACCCCATGACAGGTGCTCGAGGAATGGTGCCCATCAGCTACTTTGAGGTTTTCAATCGCTCAAGACCTTCCGTGGTGGAAAACGAGCACCCTCTGAGCGGGTTACATACCTTCCAACACCCTGCAAACGGGGGCTCTACCAGCCTGCACACCTCGCCTACTTCATATCTCTACCAGCAGCGCAACTCCAACCAGAACTTGTATGCGGTGACCTTGTACGACTTCCAGGCAGAGAGACCGGATGAGTTGGACATTTTCGTGGGAGAAAACTTGACCATCTGTGCTCATCATGAATTTGAATGGTTTATTGCCAAACCTATAAATAGATTGGGTGGACCCGGTTTGGTCCCAGTCTCATACGTTCAGATCATCGATTTGGTTTCCAGCAGTACGCCAACACCTGTAGAATTGGAGAGTAACGATATCGTTAAATTAATACAAACCTTTAAGATCCCTACTGTGGAGCAATGGAAGGATCAAACTGCAAAGTATCAAGCATCAACTATCCCATTGGGTTCAATTTCCTCGACTCCGCCTGCATTGTCTTCAAATACACAATTCTTCCGCCTGTCCAGCGTAATTGACTCTGGCAATCCGAATGGTGCATCCTCCAACAGATCCTCATTGTCATCCACGAACACCACCATTGTGGAAGCATCGGTGGATTCATACCAACTAGACCATGGCAGGTACCAGTATCTTATAATAGCGAAACTTTCCAACGGGAAGACAAGGTACCTTTCTCGTTTCTACCAGGACTTCTACGACCTTCAAGTGAAATTACTTGAATTGTTCCCATTTGAGGCAGGGAAAATCGAAAATTCAAAGAGAATTATACCATCCATCCCTGGTCCATTGATCAATGTTAATGACAGCATTAGTAAATTAAGACGAGAAAAGTTGGATTACTACTTGAGGAACTTGATTTCTTTGCCTGTGAATATTTCCAGAAGTGAAGAAGTGCTAGCATTATTTGAAGTGTTGGAGAATGGATTTGATAAGGAGGTTGTAGAGGGGAAGAGAGAGAGAAGAGTACTGAAGCCAATCAGCCAAAAATCTTACTACCATCAAGATAGATTAAGTCAGTATTCTAATTTTCATGCAGCACCAGGAACTAGGACATCTTATCCTGAGCTGATTAACAACTATAATAACAACAATAATATTAATCATGATCAAATTAATGATAACAATAATAATAATAGTAATAATAATTACAACAACAACAATAATAATAATATTAATAATAATAATAATAATAATCATAATGGCAATGGTAATGGTAACCATCAAAGATCGTTATCGTCGTCGTCTACTAATCTTTTGTTGAATACAGCAGAAGGTAATAGCCCCAGTGGCACAAGTGCAAGTACTTCAAGAGAAAATTCAACTAACGACGGCAATGCTAACGGGAATGGTAGTGCCCAAGGACTGGCTAGCAAGGTCAAAGTGAAATTTTACTACGAAGAAGATATCTTTGTCTTACTCTTACCAACGAATTTGAGGCTTCAAGATTTAAAATCGAAATTGGCCAAACGTCTTTTGACCTCGCCCTCTACCACTGAAGACATTACTCTCGACGAGTTGAACAATATTCAATTGTACTTAAAAAACGAGTATGATGATTTTGTCGAAGATCATAATTTGGTGGATGAGGAGAGTGTAGAATTGACCGAGACTCAGCTGTTACAATTGAAGGCATTAGAAATTGATGACGATGGCAAGTTCCACGAAAACTTGTACGATAAGTGCAAAATTGCTATCGTTGTGTAAAGTAAAAAGCATGCGGGAAGAGAAATGGTGGTATTTGGAGCTGAGATGTTTGTATAAAATTGGTTTAGGTTGTTTGATTGTATATTAATAAAAATTCGCAGCCATTAGCCTTCAGTCACAGTAGCACGAAGTGAAAAAACAACAGAAAGTGTGGGAGAAAGACTAGCAAGATGAAATCTGCGAAAAAGAACACAAAACAAGAATATAGTCCTACTCATTTTATCCTCTATCGTATTGATGTAGGCTACCCATCCACAATGATAACCCTATCCATCACTCCTACCTTAGCGGATCCATCATCCGACTCTAATTATTTTTCGCACTAAACTTTATTTCTGTCGGGGCGACTCCGCTAACTCGCTCGCGTATACCAGCCCTCTTATTTTTCTGGGTAAACAAAACACAGCTGCAATGTTTTTGTATTTCTTAAACTTCCAATTGTTTTATATTTATGTATATTTAGAGTACACAATGGCTGATGAAGATAGGTGGTATCGAAAGGCTTTTGGTAATATATGGGCATCTGAAGGAAAGGAGTTTCCAAGTTCGGACCATTCATTCAAAATGAGGAAAACCAGTATAATATTGAAGTTGGAGAAACAACGACAGGAGTCGCTTATCAAGATGAAAGAGTTTGAAGAAAAAATTGCTTCCGATGAATGGAAAAAGCGTAGATTAAAAGATGGGGACCTAGATTCTGTGGCTAAGAAATTGAAAGGAGACCCAAACTCTTCAATGAAAATCAAGATTAAGAATTTGAGATTGGATAAAGAGCAGACTCAAGAGGTGGAGCAGTGGGACGGAAGGAAAGAGCTGAGTGCATCGAATATTGGTGACTTTGCTGTTGGTTCTGTAAAACCTAAAATACGCGGCGTAGATTCCAGATATGTAGAAAACAATTTCAACAGTAATGGGGTAGTAAATGGTTCTAGAATTGCCCCTTCTAATGTGGTGGATCAGCCCATCGTGCCAGGGTTAGCAGAAATCAGCAAAAGCATTCCTAGGGTTGGAGCTGGTACTGGTGCGGGTACTGGAGCTGGTAGAGATAAACAGGAGATCATTCTGTCTCGAGACAAAGACGGATCGAATTATGTAGAGGTTGGCAATTCAAGCGTAGGCTCCTCTCAGACAGCGATCCAGCCCAACCTAGCTGAGCATATATTAAGTAGTCCAGAGAAAGCTCACGTCAGCATACCGAAAGTGGTATCTCCCGCACCTTCTATTGGCTTTTCCGGAGTGAGGTTTAATATGGGTAATTTACAAAAGAGGCAAAGGAAAGAAAAAGATACCAGTGGTGGAGACGGTAGGGAGCCTACGGGTGGTATAGTTAACTCCGCAAAGGTGGACTCGGTGGGCCAAGAACCCAAAACATACAGCGAGAAGACATTAAAATCCATACAAAGTCAGCTAAAGATCTGACTCCTTCAATAATTTTACGAAGAGTGTATATAAGTGTAATATAGGGTAGTATCTCAGCTATGTAATACAAATAATGAAACCATAGAAATTAGAAAACCGATATCTATGTAAAGAGAGAGCGAAAGAGACAGATCGAGCTGATCTAAGCATTGGGTAAGCACAATCGATTGGTTTGCTTTTTTTTTTTTCTTTTTTTTAGCGTATAGCCCCCGCCAAATTAACATGAAATTAGCCTGGAGCAAGAGCCACACCCGAAAAAATTAGCGAGTATCTCTCGCTAGGCCACAAGGACTCTAATAAGCATTGCTTTATGAATGTTTTTTCGTATATGTATCTTTGCCTGTTTGCTTCTATTCCTTCTTCCTAGCAAGACCAAGTTTGAAATGATTTCTCCTAAGTATTCCACTACTCACTACTTCTATTCTGCTGCAGAGTTTGCAACTGCCAAGACTGCTCCTCACACAGTTAATTTATATTTGGACTATAACTGTCCATTTAGTGCCAAAATCTTCTTCAAATTGAAGGAATCAGTAATCCCTAAACTTAACGAAAAATATCCAAATAAATTCCAATTTGTGTACGTCAATGTTATCCAACCTTGGCACCCGAATTCTGAGTTTTTGAATGAATTCTCCCTCGTTGTTGCCAAGTTGTTGAGGGAAGACCCTTCAGCAAAGAATACCAATTCATTGTTCTGGGAATTTTCCAACTTGATTTTCAAAAATAAGGAGAAATTTTTCGATGAAGCCAATGCTGACTTGAATAGAAATGAAATTTACAAGTCAATCGCGGATTTGCCAGGCTTTGATAGCCTTGGATTACCATTTCCAAAATCCAAGATCTTAGACCAATTGACCATCGTAAAGGACGGAAACCCAACCAATAAGGGAAATGGTGCGACTGTTGATGTGAAATATTTCACCAAATATTTGAGAGGTGTAGGTGTCCATGTCACCCCTACAGTTAGTGTGGATGGAATTGTAAACAATTCAGTATCTTCCGGTGATGAAATTGACACCCTTGTGAAAGTTTTTAGCGAATCTATCTAGGTTGAATAAACGTAGTATACTATCAGTTCGAATTCTGACGAAATGCAAAAAAAAAAAAGAGAATTCCGATACCGGGAGTCGAACCCGGGTCTGCTCGGTGAAAGCGAACCGTGCTAGCCGTTACACTATATCGGATAATTTCTGAAAGTTAATTGTTTGGTTTTTGACAATAGGTTAGATACAGGATCATCACAAGCTGGTGAAGGATGAGCTCTTTTGGCAAGAAGAAGTACTGAAGCTGCAGCTATCCAGCGGTATTGCATAGCTATACAAGTGAGGTGAGAAATTATGGGCTTACTGTTGACTAAGAGAGTTATTTCGTAGCGACTGGACATTCTCACGAGCGTTTGCTCATCTCACCGGAGATCCCTAAGCCTTTTCCTAGTCCACTACGAGAGGCAGAGGGTCTGCTCTTTGGATCCATTGGTATTGACTACAGTACACTAAACTTGGCTACTTCGAATGGGTTATCTGTAAGCATTTCTTCCTAAATATCTTAACATTTTACTTACCGCATGCATCTGCCTACTTCTACTGGTTCTTTTTCTCCAACCCCAATCTTCCACATTCATTAAGCTTGTAAATTCCCATCAAATAGGCCATTCTGGTGACCACCAAGTCGATGGCCATGCCAATAGAATCCTTGGCCAAATCCACCTTGGACCCATCAATTTCCTCCCAGTTTACAGCGATCTCTTTCATGGGAATGCTCTGCAATTCTGCCAATAGCAATACTTCCACGTCAAATATCCATCTTTCCGTATGCATGTGGGGGAAAATCTTGGCGATTGCTGGTCTATTAAACATCTTGAAACCACATTGAGTGTCCTGGACTTTTCTAATCCCGAAAACGTACACCAATGTGTGGAGCCCGTACATCAAGAAATTACGAATGAATGATCTTTTCACCACAGCATCAGTATTGACCATGTGAGCACGAGATCCAATGGCTACTCTGCCAGTCAAGCTATCGTCCAGATCCTTCGCAAAGAATTCCACCATTCTATCCACGTCCCCAAACTTGGTAGCTCCGTCGGCATCAGCAAACAACGCCAACCTCCCTCTGGTGTGCAACAATCCGTGTGTAACAGCACCTCCCTTCCCTCTGTTCTTCGAGAGCTGAACCGCTCTCAACACGTGAGGTTTCACTCCAAGCTGCGTGGCCTTGGTGAGCGCAAACTGAGCGGTTCCATCTTTGGAACCATCGTCGACTATCAAGATTTCGTATTTCCCTCTGTAGTTCAGTTCAAGGTGTTCCACACACTCGTCCAACATCTTACCCAACCTTTCTACTTCGTTGTAGCAGGGAATCACTACAGAGATCTCAATACCGTCAATAGCCTTTAACAGGGTGTCTGTTGATTTGATACGCGCTGGCAACGGGTGTGTGGCCTGGCTCTCGCCAGTGGCCAGTGGTTTCAGCGAGTCGTTGGTTATGTACAAGAGCTCTATAGGAGTGGATTCTCTGGGGTAATGAGAGAAGAATATGATGACTCCATATATCGCAGCGAATATAAGTGCGATGCCAGCAGCTAGATAAATTATGGGCATCATCTTGTCAGTACGTTATCGATGGATGGGTGAGCCTGGCTATGGCAATGTCAAAAGGATAAAAACGCGGTGTAGCAGGGCAGATTTTCACAGAACCTATGTGGGTTGCTTCTGTATTCAAATGCCTTTGTATTCTACGAGTTAAACACTACTCCTACCAACGCTTGCAAGAAGATAGTCGTCTCTGGCGTAGCTCTAGCCGTCGTTGTTTGATTTGACTCGTTTGGTTTACGGACGTTGGTTGTATGCAGGATGCAACACGAGTGAAAAAATACACCGAAAAGGGAAATCGTGTCGAGGCTGTTACAAACTGGGACATGTAGATGGCCCTGGTGGGTAGATGGCCCAGGTGGGTAGCTGGAGGTGATTGTTGTGAGGCACTAGGCATAAGCTATGTGAAGAGATGGATTATGCACATTGTATTCCCCAAACTACAAGGTTCGCATTTACAGTGAGCACTGTCTGATTGACTATACAGCTTATCGCTTCATATTTTGCAATGTACATTTATAAATATGATTATATATAGAAGCATGTTTATATTTATATATGTGTATGTATGTATGTCCTGTACCGTCCACTCTGAGCTCTGGAGCCACCCCCCTCTCTCGTTTCGTCTCATAGCTCAGATTTCGTCTACTCTGGAAATATGGAATGCCTCTTTCTTGGAAGTTTTTTTCAGCGGAGCAAAAGTGTTTCCTGCTCTATTTCCTGTTCTATTTGTTGGCCAATTTGGTCACCCTATTGTTCATGCAGCGTGCATTGTTGACAAAAATCTCCACCAATTCTTCAAATCTAATCAGATTCAGACCACTTTTAAATAAATCAAATCCAGTAAACAACTCTGGCACATCAATTTCTAACTCTACTTCAAAACTTTGGTCCTGCTCAATGATCTTCTTACCCATTTTATTTTTCAGTTCTCTCGGCTGAAGTACTCGGGTCATGTCAAATCTTGTAACCGTAGGTCTATGAGACCACGACGTTCTCTTCTTAACTCTGGTCAAGGTTGGCGTCTGTTTCTTTAATATACTCTCTATATCTGCCTCTGGAATCGGGTTTTCGAAACTCAACGAGAGTCTTAAATCATACATGGATGAAGGATTGTGAATAAATAAGTCGGAGATCCTCTGCTTATTAATCGCTGTGTACCTTGGAGGGTTCAATTGGTTTTCTTTCGATATTCTGATCGTCTTTGGCTGTTCATTTCTAGCAACTATTTGATAGAATGTATCGGTGATATCACTTTCTAAATTATTGAACTTTCTCTTGGGTACTTTCAACTGAGGTTGGCTCTTACGTTGATCTTCTTGATAAGTCCTTTCCAAGTCGTCAAGAAATTTGCACATATCTGTCCAGCCAACTTCATGCACTCCTATATCGAAGTACGTGCTTGATGTGTCTGTGAATATACATTCGGTCAGCACATTGATGTCTATTCTGTGGCCAGCTCTCTTGTCTATGATGGTTCCAAACTTAAGCTCCAATTCTACATGCTTACGCTTGTCGTCGGGAATCTCTGTGAAGTTGGCGTAGATCCACTCAGCAATAGTTCTGGTCACTGAAGGTGGAGGGATTATACCTGTTATAGAGCACTCTAAATCTACGGACTCCGTGTGAGATGGGTCATACACTGGCTTCGACGATAAATGGCCTGTGGTGCGATTGTCTCCATTGATTTGGTCACTGCTGCTCTCCCTGTGGTGGACTGCAGCTCCTCCGTTGCTTTGGAACGCACCCGGTCCACATTCCTGTGCCCATATTGGAGGTCTTTCATATCTTCTGGGCTTCCCAGCGGTGGGTATTGGTTTCTTGTTTTCCAGAGGAGCCCTCACCTCTTCCTTTGGGGCTTCTTTGCTTACTTTCACGGAAACTTCAGGCTTCTCTTCCTTCACTTCTTCAGTCTTTTCTTCTCTTATCTCTTTGATATCGCTCTCGCTCATGCTCGACTTCCTACTTATGTTCAACGTAGTCTCGCCAGTGTTAATATCTACGTCTCTGTCGTTAGTGATGTTAGCAATTGAGTTCCTCTTCATCATCGGTGATCGGTATGGCGAGCTGGTCACAGGCTTGGGAACTTTATACTCCTCATGTTCCTTCGAAGGTGTCACTTGTGGAGAAGTACTGCTGTACTGAGTTGGAGACCGCTCTGGACCAGGGTCGTTCAATAAGTTGACTAGCGAGTGTCTTTGCTGGTTAAAGTCTGGTCTTTTGGGTGCAACCGATGCTGTCTCATTGTCGCTCGGTGGAGAGTCGTTGTTCAAGATGGATCCCACGTTCATTGGGCAATATTCTGACCTACCACTGTTAAAAAAGAGAAGAGTGTAGTGACCATCCTCTTCTCTGTCGTTTGTGATTTTTTTTTTATTTTTCGTTTTCACTCTTGCAGATACGACTATATGCAGGATGGTTCTCGGAAGATGGTAACGCTTAGCGGTTGACTGGGAAGAAGGTCGGTAACAGGGTCTATCTCTTACTTCACTATTGCAGCTACAGTTGAATTCTATATAGGCCCAGTCTACAGTATAAGTTTCCATTTAAAGTTCTCAATAAACAGATTTATTCAAATTATTAAGTTTTCTCATTTAAGCTCTACCTAAGTTCTTGTTCAATCTATTTGCTACAGCATCAATGAATTCTTCCGTAGTGACGTAGCTGCTTCTATCAACCTTTCCTTGGGCCAATGCCAAGTCCTTGGTCATGATATTATCCTTGGAAACAGTTTCAATGACGGCCTTTTCCAAATTTTCGGCAAATTCAACCACATCTGGTGTGTTATCTAATTTACCTCTTTGGATTAACCCTCTGGTCCAGGCGTAGATCAGCGCAATTGAATTGGTAGAAGTTTCCTTACCCTGTTGGTGTTGTCTGTAGTGTCTCGTGACGGTACCATGAGCAGCTTCGGCTTCAAAGGCCTTTCCATCTGGAGTTGTCAACACTGAGGTCATCAAACCCAAAGATCCGAACCCTTGAGCAACGATATCTGATTGGACATCACCGTCGTAGTTCTTCATGGCAATGATGTACCCACCCTTAGACTTTAACATCTGCGCAACCATATCGTCAATGAGCCTGTGCTCGTACCAAATACCAGCTGCATCAAAATCCTTCTTGTACTTAGTTTCGTACAAACCTTCAAAGATATCCTTGAATCTACCGTCGTATTTCTTTAAAATGGTGTTCTTGGTGGACAGGAACAAGTTTAACTTTCTATCGAGAGCCAACTTGAAACTGGATTCGGCAAAGTCCGTGATGGACTTGTCGGTGTTGTACATGGCTAAGGCAACACCTGGGGCATCAAAGTCATACACATTGTATACGGACTCCTCAGATCCATCTTCTGGCTTGAAAACAAGCTGCAACTTACCGGCCTTTGGTACAATTATGTCGGTAGCCTTGTACTGATCTCCAAATGCGTGTCTGCCTATAATGATTGGCTTTTCCCAGGTTGGCACGATTCTTGGGATGTTGTCGATGACAATGGGTTCTCTGAACACAGTACCACCTAAGATGTTCCTTAAGGTACCGTTTGGAGAGAGCCACATCTTCTTCAATCCAAATTCCTTGACTCTTTGTTCGTCTGGGGTAATTGTGGCACACTTGATTCCGACCCCATACTTCAAAATGGCCTCGGCCGAATCCACCGTGACCTTATCATCGGTCTCGTCTCTGTACTCAATTCCCAAGTCGTAGTACTTGAGATCAATGTCAAGATAGGGGAAGATGAGCTTGTCCTTGATGAAGTTCCAGATAATTCTGGTCATTTCATCACCGTCCAAGTCAACGACTGGGGTTACAACTTTAATTTTATCTACAGGCATCTGGTTGATACTATCTTAGTCAATTGAGGTCAATAAAGCGTGGAAACAAACAAAACTGACTTGATTTCCCTTAGACTGTGTTGCCAATTTTTCCTCTGCCAATTTTTCATCCACTAAGGGTGCGGATTAGTCAGTTTATATCCATCTTAGGGCCCTCGGGAGAGATCGGGGCTGCTCGTTTTTTTTTTGGTGTGGAGTGTGTGGGGTATAACCTATCAACATGCACCGATTTCAACCGGGGTTAGAGCAGCGTTAACGGCTCTTAGAGAAGGAAAGGTCAGCGGCGGTAGCGCGAAGCGTTAGATTTTCGCGAATAGGCGCTCACTGGTAGTGTGGAGAGGTAGAGGTTGGTAGGTGGGTCTGCGCCCGAGACAACGGCTGGAACAAATAAAGGCTCGCGACATGGACTTGGTGCTGAGAGATCCGAAGGTGAGCAGGGCTGCATCGAGAAACGGTGTGGATTTTCAACTTTGAATGGTATTGTTCATGTTCTTGTTCTTGTCTTTTTCTTGCTTGTTCTTATTCTTGGTTTGTTTTCCTTTCCCTGGGTTCTTGTTGGCACCCAGAGCGTTAACATGAAATTCTCGTGGTTCCGTGAAATTGGTTGGTATACTATTTTGAGACAGTTTTCCGCTGCGAACGAATAAAATAAGAGAGAACAGCCCAGGGTGGCATGATTTGGAATTCTTTTCTTTTTTCCATTCTCGGCTCAATTGCTAGAAGTAGTCTAGTGCTATGCTTTTCTGGATCGGTAATGCTTAGATTCGACTCACAAGGTGCTACCTGCATCGCTGGTGTGTTCTACACCGTCTAGCTCTCTTCTACTTCTCTACTGTGGACAAGGTGAAAAACTAATATGGTCCCGGAGTTCGCAATTTGGTGCACGGATGTCGAATACATGGGACGGAAAAAAAAGCTCTGAATTCCATTTTCTCGGTACACGATTCATCATTTTTCGTTCCACATCGTATATTTGATTCAGGACTGTATGACAAGTAGCTGTACGATTTATAATCTGCAAGAGGGTATGGATCTCAATGCATTCTAGAACCTTGCTAATAATGAGGTTTCATACTAACATGTTCTCTTGCGAGAAAATGTGCTATACTAAAATTAGAATGCAAAATCTACAAGGCAGAGTGCATGATTCCTGGCATATTGAAGAACGGTGAATGCAGGATTCTAGACAAAGGTACAAGTTTGAATGAAATCATGTAGAAGCACCAATTGAATATAAGCTTTAAGGAGCCAAAAAAAAAAGGAACCCGAGTCTGGGCTCTAGAAGAAACTCTGAATCCCGGCTAGCAAGACAATCACCACCATTTTAACCGTTATTATTAGATCAAATAGTCTGAAATAGCCTCGCACAGTCTATTTTGGTCTCATGCTAATTAAAAATTTGCTCCAAAAGAAACATGGAAAATGCATTAGATCAATAGATCTGTAGACTATGGCATTAGCACATGAAAAATAAGCTAGTTTAAGAACATTATCTTGTTGCTAAGTATATAATCAAACAGAAAGGTATTAGTAATGTAATTAACAACATTTCAAGATCCATCAGATGACATTCTGATCAGAAGTACATTCTGATCAGAGGTACATTCTCCAGATTGAAAAATACAATTTTAGGTTAGCGTCAACTATTTAAATTTTAACTCCTATTTAGCGAATTTCACCTTTCTAAATGCACCACCCGAAATGCTCAAGAGAAGTAAAAGGGGGGAAAGAAATTGAAGTGAAAAGTGGGAATGTTATGTTGAGCGGAAGCCAATTGGTACGCACTGCCTTTGCTTCACTTACAAAATAATCTTTCTCTAATTCTGTCATTGAAAACCATCAGTTGGTAACACAACTGCATCAGCAATTGGAAATTTTTAATGCCATTCCTAGTAGACTTGAGTGCCAAACTTTAAATTTTCATCAACAGTGCCTTAACAATGAAGCAGTCACCGAGAATCGTTAAGTAGGCGAAAAGCTGCATAAAATTTAGCTTTAAAAACTGTACAAAGTCCTTGAAATGAAATACAGCGTATGGGGGAGCTCTGGCTTAACATAGGAGAGGCTACTTAATGATCGTGTACAACAGAAAATAACCACCCCCACTACGTTATGGGAGAATGTGGTATATTGCTAAGCACACTTTTCCATGAATTATGCACTCATTTGTGAGTTATCTATGATAGGGAAGAGGTTGCGGCTATTTCATTTATACGACGCGGCACTTTTTCATAGCTCGAGATAAAGAAACGGTGGGACTTAAATAGGATTATCCAATATAGGTGGATCCTCATATCAATGCATGCCAGTATGCTACATCTTTGGGCTTATCACAGCTAACTAATTAATAGTTCACAAGAGGGATGAGGTGTAAGTTATCATTTTCAAATAGCTTTCCATAGCGTACCTACTTTATTTTATTTTATTTTTTTTCATTTCATAGCAATGACGTAGTTTTCTCAGCAGGTTGAACTGAAATAATAATAATTTCTTCGTTTCTAGATCAGTGAGGTAAGCGTTATTATTTATTCCAGTGGAGACAGAGTACATTCCTTCTTCTTCCCCTTACACCGTTCATCTCCTCAATGGAGTGGTATTACCGTATTTTTTAAGCATTTTTAGGACTTTTTTTATCTTTACTTTCATACCATGTGATGTAATGTGTTCCAGCATTGTCTTTCCCTTAGCGGCAAGGTACAGTCTAATGTATTCGGATAAGTGTCACTTCTCCGTACGTCTTTTTGACTCCTAATCTCGATTATCTATTGTTCCTGGAAGGGCGTTATTTCCAAAGCGAGAAATTCACAATAGCATGCAAGACGTAACTGCGATATAAACCGTCAGCGCACAGCGACAATAAAGGTGATGGAGTGTTGGGTCTTTTTTTTTTTTTCATGTGCCAGCTGTCTCCCCTTCGAAGTCATATGTTGGACTCTTGTTTTCATAACTTATTATCTTGGAACATATCCCCAGAGTATATTTTTTAACCTCCACTTCCGTTTCAAAAATTTCGTCATCTTTGGATTCAAACTTCAGTTGAAGGCGCTACCATGTATGGTGCATATTTGATTTTCCCGAATTGGGGGCATGCAGTATATGCTGCATAGTTGCATAAGGCTAAAAACTACTCGGCAATATTTTCTGTAATCACGAAATTTCATGTTAGCTCTTAACGATGGCTCTAAAAGCAAAAATGGTATTATATATTACGGGCATTCCCTATTGTTATATCTTTAAACCGAATCTCTGTAGACAATAGAAATTCACTAATATCGAAAGGTATAATTTTCCATCAAGTCCTGTATTTGTTTTTCGTAGGTTTGCATAGTTCTACAAATTTCGCTTACCCTTTAGAGAGAGTTTATTTAACTACTCTCAGCCACTTCGCCAACTGTATTTTAGACTTTTCTTTCTCAAATAATAAAGTAACATTACATTGAGAGCAGCGACAATTCGACTTAGAGCTATATAAACGTCGGAAATAGGAATAAAAATAATAAGGGCGAAATCTTATCCGAAAATAGGTTTCGTTTGAAAAATCATTACGACATCAAAGCTTAATTAGTGTTGCGCATCATCAAGTAAACATATAAGCCAAAAGTCTAATTATTCTGGCACATCTATACATATATATATATATATCTCCGTATATATATGACACAAGGTATATTGACATAGTTAGTCTTTCCGAAACAGTTGGGGAACCAATTACCACAACTTTACTTATCGATTATCAACACTCAAAAATATGTCACACTACATGCTAATCTCAGCCAAAGCGGTTGAGAAAAAAAGGCTACCAAATGGGAAAAATAATGGGGCGGCATCGTCTCAGCGTTCAATTCAATCAAGTAGCAGGAACTCGATCTCTTCTGGTCGCCGTAATGCAGATGCCAAATCCTTCATATCGACTTCCACCTCTTCAACTTCCTCCAGCAAAAGCGGGAAGCGCAAAATGGTCTTCGATATCAATAAAAATTGCTATGTCAATGCAGAGACTTTGATAACACCACCCGATCTTGCAGTAATACGCTATGAGAGAAAACTCAATAAAATTCTCGATTGTCACTATAAAGTTTTAAATCAGAAAATGAATTCCCAATATCTCCATGATTCAATGGACTCAAACTCCAACTTTTTGATTTCACGCAAAAATTTGAATATGCTTAGGTATATATACTTTGAAGACTTTGTAGTAGATCAAAAAATAACTGAGAAAAAGACTAAGGAAAACATACCAAAGCCCAGGTTGAGCTACATGAAGAGAATTCAAAGAATAAACAATAAGAGTCATAAAGTGGTAAAGGGATTGCCATCCATGGGGTTGGATGCCGCCTTTATCAACGAAAGTGAAGAAGAGGAAGAAGAAGAAGAAGATGCTAGTGAAGAAGAAGAGCGAGAAAGAAATTTGGAAATTCGCAGTTTAAGTATTTCCCCAGATAACGCTAGCCGTGCAAGCGCTACCACAGTAGATGATTTGTATGGCGACTATTTAGGCGGTAACAATGCAAAAATTGGCTGCGAAAAAAGGGGCATGCGTACTGTATTCGAATCCGGCCAATTCTGGAACAGTGTGTATCAAGATTTCAAGATAGAAGAACCAGAATACTTTGAATATTTACCAGCGATAAACCAGTTACAAAGCTTCTACATTGAGGTGGTTGATTACCTTTTATACCACATCAGAATCTTGGAAATATCGACGGAAGCACCTGAATTAGCCAAATTTAAATCAGAACTTGCTGAGCATTATTTCTTCTACATGAGAGATGATAATTACGAGTGGTTCAATATAATGAGTAGTGTACACAGCCGGTTGTTCAGATTTGGCAGAGATTACTCGGCACGACAGCTAGCACAAGTGGAATTGATTTTAATCAAGAAACTTTTGTCTACGATACTGAGCAATATTGTCTCTACATTAAGACCAAATGGAGGGAGTGCACAGTCTAAAGAAAAATGCCTAAAGACTTTCAAATTATGGGACGAATTCATGGATTTCACCTTCGTAGAGTTAATTCATAAAAGAGAAAATTATGAAACTAAACTTTCGCCCATAAATACAAATATCCCCAGCCAAGTTCAAAGCTCAACAGAGACAATCAATGCTAATAATTCCAATGCCATACCTAGAAATGCAAGCTGGTCACTTTCAGACTCTAGAAACCCTTCCATAGTAAGCTCCACCTTTAGCGGAGCGGATTCAATCTTATCGGTGAAAACGGGTAAAACCACGACCGATTTAAGTGTTCCAATTCTAGAAGCTGAAGAGCTATTTTACTCCAACAAAAAAGGGAAAGATGCAATGCAACCCCTACCAAAGCAAAAGAAGAGTGGCGGAATAAAGGGACTATTTAGAAAGAAATAGAATCAAATTACCAAAGGGCCAAAAAAAGACCCCAAATATTGAAAATCCACTAAGTCTTGCTATATGGGCCCAGCTATATGAGCCCAGAGCGCTCAACTCGACTAAACTATACTTCAAGGCAGGAGGATTGAGTGGTTTCATTTTATTCTAGTTCCTTCAATGTTCTTTTTTGAAGAAATTTCTCAACTTTTACACAATTCACTTCCTTGTACACTCTTTTTGAATACTTATCATACACCTACCATTTTTAGTTTATATATTTATCTACATACAATAGACCTCTACAATATACACCCATAATAGAAACGGCGAATTATTTTTGTTGCTACTCAAAGAATAATAGGGAGAAGGTTATGAGAAAAGATTTCTCCTTTTCTGATACTAAATTGCGAAAATTACGTCATTTAGACTTTACACTTCGCACCAATTAAGAAGACATAAAATTACACAAAGAGTGCTAAATATAGAATGAGTTGCAATGTAGATCCAAACGGCTAAGAAAATAAACCTAGTACAAGCTTTTTTTAGAAGTTGCAAGACGTGATCATCTTGAATATTTATAGGATACTGTCAGATTCTTTCCTTATATATATACTCCTTGAGCTTTCAATTGAAAAAAATATAATCGAGTTATATCCTAACTTGTGTTGAGCCCAGCACTTTGTTTTCCGTCGTCCTATTGTGTGTCTGAACTGCATCACCACATTCGTCTACTCGCGTACCTCATCAATAGACTAGACGCACACTTTTTTTTTTTTTGCTTTATTTAATCAAATCCAGAAAAATCTTGACCGATCCACAAGGGGTAGAGTTCGGAATCTTTATATATACTTGATATTCTTTTTCAGAGAAGAAAGAATTTTCTTTTTTTAGTTTCTTTAACTAAGCCTTGAAAGAAGTTCTAAAACAGTTATATATATCAAATATGGGAGTTCCTGATCCTTTCAGAGACTCTAGCCTCCTTAGGGAGCACGCTTACTACGATACAGGCGATGTCGACTACGTAATACCACCCTCAGATTCAAATAAGAAGATGGGTTTCATGAGCATAAAGGAAAGGGGGTTGGGAAATTTCGACTATTCCTCTACCAAACCTCTTTACAGTAGCGGTAGCGAAACCGAAGTGGCAGCTTCCCTGTTGCTCTATATATCGTGCATCCTTTTGGGAGTTTTGGTAGTTTTCACCATAGTCTTCTACATAATAAAAAGCTCTCCTAAGGAAACACTTGCTATAAAAAGTAAACTCAACAACATGGTGAAAAAAAGAAACAGATCTAGTAGAAAATTGAAAGGTATTTTACCCATGTCGCATACACCAGATTCTACACCACCATCATTATCGAGCACCCCTGAGCTTTCAGACGTCGAGTCGTTTGAATCTCCTTCTAGAAACTTCAAGTTTGACACTATAGTCGATGATCTCCTGCATACCTTAAAGTCATGGACAGTAAATGAGTTCGAACTTGATAACTTGAGAGTACATTAGAGCCTTGCCACTTTTGTATTCAATTTTATCGTATCGGGAAATTCTCTCATTCAAATTTCACTTGGAAATTTCAATGTCGTCCCGAATTAGTTCATTGTTCGTACTACTTTTTCCGAACTGCATGAACTTGCAAATGAGGGAGTTCCGCCCACATACACACATTACACATATTCATATTCATATTCATAAACACATACGCATTAATAGTTAGTGCTATTCTCTTTCATTTTTAAATTTAACCATTCCTTGTGCTTTGAAATCTAGTGCTGTGCTTTGGCTACTATTCTGAGCACTCCTTATTGCTGGCTATCCTTTGCAAACTTAAAATGGGGACGTTGCAGTTCGCAACGTTCTTAACTCACTTCCACCTAATACTGCATATACTAATAAATATTATAAAGAGTAAAGCTGTATGTAGTGTTCTATCGTCTATTATATTGTACCCCATTGTGGACCAGGGTTGCAGATTCGTGTAGTTTATAGACTCAATACTGGCAACTGTGACCTTCTCAGTGATAAATTTGAAATTCAAACAAGAATATCTCAAGGCTTGTAAAGAAGCAACTGTAGGTAGTGCTCTATCGTATGTCATAGTATACCAAATTTTGAAGCAGGGCTGCAGATCTTACCTAGTGCAGACTGCTCTGGCTTTTTTAAGTGGTATTCTCGTAAATTCTAATCTTAACTCGCTCAGGGCAAATAATGGAAGCTATCAAGACATATGTGGCTCTACGTAGATTGTTTATTGAATTGGATCTATTCTAATTAAATTTATTTATATCACTGCTCAATCTCATCAACTCCATATCCCAGATATTCCAATCAAACCAAACTAAACTTGGAAATATTGTTACTAAGTGCCATAAACTATGTGCGTCTACTAGCAAGTAGATCGGTACAAAGTCAATCATTTCGAGCAGAATACCGAAAAGAAGCACCCCATTAAGAAATATAGGTAAAAGTGGTATCAATCTAGGCTTTTTTGATAGTGGAATAACCAAGTGATCCAATTTTGCAAGAATCTTTGTTTCAAACGGCAACAACTGTATGGAATTACTGTAAATATGGAAATTCTTCAAATAAACTGACTGAACATTTTTAGAATGAAGTATCCATAATATCAATGAGGAAAGTCCAAAAAAGAGATTAAATTTCACGTTGTAAACATAGTCCCAAAAATTCAATAACTTTGTAACATGGAACAAGTATGCAACCAAAAGTGAGGCTTGGAATAGCAATAATTTTGGTTTACTAGAGGGTAAATACAATTTGAAGTATCGAATCACAATTACGTTAAAATTGCACATGATTATAGCGATGGCTCCAAAATAGTCTAGAGTCTCCGTCAATGGGGTGTCTCGGATGTGGAAGATCGTGCTAAATGTCCATCCTACGCATGATATAACAAGTAAGGTAAGATACTGGAAGTACATCACGTGATATCCATTGGAAGAAGTCGTATCTCTCTTATTCTTGGAATACTGAAAGTAAATCTTCCCTATGTTAACATAGTTGGCATAAAAGTTTGCTATCGAGAATATAGTGGAAAAGAATTCCGTTATTCCCCAGATTCTTATAAATGGCCATTTACCAAAAAATTGAACAATTCTGAGCCCATCCGAAATCCGATTTTCTGTGACATATCTGACGCACTTGTACTTACAATTCAGTAAACAGTCCCAACCAAAAAGTGTTCTCACTATGTAGTTTAATTCGTAACGATTTAAGGCATCCTCTAATGTGTTTGCGTATTCTGTCCTTGCAGATTTACTACCCCCGTCGTAATCATCTCTCCTTGCAAATTTGGGAATTTCACACTCAAATTTCGTATTACAGTGCTGTAGACAAACAGCAAAATCAGGTAGTCTATCACCTTCCGAGGCATCCACCAAGGGAAGTAGAGAGAAAGCTAATATTATTATGCATACTGGGAAAAGTTCTTTAATCGACCTCATGAGGCAATTCCAGATGTGAGATTAGAGAAATTAAAAAGCAATGCACCTTCACTAGTTTCTACAACTAGTTGTTGATAGTCTATAGTTTCTTGTCAGAGAGAAAAGAAAAAAAAAGAAATCTGTCTTCCGTATAGTAATTAAAACGCACAAAACCAAACTAAGTACCAGTGAAATTTTTAGTCAATTCGAAACATTAGAACAATACAATTGGGAATGCTAAGGCAGCAAAGTATAGCTGGTTAAACCAAATTTACTTACAGTACAAGACTCCTTAACCTGGGTTAGTTGTCTTTTTTTTTTTCTTCTACAATATGTGTGCTACAATAGTGTGATTTCATGCCTGGGGGAGTGAGAGCGTTTAGGCAAAAAAAAATGCGTTCAGAAGGTTCCCCTAAATAAGACCGGTGAACGCTCCTAGGCGCTAGTAGTGGCTTGATTATAGAATGCTCACAGCATGGTATGTGGTGTTTTATATGAATTAGCAGATGTGTTTCAAGTAAGATGAGGTAAGTGGGTGTCAAAAATAACTAAAGAGCCTGAACTGATTTTATCGAATTGTACATGGGAATGAATGGGTACCAATTGACAGACTCCCAACCACATTAAAAACTTCAGTGCTGCATTGAAATTTGATGACCATTGCTTCAATTCATGTAAGCTGTATATTATTTTTTTGGGATAGTTACTCTTCTCGATCAAAAGGCTTAAGGTATTCTACACATGCACACGTGTGGAGAGATAAGATAAGGTCCAGCAACTGGAATTGGTATGAGGCAGAAAGTCTGGCGTGCGTACAAGTAAATTTGCATTGCATAAAGATCCTGGGTATTTCATGCGCACCAAGGAGTATGTATCGTTAGAGTGCAGTATTTTGTGACATACTTACTATATTTGGAGCAACCTTAGGCTTGTAGTAGAAAGGAAAGAGGTAAGATAGGCAAGGAAAATTCCTTAGGGTTTGAAAAACCTTTCCAGAAATAGGTAATAGCGCTTACTTTCGGATCACGGGGCAGAAGGTTTCATTAAAGCATGCAGGAGAATTCCTAGTGAGTACGTTCGCCGCCTTATCGATCTTGAGATAGAACAAGGAGCTGCATAATGAGATAGTCACGATTGTGCGATAGTCATACCTGCCTAGCTCAGACATAAATGATTACACTTGATTTATTATTTGATGATGCAAGCATTATTATTTTCTTATTGTTATGTGAATCTTGATATTTTATTCGTAGTACATTTCTTTTTCTCAAGAGCAGGAAAACTTAGCGTTTGGTCCATGAGGTTACCCCAATTTTCAAGAATTTGGTGAAACTAACATTTACACCAATATGCAGAGAGGCACCCTTCTTTTGATAGGTTGGAACAGTGGAGTAATAAATGAATGCTGAGTGGGCTCAGAACTTGGTTGAAGTACCAAAAAATAATTGGAAACTACTAAGTGATAAAGTTCCAATTAAGCTACTAAATCTCGTAAAACAACTGAATGCCTTCCATGGACTTATTGCACAATAAAGAATGTCAGCCTACTTTGAATGAAAATAATAATCTAAAAACAATAGGTCAAGTGTAAAAGAAATAACCAGGAGAAGAAAATAATCTACTATTGCTACAAGTAGTATCTACATATTGAAACAATAGGCCATTACATGGCAAGGAAAGACTAAACCACTCAAATATGTAACAATGCTTCTCTTACTCTGAAAATGAGTGTGTTACAATTTACAATGCAAACGAGGCACCGTGGTAACCAATAAAACTTAATTCTAGTTCTAGTTGCAATCCTTCTATTGCTCTGAAACTTGAGAGCAAATGTACAACAGGTAGAAGTGAAAGCCATGGTATTTTAACTATATTCAATTAAGGGTTTATGTATGAATTGCACTGCGCTTAAAGCCGGGCTCTATGCGGGGAGCTGAAATTCGGTGCTTCCCTTCTATTGAAAGTTAATACTTAAGAGTACGACAATGAAAAAAGAAACATCATTAGCATATATGTGACCTGGAATATCAACATCAAAGCTTAGGAGGGAATGTTCTCCGTCTTCTTGGTTTTGGTCCAAGTTTCCGAATGCACTATGACCTCAGTATATTTGAAATAGAGTAGACCAGAAACTTCAGAACCTCCTTCCCCCCTTATCTTTGCACCAATACAACGCACATAAAGGCACTGCTATGCAAATCCAGGAACCCACTGAAATTTATTGGACCTTTAAGCCCTGGGGATTGCAATCTCTGCTTGGCTCATGTTCCCATTTAGCTAGCCGCTCTCTCCCTTGTTCACTCATACTCGCACAGGCACTGCACACTAGGAGCGTTTATCACCTCTATTCTATCTGCACATAAGTGTCTGAATCTCCTCTACATACAGTATCTGCAAGATTTGCATGCTTGTCGCAATCTTTCCAACTAAAATAAGCTTTTGTAATAACGCATTCTTGAGCCGCACGCAGAATTTTCTTTTAATTATGCACGTAAACCAAAAAAAAAAGAAAAAAAGAAAATTTTTTTATACCTTAATTTATTTATTTGCTTTCTTAGAGGCACCTTACCAGGCTCGTATGAAATACCGCATAGAGGAGAGGTATATAAAGGGTAGCCCCTTAGGCAGAAGGTTTAGATGTAATGAAGTTACTCTTCCTTCTTTTCAAACTTAAAGACTTGAAGTAGCCAGGTGCCAATTCAGAGACTTTTACTCAGTATACAGAACAATACGTACTATACATACCATACATACAAGAAACATCCACCCAATCTCCATTTAGGCCCACACCAAACTTTATATATTTTAAAATTGGTTTTGATTGGCTTCAGTGAAGTGTCTAGTTTCCAGTAGATCTTGAAACAGAAATCATCAATACCTTGTGCTAAGTATAGAGAACAATTTGATACCTGAAATACGCAATTGGCAGCTCCATCGCCACCCGTCCCGTCAACTGCCCATCGTACTGTCACCAGTGCTGTTACCGCTGCTCCAGTCGTTAACTGGCCTGTGTCTATCCCTTGGCAGCAGGCTTATTAGCAAATTGCTTCAAATATTTTTAGTTCCCCTTTATTTTGATTTTATTTCAAATTTTTTTTTTTTAAATTTTCTGCATTCGATATTGCCGTATTTTGAAGGAATAAAAAAAATTTGAAAGAAAAAAAAAAAAAAGAAACTCTAAAAAAAAAAAATAATAATACTAAAAACGAAAAATTTTATATATATAGGTTCATTTTTCTTTTTTGTTTTGCTAGGTTTGAAAAGTTCCAGTTGCCACCAAAATGAAGTACAATCCAATTGAAAGGAATATGGAAGAAGAAAAAATGGTTAAAAGAAGAAAGGTGCAACCTATCAAGGAGATGGTGTCGTATATGGATCCAGTTGAAAAATTGCTTGCATTTGCCAACCGAACTGAAGATGATTTTTTGAATATGCAATCGTCAGAGGAGCAAGAACAACAGGAACACGATGAAGGAGTAGAGACCACTACACCACAATTCAATATCAAGAGAATGATGGACGATAACTTAAAATTGTACTACTCTCAGCTTAGACTGCCCAAGACGGACACTGACAATTCATTTGCAAGTTTAAATATACCCGAAAACCATGGAGGAGAGAACTCGTACCCCAACTCTAATAACGTGAAAAGTTCTAGTTCTAATAGTTCGAATGCGAACACTACACCCGTATCTGCCGTTCCATTCTTTAGAACGGTCAACTTCAACCCCAAACCAGCATCTACATACACATTTGACGAGTATTTGTCATATGACGAAGAAGAGTGTGAATCGCCACTTTCGAATCCAGACTCTAGCATTGATTCCCCATTGAATTCTAGTTCTGATTCGGAAGACTCGCCTATTATGGCCAAGACTAAACTAAGCAGTCCATTCAGCAACTTCAACTTCAATAAGAAGATGAGTTTCCACTACAGACGTAACGATAACTTGAACTTATCGTTAAACCAATCGTCACAGCCAGAGTCCATGGATGTGTTCAAGGCATTGAATAAGAGGTGCATTCTTAACGGTAAGGCTAGCGAAATGGTTAGCACTGGAAACTTACTTATTAACGACTTCTTCTTATAGGGTAAGAGAAGGATGTCTCTATGTCTATATTTACTAGTATATCGACAGAGATTCTCATAAGGTTTTACACTTTTTATAATTCGCATAGTTCACTTCTTGTTTATCATTAATAGTATAATTTCATCAGTAGTCAAGCAAATGTAGAAGAGGAGAGCAGCGTAGGAGAGAAGAGAGTAAGACATTGGAACAGTAGAAAAGCAGAACAGTAGAGCAGTAGCGCTGTTACCTAGCAAACGAACCGTACTCTGGTCGTTTACTAGTACGCTTTGTTTTTTGCAAGGCAGGTGCAAAAATTATTTTTCACTTTGGGAAGTCCATAATTGGTTTTTTTTTTCTTTTTTATTTTTTATTTTTTTAAATTTTCACTTTTTTTTTTAAAAATTTTTTTCTCAGCTATAACGGTCGGAAGGTATTGTCCTGTGCTAACTCAACTGAATTCGCACAGTGTAGCCAGTGCTTTTGACTGGGTCAGTGGCGATTGGGTACTGGTCAGATCATCAAAGCAATGTCAACGACTAACGGTCAGCAGCCCTTCTGTTTACCAGCAGAGTGCCAACCACATCGTATATCTATTGTCTCCGACTTTGAAAGCTAACGCTTACGGCGTTTTCACTATACGCTGTCTTCAATTTTATTTGTAATTCCTGTCATTTGGTTGGAGCATACTGCGTATGAAAAAATTAATATTTTGAGTATTATTTTTTAGAGAGAAAAAAAAAACCTATGCAGCTCAAACAATAGAAAATTTTTAAAGAGGCAAAAACAAGAAATAAAAAATGAAAAGAAAGCATGCACATGCAGGACCACGCATGCAGTACATGGAAAGTTCTTTTTAAAATCCCGACTTCCAATTTCTGCACATAGCAGCTTACGTGCAGGCTCGTCAAACCGGAGAAGGGTAGCCCTGATAGGAGAGTATAAATTCATACAGGATGTAGAAATTGTGGTACTCCCTTAGCTGAGCTTCAGAAGGTGAATGAGGGTCATTATGATGGAGTGTCTAATTTTGGTACCAGTCTTCTAACAAAAAGGTACCATACCCTATGTTTATGGTCCCTCGTACCGAAGTGTCCTCCTTCGGCTTCCTACAATAGTACAGTTCGCATATGCGCATACATGTATATTTCACCTATAACGTATTTCTATATATATATAATAGCGAGATGTATCAGATTTCCAAATACCTCTGCCCACTAGACTGGGCCCTACCCCATCAAAAACTTGATATATACAAACCCTCACACACATTCACAGCCCAATTTCTCTGCGCCTCATTAGATTTTGACTAACCCCATATTTCACTCTATGTGCTCTCATGATGTATTAGACCTGCATATATCTATCAGTTGCTTCTCCGATGTTCAAACGTGCTGCGGACATAGATGCTTATCAGAGGGCCCACTTGCGGCTTAGTTCTATAAAGATACTGCTACCAGCACATTGACCCTTAGATTTCTGTTCGAATTGTGTTAACATGGGTTTAGTATTCTTCTTGTACGTCTATCTATTCGGTGGAGTCACATTCATACCCTTGGTGATCATTCTGTTCATATATCTTCACCCAAAAGTTCAAGACGATGATCTAGACGAAGATCTGGATCATGTCGTACAAGACAAAACCACTCCTTATAATGTATTAAAGGCTACAGAAATTGATGAATTGCTGAAGTCAGGACAAGGTGCTTATATGTCAGGCTGGGTCACCGTCACCCAAGAATATATCGAATCCATGTCTGAGATATCATCGTCAACCCAATCCATAAGCGAGACTCATGAAAGTAAATCTGCATACCTGTCATTATATAAATTAGTAAAAAATTCCGAAAATGGCCAGGGAAACGGAAACTCCACGGTGCCTACAGTAAGTTCAAATGATACTACCTTCGATAATATGGAACCAGCATCGTCGACTAATGCCTCGTTGACTGACGAGAAAAAGGTTAAGACATCACAGAAGAAGCATCGGTTTTTTGCAGTCCTTAGGCATGGGAACCTTTTCCTCTACAAGAATGAAAAGAAAAGTGATGTTAAGCATGTAATTGTGCTACTGGGTCATGTAGTAGCTATATGGCCGAGAGGTTTGCCAGAGGGTCAACTATTTACTAAGCGGACTTGCTTGTGTATTTTAAAGAAGGATTACTCTAGACCAAGAAGATTATCAGAAGGTAAACATAGTAACGATAACGAATCAATAACAACTTTGGATATCCTCAATAGCAAGGAGGATGATTTGCATAGATTGGACCCTCCGAGGGGGTCCTTTTTCCTTTATTGTAACACTAATATCGACAAGGAAGATTGGTATTTTGCATTGTTGAGAGCAACTAAGAAGATAGGCGACAAAGAAGGTAATGGCAATGCAAATATAGTTGGTTTGGGATTAGGTCTGAGCACTGGGAATGGAGGTGCATCAGGAACTAGATCTGGGACCAGATCTCCCTTTGACAAGGGACTAGACCCTTCCATTTATGCTAAATCTTTACATTTCAAGACTGCTGACATGATTGATCTTATACAAACTTTGTACTCGTCAGAGGGCCAGTTTCAAACTAAGTGGTTAAATGCGATAATTGGTAGGCTCTTTCTTGCATTGCAAAAGACAGAGACGTTAAAAAGCTATCTCCAAATGAAAATCGAGAAGAAAATTGCAAAGATAAACAAGCCAGGTTTTCTTGATGAATTTCAAATCAAAAAGTTAGATGTTGGTAATTCGGCTCCATATTTCACTTATCCATCGTTGAAAGAAATTTCTCCTGACGGAACTTTAGTCTTGTCGACAAATGTTCATTACCATGGTGCCCTCTCCATTCAAATTGCCACCAAGTTATTCGTTCATTTAGGAGCAAGATTCAAACCTAGAGATGTTGATGTTTTACTACTGGTAACCTTGATGAAGTTGGAAGGTAGGCTTTTAATAAAGATTAAACCGGCACCCTCCGAAAGAATTTGGTATACATTTGAATCGGATCCATTAGTCGACCTCAAGATAGAACCAATTGTCAGCTCAAGGCAATTGACTTATAATATTATTACTAGTACTATCGAGAAGAAATTCAAAGAAGCAATTAAGGAATCTCTTGTGTTCCCACATTGGGATGATTTTGTATTTTATGATACTGAAGATGAAGTGTACAGGGGAGGTATTTGGGACAAACTGGCCAGACCGAAGCCGGTTTCCGGAACAGGAGAGGACCTAAGCAGTGTCTTGGAAGAAGCCACAAAGAGATTGTCTTCGAAGAATGGAAAGCCAGACCCTGATGATGCATCTGCCCAAACATCGGATAGTATTGAATCTGACATCGAGCTAACGACCTCCAGAAGCAATGGAAGCGGTAGCGGCCATAGTAGAAGTATAACTACTAGTAGCACTTCCAGTGCAAAGTTGAAATTATCATCCACTTTGACTGAAATTTCGAAGAAAATCAAGAAATCGAAAAGCTCCACCACGATGAGTGTCAACGAAGAAAATTGTCTTGCAGATGGATCCATGATTCTGCCACCACCTCGTAGTAATACCATTGCGGAGGGCGGAGAGTATGACTTAGATAGTCCAAAGAAAATAGGAATCAATACATTAAGAAAGATTGGAAAGTGGTACTTTAAGGATGGAAACCAGGATGAAATAGCTGAGAATTTATCACATGAACAAAAGGATACATATAAACCACCGGAAATGATCCTGAGTAGAAGACAACCAAGAAAGTCAGTGACCACTGGTGATATGCCAGAGACTCCTACTATTTCGGTTGCAAACGATTCCATCTTTAGTCCTCCAATTATGCCTAGCTCGAACGTATCGAGGAAACCTTCTTACGAAATGTTCAGTAAATTTCCAACGGCAGATATCAGTATGCAGCTGCCAAATCTGTTAAATACAGGCTCATTTGATCCTATTGACTTGCCACCTCCACAGCCGTTTGCAAATATTCATCATAGGAGACCTTCGGGGACAAGCCTAAGGAGCCATGAATCGAAAGAGGAGAATAGGCCGATGGATTTTAAGTTCGAATCAGATATGAAAGAAGTAGCAGATCCAGAGGTTCTTTTTGTGGATAAAAGAGATACAGGCGATCTTAGTGGGAATACCAATCAGATTGCTCAAGAGGAAGAACATGCAGCACCAGTGCATACCGTTAAAAGGAGACAGCCACCGCAGTCTCTTGGGCCCACGCCATCACCTACACCCCCAGATCTTCCACCTAGGGAAAATACTGCTGGTCATGTAGTAGATCCAAAGGAATAGAATACAATAAGAATAAATATTTTTATGTTGTAAATAGAAAATTATGCATTATCGATATATATGTAAATTAAAAAAGCCACATGTAAAGTGTTTTCAATAGTAAGGAGCCCATCCACCATACATTTGACATAGAAGTTCTGGCGAACTAGCTTCTTGAATTAAGACATCTACCTGTCCCGAAACATTCATGGGCAATCCTTCTTTTTCATCCACCAAACCTCTGATTTTTCTCCTGACAGTTCTTAAATGATCTTCTGGAGTATTTGAAGAAGATTTCCTATCAGATTTCCAATCTAAAAGGGGATCGTACAATAGCGTTTCCAATATATTCATTAACGGAGCCTCATTCTCTCTTAATAAAGTGGCAGTAGCCTCACAAGCAATTCTAAAGCTTCCCTCTACTCCAGTGATTCCCATTGCGTCAGTTAAATTTGGAGTCAATCTGAATGGAACTATTTCAGGAACTGGTAAAGTCTTACCCTTTTCAAATAAGCAATCAAAATCTATATGTAAAACTCCACCCGTTTTTTTTAAAAATAAGATGTTTTCACAATGTCTATCCCCAAGTCCAATGATATAGCCTACCATTGACATTACTGCCGACGATCTCGTAAACGTCGTCCTCGCCAAATACCATGCACCAGGATCTGAAAATTGATGAAGATACCAATTATGCAAAACTGGTGGAGCCAATTTGCATAATTCCTGAAAGTATTCCATCAAGGATGTTATATCAATGTTTTGCCTTGAGGAAGATTTGAATTTCCTTTGAGCTCCATCCAATTTGAGAAATAGTTTCTTATCAAATGAGTTACCACCACCGCCACCCATTCTCTGCCTTTGGTCACTTATTACGCTCTTCATAGTAGCAACATCATGAACAAATTCTATGACACCCAAATTCTCTGCAAGTGGAACAACAGAATAATTAACTACACAAAGTTGTCTTTTTCTTGTTTCATTACTTGCAATTAAAAGTCGATTTATCATAGCAGTAAATTCGACAACCTTGGCATCTTTTCGGGTATCGTCTCGTTTGAGGAGTAACCTGAATACATTAAAGTCAGATCCGCGAATGGTGATTTGTTTCGGCTTCTGTAGAGACTGGAAAACATTAATTACATCATCAAATCCATTAAAAGTAACAGCCGAAGCCTTCGGGAAAGCTGTGAACAGCTTAGGTGTATACTTACCCAGGGGTAATCTTATATCAAGATTTGAAAGCACTGGAATAACCAAAGCCGTACACGGATCGCTCAAATATGAGAAATTTTCGAAATCCTTGCGTAATGATAACCTTTTGACAACTGTATTTTTTTTTATATCAAACTGGGCTATTTTTATTAAGGATGTGAATAGTTTTTGAGCTCCAGCAATTATTTGATCAAGACCTGATTTCTTTTTCTGGGAATCTGCCAACACCAAACTTACTCTATTTCTTCTAATTCTATCATTAGAATTTAAGTGTGAAAGGATGTACCAAAGACTATACTTTGGGTATGCCTGCACCAAGTTGGAAATAATTTGAATGACTAAAAGAGACGAAGGTTCGTGGCTATGCCCAATACGAGATAACAATTGAGTAATAGATGTGTACCAAACATAGATGGGTATATTATCGATAGAAGTTCTTAAATCTTGAACTATTTGATTCAATTTTCTCTCAGCTTCTTCGGATTTATTTTCCAACTGGGCAAAATCCAACCAAATGGTAATTAACTTGGGAAGGGCCTCAAATATAAAACTTGGGCCCAAAGCTAAAGCCTTTAGGAAATAACGAATGGTTTGCTGTTCGTAATACCCACTTGTGGTAATCTTACCAGTCTTACTTGCAGTCATGCTTCTTTCAATTACAGCTTGTGATTCCATAATTTTACTGTAGTACTTACCCAAGTCGTAGTAAGGCTTATCCCAAATAGCTTCTAATTTATAAGCCTTTGTATATTCATTGATAATAGTCGTCGAAGAACTGTGATTGGATTCATCTAGCCAAACAGCATACTGAAGTTGGGCTTTCGCTTTTTGTTGAGTATCCTTAAATTCCCCATCGTCAATAATACTCGAAAGGTTTTTTATGGCTTCCGTTTGCCTACCCTGTGCCCACAATAATTTTGCATATTCAACATTCGCTTCCTTCTCATTTAGAGCCATAGCTTTCATAATACATCTTGTAGCCACGTCCAACCTCTCATTCTTTCTAGCAGTTTCTGAGCTTCGAATTAAAATATCTCCAATTTTACTACCACTACCAGTCAGTAAGTTTATGACATAATGTATTGCCAAAATTCCCCATTGAGTTTCAAAAGACTGATCAGTATTGGAAAGCCTTTCTTTGAGAATGAAGTCCTCAGTTGCTCCATTCACGTTGAAACCTCCTTTAGATATCACCATTATGTCATAGAGAGAGTGTAACTGATTAATCAACATACTATTCCTAGAAAAGGAAGAAGATGACATGGATGAAACAAGCGAACTCCCAATTATTGAATAGACCTCATTAATACATCTAGAAAATTCGTCCTTGTTGCCTTCGTACAAGAATTTGATTCCTTTAGCAATGTGATAATTCATTGCAGTATCCTTGTCTTGTCTACTAGTTGCAATAGAGTCAGTTATAAATACCCACTTTTTTAATTGAAGAATATCGCCAGATAATACAGATGCCTGCAAACCAGCCATAGACCAATTCAACGGTATATCATTCAAGTTTTTTGAAAAATCTACCTTGGACCCTAAATTTGAAAGTACCTCTTCATAGAAGGCATGTTCGCTTAGCGATGTCAACAATTTAGCATTATTCTCAACCTTATCTTCGGCATCTCCCATCAGACTTAATACCTGGAACGATTCTTGTGCAAGTGACCAATTTTCATTGTACTGAAAGGTAGACAATTTCTCCTTTAAATTGTTTGTAGAAAACTTCTTTAAGATTCCACTCAATGAATCAAAATCATTAATGTTGGAGTACATCTTTTGCAAAGTGGGGACCACTACTTCATCTGTAACAAGATTATCCCTATAACACTTTTCTAAATAAAGTATAGTTCTCTCATATGAGTCACATTCAGCCGACTTTGTTGCGATTAAAGTCATTGGCAAGTGGTTTAAGAAAGATTGCACTAAATTCAATGATTTTCTCAATTTATGAGCGGCACTCAGAGAAGGTGCACCCATGTCATTTAGATACTGCGTAGCGAATGAATACCATTCGTTAAAATAATCCAAAACTTCCAAGACTGACTGAAAGCAGTTAATCAACAGTTCAGACAAATCTGGTGGCACCTTGGATGAATCGTTTGTCAAGATACTTAAAAATTCAGTCTTTAAGTCCTCAAATGAAGATTTTCCGCCATTTATCACAAGCAGTAGTGAAACATACTTTAGCAAGTAATTACATACTGTGAGATCTTGATCGCGAACAAGAACTGAACAAGTTCTAAAAATTATCGCCTTTGGAGTATTTAATGTTGCCTCATCTTCACTTTGCAGTCCATCTTCCCCTAATCTTGCTGCTCTGTTTAACAAATTACTTGTCAATACCACTAGCCATCTTTCATATGTCATACTAAGTTTATAGAAAGGAAACTTCAAAGGCTCGTACTTAAAAGATGGAGGAATATATTTAGATGATAAAAATGGGGTTAAGGTTGATTTCGCAACATCACTGAACCTCTTCCAAACTTCTACAAAGTATTCTTGAGTAGTAGATGTAGCAGGTGGAGTTGATAAAACTGTTTCATCAAGCTTCAAAACGCTAAGAAATTTTTGCATAGAATATGCACTGTATAACTGCTTAACTGGAGTGTTTGAGGCCCAGAAAGATTTGATGACGATATCTTCCATGAACCTCCTGAGAAATTCAGAATTCTCCCTGTAATCACCAAAATCGTTAATTACAATAACTTGTTCTTTAATGGATTTCAAACTGAACTTATTAGGATCTAGGGCACCAATCACCGAAATTGCATATGCACATTTTGTTGAAATTTCCGGCAAATTCTTATTCTTGAACAGTTGGGCTGTATCTAATAAGGTCCTTAACAATTCCAGCACACTCTTAGTAACTAATTGATCCTTGTCTTTAAAATCATCCAACTGGCACAGCTTTTGATTTTTCGTTGTGAAGTTTATTAAATCAGTCAAAGCTTGTTGCACCACATATCTATTACCAGTTTTAAGTCTTCTAGTAAATTCAGGAAAATGGTTCGTTTTTGACTTTTGTCTCAAGAGGGATATAAAACTAGAATCCAACTGATAGTATCTATCCAAGCCTCCAACAAATGGAACCGAAAAATAGTATAGTGCATACTTGTTGTACTTGTCTCGAAGCTCCAAAAATAATCTTTTCAATATTTCAACAGCAATAACTTTGGACTTATGCTCAAATTGAGAAAACTTTTGAAAAATTATCAGTATGATGATATCGAAAAGTGAAATTAAATGAGGAGTTTCTAACTTCTGCACCAATAAGTTCCAGCAAGAAATAGCTTGTAGTTGAAAATCAGAATTTTCTAAAGATGCCTGCAAACAAGTAGAAATCTGCCCCAATGCAGTTGAGGTTGCAGATATATTGGTTTCTATAAGAAATTCAATTGCTGTAAGTGAAGAGACCTTTTCTAGATATGGTTTAGATCCTTTAATATGATGCACATTTTCTGAAAATCGCTGAACTAATTCCAAAATATGATCACCTAATAAGATTTTCACAGTTTCAGCTTGCAGTCGTTTACTATTACCTGCACTTTTCTTTTTTGTATTTTTTATTTGGCTGGCTTTACCAATATATTCTAAAGCATTGAGTATTTCCACTTTATTCTCAAATTTCTTATTCTCGTCAAATCTAATTTGCAAGAGGATGTACCAAGTTATTGCTCCAATGTTGACGATCAAATCTAACATCTTTGCTAACCTAAATTCAGGTGCAGCGTTTCCTAATACACTTATTATGTTACTTTCATTTATATTCCCACTTTTACATAGGTAAGTCGCTATGATCCTAGGTAAAGTTTTAGTTATCAATTGTAGCTTTGTCATTCCTGAAGAATCTGCAATATCTTGAATGAAATCATATTTATAGTATTCCAAAAGCCTAGGCGTTGTATAATCTCTTGTTCTTACAAGAAAATATTTTTTGGAAATACCCAATAATTCAGTTATCTTAGAAAACATTCTGGATTGTTTAACTATTCTCTCTGCGATGCTCGGCAAGAAGGGAGATAGTAATTTATATGGCGTTACTTGTTTCGCTGCTGAGACATTCAAAAGGACATTGTATATCAAGTTTACATGCTGTTCATTCACTTCACCAAATAAATCAATTAATTTAATGAATAAGGCACATAAAAATTCTCCATTGCTAGTAACTATGGCCAATTCCCCCAAGGTATAAAATGTGGATTCAGCAAGATATATTTTTCTCTGATCTTCAAACTTAATTGACGAAATATTTCCAAATATTTGCCTAAAGTTTATTTCTACCAATGTATTGTCGTCTTTGGAACAGATTAAATATAAAGGTAAAATTCTGCCGGCCAATAATCTTACATCTCGATTAGTAGACAGCGACGCACATGTTATTATGAATTTGTATATGGGGTCAACTTCACTTGGTGTGATCGAATTTTTGGGAGGTTTGAAGTGAGCAAATATTTTGTATAATGCAAGAAGTAAGGATGAGGTCAATATGAATTTGGAACTGGGGATCAAAGGTAATAATTTTTCAACAATAATTGTCTTATATAACGTATTCATTTGCTGATTCTCAGTCACGTACTTCCTTTCTGGTGATATCGCATCGTAAGAACTCTTATACAAAGGTGAACTACCACATGTCCAACATTCCCCTATTGACTCAACGAAGTCATTCAGCAATATACATGCAACATTCCCCACTGCATTTAATATGGTCAACAATTCAACATCATCTAACTTCGTAGAAGTTAACTGTTTGTTAAGATAACGATTCCATTCTTGCCCATCAAATTTATGTTTAAAATCAAATTTATATTTAGTTGGTAATGTTAGTTGTAGTAGTGGATGTTCCTTAGGAGTGGTAATTGAGTGAAACACTTCAGGTTTAAAGCTGAATACCCGCATCCTTAGATCATCAAGTTGTTTGTTATTGAAGTGAGTTATATCAGAATCCTCTGAGTCCTCATTTTCATACACGGAAATTATATGTAAAACCTTTTGAATGTTAATTAAATCGATATTTGGCCTTTTCTTAGCTACTAATTTTATCCATTGGTTATAATTCTGTAGAATAACTTTTAATTGAAGTAAAGATGTAAAAGTTTTCACAATCCCAGAATCAATACATAGGACAAAAAGCTTTAGCAAGAAATATGCTGAGCATTTGTTCATACTGGTCAATTTCTCATTTATCCAATTCAGCTTAACTGTAGTATCATCCAATGATATTATATGTTCTATTATCCACAGAGTTACATATGTTATTTGAGAGAAATTTACGTCAATTTCATTTAGGACAAAATTATTGCAACAATTTAAAACAAGCAACGATCTAAGATTGTCCACCAACTGGATATCTTGCGTATTTTGATATATACTTGGCAAGTTGACAGATGCGAGTACAAACCATAATTTCCTAGCGTAACTTTCTAGCTTTAGTTCAAAATCACAAGTGATGAGCCCTAATTTACAAGATATATCATAGTCGTTGATGATGGTAAAAAGATGCACAGTGGCCGCCAACCTTCTCTTGTAAGTCATAGAGCTTAACGAATGAGCCAATCCAATACCATTGAGTAGATAGTTCAATGAATCATCCAATTTACTGAGAAGGAATTTTTTTATTTTGAATTTGTATCGGAAGTTATGAAGTTTAGTAGTTACAAGATTAATAATTGATATTATCAATGATTTCAATATGTTGGACGGGTTTGCTAGACTCAGAATATTCTTATATGAAAGATATGCTAGTGAGTAATTTATGATCCATTCAAACACCATCACATCATTGCTTCCAACTTCCAAAATTTGGATATCTCCTCCACTGGCCTGAGTGGAGATCTTTGATTCCTTCTCAGTGACAGTTGAGTTTAACAATTGTTTGTGTTTTGTGAGAACCAATTCTATTCCATTGACCAACCTCGACAATAGATGGAAGTTTTCAAGGTTATTATTCAATTCCTTGTCCTTCACGATATCTTCTAGTCGTACACTGGTAAACCCGAACAAATAAAACAAGATCTTTCTGAAGTCGTTATCCAGATCATCATCCACAGACTTATGTAGATCATCCAAAAAGAGCTTCAATTCTCGTACGCTGAGTGTGTGAAATGACATTCATGAAGGTGGTGCTAATTATATGTGTATGTATCTATATTAATGTATGAAAAGAAAGGGGATTGAATGAATTTAAGTATGGTTTCAGAAAATATTGATCATCAGGAGTTGCAGCTGATCGCAATAAGCTCTTTCTTCTTTACGCTTTGTAATGAGTTCGCACTTTCGGTTTTTGTTTTGATTTTAGATCTGCACCTTTGGCTGAGTACCAATTTGCTACTCTTTACGACACTTTTAAGTGATTTCTACAGGCTTTTGTGGAGGTCTTTTGTTGCTCTTTATATTATTATGATGATATATATATGTAAATTTATTAATATACAGGACAGTCTCTAATTCTACATCAATAAGTACCTTAAATAGTTAGGCATTTAGACTTGTATGTTATGACAGGTGATGATGACGGGGTAAATGACTAATAGGTGCTCCATGGACTAAACACCACTTTTCTCTCTCTTTCTTTCTCTCTTTCTCTCCTTTTCTCGCTCTTTTTCTTTGCTCTAGCTTTAAAAACAATTTGATCACAAGTTGAAAATCTCACTTCAACTGCGGTGTTCGCTTAACCTCTACTGGTAATTGATGGGTCTCTTAAAGAGTAATATATGTGGCTCAGGAGCATGGGTCTCATAATGAGCCCACCCTAACGATTGAGTAATACCCAAACCTCTCCATTCTTCTTCGAGTAATATCCTTAATGTGCCAGTTTCCGGGTTGAAATAATCTTGGGGAATGGCCTTAAGCATATTCTTGGGTAACATTACATGTCGATATTCATGGGTATCATCGTTGTACCTCGGGCTATAATGGATCATGTCTTGAAATTCAAGAATTTTAGCCCTTTCACTATCAGTCAAGTATCTTGGTTTCGACATTATATATGCAAAGTATCACGGAGCTACAGACGACTATGTAAAAAGGAGTTAAAACTGACTACTAAAATTATCTAAAACTAATTCTCAGTATTTTTTTCAGTATTTTTTTTGTTTTTTTTGCCTTTAATTGATTTTACGTGTTCTAGTCCCAATAGCGAAATGTTCCAGTGGGCCTTTTTTTTTTATCTATGGAAGTGAGGGATCCAGAATTGATGAACAAGAGGACGTAGTAGTGATAGGCAAATTTATTTATGAACACCTGTATCTTTTCTTTTTAAATTACTTTTCCTTTTCTTCTTTGCTGAAATTTTCTTTTTAGCTATTGTCCGATAAGTATCCTCTTTCCGTTTTGATTGGAATGGGGAGAATTCCTGGAATGTTAATAAATTTCCAAGTCAAATCTTTTTTTTTTTTTTACTCTTTCGCTTGGGTTCACCTTTAATACCGCGCGCGTCTGTTTTGACCCTTTTGGTGCTAAAGTTGCACAAAATTGCCCGCCTAATAAAAATTGAACACCAGTAGTTCCAGGTCTTCTTCCTATAATTTCTACATATGGATAAAATCTATTTCGGTATCTTTTGTAAGGATAGCCCAGATAATCTCTCGCGCAAGAAAAATAATTACCTAAGGCTTGTGCCATGGGGTAATATTTCTTCCGAACTGTCGCCCTCTTCTCAAATAGTCTTGCTAGGCCCACCACGGCCTTCCAACGCACCACCGACTTCCAGTTCGCTTGCACAGTTTTTCACCTGCATACAGGACCAGGTGGATACAGTGCTTTCCACAGTACCCAGGTTAACCCATTTCAGTGTTATCGTTCCCGAGGAGTACCTAGTATTGGAAGCCGTAGATTGGAGCTCCCATGTGGGAACTCTCCTAAGGCGGAACAGCCAGCTCCACTTTGCTTTGATATTGCCTAGTAGAAGCTCCACAGCATTCCAATACTGGTCATGCTTGCAAGATTCGCTAAAATATCCTCTTAACTTATCCGTTTTTCTATACGTAGGCGATCCTGTAGAGCAAACAAACGACATTTCACTTTCCACATGGAAGTACGAACCTGTTTCCTCGTTGATTTTGCCTATCACCTACTTCCTGGGGTGCAGCCAACAGAATATGCAACACTATGCACTTAGCACTTATATACAGGAAACATTAAAGGATTTTTGCACCCAAGCGAGACCCTTGATTATCTTGAGTCCCATAAACTCAAGTAGTGAAGTGACCCAGGGGCACATGGCTAGCATAGAAAGGCTATTTCTGTCATTTGAATTACCCCCTGTGGCTGACGCCGTAATAAGAGACCCTTTACAACCTCTAAGAGACGACTTGAGTATGGATATTTACAGTATATTCGAACAGGATGAGACCAAGTACAGAATGTACGGCAGGGCGATTGCACAGGCTATAATAGACATACGGAAGAAAAAGAGTGGTGGCAGTGAAATCAATATTGTAATTGATGTGCTAATTGTAGGACCAGGACGGGGGCCCTTGATCGACTTGGTAGACCAATGTTCCTCTCCTTCTACTTATTGCAACATAATTGCAGTCGAGAAAAACCCTCTCTGTACAAACTTATTGAAGAAAAGAAGGTGGACTAGTGGCAGTGTTACCGTTGTCCAGTCAGATATTAGAGAGTATCAATCTGAAGTCAAATTTGACTTGGCTATCTCGGAATTGTTAGGCTCATTCGCTTGCAACGAGCTATCACCAGATATCCTAGCACACGTCGCTGCTGAGGTTATGATTCCAAGTTCATACACAAACTACTTACAGCCAATTTACTCCCCAATTATTAGCAAGATGGTAGGCAAAGTAGATCAATGGGAAAGGCCATACGTGGTGGACATTACCGAGGGATGTTTTATGGAGACAGGGCCCGTACAATCAGTGTGGAGCTACGATCATCAAGCAAGCTCCAATGATCTAGACTGGAATGTCGAGCTCAAATTTGAACAGGATTTACCAGATAAAGGGCTCTACCCTACCCACGGGCTATTGGGATATTTCACAAGTGTCTTATATGGAGAGATTTCTATTGGAATACATCCTAAGCAGCGAGCTAATAACAATGAGTATTGTAATTCGTGGAGTCCTCTTTACTTTCCGATTAAGAAGTTCACTTTTTACACTGGAAGAGTAATCATGGAGAGAGTCACCGGGAAAGAAGGCGTGCATTATCAATGGGACGTCAACGGAGTCATGCACAATCAATGGGGTGCTCTGTATACTATAGGAAATTAATTAATGATATACACAAGTAGTTACAAGTGAGTCTGTAGAATAGAGGTCAATAGTCGACCTTTGGTGGTTTAGGTGCTGCTGTCGACGTGGTGCTTGCTTCTGAGGCGCGATGAGACCTAGACGAGTCAGAGCGATGTGGTTTAGGCGAGTCAGAACGATGTGAAGACGACCTTGACGACTTATGGCTGCGGTGCGAGGAGGAATGTGATGACCTCAGAGACGAGTGCCTATGAGAGCGAGAGGGACTTCTATCTCGACTCCTACTCTTATCACTCGTGCTACTTTCTTTACGATCTTTTCTATCTCTATACCTGTCATCTTTCAGTCGACGGTCCATGTCCCTCGTCCTTTTTTCACCTTGCATACGATCTGATTCGACTACCCGCCTTACCCCTCCCATAATCTTCAATAGCGGATCATCTTTACCATAGCTTATTGTCTTCTCATCCTGACTTTTGGTTTTACCTCCAGAAACAAGCTTGTCTAGCCTACTACCTTTCAGACTGCTAACCTGCTGCCTTCCAGACAACATATCTTCCACTTTCTGCTTACCATCGAGAAACTCTCCATTCATCTCAGTAAACCCACTGGAATTTTTCTTGGGGCCCTCTTCGTACATCCAGCCAAGCTTATTCATCTCTAATTTCTTCTCGCTAGGCAAGCTCGACAAATCTTCACCATACTGTAACCGCAATAAGTCTTGCTTTTCACGTTCCTCTTCAATCTCCTTTTGCCTTTCTTTAATCCTCTTGTGTTCTTTCAAGGCATCTTGTTCCTGCTGCCAAAGTTTCTGCTGATTTTTGACCAATCCAGGATGCCATGACTTTTTGAGATTAAGATCGCCGGGCATTATGCAATAAATCGAATTAGTGGGCGAACTGATAAGAATACCACACGAACCGTGTGCATTGGAGTAACATCAGTAAAGGCTGATAGCGATAGAGATGAGAGATGAGATCACGTGATATCTACATTGCAGCTGGAATCTGCAGCATTAGACGCTAGCTCTGTGAATTGATTCTCGCTTGGGTGCCTATTCAAGCAAGCGAGGGGCCCTGCGTTCAATTAGCAACTCACCCCAGTTCTTCAGCTTGGTCGACAGAGATACAGAAGTAGGCATTGAGAGACTTACATGGACTATAGCAGTATATTATCGATAAAGAGTTGCTGCTTCAGTGGTCAAAATGACATGAAATTGTTTCATTCTATTCCCTACACGCTATTAGGCGCCGCGAAGTGAGCGCGCGCCCCTACAAAAAAGATTCACCTCTAGATATGACTCTTTCCACTACGGACATGTTAACTAATATACTCTTAATGTCAGATTATCTCATATATCCCTTATACATATATAACCAAGGCGTGGTAAAATAGGAGTGCGCGGACTCTTACTACATATAAAACGGAAATACAAGGATCCAAGCTAAAAGAAAAGGTAAATAATATCGACAGGCTAAGAAAGCGGAATCACTACGTTATTTGTTTTTTCCCATACTGTTTCCAAGCTGCTGACTATTATTTTCATTTTCCATTTGTTTCAGGCTACAAGTATTAGAAACCATGGATCTTGATGTTCTTCTTTGGAAGTTGCAATGAAGAGGTTAAGAATTCACTGACCTTAACTCTTTGGTCACCTTGAAGTTGGATAACCTCACCAAGCTCTTCATCCTTAACGATGTTACCGTTACAAGCAAAATCTTTCTTTAATACTTTTAAGATTTTCTTTAAATCATATTCAGCAGGTAAACCTTGCACAGTAGTTAACGTTTTACGACCATTACGTTGTTGAATACGGATATGGATATAGTTTGTTGGCTGAGCTTCGGAATCTCCAGTATCAGCAAAAGGATCAAATGCGTTTAAGTTTTGGATAGTAGACATATATAGGAAAACTGGGGTTTTCTATTTCTTTAATGAGATATAATTTAAAGGAAGGAGAAAGGTTTCAACTAAGATTAAATGAAGCAAAAATAAAAAAATAAATTCTTCTGATGTTCTTCATTGCCGTTGGGTCAGTTACCCGGACGGCTACGGAAAAAGGAAAGACGAGCCAGAGAGCATGTGATACGTATCACGTGACCATCAGCAACCCGAGCAAGCAAGATGAAAAAAAAATTAGACAGGGAAGCAACTGGCTTAAATTCTGAGGGGAAGCTGGCCATAGAGAAAACAAAGCAGGGAACCAAGAGAGTGATACGGGCACGAATACAATGGCCAAGCAGATCAACCGAGTCAGAAGCAGATTAAAATAAAACAATACAGATGAAGCAACCGTAGCCGAGCACCAGTGTATGCAACCCCAGTAATACTTGCTATTGGTTGAGCTGACTGGTGTGTGAAAAGTTCAGCACTTTAGATTAAAAACAGTGCGACCTTTTTTGCATGTGATACTGTCAGAGATAACGAGAAAAAAAAAAAATGAATCGTTACCTCACTTGCTCGTTCTCCCACTAACACTGGCACTGGCACTGGCATTGGCACTGGCACCCGCACCCGCACCCGCACCCGCGCCGCTGTGCTACTGCCCAGCTGAGTAGGGGCTCCCGATCGTGTACCCCATAATAGCACACACCCTACACTCCGCAGCACAGAAATCAACCCCTACCCATAATCATACTCATGCCCACTGTCTTCCCCCGTAATGTGTTACACCCGTTTCGTAATTTCAGAACAACTGTACCGACACCACACACTCACCGTAGTCATGTACTATCCCCTTTACACCCGCCCATATATTTTTTCTCACCTGTGCAGCAATCTTTCCTTCCTCCGTCTTCTTCTCGCTCTTTCTCAACATTTGCTTACTCCATACTCAAAATTGCTAATCTTACCAATTGCTTCACCACTACTAGCGGATCAAATCTGAAGCCAAAAAAGAAAAAAAAAATAAAAAAAAAAAACAATCTGCACGCTAGTCACTCGCGATTTTCCAGTCTGTGCAATTCACAAAAATTTGCCCTCTACTCTCCAGTACAGTGCACTCGAAGTCAACAGGCCGTTCGTTTTACATTGAGTTGCAGAGCGTAGAAACCTAGCCCTTGATTCAGTAGTATAGCAATAATGTCGGTGGAAGCAACGAAAAAACCCGGGAAGCCGGAAACTAAGATCGCAGTGGAGCAAAGCAAGGAGAGTAAAGAAAAGGCCGCGGTGGTGAATGAAAGAGAGAAGAAGAAGCAGGCGTTTATAACAAGAACCATATGGACACTTGTGATGATATTGTACTTCTTCTGCGTGGTTGCTGGAGGACATCTTCCGCTCATAGCTTCGGTGTTTCTTTTCCAAACATTGACTTTCAAGGAGATCATTGCGCTTACCTCGGAACCAGCTAGAGACAAGAACATCCCCTACAACAAGTCGCTCAATTGGTACTTCCTCTTGGCCACGGTTTACTACTTGGATGGGGAATCGTTTTTCCATTTTTTCCAAGAAACTATCTACTCCAACAGGTTTTTGTCGGTATTGGCCATCCACCATAAATTCATCTCTTACTCGTTATTCATTGCCGGATTCATTTTCTTTGTATGGACCTTGAAGAAGGGCTTCTACAAGTTTCAGTTTGCTCAATTGTGCATCACGCACATGACTTTGATCTTGGTGGTTTTCCAGAGTCATTTGATCATGGATAACTTGTTGAATGGGATCATTTGGTTCTTGTTACCTGCCACTTTGGTTATTGTGAATGATATCTTTGCATACTTGGTTGGGATCACATTTGGAAAGACCCAGTTGATTGAGATCTCGCCAAAGAAAACCGTTGAGGGTTTTGTTGGAGCTTGGATCTTCACTGGTATTTCTGCACTGTGCTTGGCCTACTTTGCTTCGAAATCCAATTACCTCATCTGTCCTGCCCAAAACTTGTCTACCACTATCTTCAACTTCCCAGACTGTGACCCTAATCCTGTGTTCATTGCTCAATACTACCAAGTCCCTAAAGATCTCGTGGAGTACGTGGGATTGGAGTACGTGATTTTCAAGCCAATTTATTTCCATGCCGCAATGTTGGCAACTTTTGCATCGTTAATTGCCCCCTTTGGAGGATTTTTCGCTTCCGGTTTGAAAAGAGCTTTTGGTATCAAGGATTTCGGTGACACCATTCCTGGTCACGGAGGCATCACTGATAGAGTGGATTGTCAGTTTTTGATGGGTTCCTTCAGTTATTTGTACTACCAGACATTTATATCCACCCACAACGTTAATTTGGGTACTGTATTGCAAATGGCCTTGATTAATCTAAGCTTGCCAGAATTGATCCAATTGACGAAATCTTTGTTGAAGTATTTGATGAAAGCAGGAGCTATCACAGATACTAAGTATCAAAAGATTCTTGAGTTGCTCGAGTGAGCAGCTGTAATTGAGTAAGAGGGAAAGAGACGCTGACTAGATCGAAAAAGACAGACAGACAGAGATAGAGAAAGATAGCAAAGATAGATGAAATATGAAATATACATATATAAAGGCTACAGAACGGAGAATGAGTGGATATAATCAAAAAGAAAAATCCATTCAAATTTGGGGTGTCGACGGAGTAAGAAAAGATCCTTGTATATTTAATTAAATTAGTACGATAGTGAAAATAGAAATTAATTCAACAGTTGAAAGCAAACTGTACAAAACTGTAAAGCTAGAATTGAAAAGCTGTTTAGTAGAGACAAATCGAAAGACTACAAGCCTCGTAAACAGAGAATGCTGGTATTCCCAGGGTGTGGCTCTATATGCGACGAATGTCCAAGTAATGTTCTTCAGAAGCCAATGTTCAGATCCGAATTTGTTCGCTGTCACACTTGTTTGAGTCAATCGGTTATTCGATGTATCAGCTTCCACTTTCTGACTAAAACTGGCCCAACCAGCCACCTACTTTTACAGTAAAGGATCGATAAGTCCAAATATCGCTTCATTATAGAATAAGTTGCTCCGTTTTGGTTGAAATTCTTCCAAGTTGGGTTTCGCCAATGAGTCCTACTGTCATAAAGTGGAACTGGCGTTGCCATGTTCATCACTAGCCAGCTCTCTTGAGCTGGTTGTTCCTCTTAGCGTACAGGACCACCTCCGGACTTGCATATTCAAACACCGGATTATGTGCACTCTCGAAAATTACTATGGAGCGTTCGCAGAAATCCTGCAGATAGTATTTTTTTTGCTGGTACATCGGTCGCATTTGGAACCACTTGGTCCCAATTTGCAGCAATTTTAAGCATCTCCAATTACGTCTCAGTTTTGGTTCAAAACGGACTGGAGCTATAGTATGAGCAGTAAAAACTAGGTACGAGGCGTCAGAGTTGCTTCGCTTAGATTGTTCGCAATGTCTTGACAGAAAATTAGGCCCAATTTGGAAGTTAGCCAACTCCATTTGACTTTGACTCGAACTGCTGACTTTTTATATAAACCCATGTCCCCCTCCATGTTTATGTAAGAGAAACTAATTATTTCACCAGCTGTCCCCAGAATATCGAAGTAGATTATTTCTCCTACTATTTGTCTTTCTTTACAAATAATCACACTTTCGTTTATTCACAACCCCCACTCACTTTCATTAATTAAACACTCATTAAATTAAACACACACTCGTTAACTAGCCGTTCGCTTTCCTCATCTTTGCAACCTTATATAAGATGCTTACCAACTACTTGTTACTTGCATTGCTTTTAAAAGCATCTAATGCTATCCCCTTACCGAAAGTTATCACCAGAGTTCACACAGCTGAAGCTGTGACTGTCACAGATACTTACACCACAGGTACGACTACTGTTCAATTGCCTGCTGTTGAAGTGCTAGTTTCAAATGGTGCTACTTATACCTACACATTGTCTGATCAACTCGCCACTACTGCGTACACCTACACTACTACGTACAGCAACCCAGAGACCACAAACAATGACGTTTTAACTTCAGTTCAAGTAGACGTAGTAACTGTCACCGCCGGAGGAGCAAATACACAACAAACTACCACAACCTCCCCAACCACTACATCCACCCCAACCACCACTTCTACCCCAGAAACCACTTCAAGTCCAGCCACCACTCCTCCCACCACCACCGCTTCCCCATCCACTACATCCATTTCTTCCACATCCACTCAAGCAACTACATCTGCCACTTCTAGTTCCTCTGGTGCCATTTCTGCTCCAGACGCAATTGTGTACTCTCCATACACCGATAGTGGTGCATGCAAAGATTCAGGTACAATCCAATCAGATTTGGATTACATTAAGGGCAAGGGTATCAACAAATTAAGAATTTATGGATGTGATTGTGGAAATTGGGATACCATTTTACCTTACTGTGTTAAGATTGGTCTTACTGTAAACCAAGGCTTTTGGATTTCTTCCGCTGGTGTCGATTCTATCAATGATGATATCACTGATTTTATTTCATACGGACAAGCAAGTGGCTGGGATGTGTTTGATGTTGTCACTGTTGGAAACGAAGCTGTAAGCGCTGGCTACGTCTCGGCTCTGCAATTATTAGCCAAAATTAAAGCTGTCAAGACTCAGTTGAATGATGCTGGGTACTCAGGAGATCTTACCACATCAGAGCCACCAAATTCATTCATCGACAATCCTTCACTTTGTACTGATTCTGGAATTGCTTGGGTTGGTGTTAACTCACATTCTTACTTTGATTCAAGTGAGACGGCTGGAAATTCTGGTCCTTTCATTATTGCTCAAAAGCAATTAGTTATTGATGCTTGTAATGGTATGTCGGCTTATATCACTGAAACAGGTTATCCATCACAGGGTGATGCCAATGGGCTGCAAGTACCTTCAGCTGAAAATCAAGAAGCTGCAATCAAGTCCATTATTTCCTCCACTGGAGGTGACTGTACTATTTTAACTACATACAATGATTTCTGGAAAGACCCTGGTCCTTACGGAATTGAACAATACTTTGGAACTATCACTCTCTTCGAATAGATAGTCTTACAAACTCAGCAACAAAGTTACTCAAATATTTCAAACCAGCCTGACAAGCAAGGTTCCCGGGCTTCATTTCCTCACTACATTGCATTATTAATTAGATACATACATCAGTTTATACATTATTCATGATTCGTTAACTTAAAAATCAATCACCTTTGTAGGAAAATATTCATCTATCAACTCTAAATAATACGGTTTCAACTCATCGACGTCGTATTGCTTATCAATCTTGGAATATAAATCGTAAGCATTGAATGATTGAACAGCTTCTAGCATTTCCTTATCATGATCGTCCATAAGGTATTTGTAAGCATTTTCATGATGCCAAGGGTAAAAGGAATGGTATCTAATCATAGCTAGAGCTTCTTTAGGTAAGGTAGAATTGTTCTTGGCAACATGATACATATACTCGTCATGACCCCAACTCAACATTACGTTGTCCAAACCACAGTTCTTCGAGTAAATCCCATACTTGTTGCTATATAATCGATTTAAGAAGTCGGGATTCTTCTTGAAACTGTCTGGAAAGATAATTCTTTTCAGAAACTTACAGCCTACTGGGAATGTATCACCAACGACATCCCATTGCCCTTTAGAGTCGAAGAAATATAATAACTTTCCCAAGTCATGAATAAGTCCTACAAGTTGAAACCACCTGGGCTTCTTATCCCTCTTTATAGCCTCAGCCGTTTGCAAAGCATGATCAATTTGTGAAAGCTCGGTGTCTGGGTCACTTTCATCAAGAAGCTTGTTTAATTTCTCTAAACCTTCCCATATGGTCATACGTGCTCTTGATTTGGTTTTGAAATTGATTCTTGCCTGTATATTATAGGCAACGGTTTGGCATTCATGTTGTTCTTCGTAAAATTGCTTTACTCTATCGCATGCTAATTCATATTGCCTAAATGTCTTTGTGTCAATATTTTTGTAGTACTCTGATTGTTCCTTCCAGGCTTGTTCTTCGTCTTCATCTTCACTTTCTACCAGATCCCGATCTTCTTCCGAATTACCTGTTTCTATACCTTTGGCTACATCTATCGGAACATCACCGTCTGTCGAAGATTTTTCTTGTCGTATCTCTGAGCTATCTTTCCGCTTATTATATTTCAATTTATCTCTAATCTGATTTACGAGAAGCACATCATCGTCTATTTTCTCCAAAAGTCGGCCGTTTTTGTCATTATTGGGTATCTTACTACTACGAGATGTGTTCTTGGTCACTCCGTTACCAGACACTCCAGACATGCTCTATTTATTGCTATTTAAGTATGGAGTAACTTACAAATCCATCCTTTTATTTTTTTCTCTTTCATCTTCATTTCTCTTCGCACATACTTCGAGGGCATCTGTCCGAATTAGGAAATCTGAAATGGTTGCAGAATATAAATTGCAGGAGAATCAAGAACTCTTTTACGTCGTTCTACTCAACTAGTTCATCTGATATCTATGTTATTGAATGAATAATCATTTGCATTATGGAATTTCTATACTAATATACATCAAGCATCAAATCTCCTCGTCGTCACTTTTCTTGCCACTCTCGTCTATCAGACCATAGCTTTCAACTTGCGTCTCTGGTGCGTCATATCTTTTCCTATTTAAAGCAGTGAATTCTGTTCCTTTGAATTTACAATAAGCCCAGATACTTGCAATTCTAAGAGCAGCCATAGCAAACCCAATCAAGATCCCACCAAATGGAGCAATTACAAATGCCCCAAAAGCACCCCAATCAGCAGGATCGTAAATTCCATTCCAGATCAAAAGTAACTTACCACCTTCTCTAGCACTACCATAGTAAACAGTACCAAAAATGAAAACCCCGAGTAATGCTCCAAAGCCCCCAACCATTACATCTAATCCCGTGAGCCACCAGAAGTAGGTGTCACTTAATCCCAAGAATACAATAGGAATAATAGCTGCTGATACTAAATCAGCAATCAAATAAATTTGTAAAATGTTGTCAGCAACCTTCACAGCCAAGACAACAATAGGTACCATGATTAAGACAACCATGCCTCTAGTATAAAGAATTGGCAATTTGTTACGGAACACATCGTTAGATATGGTGGAAACCATAGCCGACTGCAACGAATCAAAAGTACAAGTCGATAAGCAAATGACGAAGATCAATACAAAGGCAATGACCCATCTTGGCATTTGTGCTAAAAGAATGTAAAATGCCAAGTATCCATTTTCATCATTTACGGTCATATCTCCTGCCCAAACAGCAAGCATACCGGGAATTCCAACCAATGTACAAATAGCAAATGTTACGAAAGAAGCAATAGAACAACCAATCCACAAATCTTTGTTTGTCTTTGAAGCGAATGTTCTCAACCAGAATCCTGCCATAAAGCAATCATTGGTAACGATTGCAACGAATAAGATATAAAGCAATTGCCAACCAAGCTTGTTTGCCTTTAATAAACCCGATTCACCAATTTTGCTAGTATCAATGTTAATATAAGACCCCATACCTGAAGCACATATAATAATCAAAAGCAAAACCATGACTGATTGAAAATTGTCAGTAATAAAACTGACATGGAACCCACCAATTGAGGTGTAAATGGTAGTAACAACACATTCTACGATAACTGCACCTAAGGCATTTAATCCAGTTAACGTTTCAATTGCACTTCTGATGGCCGATAATTCTCCGACCATGAAAAGAAACATAGTCAAACAAGTAAAGAACGACAAGTACAAGGCAGTCACGACACCAAATCTTTGTCTAACCCATTCTGTGAAAATGAACCCATCTGGGCACTTTTTACGAATGATTGGTCCAAAGAAAGCAAATCCAAGAATTGGAATTGATCCTGTGATCGTGTAAACAAGGAGACCATGCAAACCAGAAATGTTTGCAATTTGAGTGTATGTAGTCAATATACCACATCCCATAGCTAGATTATTAGTATTTACCAAAAAGAAAATGGGAAAACCAGACTGAAAAAGTTGAAAATGCATAATGGAAGTTTCTAATAACCAGATAAATGTAACTCAACTACAGGAGCTATATCTACTAGTCTAAATGTTGTATACGTGAGCCAAAGTGCTGCATCTCTCACGCCAAACTAAAGGTGCAGAGTACAAGGGAGCTAAGCCGCATTTCATGCACATTTGATCGACTTCCAATGCAGTTAGAACCCAAAACATACAATCTCGAGGTTGAAGAGTCCAATAGTTGACAACTTGCACCGATCAATATTGAGATGTTGGAGTAACATTTTGGGTTAGAGGGGCCAACCAGTCGTATATATGCCTCAGAAGTTGGTTTCATTAAAATTACTCACTGAGAATCGAGCAGAATAATTATTAGCGATATCAACCAAAAACTAAAAAAACATTAAATATAGCAACCTCAGCCAATATAACTTTGCACTAATGATTTTAAAAACTTACACATTTTACCATTTTTATCAATGAAACTTCCTCACGCAAGTACTAACTTGATCGAGTTATGACGGTATAGTTCTCAGTCCATCGTGTTTCTGAAAAGAAACAGAAGACACCCGCTAGTTTCGTAGAGATATAAAGTTTAATATGATACATACCTGACGCAATAAAGTTCAAGGCCAATGGAAGACCCCTCTGGGTCCCATTGGAAGACAAAAAGGTGTTCGCTTTGTTGAATTTTAAGGCAATAAAAATCCCCGTAGCCAAAAGAAAGGCGTACGAGAGATATATGATAGCATTACTCCCCTGAGAAGATATTTGACCCATCCTTATTATTCCTTTTAATGAATCTCTATCCTTGTTTGACGGCTCATTAATGAGGACAAACTTTCGAATATTTATACAAAAAAAGAAAAAATTTTCTCCCTCCCGCCGCACCCTCATGTATGCGCTTAGATGGTTTTATTTTTTTGACGCATTTCGGATTATCAGCATAGAAAGTGCATAAGTAGAGTTTTCAACATCACAAGGTGTAGGGATGCCACGTACCATCGGCCTCTGGGTAGTACGTCAAGCTGCCATTAATGGCTGGGCGGTATTGAAGCAAAAGCCTCTTAGGTATCATTCTGGGGGAAATCGCACAATGACTAAAAAGTTTAATCATAATATTTCAGTAGAGCACTGCGAATGATTTGAAATTTCAACGAAGGTAAGTTTAGAACCCAAAGAAACGGTAAGATCTAAAGGAACAGAACTCGCATGTATTTGGCTCGCCAAGGAATAACAAGAAGAGAAATGGAAAGAGCGGGACAGAAGAAATGAAGTACTCATCGAGTAAAAAAAGCAGAATGCTCCACGGCAGGTTCGAACTGTCGACCTTCAGATAACACAGAAGAATTTCCTATGAGACTGACGCTCTACCGACTGAGCTAGTGAAGCATTTCTCGAGAGTGCAAAATCAGCATTGTAGCCAATATGTACAGTGTACGTTCTCTTCATGCGGAGCCCAAAGTCCAGAGAGCAATCTCGAGAAAGACCTAGCCTACAAGGAAGCAATGCCAATACCAGTGGTGGGTTGTCAGTAGTCGTACCTCTTACCAATATATACTAGCTCTTTCATGCAGCCAATGAGAGAAACACAGAAGGTGGTGACAATAGAAGCGGATCTACCAGCGTTTATTTTTTTTTCAAACTCGCCTTTGGCCGCTCACCTCCGAAGCGATTCTTGGAGCCCATCCAGTGAAATTTACCCATGCGAGAGATAAAGCGCATACAGTAATGCAATGCATCTAAAGTTTCGATGGTGAAAATAGCACATTCCAGCAGTGTCAGATCGACCACTGGTGGCACATTATATCTATCCAGACTATGTATTTTATCATGTAACGACTGTAGCTATGGCTACGGCTACGGCTACGTGCTAGACTATGGGTATCCTCTCCATGACACCTATCCTGGATGAAGTGTTGGCTTCTCCTTAGAAAAGAGCTTCTTATTTTGCGCCTGCTTCGTTTTCTCACTTGCATTAAATCTCAGAATACCACACTCCAGCGAAAATCATAAATATTCAGCGTATCAAAGACATTATATTTGAACAACTGATCCTATATATTCCCACCACAACCTTGACTTTTTTTCTCTAAAAATTCTCGTTAACAGTCAGCCATAAGTAGCTCTCACGCATCACACTATTCTTATACCAATAGCTCCAATTTAACTCCAGCCGAATCCAATCCCAACTCCAGCCCAACTCCCGCTTTCCATCCCGTCCTTTCTCTCTCCACCCGAGCCCTAAATGTTCCTGCTCGCCTATATCCGCCCGCCCAAAAATTCCTCATCTCGATCTATCAGTGCGTCAATTAGCGGCCTTTGTGTCACCTTTTTATCTGCGAGCCCCCCCATTATCTCTCATTAACGCACTGATTGGAATTTATTTTCTACAATCGGGCCCTACACACAAGGCACCTTCCGCATTTTATTAGCAGAGATAACCAGATACGTTGAATTTTTTTCAGGCAGGCTGGGGGATTTTCTACTTTCTTCTTTCATTCTTTCATTCTTTTGGATTCACATATTCTACTTCGCTAATATTGCATCCGACCAATCATGTACTCGACAGATGTTCCCCAAAGCCGCAGAATAACCCAGGTGATTTGCGCAATTGTATGGTGTTTGTTGTCCGGAGGGCCAATCTTTGGGTTCGCCGCGTTAAAGCCTATCCTTGTCACAGAACATGTTTATGAAAGCGTATGTGACATTTCCGTAAACTCTACTGAAAGTGGCTCTATGTTCTCCAACTTGGTCTTGGACCCTTCCAAGTTTGGAGGTCTCACTGCTACTTTGCTTGGTGGTGCACACTCATCGTCGGAGAAAGCCGTTGGTGTATTGGCATCGTCCGCCGCCAAGTGTACCGCCCAAGATTTGAAGTTGAACATGATGTTCACCGTTGGTGCTGTGTTGACCAATGTCTCTGCCTTGGTTATAGGCAGATTGCTTGATATCCGTGGCCCAAGATTCTGTGGGCTCATTGGTGCTGGCTTCCTTTACTTGGCGTGCTTAGTGTTCATTTTCGCCAAGGACATCGAAGCTTCTCCTATCTTGTCATATTTCGATCCATATTTGATTGGTTACGGTGCCATGGCCTTGGGTGGTCCATTCGCCTACATCTCCAGTTTCCAGTTGTCCAATTCTTTCCCTAAGAAGTCCGGAACCATCTTGGCTCTCTTGACCGGTGCATTCGATGCCTCATCTGCTGTCTTTTTGGTTTACAAGATTTTCTACAGCAAGACCGCCGGTGCCTTCACTGTTCCAAATTTCTTCAAATTATACTTGATTGTTCCAATTTTCATCACTTTGGTACAAGTGTTCATGATGCCAGCAGAAAGTTACAAAACTGCTCCAGAAACCAACTTATGTATCGGCGAACATGTTCCTGAAGACGCATCAGCCTCTGACTTGCTCGAAACCGTCGTCAGCAGAGGTTCAGCCAATGAAACTGATCCATTAATACGTACCGCAGTTAGAAGAGACTCCATAGGTGACGCATTGAAACAACCATATGCCGATGAAGGTGAACAATTCCTCGTTGAGCACTCCGGTGGTATTTTCGGTATTCTCCACGGTTATTCCGCCAAGTACCAGTTGAAAACCCCCTGGTTCTACTTGATGTGTGCCTTTGCAACCATTCAAATGTTGAGATTGAACTATTTTGTTGCCACCATCACCACCCAATATACCTATTTATTCCATTCTTTGGAAAGCGCCGAATCTTTGACCCATTTCTTCGACATTGCATTGCCATTGGGTGGTGTCATTTCAATTCCTTTTGTCGGAATGGTGTTAGACTACTATTCTACTACCGTTGTGTTAGGTGCATTATTGGCCGTTTCCTTGGCCATCGGGTTCTTAGGTCTTTCCGGAAACTTCATTGCCGGGGTTATTAACGTTTGTATCTTCGTTTCCTACAGACCATTCTTCTACACTGCTGTTTCAGACTTCTGTGCTAAGGTATTCGGGTTTGACACTTTCGGTACTGTATATGGTGCTATCATCTGTACTTCCGGTGTGTTCAACTTCAGTCAGAGTATATTGGACAGATTAACCCACACTACCTTCGACATGAACCCTATCCCAATTAACTTCACTTTGGTTATGATCACATTGGTTATTGGAGGGGTCATTTTGACCTATGTTCACAAGCAAACTATCTTATACAGTGCCAAGAAGCAAAGACAGCTCAACTTGGCTTAAGATTCACACTAGATTGCAAAATGCGACCATTTCAAATAGAAGAACGAAGAGCTAAAATATAAAAAAAAAAAGAGAAAATTATAAAACAAACTACTAATAATAGTAGTGATAATATTGATGATAATAATAGTAGGAATAATAAGCAGAATCATAGAATTATTGTGGGTCGATTCATGTCAGACACAGCTTGAAAAATCGAGAAAAAGAGGACTTCATCCTATGAATTAGGTCTTGCTAGCGCTAGATCCATGCTCCAACTAGGATAGTATATATATAGACTTCAGAAATATATAAATGAAAAAAAAAAAAAAAAAAAAAGAAAAAGAAAAAGAAAAGGAAAAAAAAAAGGAAAGGAAGAGATCCCAATACACTGTAGATAGTAGTATTATCTCACTTCTACCTCTACTATTTTTCCAGCTGGTCAGTGAGCCAGTGTCCAGTGAGCCACTAATCAATGAGCCATTTTCCAGTGTGTCAAATTCTCGCACCCAAAACTCGCGTATTTGGTGTGTATTCTAAGGGGCTCGTAAGGTCCCTAGGGTCCACTAGAGATATTATTTCACTGGCAGTGCGCGCTATATTAACCGTCGGTCTCTCACACTCTCATTATTTTTCGCCTTTCTGCCGATGTGCTTCACGCCAAACACTTCTAGAAGTACCGCCTTGCATGATCTCAGAAGCAGACTCTACTATTAGAAAGTGTGTGACACTGACATGGAACAACACAGGAAAGATGACGACTATCAAGAAAAACAGTCAAGAAAAAAGAATATGGTTTGCTCTCACAAGACCCTTCTTCCTCCAAGCGTACTCGCAAACGTAATCCTGGTCATTCTCTCACCTCCTTTCTAATGCAACATCTCCCTCAATTTTTCTTGCCCGGGGACAAGCAAGCTTATTCCCTATTTTAGGTGAGCATAACCGTGTGTTTCTATCATGAGAGGCTAACATTCTCGCAGGGCCAATCTATCGGACTGCATATGCCCCAATCAAAAAATATTTTAACCTCCACCTATTAAAGAGAGACCTACAGTCATATGCCCCAAAAGGACGAAAAGCGAGCAGGATTGTAGCTAGAAATTAGAAAGGTAGAGCTGTATCTTGTTTTCCGTTTCCCGTTTCTTTTTGCTTTAAAAAAACCTTAACACCCTGCATTTTCCAGCGGTAAATTAGGTTCTAACACCCCGACCAATTTTCCAGCTGCATAGATAGATACGGCGGGACAAATCCACAGAGACACACATACATATTCACATATATTTTTTGTATTTCCCCTTCTTCCGGTTTACCCAGTAGTCTCTCTAAAGTCACTTGCCATGCCTGAACAATTGGTAAAAGTCCACACCACTGGCGAACTAAAACATGGTCGCTCTTATCCGCACGGCCCCAGGGAAATGGCCAAAGGCAACATGGAGAAGGTCACAGAGAAGGAAAAACCCGACTTACTTGATGTACTTCTCCATCAACACGATGAATATAGAGATATCTCACTTGCAGGGATAAAAACTCCGCCAGAAACACTCAAAAATTATGGACAGAGAATTGGTTTCGATACCGTCAATATAGGGTACGATGATGACGATGAGTATCTGTTCGACGATGACGACGATGATGCACCCTACAACTGGAAGCGGGATTTTAGAGGTAGATCTCGTGGGAGATCACCATCTCCTGCCCACATTTCGCCCTTACATTCACCAGTCACGAATATGAACGGGTTATCGACCAGAGAAATGGGAGAGCTTGCCAGAATGCTTTCGCCAAGAAGAGCAGAATACCCTACTACGCCAATTGTCACACACAAAGGTTGCACATTCACCAAATTCCATGACGATTTCGATTCATTATACAAAGGGAAGCTACGTAATGCTGAAAACAAAATTATCAAGCCTGTAATGCCACACAGAGTCATACTAGTCTATATAAGTGGTAGGAAACATACGTGGGTTGCCTTAGACTGGGTTTTGAACAAATTCATTGAAAATGGTGACACCGTTATAGTAGTAGCAGCAATTAAAACTGGTTTTGACGGTGTTAGAAGAAGAATGTCATTCGATCCGTCGAAGGTGGCGGTGGTGACTCCCAAGATGAGATTGAAGATGAGACACAGGCCGGAAAACGTCAAGGTTATTGCCAGAAACATTATGGACTACATGCTCAGAATATTGAAGCCGGGGGTAATTGCCAAGTTATCAGTGGAATTAACTGTCGGTAACACGAAGGAAATTATGAAGGAAATGTATAAGTTGTATGAACCTAACTTGGTTTCCACGGGAACAAAACCTAATGTGAGGACAGGGGCGCCTTTAAAGTCTTGGAATTCCTCGAAGTTGACGGATAGATTGGTCAAAAATTTCCCACTACCGGTGATTGTCGTACCTGCGGTTAATATGCCAAAATTTGAGTTGAGCTTGGAGGGCAAGAGCAAGAATGAAGCTAATAGAATCATCCAAGAAGGTGACACGGAGGATCAGCTGGAAATTCATAGCGGCTCTGACACAGATTCTATCGATTCTATGGATTCCGATGATTCTTATTCATCTTTTGATGAAATAACCAAACTTTATACAGACTACAAACGAGATCTTAAGGACTCATTGGCGTCTTTAAGGCAAAATCAGATTGACGAAAACTACTTCTCTCAATTTTTGACTACTATTTCAGACAAATCTATCGCCTTTTGTAAAGATGTGGGCAGCGTAGATCCAGATTTCAAGGGTAGAGGTGCCAAATTAGCTAGAGCCATAACAGGGTCAAACTCGTTTGGAAGTGTGCCATACAAGACCAAATCTCTTTTAGCTCCAGTTGAGAAGAAGCCCACATCACCAGCAGGAAGCACGAGTGGCCTTTCATACAAGGAAATGAAAAGATTGGCCACGCAAAAGAGCCCATTAACAGTTTCTACCACAAATATAAACAGCGTGCCTCCTAGTATCACAATTGATGGGCCATCTCCTACGGTACCTCCCAAACAAAGCTCTATAAAGTTCGGGAACTTGGAGTCACCACCAAGAAGGGAATCACCTGTCAGTGGCAGATCGATGGCAACTTCTACTTTATTACAGAAGTCCTTGTCGCATGATATCGATGCCGGCTCGAAAAGACCAGAGTTGGTGCCAAGCAAGTCTCAACCTGACATCACCAGTGGATTCCGGGGCAGCAACAACTCAAGTATGGAAGATTTAAGGAAGGGGAAAAAGAAGAAGAAGTTTTGGAAATTGTTCTAAGGAGTGGAAATATGAGAGTATAGTATACAAGGGCAAAGGGAACGACATAACACCGGACCGGACCCAGGCATATCGGTTATAGAGATTTTGTTTGGAGGGTGTGTAAGACAAGACAACAACAGTTATATAGTCCTACTCTCTTTTTCGCGAGTAATGATAAACGAGCTATATTTATTCAGATTGTGTAGAAATTTCAGATGTAGTCAATACCCACTAACCCTACCACTACCACTACCACTACCACCACCACTACACCCCGTACGGCCTGGCTCTGCCTTCGCTTAACAAAATTCAGCCTGGCTCTGCCCTCGCTTAACAAAAAATTCTTGGAAATTTCACCTCGAATTCCTGCATACAGAAAAAGCAAGAGGCATCAAAAAGGGCAGCTTAGTCAATGATCTAAAGCTTCCAGGAGGTACCATTAGTCGTCCTCCTATAGAGCGATATGCGTCTTTTCCTTGTTTTTATTATAGGGATACTAACGCTAGAAGTGAGGGCCGCATTCGACCTAGGATTCCTCAGCGATGAGCTTGAAAAAGACGAGACGTTTTTCCATGACTTCGTGAATCAGTTCTTACCGAGTGACAAAGAGAACCCAGTCATCGAAGAACGAGCTGCAGCCTTAACTAACTATTTGCCTGAGGACAGCACGACAGCGATACCAGAGTCTGCTATAGGAGGTAAGTCGAAGTCACATGCCACATCTCTGAAAGCGGCCACGACGTCTGCAGCGCTGTCGTCGTCTTCCAAATCCGATGGTGATGTTTTGACTTACTCTGCCGATTACATGAGCGAGTACATACCCTACTTTGGTTCTATCACCCAAAGTAGCACCCAATATTTTCAGTTTTTGGTTAACACCTCTTCGGGTGTGGGTTCCAATTATGAGTTTTTGATTTTCCTTTCGGGAAACATCGGCCAGCAACCCAACAACACTGAAGATTCCCTTACCTTCTATCATACCTTCAATGCTTCCATGTTGAATAGCACTTTCGATGACAACTTCGCCACTTTGAATCTGTTTCAGGACGGATATTTCGAAGCGATAGACGTTTTCACCCCACCAGCATATGGTGGTTCTACTCCCGGAAGTGGTGACAAGGAAACTGTGTACATGAAAGTTGTGGCCCCCGAGAACACTGACAAGGATGCTACCTGGGAGTATGCGATTGGCATTTCACAACAGAATCTTGTGTTTCAATGGGATAATAGAACTTGGGCCTCAGTCGTAGATGCTGACGACAATAGTGCTTTGATTGTTACGGGTAACTTAACTACGACAGAAACGATCACGTACGGTACGGACATTGCCTACAACGACTCATACTACTATCTACAAATATATCCCTCCAGCTACAATAGCAGTTTCGAAGGTTTGAGCAAATCTTGGTATGCTATTTCCAAGGGCCCTTCTTTGACCACTTCAAGTGATAGCAACATCAACTATACCACTACATACATTCAAAGAAATGGAGAATTGCAACAGCAATTCTACGTGGTTGGACTAAATGAATCTACGGAGTACATCGCATATATATACTCCACGTATAATGACGTTGACTCGGCAGGAAATACGATCGGAAGCGGTGGATCTATATATGAACAGTTTGAATTTACCACAATGTCAGACGAAGGCTGTGAGTTGATCTTTGATTTGGCCTTCTGTGATAAGGTAGCGTATGCCGTACCCAACGGAAACTCTTCCCAGGAGAATGATGTGCTCAAGGAGATGTACGACAGCAACGCCAAATCCATTTACCAAAATTTTTCAAAGGCACTACAACAAGTGGCATGCAACACGACGAGTGATGCCATATTCTCTCCGCTTTTGACCTGCGATGACTGCTCCGAACTGTACAAAGACTGGCTTTGTGCGGTTACAATACCTAGGTGTCTGACCCGGTCAATTGACGGGTACAAATACAGAGAAGTGAATGAATCGAGAAGCGACTTTATCAACTACGCGATTCAGCCAATGAATCCGTACTACGAGATATTGCCTTGTGTCAACGTGTGTGAGGCAGTAGTAAGAACATGTCCCTCTGTATTTGGATTCGCTTGTCCCACAGGTAACGATACTATATCATTATCCTACTATTGGGACACGGACGATCTGGAATATCCTACATGTAATTATATCGGGGACACAGTCATTCTGAGTTTTGGAAGTAAGCTCATCATGAACTGGCAGGTGCTTGTGCTTGCCTTTTCCTTGTATTTCATGTAGGAGAGGAGGAAAACGAGGAAGAGGAGGTGGAAGAGGAGGAAGAGGAGGAGGAGGAAGAGGAGGAGAAGGAAGTAAAAAGAAAGAATGGGTGATGAGACAATAGAAAAGAAAAGCAATTACCAGAGCAAATAGATCACAACCCAGGCCGTTTTCTTCCAAGATCATGGTTCGTAAATGCATTTGGACTAACTTTGATAGTGGACCATAAAGAATATTTATTTAATACCTAAAAAATGATAAATATATATTAATATAACGTGAAGACTATTTGTAAAAAAAGAGTGTACTATGAACATTACAGCATTCTGACACAACTTAACTCTACCCAACCCATTACCAACATATTGCCTAGCCATCGGTGCCAAGTCTTAAGCAATACTGTAGATAATCCTGCATATAGGAAACGCGTTGGAATTTTTCAAGCTTTAATTTTTTTATTTGAGTTCAAGCCTTCAGAACGAGTCTTTCTTCCGTAGACGCTAGCATAGACGATGACTACTGTCGATAGTAAGATAGACAATTTACCCTGGGTTGAGAAGTACCGTCCCACTACCCTTGACGATGTCTATGGACAGACAGATATAGTGGAAACTGTGCGTAAGTTTGTACATGAAGGGAAGCTTCCTCATTTACTATTCTACGGTCCACCAGGAACAGGTAAAACATCCACCATTATTGCGCTTGCAAGGGAAATTTACGGGCCCAATTACAAAAACATGGTCTTGGAATTGAACGCTTCGGATGACAGAGGAATTGATGTTGTCAGAAATCAAATCAAGCAGTTTGCATCCACTATGCAGATATTCAGCAAGGGATTCAAGTTGATCATATTGGATGAAGCGGACGCCATGACTTCAGTAGCGCAAAACTCTTTGAGAAGAATCATCGAGAAGTACACGAAGAACACCAGGTTTTGTATATTGGCCAACTATGCTCACAAATTGAACCCTGCGCTTCTCTCTAGATGTACAAGGTTTAGGTTTCATCCCATAAGCGAAGCAGCTATTAAAGAGAGAATAAACCAAGTGATCATAAAGGAAAACTTACATATCGAGAAGAAAGCAGAAAATGCCTTGCTAGAGTTATCCAAGGGTGATATGAGAAGAGCCTTAAACGTTTTACAGGCCTGTAAAGCTGCTTTGTCGACTGACGATGAGGAGATTGACCAAGATATGATCTACGAATGCATAGGTGCCCCACATCCGCAAGACATTGAATTGCTGCTTGATACTATATTGAAAGAAGACTGGGTGAAATCGTACAAGACCATTGAGCATGTGAAGAGAGAGAAGGGATTGGCTTTAGTTGATTTGATGAGTGGTTTCGTTGAGGTGTTGAGTAAGTATGAATTGAGTAATGCAGCAAGAGTTGCGATTTTAGGTGGATTGGCTGACATAGAGTACGGTATCTCGAGAGGTGGGAATGATAAGATTCAGACTAGTGCCATTATCGGGGTGATAAAGAGTGCAATGGAAAAGCAAAAGTAGGGCAACGAACATAGTTCTGGACTTCCAGATCAGCTGACCCGAAGAGAAGAGGACATTTAGCATAGGCAGATCTAAACTAATTAGATAATCATAATAAAAAGATTCAAAGTACTGAGGTTGCGCAGGAACTGAATGCAGCTAGAGGGTAGACGCAGAGAATCACACCTCCTACGGTATTTTGGAAGTACGGCATTTTAAGAGTAAATTGCTTCAACAGTACGACAAGAACAGGAAGAAGGAGAGGGAAGAAGAACACCAGGGTAATAGATCCGTCTACCACCAACACACTACACACCTTTAGTTACAAAACACTACATTCTTCACACATTTTTCTCAGTTATAAGCTTCTCATAGCACAACGCTGTATGTTAGTACAAGAATTCAAAAAAGAAACCATTCAAAAAGTAACATAAATTCACCTATCATCTGTCTTAACAATTTTTCTCATGAAACAAAAAGTATCGAAGAGCTGGGTTTATATAGATAGAGCCTCCGGGGCTCGTTATAATCATATAAGTGAAATAATAATAGTACATACCATCTGCAAATGCATCTAATGCAACATATTCATCCATTCCAAGGCTATTAACCACACTCGTTCCAAAGAAAAATGCACCCACTATGATCTAAAAGTTGGTGAAAACTTTTCAACCTTTATACCCTCCCAACAAAGTCGTGCTCCTATCAAAGCTGGACTTCGTGCATGCAGTGCGAAAATTCGGTGTGTGAAAAATTTATGCAACAATTTCGCTAGGGCTGGGCTTAGCAAAGGTCGATATGGTTTTTGGATTTGTGCATTGAGTCTTAAAAGAGCCCAAGGAGCAAAAGAAGACCAGAAATATCCAGTGGAGGGATTTAATGGCATATTAGTTAGTGTATAGTACCTTTCGAATCTTCAAAGTTAGCTTAGCAAGGAAAAAAACAGTAGAAAAGTAAAACGTAGTATAAATTTGCAATACATTAGAAATACAATGAGTAGACGATCAACCGGTGCAAGTGAAATAGATACGAATAAACTTAGAATATCTTCATACTTGTCTAAACGTACCAAAACTCATCAATGGAAGAAGAAATGGGCAGTGCTAAGGAATTGCCAGTTGAGCTATTACAAGGATGATTCTGAACATCGAGCATTGAAAGTCTATCCTACTTCAGACATCTTATCGGTGAGCGAAATTAAAGATAACAGTAAATATTACCACTTTGCAGTATACACTGGTGAAAAGGTGATACATTTGAGAACAGAAGATGAAAAGACCAAGCAGAATTGGATCACTGAACTCCAACTGGTGATAAACGGGGCTAAAGATGGGAACAGTGAAAAGGGAGTACAACACGGCGATGACGAAAAGAAAGAAGACAGAGAGATTGAAGATAAAAGTACAACGAATAGCGTTGATCATAGCAACTCTACTCGAAAGGGGAAAGTAATAATAAGCGATGAACAGTTTGCCCAATCAATTGGTCGGCAAGCTACCGATGAAATGAACTACTCAGGCAATGATGAGATGTACATGTCCTCTGGAGAATCAGATTCTTCATTGCGTGAGGCCCCATTCAGCCCTCGTCCTATTGTTGACGAAGCAACTGAATACGAGATAGAGCCGAGATCCCCATCAAAGGCACTAAAAACGACTAAAGCTGATCTGAAGAAGGAGAGCGCAAACGAGGAAGAGTTCATACACGAAGGAAGCTTGTTAAGGCTCCATAAAAGATATAACCAGTGGAAAAAAGTGTATATAGTATTATCTGATAGAACATTGAACTTACATAAACATGAAACCGACAAGGAGCCCTACAAGAGATTACTTGTCAAAGATCTTGTTGATGTCATAGAAATTGATCCGATTTCCTCCAGCAAAAAGTGGTGCTTTTTGATCATCACTCCAAACAAAAGAATACGATTATGTGCAGCTTCCGAGGACGAGATGACCCAGTGGCTAGCAAGTTTGAAAACGGTAATAAATAGACAAAAGGAACTAGAATAGGGCAATTACATAGTACACATACATGCAAATATAAATTTAGTGATATATGATCTTTAGCATTACCGTATTTGGGCATATATTGAAAGTGAGCTCAAATTAGGCCCAATGGGGCCCAATGAGTTTCACCTTTGCATACGTGTATAGATATCGGTAAACAATCCTAGCCTATTCTTCTTTGTATCTCTTCAGCATTACTTAGGACTTCTACTTCTGCCTAGCCTACTCCACCCACCACACCAATTGTAGGTAAATATGCAGCACTTCCCAAATGGTTGCAATATGAAAATTCTTATGTAAGCTGCACACAAATTGAGATCAAATGGATCGAAATCTTTGCACAAAGAAAGCACATCTTGTGGAGGGCTTGAACCATAGCAAACTCGACTGATAATATATAATTTATAGAGGGGGTTGCGGCTACAACCTCAGTAAGTAAAGAGACTAACCGTAGTAGTTTGGTATATAAAAAGTTGACCATACTCGACTCAGATAAAATAAAGAAGAGCTGAATACAGTTTCTCGGCTAGTTGCTTTTATGAACAGAAAACTAAATTGGCATTTGACAGCACTCAAAATATCAAGAATTGATACTGGAAATGAGCGATAAGTTCCATAAAGAGCTCTTTTTCCCCAAAAATGAACTTAAAAGCAATGAAAATACTATTACACCTGCTGAGATGGGCATTCCAAACATATATCAGACTACCTCATTACAACCTAGGCTTTGGATTGAACTTACTCCAATGATCCGTGTACCGATAAGTTGCAATGAAATTCGAGATCAAGTCTTTCAAGCATTGGAAGAAATACATTTAGGCGCTTTTTTGCATAATTCGGGTCCAATTCTGAATGAGTTTGTCGAACTCCTAAGCAATCCGATAAGTTTTCAAGACCCCAGTATGCTTAATGATCTCCACCCGGTAGTCTACTATTTGGCCGGCTTGACCAGAGAATCTTTAATCCAAGTAGTTGGAAAGTTGACAGACAGCTCCCCTATATCTATAATATTGAGCAAAGTGAACGGGATCGAGCTAAGTCCTCATTTACAAAATAAAACCAAAGAATATGCCTTGACAGCCTATTCTGATTTTGCTAGGCTAAATAGGAGCAACGCTTTTCTTCTGAAGTTGTATGACTTGGTATCTGGAAACGAATTATATTTCGTTACTACTTTAGTCATATGCACTTTGCATGCTTTCATTCATATGTTTGAGCCAGCCAAAGTGGACACATTTCGACAAAAAGAAGATGATGTACAAGAGAGGAATAATTCACAGAGTTCATCTGATGTCGGTGAAAATATTCTAAATACTATTCATCAAATGAGGCTAAATGATTACTTAGATACGAAAATTTCAGAAATAGAACTGAATGGTCAGTTCCGTGAGATCAATGCAGACGAATACAATTACGGTCACTCTTCATTGATAAATTCACCGACCTCATGGGCGTCTTCTAACGCAACAGAGAACAGGAAATCAATATGGGATAATAATTACTCACGTTTGGATTCTCCATTCACTCCAGAATTTTTGACGGCAATAAATTGGAATCAACCTGCTTCCGATTTTAATGCACACGATGAATTACAAAAAGCATCTGTTGAACAAGAAGAGAAGAACTTAGGTAGTGAGCAACCTGAGGGTATGTATGCTCCAGATGAGGAATTTTCTGCACACTATCAGATTATAAAATCAGGATTGTTTGGGAGCATCTACAATCTTTTTGGAAATAAGAACATAGTGCCTATAAAGGAATTACTTCGTAATAAGGATGTCATTGAAAAAATCGATAGATTGACAGATCTTTTGGTGATCAGAGAAATGGAGCTTGAGGAGGGCACCATAGAAGAATCAAGAGAAGTTCATGAAGCTAAGTCCACTGATACTTTACAAGATGACGAGGCAGCCCAGCAAAATGAAAAGAACATTTCTAGAAAGTTGAAGGTCCTTAAAATACTGTCCAAGAAAGAGGAACAGCGTCCAAAGTCATCCACACATACACCTACACTCACACCTTCTGTGCCTTCGACTCTAAAGCTTGAGCAGAAGAGAGAGCTGAACTCGGTACCCATAGACCAATTTTCTAATGCTTACCATCAGGTTAGTCAGAAACTATCAAATAAACTAGATAACCAAACTGATACTGAAAATTTTGATCATACCTATAAAGCAAATCAGAAGCAAATCGTTAATAATCACCTGAAGGAGTTTAGTGGCTTAAACGAAACTAACATGAAGAGTTTAAGAGAATTCTCGAAAAAGTGGGCAGAGAAGCATGATTTGAAAGATGAATCAGATGCTGGTAAAGAAGCTATAAACTCGCCTCGTGATGTAATGACACCTTCTTCCAAAATATCACAGGCCATGCAAGGGTACGATTCAATTATAAATAGTACGAAGACCGAGAAATCCAACAACATCACGACGGAAATCGAAAATGAGGAATTAGCTATCAAATCAGAGAATTTTAAGGGCGGGGTTGGTACAAATGAAGTTGGTGTACAGCAGTTTGACCATGATTCTATGAAAATTCAAGAACTTAGCCTGAATATTGATATTGTTCAAACTTTATTTCCCAAATTGAAAAGGAATACGACAGAAGAAATGTTTAAAATGTGTTATTTCGATTTAGATGCTGTGCTAGACCTTTTGTTTTCTGAAGAGCTTGCACTTGATGCAACCATAAGTATCGTACTCGAGAATATAAGCGAGCAAGAAATGAGTTTCGAAGAACAGTATTTATTTGCTATAAGGTATTTCCCCAAATTGACTCGTCTGGAGTTAAGTTCCAAATTGTCAATGAATATGGGAAACTTCAAGCACACACTTCAAAGACTTTACTTTGACAACGAAACGTATTTCGATGCTTCAAGTACAGTAAGTGTGAACAATGGAAGTAGTGAATCGAAAAGAGAGGAGCCAGAAGTAATAAAAATAATGCCTGAGGTAGGTGTGTTACAAGAGTTACTTCCAAATGTTGAGAAGGAAGTGCTCATGCGCAGTTTGAAGAGGTATAACTTCGATGTAAATAAAGCGTATGAAAGCTTAGCTGAAGTACAGAAGAGTACAAACTCACCTCCTGCCGAATCAACTGACAGTTCTTGGAAGAAATTCGATGTTGATGCCACCAAAGTTCAAGAAATCACTCATATACCGATGAAACAAGTTAAAAGCTACCTCCACAAGAACAAGGGTAATTATTTGGAAACGATAGTAGATATTATATTGAACTACAAGCATGAAAATACGGGTAATACAGATTCAAACGTTCTTAAAGGTGGAAGAGTACAATACAACAATATAAGCAACAAAACCACACCCATTGAGGTAGTAACGGATGATCCCAATAGTGAAGAATACAAATATGACCCACACAGCAAAGAAGCCCAAGAGTTAAGAGCAGTCTATCTTGGAAATAAAGAGTTTCGTGAAAACATGAGCGAAACATTCTTCACTAGGGGACTAGTATTCTTCAAGGGAGATTATTCTCAGGTGCTTAACGTTGCATTTTTACTTTGGGAGAACAATTCCTTGCGTTTACTGTTTGCAACACCTCAAAAGAAGAATAAGTTGAGCATTGTGCTAGACGAGATTAATGGAGGCATTAAGTTGCCAGATAAGAAGTTGCCTGTCAAAGTGAAGGCTACAGAGGGAAGAAGTGCCATTCCGCATGCAAGCGGAATGTCTTACAATGGGTCTGAGCAACTAGACTTACATGGTATGACATCCAAGGATGCAGTTAATAAAGCAGAATACGCAGTGAAGAAATGGTGGGCGCTTGAAAGTGAACAGAGAATTGCCGATGGAAGAATGCACAAATTTGGATCAATTGCACAGTTTTGTCTGCCCCTAAGTATCATCGTGGGAAAGGGGATTCATTCCACAGGAGGAAGAGCCAAAATAAAGCCTGCAGTTACCAAAATGTTAGAAAGGAATAGATATGTATTCGAAGACCTGCTGGGAGCATTGGTAGTATTGGGAAAGAGATGAGCTTTCTATAATGCAGAGTAGCGTGCACTTTATATGTAAGGAAAGGAGATAGGCAATTAAAAAGTTTAAACAGAACCGTGAAGATGGGAGGTGAAAAGCTATGGAGAACTGCCAGCAAAGTGAGTTGAAAGTAATTAAGAAGTAGTGAAAGAAAGCACGGAGAAATACACCACAGTGACTAAACGACTTAACAACCCATAGGTGGCACCGTGCGGCGACGAAGGTGCAACCGGACTACGGTGTCTTTGAGCTCATCTTATCTTTATTATTTTAGATCAATTGAGGGCAACCATGTGCGTTAGTTTAGAGAGTTGTGGTAGCATAAATAATATACCAAAGTAGCAAAATTAAATACGACAACAATATTATTTAACTAAATACTACCTGAATGTAAGAAGAGTCAAAAGACGAAAGATTATGTGGTTGTACTCTGCGTGAATCCAACAATACCACGCTGATTTAATACAACAAAGGAGATTGTGAAAAAAAAAAAAAGGATTTATCCTCATTAAATTTCCGTTCGGTGTTACTTTATTGTTTATTCTTTATTTATTTTTTTCTAGTCTCTTTCAGATGTCGTACGTACGGTATGAGGGGATTATAGTTAAAACATATCTACATGTCACAAGTAGTTATTTGCTTGTAGTGCATACTGCCCCTTAAATTATTCCAGATTAGGCGCAAAGGTGTATTATACCATTCATCAGCAAATTAGTAGCCCCGTTTGGAAGAAAAATAAACTAGAATCCCAAATTAATTGACGCGTCTAGATTAAGGTATGGATTAGGGGG